CAAGAACCTTGACAACGCCATTGACAACAAGGCTCTTCACGACACCTTTGCTGCCTTCGGTAACATTCTGTCCTGCAAGGTCGCCCAGGATGAGTTCGCCAACTCCAAGGGCTACGGTTTCGTCCACTACGAGACCGCCGAGGCCGCCAACAACGCCATCAAGCACGTCAACGGCATGCTGCTGAACGACAAGAAGGTGTTCGTCGGCCACCACATCTCCAAGAAGGACCGCCAGAGCAAGTTCGAGGAAATGAAGGCCAACTTCACCAACATCTACATCAAGAACATTGACCTCGAGATCACCGATGATGAGTTCCGCACCATGTTCGAGAAGTTCGGTGAGATCACCTCCGCCACCCTCAGCCATGACAACGAGGGCAAGAGCCGTGGGTTCGGTTTCGTTAACTACGCCAACCACGAGAGCGCCGCTGCCGCCGTTGAGTCCATGAACGAGAAGGACGTCAAGTCCCAGAAGCTCTACGTTGGCCGTGCCCAGAAGAAGCACGAGCGTGAGGAGGAGCTCCGCAAGCAGTACGAGGCTGCCCGCATGGAGAAGGCCTCCAAGTACCAGGGTGTCAACCTCTACGTCAAGAACCTGACTGATGACATTGACGATGAGAAGCTCCGTGACCTCTTCGCTCCTTACGGTACCATCACCTCCGCCAAGGTTATGCGCGACTCCGCTGAGCGCTCTCCCTCTCCCGAGGGTGAGGAGAAGGAGGCCGACAAGGAGAACAAGGAGGAGAAGACCGAGGAGAAGGCCGAGGAGAAGACCGAAGAGACCTCCGAGGAGAAGACTGAGGAGGGTGAGGACGCTGAGAAGAAGTCCGAGAAGAAGGCCTTCGGCAAGTCCAAGGGCTTCGGTTTCGTTTGCTTCAGCAGCCCCGATGAAGCTTCCAAGGCCGTCACTGAGATGAACCAGCGCATGGTCAACGCCAAGCCCCTCTACGTTGCTCTCGCTCAGCGCAAGGATGTCCGCCGCAGCCAGCTTGAGGCTAGCATCCAGGCCCGCAACACCATCCGCCAGCAGCAGGCCGCCGCCGCCGCTGGTATGCCTCAGCCTTACATGCAGCCCGCCGTCTTCTACGGCCCCGGCCAGCAGGGTTACATGCCCCAGCCCGGCCAGCGTGGCGGTATGCCCTTCGCTCCCCAGCCTGGTATGGTCATGGCTGGTATCCCTGGTGGACGCCCCGGCCAGTTCCCCGGTCCCTTCCCCCAGCAGGGTGGTCGCGGCATGGGCCCCAACCAGCAGATTCCCCCCAACTTCCAGGGTATGCCCATGGGCATGCAGGCCCCTGGTGGCATTCCTAACGGCATGGGTTACCCCATGGGTGGTCCTCAGTTCGGCCGTGGCGCCGGTGGCCGTGGTCAGGTTCCCGGTATGCCCATGAACATGCGCGGTGGCCCCGGCTTCGGCCGTGGTGGTCCCCAGATGGGTCGTGGTCAGGGCCGTGGTCAGCCCGCCCCCGGTGGTGCTCCCGCTGGTGCCGAGACCGGCTCCGCTAGCCAGGCTCTCCTGTCCGCTCCCCCCGCTCAGCAGAAGCAGATGCTCGGCGAGGCTCTCTACCCCAAGATCCAGGCTCAGCAGCCCGAGCTCGCTGGCAAGATCACTGGTATGCTTCTTGAGATGGACAACTCTGAGCTTCTTGGCCTGTAAGTTATACTTTCCCCTACTTTCTTGTGAGATCATTTACTAACAACCTTTCTACAGGCTTGATGATGAGGAGGCTCTCCGCGGCAAGGTCGACGAGGCTCTCAACGTTTACGACGAGTACATGAAGAACAAGGGTACCGAGGGAGAGGCTGGTGACTCCAAGCCCCAGGAGGCTGCTAAGGAGACTCCCGCCGAGGAGAACAAGTCTTAAATGATGTGTTCATCCTCTGTCTTTCGGAAATCTTTGGATGCACGTTTTTGATGACCTTTCCTTTCTCTTTTCCAACATTTGTTCCTACCTTTTACCCTTTCCGTCCCTATCTCTCTTCCTCTGATCCTGATATCCCTCGGTTCGAAAAGTTTGTGTCTTAGGCAGCCACCTTATTGGTGTTTAGTGAATGTGGTATGACATTCGGATTTTTTTTTTTTCATTCTTTCGATGAATTTCCCGTTTTTCTAGTATGCCCGGCTTTAGCTGGCAGTGTCTTATGGCAGTTCGGTAAAAGTGTTTTTTTCCCTGGGCGCTGGATACGGTTTATCTTTATGCTTCACTTTATTCCTTGTCTTCTTTCCTTTCGCAGGGCGCTATGACTTCTTTTCGATATCGAATCCTCTTCCCTTTTTCCATTCCGTTCATACTTGTGCTTTCTGCTTGCTCTTTATTGAGTACTACATAGATCTCCTTATTCGTCGCGGAAGGGCATAGCTGTTCCCAGTGTTGTTCTCGGGTTCGTCAGAGCAGCAACAATCAATGAACGGTCGTGGCCTTGTTTCTTAAGAAGAGTCTCCGTATAACACCGTAAAAATTTGCACCTAAAATTTTACAATTCCAATCCTTGCCAGTCCTCGGTTAATGGCAAACGCCACCACGGGGATTTCTACCAAATGGCCACTACAGTCAGCCTCCCCGGATGTAACCCACGGATTACTCAGCCTCTAGAACATTTCGAAACCTTCAAAGAACATCTCACTCGCACGGAATGATATATGCACAATGGCGTCAGAATTCGTACCTGAGACACCCGAGATCGGTTCCTTGACAGCACACTCAAACGAGGACAGCCAATTCGTCGGCAGCTCCAGCGGCGTCTACTTCATCAATACAGTCAAGCGAGCATTTAACGACCTAAATGAGCGAGACTCATCAGAGACAAACTTTCCCACAGCAGAAGATACCCTAGTCGGTCCCGAGGACTCACCTCGCGAAAAGCGACAGCGCACTGCATCAGTCAGAGACACCTCGACAGCGGAGGTGGAGTCACCAGCAGAATGGACCTACGACCCATCATTAACAGAAGCCCTGGGAAAGCTACCACCCCCAGACATGGCAAAGAGCCTCATGATGATGTACTTCAAAATCTGGCATCCTCTCTTCCCATTTCTGCATGGTCCCACCTTCCTGCAGGCAATGGAGAAGATATACTCCACGAATCAAAGTCCGCCTTCACAGCCCTCATGCATAGATCACCGCAGTACATGCTGGACAACAATTTTCCAATGCGTCTTCAACCTGGGGAGTCTCCTAGCACTAGATTTGAATCTACCATCCGAGTCGAAGATCCAATCACCCGGCAGTATCAACTCGCTTCTCGGGACACTCTCCTCTCGGCATGATATTGCGTCGCTTCAAGCACTCCTGGCTATACAGGTTTACCTCGTTGCCACTATGTCACTGCGACAGGCATCCACTGTTGGTGGCTGTGTATTACGCTCAATGCTTCATGCTGGTCTTCACCGGTGTCCGTTTCGATATAAGCAACTCTCCACGCATGATCGTCAGTTACGAAAGCGCATCTTTTGGTGCGGATATGCTATTGATCGGTATTTGAGTCAGGCTCTGGGTTTACCGCTTGGTATTCAGGATTCTGATATCGATGTTTGTCTACCTGCCGCGAGGGAGATGCATTCCCCTGGGGTGCAGGCAAACCAAGTGAGCAGTGAAAAGACGCTTGGCTCGACATCCGCTGGAAATGGACATCCTGGAGGTGATAAACGTCGAGCTTCACACTCCCAGTTTGGGAATAGAGAAGAAGACCATGGGAAAGAAGCCGTTCTCGCAAGCTATGTCGAATCCGGAACCCTCACAGGAAGAGCACTAGAACTCTTCCACAAGTCGATATTGGTCCGATCTGTGCGGCGGACTTCAGTCTTATTCCTTGTGACGGATGTGCACAAGTGGTGGAACGGCCTTCCACTCGATCTGCAGCGAAAACCATCAACATCTGATCAAACGGCTGGATCTGGAATGGTTGATAGTCCGTTTGATTTTAGTCCCTTTTTTACCGTGTTATATCAGCATCTCATTTTGATCATTCACCGGCCTTCGTTGTCATTGGATCCGTCAACTGCGGAATTTTGTTCTGGATTGCAGACATGCATTGGGGCTGCTCGTTCTATTCTTTCGGCACTGCGGTTGCAAGTACATAGTCGGCAAGCTTTGTTCTGGCCGGGGTTTTTATCGGCTGCGTGGATGTCAGGGCTGGTTTTGGCTTTGGCGTGCCAGTTGAAGCAATATGTCCTAACCAAGGGACTTCAGTATGTGCCTTGTTGATGTTTTCTTTGCTATTGCTTACTGACTATTGATAGGGAAATTCATGAGTTTTCGGGGTTTCTACGTCTAATGTCTGATCAATGGGAGACAGCTAAGCACTGTCACATGTCGCTCGCGGTGCTAGCTGCAAAGATTAAAGAGTCAGAACACCGTGCCGATTCAACAGCCAGCTCCAACGTCTATGCGAGAGGCGTCCCTGCAGAAGACTCCACGCTTATGGATTCTTTGAATGCACGCGAAGAAAGAAGACGAAAACTAGGCGGTGCGTTGCACTCGCAAGAAGACCACAGATCCTCCACAGAGCCGAGCAATTCAGAGCAATGGGATCGAAAAGTTCACCCAGACACAGCCATTGACAGGGGACATTCATTGGACAGAGAGCATGGCTTCACAGCGATCCCGCCAGCCCTTGTTCAACCATCAGACATGAACGACCAGAGCCTTCCCACTGATACCCCTTCTTCGATGCAAATGAATTTCCAGGATACCCATCCTACTAATTTTGAGGGAATATCAAACTTCGATTTGAACATGGTCGACTTGTTCGAAGGAGCCAATCTTGATTCCCTTTTTGATGTGCTTGGGCAGCAATTTCCTAGTTTCTAGGGACTGTCTACGGCTACATTTTTCAAAGCTATTGATTGCAATGGTAATGATCTACGGTTTACTTTTCGAAAAAAAAAAAAAATAAAAGTAATCAATTTATTAAGAGGTCAAAAGGCCATATGCAATGTTGCCTCTATCACTGAAACAGCATCTCTCTAAAACAAATCTCGCGAGACAAAGACAAAAAGGTCAAGCAGATGATCCACGGAACAACAAGTTCCTGTTAATACGAACTTTTCCCGAACGAATTTCCTGCCTATACCAATCGGCCTGCAACTCAGCAGCAGCAAGGATAGACGCCTTGTTGGAGTGATAGTCACCGGGGACCTTGATCGAGATACATAGCGGGTGGGAGTGGTGCATGGGGTGCACAGTGATAGTAGCAACGCCAGTGCGAATACACGTCGCGACGGTGCGCATGAGTGATTCGTCATCGCAGGTTATGTCCTGTCGACTTAGGAAGACGTTTACCCAGTTTGTGATTTCTCGTGGGCAGAATTCGGGTTCTTGGATTAGGGTGCCATCTAGGTAAAACATGCTACCTGCGAATTCGTTAATTACTCCGTTATCCATGGTGTCTGGACCTGAGGATTCGCATCTAATGGAGGTAGTGTCTGGTAGGGATAAGTAGGGGTGAGTCTTCTTGTTGAAGCCCATGGTGTTGTTGGATTTGACTGACCTCTTTTTTGATTTTGAGGTTGAATGTTAGTGTTGATGTTAGTATTGGGGTTGAGACAGTAGATTGGATACTGGAGGTTTGGTTTGATGCTTTCTGGGTATTTTCCGGGTGCGATTTGAGTATTTGTATGTTTTGACTGAGACATGATGCTATTCTCATAGATTGAACACGTTCATTTAGACCTCTGTTGAGAACAAAGGGGTTTCTCCCTGTGACAATTGCATTTCAAGTCCCTCATCTGCTTTCCGGAAGGTCAAAGGCCTTTTCTTTCTGTTCTTCACGAAACTTCTCGTTAGTGAATCTTTCTAGAGCGTAGAATGATCCATGAATGAACTGAAACAGCAATCAATGTCTTGACTCGAAAGGGAATCGTTCCAAGGCCATTCTCTTCTCACCATGGACTTTTATCCTCACGTTAGAAAATAAAGAGCTTTTTGCAGTCATTGGTTAAATCTCTCTGTGATTTTGTCCGTTGCATGGAAGCTATTGGTCCAAGACGAGGCCATTGTGAAGAAAGTAAAAAACGAAACAATGGATTATCTCTCCTTTCAAGCCAACTTCGCAACCTCCAAACACACAGCATCCACGACCCCCTGAGTGTCAGAGGTTCCCCCAAGGTCTGGCGTCAGAATCCCGGCAGCACAAACACGTTCAACGCAGCCCATCAACTTAGCCGCGGCATCCTTCTCACCCAGCCAGATGAGCATCTCTGCCGCAGACCAGAAAGTAGCAACAGGATTCGCAATTCCCTTCCCAGTGATATCAAAAGCGCTCCCATGAACAGGCTCAAACAACGAAGGATTCTTGCGCGTGGGGTCAAGATTACTAGAAGGCGCAACACCAATCGAACCAGCCAACGCAGCCGCCAAATCCGATAGAATATCCATATGCAGATTCGTGCCAACAATAGTATCAATAGACTGCGGCTTCGCAACCATCCGCACAGTCATCGCATCAACAAGCATTTTGTCCCACGTCACATCCGGGAAATCCTTAGCAACAGAAGCAGCAACTTCGTCCCAAAGAACCATCCCGTTGCGCATGGAGTTACTCTTCGTAACAACAGTCAGCAACTTACGCGGCCGGGACTGCGCCATTTCAAATGCGAATCTCATAATACGCTCGATGCCGACCCGCGTGAACATGGCTACTTCTGTTGCTGCTTCCCATGGCTGGCCGACGTGGGACCGTCCGCCTTGACCTGCGTACTCGCCTTCCGAGTTCTCGCGGACAAGCATCCAGTCGATGCCTTCTGTGGCGGTATTGAGGGGACATTTTGTTCCTGGGAAGGTTCGTACGGGGCGTACGTTGGCGTAGAGTTGCAGAGGGCCTCGGATTGCTAGGAGCAATCCCCATAAGGAGATGTGGTCAGGCACGTCTGTTCGTGTTTGGTCAGCAGGGGGATTATAGATTCTGTAAACTCAGTTAATCTTACCGGGAGCACCTACAGCACCGAACAACGATGCATCGTAGCTGCGCAGGGTGTCGAGGGCGTTGCCGGTCACGTAGCTTCCGGTTTGCTTGTAGTGTGCTGTGCCCCATGGAATATGATCGAAGTTGATATCGAATGTGCCTAAGGTCTTTGCCAATTTTTCTACCACTTGGATTGCAGCACTGACTACCTCGGGACCGATTCCATCTCCGGGGATGGAGGCGATACGGTATGAAGGCTTTGTAGCCATGTTGTGTTATAGTATAAATCTGAAAAAAGTAAGATGCAATTAGAGTATGAATAGACTGACTATAAATAACATTCAATCCAGTGTTAGTCTCATACGATTGAACATGACCTCGGCTGATAATTCACCCAGTGTCGAGTATAGAAGTGAATTAGTCCAAATGGCCGCTATGATCTCCCGCGTGTTCTCCGGAGATGTCGGCAGAACTTTCAGGCGACGAGATCTGCCACATCCCGCCACCGTTCGACTACATCTGCATGTCTTGGTCTACTCAATATTCAGGCAAAAAGCAAATATGGCATCGAAGACGAAAGAAAGGAAGCCGGGTCGTATCACAATTGCTTGTAATGCGTGTCGGTCGCGGAAGCAGAAGGTGAGTTGCGTCCTCATAAGAGCGCTCAACTTGGCACTAACAGAACGCCAAATGCAGTGCAGTGGAAAGAAGTAAGTATGAGTGGTTGTATCCAAATACCTCACTGTGTTGATTCTTAAATTGAAAAAGACCTGTATGTGAACAGTGTCTCGAATACAACCGGCCATGCAACTGGCCTGAACAACTCCGAAGGTATTTCCTCGGCAACGACGAGTTACAGACAGAGCTAACGGCAATACAGAGGCCCGGAGAAGGGATACGCAGAAGCACTGGAAAACAGACTCCAGCTCACAGAGAGCATACTACTCAATCTCCTTCCGCACGTCTCAGACAAGCAACTTGCCACAGCACTTCCTCCCAAAGAGGGCCGCCAAGATCATAGCACGCCCTACGTGCCATTTCCAAGACTTGAAAAGAGAGGAATAGAATCTTGGTCACAATTTCCTCTCGATACTTCTCATGGCATCCGACGGTGGCAGCATGCCTATACCGACCCCGAAAGGGCTGGTTTGGATGGGCATCAGGATCTACCAAGTCCCAAGAGAAGACGATTACAGAACGAGGGATCATCCACATGCAATGATACTTCGGCTTCGGCTTCAATCCCGACCTCGGGAATTGGAGGCGCATTCAACGGAACATTCTCTCCGCCGTCACTCAACATCTCCAACTCGATTGAGGAATACCCGACGCGACCAACCAAGGCAAATGAAGGAAACGTCCCGTTGCAGACAATAAGCTCGTGGAACGGGGCTCCTTCATCTGAGTTCCAGCGTCAGTTTCTCTGGTGAAAGCGAAGCCATATTTGGTAGTGTCGGAATTCCCCCGACACCCCGCAGCTCCCCGCAGGAAGACGCGAATGGGATCAATCGCTGGCGATTTCAGATTGTGACATCCCAACAATAGTGGGATGGCCCCACGGTGGGAACACTGAAGACGTGGTTGGTGACGCAAAATCGTTTTTCTCGGACTATTACTGCTTCGTTTTGGAAGTGAAGTATACAAACCAGCTTTGCTGCTAAAGGACATGGCGATAGAAAAGGTATATCTATCCCACCGTTGCCTCAAACGATAACTTCTTACCATTATTCCCAGGTTATTGTCGTGGGCGCAGGACCGTCAGGTCTAATCCTCACCCTCCTCCTCTCCAAAAAAGGAATATCAGTAGAACTACTCGACGCTGGCGCAGAACTAGACAAACAGCCACGCGCAGCCCACTACGCCTCAGCCGCTACCTACGAATTAGAACGAGCCGGCGTGCTAGACGATCTAAAAGAGCGTGGCTTTAGCCCAAAGGGCTTCGCATTCCGTAAGTTCGATACCAGCTTCATCGCCGGAATCAATCATGCATCATTGCCCGAAGACTACCCATACAAGATGCAAGTCCTGCCCCTGGATCGACTGGGTCAACTTCTTTACGAACATGTCCAGCGCGAGCCAAAAGCAGCGGTGAAATGGTCTCACCGGGTCGTGAAAATCGGCCAGGATCAGGGTAAAGCCTGGGTGGATGTTGAGACTACCAGTGGAACACATAGATCGCAAGCAGACTATGTTATCGGCTGTGATGGGGCTAGCAGTACTGTTCGACGAGAATTATTTGGACCTGAGTATCCTGGCGAAACACTGAATGCTCAGATCATTGCTACAAATGTACACCTACCTACCTACCACCCACTATACCCTATACCACCTCCAAACAAAGAACCCAAAACTAACTCAGCCCCATCTATGTCAGGTATACTACGACTTCGACCGCTACAACTACTGGGATTCAAACTTTATAGTCCACCCAACAAAGTACTACATGGCCGCCCGCATAACGAAAGACGGTCTCTACCGAGTGACATACGGCGATATACCGGGTCTCAGTAGAGAACAGTACATCGCGCGCCAGCCAGCTCGCTATGAGGAGATTTTACCGGGGAGTCCTAAACCTGGTGATTATCAAATCACGAATATCTCGCCTTATAGAATGCAGCAGAGGTGTGCGCCTGCTTTTCGGGTTGGGAGGGTTCTGCTTGCTGCTGATGCGGCGCATCTTTGTAATCCTTTGTAAGTCTATCACTTCGTTCTATTATGGGTTACTTATCCATGGGGATTTGGACTGGTTCACTGAAGGCAGAGAGAGGCTAATTGTTTGTCGTGGCTTTGCAGTGGCGGTCTTGGACTTACTGGCGGAATCGCAGATGTGGGAAATCTCTTCGATGCACTTGTTGGTATCCACGAGGGTCTTGCGGATGATTCTATTTTGGATAAATATAGTGAAGTGCGGATGCGTATTTGGAGAGATATTATCGATCCTATGTCACGAGAGAATTTCCGAAGACTTTGGGATCAGGATCCTGAGAAGGCTCTTGAGAATGATCAATTCTTTCAGATTTGCAAGAAATCCGAGACGAACGAGGCTCTTGCGAGGGAGTTGGCTTTGGTGAGTTTCTGTCTCTTTTGGGTTACTTTGGCATGAGTGCAAATAACTAATCTGGATATAGGGATTGGATGTGCTCAGGTTCGATATGACGCAGTTCTATAACAAAACGAACAACACGGATGATTCTCGTGGGAAGTTGTGAGTTGTCTGTTTGAAGTAACTAGCACTTCATCGGTCTTCTGCAATAGACCGTATTATATTCTATTCAAAAATTCCAAGTAAATATCTCATCAAATGAGAACAAGTCCTCTTGAAATTCCTGGAAATTAGCAAAATCAGCAGCTAGTGCGGACGACTGTAGCAGATCTGGCAGCTGAGGGATATGAGGAGAAGCTGTAAATTGCGAGGCAAGGTTGTTGCTGGATGAAACCGTAGAGTCCTGCGGTTGTTGGTACTATAACAGCGTTAGTCAAACCAAAATCCCAGGCGTGGTGCATTTTACGTACACCAAAAGTAGAATGCTGATCTGTAACAGCAGGTAAAAGATACTGCCGGCAAGCAGAAAGAGCTTTCTTTGCACCCTGTGCCATCCAGCGATCTTTCATTTCGGGTGTGCCACGGCCGCGCACAGATTGCAGGACTACTGCAAGGAGAACAATATCTTTGACGTTACTTCCTACTTCGCCGATGCGGCGAGATAGGCTCTCGAGGGTGTTTTCCACCAGTCTTGTTAGGCTGGCTTTGCTGTGTAATTGGTTTTGTTTGATGTTGAGATTAGGAAAACCGTTCGAGGAATGTTGGTCCGTAGTTGGCGTGTGCTGTGTATATTGCCCCACGTACTTGCATACACTGAGAGCAGCCCATAACACATCGTTCTTGCAGAATGTGTGGAAAATATCCCAATATCCGTGGGAGTTTTGGGTGTCTAGCTCGGCTAGGTTGGGGTCGAAGTAGTCTTGGTAGGACAAGATTATCAATGATGAGTCTAGGCATGCTCGCTGTATTTCTTGGGGGGCACGGCTTTTGTCTGTGTTGACTGGTCTGTATAAACAAAGAAGGGGTCGACGGATGTATAAGTCTAGAAGAACTTGGTTCATGAGGAGGGGCGGCATGATATCGTTATTCGAAGTTTGGTCGATCTTCAAAGGGTATGGAATGTCTCGCAAGCATTCTTCTAGTATTCTGCCTAGCTTGAGTCGTTCATCTAGATTGGTTTCGGATCTTGTTTGCTGTATAAAGTTCATAGCGTTGATACGGTGCGACAAGGTCCTGGCGAGAGTGACCAGAGGAAGAGTGTCAGTTGATTCATTCAACGGTCTAGGAGCAGGGAGCTCCGTGGTGGACTCGTCAAAGTCAGCGTCATTTAGATTTGCTGGGCTGAGTGTATGAAAATCGACCTTGGGCGTCATGATTGGCATCCCAGAGGTGATTGAAGCTTGGAGGTCCATCTCGGCAATGGTGATCCACAATCGCCGCCTATTCTCAGCTTGAAAGACCGAAATTTTGGGAGATCCAGAGGGATCGATATGTAGTCCCACTACCATTGCAGAGCGGACAAGTGAGCCGGCAGCTTTCCATGATTCTTCGGCGGATGTTGAACGAAGTTGGCGGGCTAGGAGCATGAGTGTTTCAATTTGGAGGGTTGTAAGCTCTGTGCGGTGTTTCCTTGGGAGTTTCTGTAGCCATGCTTGTAAGAGACAGACTGCGTTCAATCTCAAGTATTCCCAAGAAGTGCTATTTTCCATTTTGATGCTTTCCTCCCCCAGAATGATCGAGATAGTCAATACTGCAGTCAGTTGAGGGATAAAAGGCGAAGATAGGTAGGACTCATCCTCAGGACTTGTCCAGAAATGAGCATATTGACGAAGAAAGCAAGGAATGTGTAGAATCCGCAGTGTCTTCTCAAAGTTGGTGGTATAGATAGCCACAAGCCTGTCACATATTGACTTCGATGGAAGGGACTGGAGAAGCTGGAGCAACTCGGGAAAACTCTCCAACTCCGATATGGATTGCGGAGAGCTCAAAGGTGCTTGCGTCTTGCTCTGTAGGAACTGTACTTCTTTGGCGAGTTTCACAATGGAAGAGTCTTTGGAGCATTGATTGACAAAACCTTTGGCTTCCTCGAACTTAAAAGGTGTCAGCTGATGATAAGCAAGAGACAGAGTCCATCTCACCTGATTCAACAGAGTGATTCTATCATTTTGACCATGATAGCGAGATCTTGATCCCTTGACTACCAAAGTCCCCAGTGATGACTGCAAACCTGAGGGCTGTATAGGTGTATTGCTTGGCCTGTGGAGTCAGTAAAGCGGGTCTGGGCGATCAGAGATTGGCATACCAGGAATTCGGACTCGATACAGCCGGTTCATTGACAGACCGACTCGCAAGCAAACCCTCGACTCGAGTCAAGCGTTGTTGAAGATCCTCGATGATGCCGATGCCGACTCCTTTCGACTCATTACCAAGCGCATCGACACTGAGCTGCACGCGCTTTGGCTTCGAAGGCAATTCTGTCGGGTGTTGATTGTACGTACAGTCTGCACGATGTCCTGCTTTGATACAGTTCTCGCATGGATCGACGCGGTCGCATTTGAGCTTTTTCTCCCTGCACCGCAGGCAAGAAACCACGGGGCGTGCACGCTTGCGAGATTGAGAGGTGTCCATCGCTCACTGAAAGATCACAACATGGCTAGAGACACAAACCCAGACTCGCAATTAGCCATCATCTCCCCCTAAGCTATATTTGGCCCCCCAATACGGGAGGCGAGGGCGACCAAAATGCCAGCCTTGCTCAAGTTACAATAGCCTCGACGCTAACTCCTATTTATATCTGACACTAAAGCAAGCCCCCATCACATTTATCTACTCAATTGGTGATTACAGGAGCAGTGTTATCCCACTTCGTATCCAACGCGGCCTCCACCAAAAACCGAGCAACACTGATGCGACTAGCAGAGCTCATCAAACCAACCCCCTTGCCATCATTAGGCCACTCTTTGACTTTAGTCACATCACTCTCAACAAGTCTCGGTGGCCGGACAAACACAAATGTAATGCCACTATCCCGCACCTCCTTCGCTGCAGCATTATGGTCGTCATATGAGTAGATCATGTTAGACTTGCTCATGAGTAAACGCAAGACACATGGCATATTAGCCCAAGAGTCACCAGTGCCAAAGGACTGTAAAACAATAATCTTGTGGACTCCAAACTCCTTCATAACTTTCGCCACATTCGCATTGCTGTCTGCCATCATGCGGGGAGGGGAGATGGGCTTTGAGAATGGGCTGTCGCTTTCTCGGAGAGCATTCAGAGTGACGATTACCACGTCTGGTACATTGCTAATGAAGGCTTTTCTAACATCTGATACATCGAGGGGTGTGCCTATATGCTAGTTAGTTGAGACGGTCAAATCTAGTAGATATTATGAGACGCGTACCTTGAACAATGTTCAGGCCGGATCGCTCTTCCAAAGAGACAGGGTTTCGAATCAGTGCTGTGACTTGATGGTCTCTCTCTAGTAGCTCATTAATTACAAGCTTGCCTGTGCGGCCACTGCCTCCGATGGCAAGGAATCGCATCTTGAACGTAGTTCGGAGTCAGGGTTGAGAAGGATTGTTCGTGTTTGAGAGGTAAGCTGATCAAATTTGAATGAGATATTATAGTGGCTCCTAAGAGATACTCGTATCTTAAATATATTAGCTCCCAGCAAGTTTTCCGCCCGTTCAGTACCCAATTTCATGTCTATAGATGGTGCCTACTCCGGATCCGATGCTCGGATCCGGGTCGGAGAAGACGATCTCCATTATTATCTCCAGAATATTTGAAAATGAACAGCCTAGAAGGAAACTAGATAGCAGTAGAGATGGAATGAAGGCAGATGTTCGACGTCAATGCTCGGACAGAGTAATAAGTCTCAAACTTCGGCATTGAGAGGAAAGATATTTCACCACACTTAGGTTTAGTTTAAAGCATTTACTTGTATGTATATTTTGAGCAAGGTGACTCTTGTAGAGTATTACTAGGTATTAATTATCGCTTCAATTTTGGCAGGGGCAAGAGAGGGCGTAAGGAAGAGCGTAAAAAAGAGCCGAAGGTCATGATATAGTCGGGAAAAAGCATACTGGCATTTGGAAATCTTTAAATTTTGTCACCCAAAAAACAAGTTCAGATCGCTAACATATATCGATCTTTGTAAAAGTACTTAGTCGTGAAGACTGCAGGTCAATCGACTGCCCAGTACAAGGTGCTGTGGAATCTCCCCCACTGTGGCGACCCACATCGGCCACCATTTTCCGAACAGACAGTAAACCGGAGATGCCAGCGATTGGATCGGGGATTTCTCTGAATTCATTGCATAAAAAGAATCTGACTAAAACATCCTTCCAGCAGACTTTACCCCGCACTTCTATCGAATAGCTCTCTATCCAGTCGAGGCTCGGTATTTCAAATGACGGATAGCGTCGCTTCAAGGGCGCGAACGAAGACTGAAAAGATGCCAAAGTCCAGTGATCATCCGAGGTCTAAGCGACATGCAGTGATGGCATGTGTAGCATGTCGGGAGAGTAAAGTCAAGGTGACTATCCAACTCTAGTAATCAAGCGACAAGGCTAATTCTCACAGTGTGATGGTGACGGCAATGAGAAGTGCTCTAGCTGCGTGAACAAACAGCGCGAATGTCGATACCAGGCCGTGGACAAGAGAAAGTAAGTTTGAAACATGAGCTACCCTGGTATATATATACAAAGCTAATCAAATGCAGGTTGCCTTTGCGAGTTGCCATAGAGCTGCTAACAAGCAGGGTGAATCAGCTGTATTTATTCATTTATCAAAATGGATTAGAGCCCCCATGCATGCCGCAAGAAAAGGATGCGGCTCTAGCAAACGTCCTTGATATACTCGGGCTGACTGAATTTCACTCGGCCTCATCTCAGCTTGATGCCAGTCTCTCGAGAGCGACAGTGGCTGAGCATCTACCGTCTGATGCACCCACTTTGTTAAACTTCTCTACTGATCCGGGTATTACGAAAAATGCCGAGAAACTAAGAGATCACAGCTCTCCAGGAGACAGTTCCTGCGCTTCTCAGCCTGATATTGTTCATATCCCAGATCCTCAGACCATGCCCACATTGCCTATAGCTTCCAATGAGACGGCAAATATTCCAATCACAGATCCATATCCCCTGGATAACGCCTCTGATGCCTCCCTAGCCAATCTAGACTGGAGTCTGAATATCGGAACATGCATGACTCCACCATCTCCGGACATCCAGGGTCTACTTGGTTGCACCTCGTCGATAGAGACACTGGAGCGGGAATTGGAGGGATTACCGGACGCTATCGAACCCCCTGTCACCGATAATCCAGCCAGTCCTGACAAAGAGACAAGAAGTCCCGAAAGGATAGAAGACCTTATCGACGAGCTTTCTGATCGGGTGGGAACATTACGCTTCGGTCCTGAAGGACAACCTCATTTCTATGGTCCAACTTCGACATTCAACCTCCCGGATGCTCCCGTGGCTACTAAACCCCAGACACATCGCACCTTGGATTATCGTGACAGTGATGTTGATCCCGATGAAGAAGCCCCGCTAGCTTTGGAAGAGCACCTGCTCAATCTATATTTTACCTGGCAAGACCCATCGTTCCATGTGGTTGATCGAGACATGTTCGAGAAGGCAAGGAGGGCCTGGCATGGAAAGGAAGAAACGCCGTTCTATTCCGAGGCACTCTGCTACGCAATGTGGGCAGACTATCCGGGCCTCAATGAATACATTCCCGCTGACCACTACAAACAGGTGCTCCCTCGGTGCAGCTTTTGAAACGCGATATCACCCGTCATTCGTTACATTTCCAAAGTCTTTAGTGGAATACTTTGGAGACCGTGCGAAGGCCCTTCTTGAGATTGAACTGGACTCTCCCTCTGTAGCGACAGTTCAAGTACTAGTCATTATGAGTAGCCATGAGGTTGGAAACGGCCAAGATACTCGAGGGTGGCTTTACAGTGGTATGTCTATCCAATTCCAATATCGGACTTGACTGAATAACAATTCTAGGAATGGCTCTACGGCTTGCTTTTGATCTCGCTCTTCATATCGACCTTTCTTCATATGTTGCCCGTGGATCTATCACTGCTGCTGATGCGGAGCTACGCCGGACTGTTTTCTGGGCTGCATATATGGTTGACCAGTAAGTCTCCTTATAATTGCTCCTTCACTAGTGTTTCACACTAACTTTTATGCAGTCTTGTCGGATTCTATCTAGGCAGGCCTTTCTACACCAACATGGAGGATGTGACAGTAACCAAACCAAACACTGACACCCGCCACCAAGAACCTCCCAAATGGACACCATACGCATGTCCTATCTCATTTGGCAGCAACTACGAGTCATTAGACTTCATGGAAGCCGTGAGTGAACAAGAGGTTTCTCTTTGTGAGATTATGGCGCCTTGCGGCTATTTCCTGTATGTTTTCCGTTTCTCGTCTCCTCTCTTCCTCTCGTCCTTCGGCTGATATATGATATGATAAAAAGCTACGGAAGCTCAAGCATCTCAAAACTCCTCCTCCAGCAACTGAACGTCAAGGTCGTCGCCCGTCTCCTCGACTGGAAAGCCCAATTACCGCAATCCCTCCAAATAAACCTAAACGACCACACAACACCCTATCTCCCCCATGTCCTCCTCCTCCACATGCAATTTTTCCAAAATCTAATCCATTCCCACCGACCCTGGATGTCAAAAGACTACCTCCAGCCCCAACCACCCGTTGGACCAGGCCACACGCACGCACGAGAGATGTGCATACAATCCGCAATCTCCATCGCCAAGATCCTAGTCCTCTACGAAAAGCGATACACTCTCCGCCGGATAAACGTCAAAGCAGTCTCGATCACATCCTCTGCCATTCTGCTTCTTCTCTTTGCTGCCGTGTCACACTATCCACTCGCAAAGAATGAAGATATAACTGCCCACCTCGGCACATGCTTTAGAGCTCTTGATGAGTTCTCTTTGTCTTGGCAGAGTGCTAATAAAGTCAAAGATCTGTTGGTTAGATTACAGTATAAATGGGAGTTGAGGACTCGAGCTAGTAAGCAGGGTCGGGCTTCGGATGGGGATATTGATCCCCCGAGGAAGAGGTCGCGGACGGTGAATGGATCTGGAACTGGAACTGGGACTGGGACTTCAAGATCTGATGGTGGTATTTCACTTGCGCATCCTAGTCTTCGGGATTTACAGCCGGATTCTGGGTTGGGGTGGATGCTTATGCTTAGTGGGCAGCTTCCAGCTGACGGGGACGAAGATCTTTATTCTTTTGTTGCTAATACTGCTATTCCTGGGGTTGACTAGTCGCCGGATCTTTACCGAGTGTAATGTTAAAGCTCGAATGCTCGAGTCCATCAAAAGACAGCTGTATCTTCCTAGTTGGTAACTTCTTGTCCATTACTATAAAACACACATGTTGAGCCAGCAGCTTGGGTCCTTGTATAACAAGCTGTCTCCCACACGAAAGTCTGAGAGTGAATCTGGAGCTCTGTTTGCTTTGTCGTCTTACATTAGAGACTCCAATATATCCTTTTGCGGCGCCTCGCATGTATGGTGGAGCACCTTTAGGGCTCGGGTGTGAATCCTTCTCATCTGCGGGGAAAGGCAATTTCTTCTGCAGCTAAATCCTTAGTACATTAGGATTCTAAATGAGAACCTGTGTTTCCCTGGGTATTGCTGCGTAGTTTTCATGAAGGAGAAACAATTATTGAACTAGATAAAGTGAAAACAAAGCGAAGAGTGTAGTGAAAAGACGGGCTCTGGGGCTGCCTCGGGGAGTGGCTGACTAACGCGCCTTCCCCGAGTTTCGCGGGATTGAAGGTTCCCCTCAACTTGGAATGTTCCGGCTTTGATTTCGTTGCTCAACGAAGCTGTGATGGTCCTTAAAAAGTGTAGTATCTGTTCCAGGGTCTTCTCCAAGACCGAACATGTCAAGAGACACGAGCGGTCGCGTTAGTCACCTTCCAACCCCAATGAACATACCTAACGCGTGGAATAGATACCAAAGAACGCCCTTACCAATGCAATGTCTGCTTGAAGCGGTTCTCTCGTAGTGATGTCTTGAGCCGACATGCCAAGGGCCATGAGACTCAGCTCACTGCAACGGGTGGTCCATCAGATGCGTTAAATCGACGGTATTCTGCGATAGCCGCGTCACCAATGAATGCAGCTCCAGAAATCCCAGCCGTCGCCGAAGCGTATCAGCTTCCAAGTCTCTCTTCTACGCCGCAAGATATGCCACTCGTGCCGCATCATGCCCGCTCCGGATCAGAGCTCGGGGCAATGATGATTGACGAACGGCAGCCTTATTTCGGGTGGAATGAGGTCACTCCACACCAAGCACCTCACAGACCCAGCATGGCTTTCGATCCTGTGCCCAAGGATATGCTGCAACTGTGGTTGGAACCTCACCTGGTCATGTCCCCAGGCCAGCAGACTCAGCACTCAGCCGATAGTGCCAAATCGAGCAGCGACAATATCCCCACTGAACGATTCTACAAGGTCCAGCGGTGCTGGCCTGCACCAATCAACAGTGGACGACTCATCAATAACTTATGGCGAGATATTGCGTTTTCGGTGGAGGACAATGTCTTCTCCGTTCAGTCATTACATCTTCCCAGTGAGGTAACATTCACTCAAGGATCACGGTGTGGACTGGACGAGGACTGCAGACGACGACTACAGGCGGTGTTTGGCCGTAGGCCGGCAATGCATCCGCACTTGCAGTCTCCAAATAATGGAGGCATCTCCCCAGTCACGCCTGTCTCGGCTATGAGCCATCTGCCCGATTTCCCGCCTGCTGAGATCTTGGATATGGCACTCGACCTTTATTTCCGTATTTCTCTTGTTCCTTTTGTTCATTTGCCGACATTCTCAGCGAGGAAGACGCGACCCTCCCTCTTGTATGCCATGATTTTAATCGGCATGACGTTGCTTGACACCAAAGGGACAACTGATTTTGTCTCTCGGAATTTCACTGTAAGTTGTTTGTCATGGCCCCTTCGTTCATGGTATCCTAACAATTACATTTAGAGTGTCTTAGAGCAGGTTACAGCGGAGTTTTCTAGATGCACCGTAGGAGTTGAGAATGCCTCGGACACTATGACATTATTTGCGACAGCCTTGCTATTCCTGCATCTTCCTCTTTTGACAGGAGTATGACACTCCAGACCTGAGAATGATTTTTCGATACTGACTGTCGTTTAGGAAAAAGAGCATCTAGAGCAATGTCAGACATTATACGTGAACGTCATGACCGTGAGTGCAAGACCTGTACATAATTCTACATCGTTTTAACAAATTTGATAGGTTTCCCAAAGACACGGCCTCTTTACTGGGGGCCAGGTCCTTGACATGAGCCTATTCGAGAAATTTGCCGATCTCGATATGAGATGGAAAGCATGGAGCAAGGTTGAGTCAACCAAAAGGTGAGGCATCGCCCAAACACAAAAACGTACAACTAACCAGTCCACCAAGGATCATCATTGGACTTCTCCTCTTGGACTCTTGCTACTCATCCTTCCTCTCAACAAGCCCAATAACAAACCCCGACACAATCCAACTCATTCTCCCTTGCGGCGACGACCTCTTCAACTCTCACTCCTCCCACCGCTGGACGCAACTCATCCGCTCCGGGAAACGTATTCTTTCCACAACAATCAACGCGCCATCTGAAAACACCAACATCCCCAACCTCGAAAACCCCACCGAAGACTTTTGCATCCAAGCCATCCTCGCAACCGTCCAAATCCGCCAATCAGAAGCTTACCACCGCCTCCTGTCTAACAGAGCCAGCTACCCCTTCGCACCATGCCACACATACGCCATGGATGGCCGAGCAAGGTGTCTCCCCTCACTCCAATTCCAACTCATCACGAACTACGGGGAAACCTTCGACCGCCTGAGTCCTAATGCTCTCATCATGTGGCATCATATGTGCATGATGTTAACAGCCGATATCCAAATATTCGACCTAGCTGCGGGCCGTGCTGGCCCACTTCCAGCGCGCAAAGCCCTCGATCAAATCGCCGAGTGGGCACAGACCCCAGCAGCGCGACGGGCTTGTCTGCATGCTGCGCATATCTACAAAGCTATGACGAACCGCAAAGCCTCCGACCATCCTATCTTCCACTCCCTCCTCTCCTGTTTCTCTGCTGCATTAGTACTGGGTCTGTACACATTCATGGTTCCCGACTCCGCGAACACGACAAGTATTGGCTCTGTGGAATTGATGGATGATGTTGACTGGTGCTCGGTGGGCACCGAAGGTTTCACGAGTTTCATGGAGCCTGGAGGCAGTCAGGGTTTCGCCCCTACCGATGATCCTGCTGTGAACTTCATTCGAAATGGATCGACTGTTTACTTGCGGGGCACGTCTTTCCATGGTGGATATCAGTCTGCTCGAAGGGTTCTTCTTGATTATGCTTCTCTTCTTAAGGATTCTGGGAAGTGGAGTGTGAAAAAGTTTTCGCATATTCTATATATAATGAGTGATGTCCTTATGGACCTGGAGTGATGATACCTTTACCACTTTTGGCTGGAGTATCAAGCAGCGTTTGTTTCTGTCCACATGTACGTTAGCCGGGGAGGCTATTTCTGTGCTTTAGTTTAAGACGAACCTGACGAATTGTACGATTTACCTGCTATACCATGCTCTCCGACGTAATCCATATGGCTAACTAACCAACTGTATATTTACACTTTTGTCCACCATTAGGTATATATATACGAGCAAACTATAAACACCAACAGTAGCAACCCCTCATCTATACAAAATCCCCTCGACCATCTCCCCAATGGCCAAACAACTAGTCAATCCAGGACTCTCAATCCCCAAAAGATTCACAAACCCCGGCAAACCCTCCTCCTCCCTAATAATGAAATCCTGAAAACCACTCCCCTCATTAACAGCCCCACCCCTCCCCAACTTAGGCCGAACACCGCAATAATCCAACGAAATAGCATCAACATCGACACCAGGCAAATAAGCCCGAATCTCAGGCAAAGCCCGCTCCAACCTAGCAGCACTAGGAACAAGATCATCAGCGGCATCAACCCATTCAACATCAGGCCCAAACCGAATCCGGCCACCCATATCAAGCGTCAAATGCGTCCCCAACCCCCCAGTCCCAGGCATCGTAACCGGATAAACAAGCACATTCGTCTTCGGCCGACTAGCCGCATAAGAAAAATAAGTCCCCTTAGCATAATGCGGCACGAAATGCCGTTCAGCAGGAAGCAACATATTACTGATCTCGCACGCCCCATGACCAGCCGAATTAACAAGCGTCTCAACCGTAATGCACGTCTCAGATCCGTCTTCGTCGCTCACAGCAGTCAGTTTATATCCGCCCTTCCCACCGTCCACAGGCTCGACCCCCGTCACCCGCGTCTTGAACGCGATGTCCCCGCCCCGCTCTTCGAATGATCCTTGTAGGTATGTCATTAGTGAATGGCTATCTACAATACCGGTCGTTTCGGATTCCAGAATCCCCGCGTCGGCTCTGACGTCCGGTTCGCGGTGACGGGCTTCATCGCGGCTTATTGGGCGTGTGGGTGCGTCGAGGGTCTGCGAGTGCGCATGTATCTTTAGGGCTGCTTCCCATTGCTCTGGGGTTTGGGCTACGATCCATTTCTTGGTGTTTCGGTGGGGGATGTTGTTCTTTGCGCAGAGGTCGTAGAGGAGGTTGCGGCCGTGGATGCAGAGTGTTGTCTTTAGGGAGGTTGCCGGGTAGTAGAGGCCTGCGTGGATTACCTGTTTGGATTGGTTGGGTTAGATTGGAGGTTGGAAGTCGGGGTGGACCGGTCTAGTGGGCTGTTGCTAACCTCGGAGTTGCGACTGCTTGTCTCGGTTCCTGGCGCATCGTGTCGCTCCAGTAGGATGGTTGATGTACCCTCCCGAGCTGCGAGTTGTCGGGCAGCAGCGAGGCCGACGACTCCTGCACCTATTACCTGTTGGTAAACGAGTTAGCTAGGGTTGTTCATTGCTTTGTATGCGGGTGCGGCCGGGGGAGGAGGGCATACTGCATGCGTGAAGTCGGCGTTGGTGGCTCGGGTGCTGGAGAAATGGCGCCTGAAGCTCGGAGCCCGTATATTAAGGAAGGAACGTGAATACATTTTATATACTTCACAACCAGATGAGAGGGGACGCTCTATATTATAAGTGAGTAAAAGAGTAAAAGGTAGTGAGGAGCTTGGATGGCGCGATCCCGCGGCCAGATGTGCTCAACTCCACTGATAAGAGATAAGTTTATTTTGTTGACATTTTGGTTATATTAGCTATATTGGCTATATTGGTTATGTTACATTGGTAAATGCATTGAATGTTATATTCAAGGGATATCTAAAATGTATGAAGATGGGACGTACATCTATCCGATATGCAGGTCTACCGCTTGCTGCTGTTCTTAAGCATCTCTTCCAAATGCTAGGCAAGTTAGTGAACAATACCTCGGAGGACACAATGTGGACACTCACCTGCTTCTGTTCAGTTGCTAATTTGCCTTGGGTATCCTAGATATAATCAGCATACCCCCTCCTATACGAAGGGAAGGCAACATACACTTATGATGGTTAAAATCAATGAATAATTGTTGAAGAGGAAGCGCTCTCGTCGCTTGGCGTCCGTGCCGTTGCGACTGAGTTTCGCCAAGAGTGAGTCAAACTCGGCAGTCAACCGAGCAAGACTGTTGGAAACCGGCTCATCGTCACCGGCATCGCTGCTAAGAACAAGGATTCCATGGAGAAGCTGGCCAAACCGCTGGGTGAGGAAGTGCGGTGCCGAGGACTGCTTGAGGTCGTCTCCGCCTGCGATCGAAAGGGCAGAAACAGCACTGCGTCCTGTGTTGGACCCAACGCGTTTCAGCGACTCACCATGGTGGTCCATGACCACCTGGAAACGTGGCCAGAGCTGCATATTGATTCCATTCACATATGAGTCGGCTACTGGCACCTTGCGGCGCTGGAGCTCGAAGGCGGAATGCTGGTTCAGGCGAACGCACATTAAGACACCCAGAGAATCAGTGGTCTGTTCGATAAGCCTCTTGGTGAGGTTCTGGCCAAGAGTAAAGACCTGCTGGAAGATCTCCACCGCATTGCGAGAGATTTGATGGAAGGTTTTGGCGGAGAAGAACTCCGTCAGGAAAGAATACTCGGCACACACGTTGTCTACCAAGGCCAGGTTGAAGTTTCGAAAAGGGACTTCAATCCCATGGTAGTTGTTGTCTTCTTCGGCTAGATATGAGGATAGAGCTTGTAAATTGCCAGTTCGGAGGATATCAACTCGTCTGCCTAGAGAGAAAGGATCATGTGCGGCAGAGCCAGCTCGGCCACCGGGTAGGATGTTTCCTATAATTATCAGCATGTAGTTGGCTTGGCAGAGACAAAGCACCAACCGGTTCGATGGGAAGAGGGATCTCCTCCGAGCACCTCATTGCGGTCAGGAGGGTACACCTTGACCTTGTCGAGTGCTTGGAGGTAGCGTGTGAAATGAGATGTGTAGTACCAGCGCATTGTATTGATATATGCCTGTGAGATCTCTCCAGCCAGCTTCGGATGAGTCTTTGAGAGATAACTATAGAGATCTTTGAACTTGACCAATCGTTGTTGTTGGATAATCTGTGAGTTGATGTTAGGGGATCGCATCGCCCGGATTTGCGATACCAAGTAATCTCTGATTCTTTCGATCGCCTTTATACAGTTAATACAGATTCGTCTGCTTGCACGCAACCAACACTTACCTTGTTTTTCACATCAATCAGGAGTGGTCGCACATCCTCAATTGCCTTAAAGCCATTGGCAGATGATGCCTTGGATTCAATGTTTGTCGTTCGAGTATCAATCTCGTTCAGAGCACGTACCCAATTCTCGTCGATGGGGCCCTCGGCGATTGTCCGCACAGCTTTAGGGGAGATACTGATCTCTTCCACGGCGGGTCCTAGAAGCCGTTCCACATTTCGCCTGTTCTCCAGCATTGCATTGAGCTGTGTAGAGCGGGATTGCAGAGTCTCGATCTCTGCCGATACAGCGCCCAGTTCAGTCTGGAAGTCATTCAGATACAGCTCGACTGACTTGGACACCTCATCACAGCCCGTGATGGAAGTATGTAATTCCTGGAACTTGTCTCGCTCTTGTTCAAACTGCTGAAGTGTTTGTGCATTGACATCGCTATCCCGGGTCTTCTTCCTCGGTTTTTCTTCCTTTGTCAGAAAGTCCTCAAGGCTGAGCCCATCGAATTGAATAATTTCCACTAGCTGTGCAGGCTTCTCTAGCTCCAATAACTGCGACTCATTTGTCTCTGTCTGGTTTTCCTTTCCAATGATGCTATTTAAGACTTCCAGCGGGTCGGGAACATTGGCAGGTCGCGGTCGTTGGATGCTTGTCTGCTTCAATGGAGAGCCATTGGCTGTCCGTGCAGTTCCTGGAAGGGATGCGGTGGAATCATTCGGGGTCACGAGGAGCGATGTAGAGGATGTTTTGGAAGTTACCCCCGGCCGGCCATAGGGACCTGGGAGAAGCTGGGATGAGGTTCGTCGGGGTAGGGGAGAGAGGTTTCGGCTATTGGTTGGCGTAGACTGGCCTGAAATGCGGTCGCGCCACATAGTGCAGGATCATCAGATCATGAGAAAAGCCGAAGGAAGGTGAAGTGAAGCAAGTAACTTAACATGGTCATTCTACGTGTTGCATATCCCAAAGTGACACTAAACCCAATCGGACCTAGCGTCGCAACACCCCTCGTCTCCGCCACAACAGGCAAAATCCAAAAATTCTCTCCCGATCTCCTCTTTTTCCTTCCCCTCCCCATCCTAATTCCTTCTATCCTTCCTACCTCCCCTCAAATCTATTCACCATGTCTGCCGAGGAGGTACGTTCTTTCTTGTCTCGCGATTTTTTCGTCTAGCGCTGCTTTTTCGTCAAGCCCCGCATGCGGCTTCCCCTCTCTTCGCACGAGACTACCCTGGGCTCATCACCCCGCTCAATCTGGAAGATTTTGAAGTTGGAAACTAACACGATCTGCTGTAGCACGATGTCACCTTCGAGTCGGCTGATGCCGGAGCCTCGCTCACCTTCCCCATGCAGTGCTCTGCTCTGCGCAAGAACGGCCACGTTGTGATCAAGAACCGTCCCTGCAAGATCATTGACATGTCCACCTCCAAGACTGGCAAGCACGGTCACGCCAAGGTTCACCTTGTCGCCACCGACATCTTCACCGGCAAGAAGCTTGAGGATCTCTCCCCCTCCACCCACAACATGGACGTCCCCAACGTCACCCGCCGCGAGTACCAGCTCGTAAGTGTTCCAAATCATAGTTGAATTGGAACTTATAGACTAACAAATATTAGCTCGACATCACCGAGGATGGCTTCATGTCCCTGATGACCGACAACGGTGACACCAAGGACGATGTCAAGGTTCCCGACAACGAGGTTGGTGAGAAGATCAACCAGATGTTCACCGTTGAGGAGAAGGAGTGCAGTAAGTGACACTTTTTCAATTGCCAAGTATTATTACTGATCGATTCTAGACATTGTTGTCCTGACCGCCATGGGTGAGGAGGCCGCTATGGAGTGCAAGGAGGCTCCCAAGTCCGGTTAAATAACCTGGACATGTTGCTTGTTATGCCAACCTTTATGTTCCAAAAGGGCTAAAACCCCCCAAAAATTCATCTTTCATGGTTCAACGGACGGATACGATTCCTTGAACGATATCACCGTTGCTTCAAGGTCTGTCCATCACGTAACCTTGGATTTGGGCTGGACCAAGAATTGCTTTGGTTGGCATGATGTGTGTTGTCCGAACAGTTCTGAGTCTCAGCATCTCATGATAGTGTGACGAATAAATACTCTTGCTTGACAATATATGAGATGTAAAACTCTGCTTAAAGACCTAGATCAATCAAACCACATGAATATGAATACACTTAAATTAACTAAACTACCTAAAACACTTTAACCACTTAGAAACCAATGACGACTGGAGGATTACGATCTCCAAATCTTTGCAAAGTGGAGCGTCAGAATCGGCGGTCACCTGGAGGGCAGAAAAAAGTTCCGCCTCAATATACCCTTCTCCGTCAATGACATGAACAACTCCCTTGATGGAATACGTTACCCGAGGGGTTTGCGGTCAAGAGGGATGCCGTGAGACGCGATACTATCTCGACAATGGTCTTTGGTATTGTCGGCGCGGTCACTTGCAAGCGGTATGACGTCTTCCTTCGATAACCATGAACGCGCCAGATATCAGATGGTAGTGGGAGATTTCAACTGATGGAATAACGCATAGGGCGTCCAAGTCGCAGACGATGCAGATGATTTCGGAAATCTAGGCAGACTACATCGCGTGAAGAAGGAAGCCAAGGAGAAGACGAGCAAGAGTATGTATTAGCCATTTCATCTAAGGAGCTTATCGCTGACTTTCGGGAAAAGCACTTCGTGGCCGTGCGGCATATACGCTTCTCTTGCAATGCTATCAACTCATTCTTTGGAAGCAATGTCATGCCTTGGTTCATGAACAGGGCTTCCCAGAGGAACTTGAGGTGTGTGCAACAGTCTCCCTTTGACATGCATGAAAGCTCATCATATATCAGGTTGTTGTTCGTGATCTCTGGGCTCTTCGACTCCAGGACTTCACATTGAAGATCACTGATACTGAAGATGACGATGATACTGAAAATGAAGGTTTCAGCTCGCAGCCTGGAGAAAAAGATGGCTCTGGAGAAATTGGATTCAAACCCGATTCAAGATATGTCGAGTGGCCTCGTCTGATTGATTCTCTTGCAACATGTTATCTAGCTGCATTTTTGATGCGGCTTCCTGTCTGCGTCAGTGACTTCCACGAGTATGTATATTCTATCTGCCTTTGAGCTTTTTCTACGATCTATACTAACCCTTCCTAGGATGATCATGCGCCAGGATGTTCCTTTTGCGCGAGTCCTGGCCACCGTCCCTCGAGAAATGAGGGACAAGCTTCCTCCAGAATTGACTGGGATTCTTGAAGTCACTGTAAGTTAGCCTATCTGGAATGGATTTGCTCATGTCTACTAACCTTGTTTAAGAAACTCCCCACACCAGAGCGGTTCCATCATAGTGTCCTGGAAACAGCGGTGTTCTACCAACGCCGATTTGGAATGGCGCTTCCTGCTCTGAATTCGCCAATGGTTCTTTGCCGGCTGATCAAAAGATTAGCCTTGCCTAGTACGACATCCCACCCCCGTGATCAATGTTTCTCTAGCTAACACATTATAGTCGAGGTATATGAAGCAACCAAAACCTTACAAGACCTCCTTGGTTTCACATACAAATATCCGATACCAAGCTCAAAATATGCCCGAAAAGGGCCACTTAATTTCCCCGATCTGCAAATGATTGTACTCATTGTCATTGCAACAAAGCTCCTCTTCCCATTTGATGATTTGAAAAGATACCCCATAACCAACAAGGAACCCGCAGCACAGACCATGGACTGGCCTCTATGGGCACGCGCTCAGAAACATTACGACCATGATCCGCGATTTGTCAACAAGATTGGAAAAGGAACCGCCCTCCAGGTCACAGACAAAGATGTGATGGACATGACTTCTACCCAATTGGACAACTACATGGATTGGTACGAAAGCAGCTGGCTAGATACCTCCAGAGCCCCGGATCGCCTCGCTGAGCTGTTCCCTATCAGTCGAGCAGAACCGGATATTCAACCAGCTCCAACCGCCGCTTCGGAATCATCTTCAGCCCCTGAAACTGGTTCAATAAACTCAAAGCTCGACATTTTACTACAAACCGTCATGCAAGATATGAGAGCCAGACGGGTTATCCCTGAGGAAGATGAAGGAGCCAAGCGTCCCGGCCAGTGGTATCGTCGATATCGATGGGAATCCCAGCTCAGTGATTCTGCACGGGCTTTCTATGAACTTGCTGCCAAGCTTGCTGCAGTCCCATTGAAAACTCTTGTCCGTAGTGTGTCACTTGTTGAACACAGGATCGCAAAACTACAAGAGGACCAGGAGCGCCGGGAGTACTACAAAAGAGAGGGGATTGAGTTTGATGAAAGCGTTGATGAGGATGAGGCGCCACAGTATGAATCGGATGAAAGCACTGACCCAATCAATAAATTGGACGAGCAGCTATATGCGATGGACGTTGATGAGGAATTCTGATGTATCACAGGCACGGCGTTGGGGCTGGATATTGTATTTGGCGTTTACCATGAGTTATTTTAAGTTCATATCATGTTATTTCAGCAAGCATGCTTTCAAGGCTTAAAGAATCAGCTCAACAATCATTCATCCGCAACAAAACCAGGTGTACTACAGAATTGTAAACCTGGAAGTACACAATTGTAACCTGATTGGATCTGGTCGACCCGAGACCGGGGTTCACGTGACCTATGACGAAACAGGAAGCAGTTAGGGCTTAGGGTAACCCAGATCGGTCCACCTTTGCTAAGCGAGCGAAATCCTCAAATTGACAATCGACTGCTCCGCCTGGAACACAGCGACCGACAGCCGACACCAACGAAAAATCGCAACCAGTACGTGCCTTGAACCCCGTTGAACAGCATCTATGCATTGCTATGAATTCACCATGCTAACATCGTCTTTTTCCGCGCCTTTCCAGTGCAGATGTAGGTCATCCTGAATCCATATGTCATCATGAACCCGCGAACCACTTCCGACCGACGCGATCCCACGAGAAGGAAATTTGGACATGGACTAATACGCCTGGATATAGTTTCGTCAAGACCCTGACGGGTAAGACCATTACCCTCGACGTCGAGTCGAGCGACACCATCGACAACGTCAAGACCAAGATCCAGGACAAGGAGGGCATTCCCCCTGACCAGCAGCGCCTGATCTTCGCCGGCAAGCAGCTCGAGGATGGCCGCACCCTGAGCGACTACAACATCCAGAAGGTATGCGAACGCCTTTTTCAATCTTTGTGATAACGACCAGAAGTGGGGACTTTGGGTATTCTCGGGTTGGATCGGATTTCTTTGTTACAAGTCGACAGACAAAACACTATTATGCCCGCCGAATACGCAAGAGGAGGAAACCAAATCGCTTCACATTGTGGTCTTCAAATGCGCTGGAATAGTGGCTGACTTGCGATTTTTCTCGTTCTATAGGAGTCCACCCTTCACCTGGTCCTCCGTCTCCGTGGTGGTATCATTGAGCCTTCCCTCAAGGCCCTCGCCTCCAAGTACAACTGCGAGAAGTCCATCTGCCGCAAGTGCTACGTACGTTACTACCCCGCGTCATCCGCGCGCGCTCGAATCTCCTGGAACTACCCCTCCAAGGCGCGCTCCGTCAACATCTATACTAACGTTGACTAGGCTCGTCTCCCTCCCCGTGCCACCAACTGCCGTAAGAAGAAGTGCGGCCACACCAACCAGCTCCGCCCCAAGAAGAAGCTCAAATAAGCGACTCGCTCCTCGGTGTTGTGCTCGGTGTGCTGTGGTGCAGAATCCAGTGCAGGGGAATGGCTGGGCTGCTACATGGAGAGGTTTACAAATGGCGTTAGATATGATGAAACAATCAATGCAGCCTCAGTCATACTGTTCTTAGTTGGCTCCTCTCGACGACCAAAAGTGCACTCCATGAAATGAAATGTGTAAAATTTCAAAAATAACGAATTGTTACTTCCATTGCAATCGATAAATACACGGGTACAATACATTGCATGCTTTGAACATGAAACATGCCTAGAATTCTCGAAGCGTTGCTAACCCTGCTGCCTGAGCAAGACTGATGGAATGACCAGTATTCCAGACCCGAATATTCCCCCACTTATGCCCTGAACATCATCCCCCGCTTGGCGTCAGTCTTGTCATCAGCGGCTGGCTCCTTGTTCTTGGAAACAGGGCTTCCGTGCCTAGTAAATCGGTCAATTAGCTGTCCTTCCGACTCAGTAGATAAAAGGGACATAGGAATGAACTCACGCAAAGAAAAGCACCTTGATAGCAATAGCCAAACCAGCATGCAAAACAACAACCAAGATCAGAAGAATCTTGCTAGCTTTCGCATCCGTAGCATTCAGCACAGGATAAAGATTCCTCAGCAAGAAAAACACCGTCCAAGCAAATCCAACCCCAACAAGCGCCCAGTTAAGCGCCGTCAACGGACTCCAGCTAACAAGCGCAACACCAATCCAAACCAGATTGGAATACCCATACAGAGCCCAGCACTCAATAAGATCAGCCGTCGAGCTTCCAAACCAACGCAGCGCTCCCCACAGCGCAATAGGCAGAATACCAGTGTATCCATAGATCAACCCGGCAGCACCAGACAACAAGGTAAAGTCATACTCGAAATGCTTGTCGTCATTGTTCGACAGCCATTGCGAGATCGTGCCGGTCAAGAATAGAATCACGACCACCGTAGTCGCGATCCAGATCGGCCCGTATAGGTCTGCGTTGCCTTCCAGAACATCCAGGAAATTGGTGCGCGGGTACAGGGCTGCCACGCAGCGCCGGAAGACTTCGTTCGTGTCGACGTCGAAGAATTGCTCGTAGTAGTGCATCGACCACCAGCTGTGCTTGGTTGGCGTGCCGCCAGGGGACCGGTCCCGGCCGCGGGATGAGCTGCCGCCGCCCAGGAACGGGGCGTGGTCGCCTTGGGCTTTGGCGGTTCTTTGGTCGCTTTCGAAGTCTGGTTGGGAGGGGGTGGGCTGGTTAGAGAAATGTGCTGTGGTGAGCTTCCGGGGGTGTAGTTCTGGACTCACTGGAAGGGTGGAATTCGAGGTCCTCTTGCAGGTCGGTGTGTCCGAGGTCGCCCTGTTGGCGGGTTAGATGGATTATTTGGGATATTGGGTTATTTCGCGCTTACCTCTGCGTCCACGTCGACTACGACGTCGTATCCTCGGTTCGCCATTGTGGTTGGGTTTGAAGGGAGCTGTTGGAAGGGGAGTTGTTAAGTGTACACATCAGCTTCCGCAGATAAGTCACCGCTCAGCCACAGCTGCGGGTACATTGCCGTGTCTTTACCAACATTAGTGACCTCTACCGTATATTTGAAGTTGATTAATTGGCCGGTTTGTTTTGTGGAAAGTGTTCATTAGCAGAATTAGATTGTATTGTTACTTTTTAGATGACTTCTTCATAATTATACACGCGGTAAACACCAAGGTAATACTTATGTTCATTGAAGAGAAGAAATCCACCTCCGAATCACTTTTTGAACTCGAGCAGCATAGGACAAGATAGCATTGTCCAATCCCTTCTTTCGGAGGTAGATGGACGCCGCTCCAACCAAAATAGCCAATGCCACAGAGCCAACAGAGCGACGATGGCTCCACATAAAGTCGAGAGCCTGTTTCTTGCGCTCCTCATAGCGAAGCTGTCGGGTCTGTTGATCAAACAGATACACTGCATCTTCTACTGCATATTCTTGATATGGATCTCGTGAAGTTTTGAGCACGCTGCACCAAGGAATATGTTTCCAAGCACCGAGCGGCAAGGATTCTGGTGGGTGGTCCTTGAATAGCTTTGTCGCATTCTGGATGTGGCCATCCAAATCAAGCGGGTTTGGGAGCTTGGAAAGTGTGAAGTGGAGCATTTCAGGTTCGTCTTCGGGGATGCCTAACAGCTCTTTCTTCCTCGACAGGATCATTGCTGCAAAAAGGTAGATTGCAACGACAGGTTCCCGGGCTAGAAGGAAGTCAAAAAGTCGAGCAATGTTGCTGTATTCTTGGATGTCATGGGCGTAAAGAGTAAGAGTGGCTGCGAGAGCGAAGAAGGGTTGAATGTTGCCAAGGTGCCGCCATAGTTCGGAGTCTGTTGTTTCGATGATGGCAGGAATTAAGTGCAAATGTTTCACGGCTGGTGAGAGTGATGGAAGCATGTAGTCTCTGATGCGGAAGAGAGAGATTTGTGCCACAGCTGGCAGGGCCTTCTTCTCGCCCAATACCAGAAGAAGAACTTGGACTATGTCGTGATATCCTTGGAAATAGCATAACATTGGATAGTTCCTAAGGACTTGGGTGATCAATTTTGATAGTTGATTTTTCTTGTTTAGAAGTTCTGCTTCCGGCGCTATAGATCGAGTTAGTCATAACGTTCATAGTGTTTATAGACTGATACGAACATTTTGGATAGTAAACGAATGACCTGTTGACGTCGAGTTCTACCTGATCTTCATCAACATGCCGTGCAAGCTCATCACTTGGAACAGGTTCGTCATGTCGTGATTTTTCATCGCATCGTAAAAGAATGGGCCCTGTTTGTTGGTCAACGTCCGCACTGCTTTCTTATTCGGCCGACTTACATGCTACTTGCCGCAATTCATCCTCTAACAACCCGCCTTCGGACGTTGCTAATGACGCTAATGCTTCTAGATCACGCGAAATGCAAGCTTGACGAATAGCTTTCGCCTTCTCTGCTTTGGCAATCGCTATTTGTTGTGATCTCGAGGATGGCGTCGACTCATCCGTCTCATTAGAGTTATCAGAGTCCATGCCTTCCAATGAAGCAGTGGAACTCGCATCTTTCAGTTCCATTTCAGAATGTTCCATCCTGGTTGGTTTTAAGGGGGCTGCTTCCCAAAGGCTTTGTTCGACCGGGATCAACGACAGCCAGCATGCATGCACAGCAAGCAACAAATGTTAAGCCTGATTTGCTTTTTCAGACGAAACTTGCGATAATGACGTTGCTTTTCCGGCGACACTGCTCAGGTTATCGACAACTGGTCGATATAGATCGAGTTTGGTCTCTTCACCTTCTGACACAATCATGCAACGGCGTGTTGAAATGGCTTCAAGCCAAGAGAACACAACACAGGCCTTCGCTTTCAGCTCGATGCGCATACATCCAGATGTGGAGTGAGAATGCAGAAGGCGGCAGCGCAGACCCTCCCGTCCAGTGGCCTGAGGCACCACTCGGCAACGTGACATGATTTCGACAACATCACCTGTGCTGCGCTGGGGGTCTGCATACGATCGCTTTGCGAGTTTGATCGCATTCCTTAGGCACAAATGTGCTTAGTGCTGCAGACTCAGTCTCCCTGAACTAGTCGATTTCTCCTCGGTGGTGACAGCCCAGGCATTGCGGAGCTTGTGGGCTTCGGCGTTGAGCATTTCCTAGGGACAACGTGAATCTGGCTAACAGAGCCTTCACATCTGCTTGGAGCTTAGGAACCAATGCAATAGGTTACAGCCAATGCCCATAGGTCTCTTTGGTTCTTTGATACCTAGGAAGAGGTCCGGCCAAGCTGTACGTCGAGCATCGGATTGTCTTGGGAGGTACTGTTAACACAGAGACCAACGGGGCTTGTCTAAAATACCAATATTTGCTGCTGGGACCAGGCATATTGAGGGTTGCATTTGCGTTCATCCAATCTCTGCGCAATTGCACCAATATCGAATGTCCCAGTTCATGGATTGCATTTGATATACCCTAGGCGGTATCAATTGAGACAATATCTGGAGTGCGCCTTCCTCAAGCCTACTAGGGTCTGGGGCTGATAACCGGTCACCTGGGCCTGTTGATTTTGCATCCTTGGGCAGCGCAGCGCGTCTTCGATCTCGCGTATTTCTCGCACTCGCGTCTTCGTTCCTTTTATCCCCGCACTCTGTTTACCTTCATCTTCTGGTTCCCTGAACATTTTGCTCTGGTACTCTGCTCTCATACTCTACTCTCATACCCTGCTCTCGTACCTTGCTGTCATACCCTGCTCTCATATCCGTTCCCTGTGTGTTCTCATATCGTTCCCCAACCGTTTTGCCCCATTTGCTTTTCATACATTCCAAGTCACCATGTCCGACGTGGCTGATGCTGGGGCTAACCCAGAGCCGATGGAGGTGACAGGGCTTCTAACCCAGCCCATCCTCCCCAGCCCTATCATCAACTGGATACTCCCCGCGCGTGTTCGAAGCAAAGAGCACAACGACGTTGTCTTTGTCGGCGAGAGGCGTATTCAGGTCAAGGAGGCACTCCCCAGTGGAAATCTCGCAGATGTCTTCGAGAAGAATGACCTTACTGGCTCACCTCTTGGGGCCAAGGTTATTAACGTCGGCACTCAGCTGCCTTGGGAAACCCAGGGAGCCCGCTCATCCCGGTCAATTGGACGCATGGAAGCAGAGACTCTAGCCCCTCAGATCCTATTTCTCGCGTTGGATTCGAACGAGCTGCTCTTTATGTACTGCGCTGCAGGAAGAGAAGATCCATTCGTCACTCACTACCGACCACTACCCCGCGATGTCAATACCTCTGAAAAATATGGCCGACACATCGCGGTTGACCCGAAGTACGTATCATCTTCGAGTTCTGCTATTATTGAAAGCTAACAGAATTAGGTCACGCGCGGTCGCAGTCAGTGCATCGCGTAATTTCTTCGGAATTATGTGGTTGAATTCTTCCGATGACCTCCAGCTGCAGATGATCCAGGGAAGACTGCATCCAATTCAATCGGTACGCTGCGTTTGCCCTTCAAACAGGCTGGACTCTAATAATCTTCAAACAGGAAAATTTTCTTAAAGTGAACGGCGATATCTTGTTCATGGAATTCCTGTATCCCAAAGCCATCGATGACAAAAGAATAATCCTACTTCTTATCATTCACACAGAATACACAACTCAGGCTCTGTTCTATGAATGGGATGAGCTTCGCATGGACGAGCGCCTTTCTCCCAACATCACAACCATTTCTCTGCCTGCACAAGACTTCCTACCTACCATGATTGTTCCCTTGGCCAAGGAATCATCATTCCTGCTCATCACCACAACATCCATGGCAATGTACACACCTCATAGCATGAATCGCCCTATGAGATACCCACCCATCATCCCCGATACCGATCCTTCTCAGATCGGGCTATGGACCCGCTGGGCAAGACCTTCGCGAAATTGGCTCTACAGCCAGCGATACGATGGTATCTTTTTGTGTCGAGAGGATGGATGGATTTATTATCTCGAGTTTGGCAATGAGGGTGAACTTGAAACCCAGACCTCTCTGGGTCAGCTCCACTGTGATGTTGACACTGCATTCGATGTTTTGGATATGGGCCACGAAGGTGGCGACTTCATCCTCGCTGCTGGAAGCCACGGTGACGGTGGGCTGTTTGTCCAAGAGGCACGAGACCACCCGAGATGTGTCCAGCGTTTTCTCAACTGGGCACCGGTCACCGATGCCGTTGTTGTGCCTTCATACTCCGAAGACCCCTCCAAAGCTGATCAAGCTCATGATCGGCTATTCGTCTGTTCTTCCTCTTCTACGGGAAATGGCGCGATTACTGAACTGCGATATGGAGTCGAGGCTCAGGTTGGCGTTGCCGTCGCATTGGGTGAATTTTCGAACATTCGTGATATGTGGGCGATGGCAAAGGAGATGACTGGCGAAATTTACCTCATGATTACCGATCCAATTTCCTCGTTGCTCCTTCACACTACTTTCGACTTGAAAGACGGAATTTCTGCCCTCCAGGATGGTATTGGCTTTGACACTGAACAGACCTTGGCAACAGGCTCTACGCGTAGTGGTTTTGTCGTTCAGGTCACAGAAAGAGCCACATACATTTCTAAGCCAGATGATCCTTCCTCCAGTCAATGTGTTCCGCATGACCCTTCTCATGTTGTTACTGCAGTTACAGTTGATAAGGCAGACTCTCTGATTATCATGACTGTCAGCAGCCCAAGTGGGATGTTCCTTCGTCTCGTTAAGATCCTTGAAAACGCTTCTTTGTGTCATCCTGTGGATCCAGTTCCTCTCCAGAAAGCGCCCATCTCTATCTTATACCAGACTTGGGGCACGACTGGGCTTATCTTCCAGGGCACCAGTGATGGCACAGTGCTAGTTTTCCACGTCAGCAACGACGGTTTTTGTGTTAATCAACTCGCCAAAGTTAGTATCTCAGTCGATGTTGAAGACGACATATCAAGAGCAATCGACAGTCTTGCTGTTATTCGCATGTCCACGGGGCGTGAATCCAGTGCATTCCTTTTCTGCGGTCTTCGAAGTGGCATACTTGTGCCATTTGAGATAAAAATGAACGGCTTTGGTCTTCATAGTGGGTCGTTCTCTATTCGGGGCCATCTTTCACGTTTCTAACAGATTTTGCTCTCTAGGTCTGGATCAACAAGCACCAAGACATATTGGGAAGACCTCAATAATGCTCAAGGCTATAGAAACTTTTGCCTTGTTCACATGTGGCGGTGAGCTCTGGCGTATTTCATACGCCTCCGACAGCAATCCCTCTGATTATTTCCTGTCTCGCGTCTGGATCACCGATCAAAGCTGGGTAGGTCTAACCCATCCATTCCGTCCTTGATCGTGACTGACACTCACGTCAGCCCGCATATTTCCCTACCGCCATTTCCAGCTTTGACCTTGTTGCGGTAAAGGATCCGGAGACTGGCTTCACAAGTGTAGTCTTGTTCTGCTTTGCCGACGATAACCTTCTAGTCTGTTCTCTGGATCACGAGACCAAAACTGTTCCACGGCGCATTGATGTCCCAGGAAATCCCAACAAGCTGACTTATTCAAAACACATTCGACATCTCGTTGTTTCCTACTCCGTCACTGAGCCCAAACTTGAATCAAATCCTCTTGGACGTGTCACAAAGTCATACATTGAATTTGTGGACCCGGATTCCCAGAACCCTGTTACTCGTAGTGACAGGTTGGCGACGTCGGACGGCCTGATCCCATGGAGACCAAGCGGGTCATCCGGGGAGAAGATCACCTGCATCTTTGACTGGACTGCCCAAAAGAATGGCAATGAATACCATCTTATTGCAATTGGGACTTCGCTGCCCATACCTGATGACCCCAATGACCTCCAAGGTCGGGTCTTGCTCCTGCAGGCTTCTCGGGATCCCAACACTCCAGAACAGATCAACTGTGTTGATAAGTACGTGCAAATGTTAGACAGACCAGTTTATGCGATGGCGGCATACCGTGACAGCCTGATTGTTGCCTCTGGAAAAAGACTTTTCCCGGTAGCTGCGAGGAACTCCGAGGTGAAATGGTCTCGAGATATCACAGCTGTTCTTCCATCTCCAGCCGTCGCAATGACGGTGCAGGGGAACTTGATCTATATCACAACATCTCGCAGCTCTAACTTGGTCTACGAGATTGTCAAGGGGGATATCGTGCACGTCGCGTCTGATGCTATCGCTCGGGATGGCTTGTCGCACACTTTTATCAATGGACATGGCGAGCAGTCAGATATGATGTTCGTGAGCACTCGAGGTGGTGCTGTCCAGGTTTTCAAATATCTGGATGCGAACAATTACAAGGATTTCCCTATTCTTAAAGCTCGTCCGTCGGCTGATCTTCCTGTTTCAATGTTGAGACTCGTCCAAGGCAGCAAGTCCCCGCCGCTGTTGTTCACTACTACCACCTTGTATGGTTTTGCCCTCAATGGATCAGTCTACCGCATGCTGCTCCTTGAAGAAAACGAAAGGCGTCTTCTCGAGAGTCTCCTCAAATTGTGCCTCAGGGACCATGCTATCTGTCCATCTTTGTCGGCCAGGAAACGCCACATCGCCGCAGCTAAAGATTTTGCAACCACCATGCATATTGATGGGAACATCCTGGCTCGTCTCGCCGAGCGCGATGAACAATACCTGAAGGAAATGCTTGCCCAGTACTCTGTGAAACGGGCAGGAACTCCACTGGCTGCCCTGGCCGACGAGTTCTATGAGGCGGCTCGAGGCGTCTTGGGAGAATCTGAGAACCATATCCTGGCTGTGTTCAACTGGCTTCGGGCTGTTCTGCACATCGAGTTTTGAATTCCAATTGTAACTTAGTCTAACTGTGAAGAAGCGTAAGCACATATGTCGGAGTTCGTTCAGATTTTGGAGTAGGTGGTATGTACCGAGTGGCCCACAAATGTCAAAATTCTGTATGATTTCATATTCTGCTTCTGCGTAGTCAATTCCCCTAGTAAATCAGTAGATTTGAGACTAGAAACTGCCCACAACGGCTGTAACTCAAGCTTGTGGAGGAAGTGAAGTCAGGCTGCTTTGTCCCCACCGTCAATGATTCTTCCCGAAATTCTTTTCTCTCCCACACCCCTCCCTTGGCCCACCTTAGAGCTCTCTGCCTTTCTTTCCGGGGATTGTCTATTTGATTCATTTGGTTTGTGGCCTTTGATTCTTTTTATTACCCACGCAAATAAACGGTTAGCTCCGTTTGTGCGCCCACTACACTCCCTCCGGTCGCCACTCGAATCGGACCTTACAGACACGAAAGAACGTCGAATCTCGACAACATGGCGCCTAAGAAGAAGGGATCCAAGAGACAGGAGGAGGACTGGGAGGCCGACCTCGGCGAGTCCGCCCCCGCCGCTGATGCTCCGGCCGAGGAGCCCCAGGAAGGTGCCGGCGATGAGGAGGCTGCTCCCGTCGGTGGCCTCATGGCTGCTCTCCGGAAGAACAAGGCCAAGAAGGCTAAGAAGGGAAAGCAGAATGACTTCGTCGAGGGCGAGGACGCCCCCGCTGCCGGCGACGACCTGGCCAGCAAGCAGCCTGAGGAGGGCAACTTCGATGACGACGATGTTTTCGCTGGAAAGAAGACCAAGCCCATTAAGGCTATTCCTCAGCCTGCAGCTGAAGAGCCTGAGAGCGGCGAGTTCCGCGTGAAGAGTAAGAAGGAGAAGGAGCGTGAGAGGAAGGAGAAGGAGAAGCAGCGTAAGAAGGAGCAGGTATGATATCAATTTTCCATGCTGATATAGCTGTGATAAATTTGCTGACCTGTTACTTTTCTATTTACATAGGCCGCCACAAAGAAGAAGGTTGCTCCTCCACCCAAGGCCGAGACTGCCAAGCCTGCCGCTGAGGTCAAGAAAGACGAGCCCGCCCCTGCACTGGCTGCCGAGACTGGTGGCAAGAAGAAGAAGCTTCCTCCTCACCTGGCAGCTCTCCAGAAGCAACAGGAGCTTCTCCGACAGCAGCGTGAGGAAGAGGAGCGGATTCTAGCCGAGGAGAAGGCCGCCGCAGCCAAGCAGAAGCTCCTCGATGACGAGGAAGAGCGGAAGCGGGAAGAGGCCCGTCAAAAGAAGAAGGAGAAGGAGAGAGAGAAGAAGGAGCAACTCCGCAAAGAAGGCAAGCTTCTTACCAAGGCTCAGCGTGAGGCAAAGGAGCGCAACGATATGCGCATGAAGCAGATGCTGGCGTCTGGTGTCAAGGTGGCTGGTCTTGAGGATGCCGGCGAGAAGAAGCGCCCCGTCTATGAGAACAAGAAGAAGAAGGCCGGTAAGAAGCAGGAGGAGGATCTTGAGGCTGCCGCTGCTCGTGCTCAGGCTAAACGTGAGGCTGAAGATGCCCGCCGGAAGGAGGCTGAGGAGAAGGCCAAGGCCGAGGCTGCTGCTGCTGCCGCTGCTGCTGGTCCTGAGGATGACGACGCCGTTGACGACTGGGAGGCGGCAGCTGACGAGGAAGTCAAGGACAGCTGGGATGCTCCCTCCGACGAAGAGGAGGAGAAGCCCGCTGAGAAGGCTCCTGAGGCCGACAAGAAGGCTGATGAGGAAGAATCCGAGTCGGACTCTGACGAATCATCTGACGAAGACTCATCCGAAGATGAAGAGCAGTCTGCTAACCAGCGGGCTGTTGCTGCACGAAAGGCGGAGGCCGCAGAGCGCAGAAAGAAGCAGCACGAGGAGGCCCTAGCAGCTCGTTCCAAGGACGATCTCCGCTCTCCTATTTGCTGTATTCTTGGTCACGTGGATACTGGTAAGACCAAGCTTCTTGACAAGATTCGTCAGACCAATGTGCAGGAGGGTGAAGCCGGTGGTATTACCCAGCAGATTGGTGCCACTTACTTCCCCGTCGATGCTTTGAAGTCGAAAACTGCTGTTGTGAACAAGGACGGCAAGTTCGAGTTCAAGGTCCCCGGTCTGTTGATCATCGATACCCCTGGTCACGAGTCTTTCTCCAACTTGCGTTCAAGAGGTTCTTCGCTTTGCAACATTGCTATCCTGGTTGTTGATATTATGCACGGTCTCGAGCCTCAAACTCTCGAGTCTATGCGTTTGCTGCGTGACCGCAAGACTCCTTTCATTGTCGCACTGAACAAGATCGATCGTCTGTACGGCTGGAAGAAGATTGACAACAACGGCTTCGAGGACAGCCTGAACATGCAGAACAAGGGCGTTCAGAACGAGTTCCGCACTCGACTTGAGGCTACCAAGCTTGCTTTCGCTGAGCAAGGTTTCAACTCTGAGCTATTCTTCGAGAACAAGTCCATGTCTCGCAACGTCTCCCTGGTTCCCACCTCCGCCCACACTGGTGAGGGTATTCCTGATATGCTGAAGCTCCTGACCAGCCTGACTCAGGAGCGTATGACCAACGCTTTGATGTACCTGTCCGAGGTTGAGTGTACCGTTCTGGAAGTCAAGGTCATCGAGGGTCTCGGTACCACCATTGACGTTGTCCTGTCTAACGGTGTTCTCCGCGAGGGTGATCGTATTGTAATGTGTGGTCTCAATGGGCCTATAACAACCAATATTCGAGCACTTCTGACACCGGCGCCGCTCAAGGAACTGCGTCTGAAGTCTCAATACGTTCACAACAAGGAGGTTAAGGCCGCGCTTGGTGTGAAGATTGCTGCCAATGACCTGGAGAACGCCATTGCCGGTTCTCGTATGCTTGTCGTCGGTCCCGACGACGATGAGGAGGACCTCGAGGAGGAGGTCATGTCCGATCTCGAGAACCTGCTGAGCCGTGTCTCCACTGACCAGCGTGGTGTCACTGTCCAGGCCTCCACTCTTGGTTCGCTTGAGGCTCTTCTGGAGTTCCTCAAGGTGTCTAAGATCCCTGTTGCCAACATTTCCATTGGTCCCGTCTACAAGCGTGATGTTATGATGGCAGGAACCATGCTTGAGAAGGCCAAGGAGTACGCTGTCATGCTTTGCTTCGATGTCAAGGTCGACAAGGATGCCCAGGCTTACGCCAACGACATCGGTGTCAAGATCTTCACCGCAGACATCATTTACCACCTGTTCGATGACTTCACTGCCCACATGGCCCAGCTCACCGAGCAGCGCAAGGAGGAGGCTAAGCTTCTTGCTATCTTCCCCTGTGTCATCAAGCCAGTTGCCGTCTTCAACAAGACTGACCCCATTGTCATCGGTGTTGATGTTCTTGAGGGAAGTCTGCGACTCCACACTCCGTTGGCTGCGATCCGCACCAACGCCGCTGGTGTCAAGGAGATTGTCGATATCGGCAGAGTGTAAGTTTGCTATCATTGCCCATTTTACTATTGGATTGATTTCTAACGCTATTACAGGACATCCATTGAGCGTGACCACAAGCCCGTCCCCGTCTGCAAGCGCGGTCAACCCTCCGTCGCCGTCAAGGTCGAAGCCCCCAACCAGCCCATGTACGGCCGTCACCTCGAAGAGAAAGACCAGCTCGTCTCACACATCTCCCGTGCCAGTATCGACACCCTCAAGGAGTTCTACCGTGCCGAGGTGTCGATGGAAGAGTGGGCTCTTGTCAAGAAGCTCAAGCCCGTCTTCGACATTCCTTGATTTCGTCCCTAGGGCATTTATCCGGGTGTTCGGGATTTCTTCTCAGAGCTAAAGAACGCCTTCGAACTTCGGACCCATTCTAGCCTTGCGGGATCACTCTTTTCCCTCGCGAATTTAATGATGACATCCTAGTGAGTGGCGAACTTGTTCTCCGTTGGCCTCCTCTGTTCTCTGTTATGGCACTGGCCAGGAGGAAGCGGATCTAAAATCTTTGAGCTATGACAATTGCTATCAAAAGCGGAAAAGTTATTTTGTCTTGATTGCGATTTGAACATACAATGAATTACCACGACTTGATGGATGAACAGGGAGAGAAGTCGCCTGTACATGATATAGGAAAAGCAGGGCCTGGTTAATACCAGATCTTTTGTTCTGTTAGTGAATTGAATTGATATTGCTAGACTATGTTCCAGTCTTCATCGGTACATCGTAAGGTCAGTTGAAGGCAAGTCATGGATAGTTACTTTCAGAATCGAGATAGACCAAGGTCCTCTTGTTCCATTCTTGATGTAATAGTTATGTATGTACGAACCCTAGTAACTTTACTTTGTTACTCTTCACACCGGGCAACCAGCCCAATACAAATTCATATCACAGCATAAATACCTAACATCAATATATTATCATCCCCCCAAAATTAATCAATAATCCCCCCCGTCCCACTTCTCAACCTTCCCTCCATTCCTTTCCCAATCCAGCCAAGACCCCCAATAAACCCCAACAGACTTAGGATCATACCCAGCCTGCACAGCCATTTGCGCCGCAGCCTTAGCACGCACACCAGCTTTACAATAGAAAACCATCGTCTCGCCCTCTTCAGCAACAGGCTTCGCAAACCCGAACCGAGTCTCAAACTCGTCGGGCGTTAGGTACATCGCGTCCGGTTGCGAGGCGAGCGGGATAGACACTGCCGAGGGGATTATGCCCGTTCCTGTTAGTTCGGCTGGTTCGCGGACATCGATTAGGTGGATTTTGGGTTTGTGGGTTGGGCTGTCTGCGGAGGCGGGGAGGGAGGCGTTTATCTTTTTTTATTAGCTTTTTAGTGTCTGGTTTATAGTTCGTTTGTAGATTGCATACCTCTTCAAATCCCCAGTACCGGAGGCTGTCTGCACTGGTATCATCGCTGTTTGATCGCGTCTGAACCTGCGTGTTCTTGCCCTTCAGCAAGATCTTTCTGGAAAGGTTGCATGATGTCGCCAAGGGATTGAGTGAAACTCGCGTCTTCGTGGTGGTGGACAGTCCTCTTGTTGATGCGGAGATGTATAACCGCTGGAAAGCTGTGGCCGGTGCCGCATTGTGAGCCGAAATCCTGGCTGTAGCGGATGAGAGCGTGATGGCAGAACGCCGGATATTTGATGATAATGCTGAGGCCATTGTTTCGGGCTGAGATCTTGAAGTTCTGGGGTGTTGCTTGGAGTCGCGAGTTCCGAAGTTGCGAGTCAGTTGGGTGATGTCAGTATTTGCCGGTGGTTACCGCCTACTTGGATTGGGTATATCGTGGGCTACGATGGAGATCTGGGAATTAACTACACCACAACGCTAGGTAACGGTAAATTCGACAAATCTCTTTCTCTTTCTTTTCTTTTTCCTTCCTTAGATTCGATGTCTTCCTTTAATGGACTCTTCATCTGAATGATTTGCCGAACGTAACAAACGCCTTAAAAATATTATTGTCGAAAGGATCCAAAGCTCTCGGTCTCCAGAAAGTCTTTAATTATCATTTACCACCTCCGTTCCGATAATTCATAGTTAATAGCCTCATTATGAGAACATGATAATAAATATATCATGAGAAACGGGTGATGGGACTGTAGCTAATGATTGGTCGTGCAGTTACTCATTGCTAGTATCACCTTTATCTTCTGTATCTGTCGAATAAGTATAAGTTTCAGGGGGACACAAAAAATGCTATACAAGCGAAGAACAAAATAAAAGCAAAAGGCAGAACTCGGCAGGCTCAACATCTCCGGTTCCAATGTCACATAAGATTACATACACCATTAAGTTTCCACTATTTAAGATTCCACCTTTTAAGATCTATCCTTTAAGATCCAGTGCTTGAAAATTTAAGCGTTCATAATTCCAAAGCTATAAATCTACCACTCCTTTCTAAGATCGACTAAGATAGCAACATGGTTCGTACTATTCGGAACCCTAGTCCATTATTTATAGTATGGGATGAATAATCTAACATCCCCTCTACAATAGCGAGAGATACACGAGGAGAAGTGACCTCATACGAAGTCTATTAATATATAATACATCGTTTCCAATAGCTTGTTTAGCTGAACAAACAATCAATACATACAAGGATATCATTAAACGGCCTGCCATATTAATATAGCCACGCCTATAGCCAATGGATTAGTGAGCGAGAGGCTGGTAGGCGCAGAATTCTTGCTGCTAGTAGTTGAGCCTGTAGTATTGCCTGCGGTTTCAGTTCCATTAGAGCTCGTAGCAGCGCTAGTAGTTGAGCCGGGAGTAGTGCCTGCAGTTCCAGTGCCACTAGAGCGTTCCGTAGTAGATGATGAAAGGGAGGACGATGAAGGTGATGGCTTGGGACACAAGTTGTTATACACAAACTGCTCAGGGGAGCCACTACAAGCGGTCACAGACCCAGCATTAAATGTGCCGTTCGGATAGATCCAGCAACTGCCCGAGGCATATGGCGAGTTGCTTGGATTATCCGGATTAAAGACGACATAGCTGCAGGAATCGGCCTTTGCACATTGACTCAAGCAGTTCGATACACCCGTACTAGCAGTACAACCGTTAAAGCAGTCACCAGGCGTCGGGTACCCGCAGACCGAGGCAATAGCAGAGGGAGTCGCGGTGGCGGCGCAGGCGCCAGCAGTGGTGGTTGCTCTCCCGCCAGCACACACGGGCTGGCTGTAGACGGACAGGCTGGGATTGGTGCAATCCGAACTACCTTTGCTCTCATCGAAGGTTTCACCCGGGTACAGCCAGCACGTGCCGGTGCCGGTGTTAGGGTTGCCGGCAGAGAAGATAACAAAGTTGCAGGGAGAGTGAGCGTTACAATAGTCCCAGCAGGAGGCCCTGCTGTCGATGGCGACGGCAAAGTTTGGGCCAGGCTCCGGATAGCTGCAGAGACTGGCGATGGGGGAAGATGTACAGCTTGGTGCCGCGGCAGTAGAGGTAGTGAATGTAGCAGATATCGCTATGGATTCAGTAAGGACTGCTAGAGCCCGTGGAACTAATAGGGCGATAGAGACCCAGAAAGGAGCGATTTTCATGGTAGCGAGCGTAAGTAAGGAAATAAACGTGTCCAAAACTAGGAGAAGTATTCATATTTAATCAGGAACAGTCACTAGTACGAACGGTCCCTATTTATACCTAGGTAGAAAGGGGTAACAAGCCTTGTCGAATTTTAATATCACGTGGTAGTAGTGGAGGCTATGTTAGAGGCCTCGGGCATGGTAGGCGCAGATACTGTATTCCGTAGTAAGTAACGGCCGCCATGGCCAGAGCGAGGGCACCCAGCCAGCTGGAACCCGCTCATGTTCGCTCCCGGGGCCGATCATTTCCCGAGGCAGTTTTACCGTCAATTACATTACTAAAGAGTACTGTATTTGGAAGAGTTTTATATAGTGATTCCCAGTGTCCATTAGACCGGCAAGTAGGATGGGAATATACTTACAAAGGGCTTGAAGTGTTTCTCAAGATATATATCTGCGGATGGTGGGGAACTAGTGTAGATATATAGTGGTGCATATACAGATTGACGACGAGAACACAGAACTTATAAATCCAATAGTCTAATACAAATGATGAGAGTTGAAATGCAACACAGGCTAATATATGAGAAGAGTCACTGAACAAAGATGAATTAATATTATTCTAAAGTGCATGGCTCTAAAAGTAGTCCCCCGGGCAGAAAAGAAACAAGGAACCCCCAGCGACCTTCAAAGGCCAGATAATCATAAACACACTGGGGGCATCTTTGCACAATGGTATACAAGCTTTCCCAGTAAGAAAAAGGGAAAGACAATACTCTAGAGCGTCCGTCATACATGAAAAGAAGATATCAAGAAAGAAAAGAAAAAGAAGAATTCATCAATGGGCCACCCCATCTCCAGGACAGGAAGGCAATGTAAAAAAGGCAACCAAGCCCTTCTCTACCCGGAGAACGGGGCTGGGCTCCAGCTTCGCTTTTTGTCTTGTGCAGGCCAACAATGGGAGAATTTAGGCGCGAGGACGGAATGTGAGCAGGCAGTCATCCTGAGTAAGTCAGTATAGGTTATAAGATAGAAACGGGAGTGGGAGTAGAACATACCTGAGGGAAGATAGTGGCAAACACCTTGATGTCCTCCGACTCGGGAGTGGGGGTGTGTTCCCAGTCCATCTCCATACTGGCCTTTCCGATCATGGCCATCAGAGACAGCTGAGCATAGGTCTGACCCAGACAGTAGTGGGGACCTGTGCCGAAGACGAGCCAGTTCTTGGTCTGCTGCTCAGCAGTACCGGTGATCCAGCGGTCGGGGTCAAAAGAGTCGGCATTGGGGTATGCCTCCTCGTCGTGGCATGCGGGCCACACGGAGGGAATTATCATAGAGCCCTTGGAAACAGTGACAGTCTCGCTGATCGGGAAGTCCTTCTTGACCAGGTAAGGAACCATGATGACAGGGGGACGGTAGCGCAGAGTCTCCTTGACGACAGCCCGGGTGTAGGGCATGTTGTCGAGCAGGTCCATAGTGGCGGGGATGGTGCGGTCACCGTTGCGGACTTTCAGGTTCTCCTCGCGGACCTTGTCCAGGATTTCGGGACGGTCTGCCATCAACTGGAACAGCCAGGTGGAGGCGGCGCTGGTGGCGTCCTGAGAGGCGAACAGGAAGGTGAAGATAGTCTGGGCAATTTCGAAATCGGTGAAGTCACGGAGGACCTGGGAAGGCTTCTCGGAAGAGTCGACCTGAATACCCTTGGCGATCTTCTCACGATACACAGCGGAATCCAGCTGGGCCTTGACCCAGGCGTCCATGATACAAGAGATCTCGCCACCGGCAGCCATGCGAGCCTTAGACTTGGCAGCACACTTGGTGAATTCAGCGAGCACCATATCGGCGGCCTTCTTTCCGTACCATGTCTTGGTGTAGGGAAGGATGATAGGGAAGTTGACCAGCTCAAGAGCAGCAGTGATCAGATAGTAGTCGTCCGCAATCTTCTGGACGGCCTCATCGGTCATGTAGTAACCAACGAAGGTGCGACAAGAAAGAGCACACATAAGCTCGCGGAACTCAGCCATCCAGGGAGTGGGCGTAAAGTTGGTGGCGGCGGACTTCTCGAGGAAGCGCTTGTTGTAGGAGTTGAAAACCTCCTCGGCGCGGGGGAGGTACATAGCCAGAGCCTGACGGGTGAAAAGACCGTTGAGGCCCTTACGGTAGTCAACGTGGGCCTTGCCGTCCAAGAAGACCCAGTTGGTCTTTCCGAGAAGCTTGTGCGCGGCATCCACAACACAGGGCTTGACATAGGAGGGCGAGTTGAAGATCTTGCGAGACATATCACGGGTTGAGGCAATCACGACGAACCTGTCGAAGCTGTTAGCGGACCTATTTCCAAAGTTGCAGTGCATCGGGATGTTCCGTCCAGATGTCACGGGCTCCTCACTTGTGGAAGACAGAGACACAACTCAGGTCGCCACTGTCCCACTTGGCCTTGTATTCGGTGAATTTGGGGTTGACAGATTGAAGAAAAGGGCCCATGAAGGGAATCTTGTACATAGGACCAACAATGGCGCCCTTGAGGTAGTGGTACTTGACTGCAAATAGGGGTCCCCGGTCAGTTTCAAAAATGCGATTTCCAAGGCTATACACGTCGCAATTGCACATACACTGGTCATAAAGGACAGCCGCGACGAAGAGCGTCAACAAACCCTTCCAGATAGTGAAGCCATCCAAAACGGTAGCGACGAGACCCGCCGGCGCGAAAAGTTGGGGCGAGACTGTCGCATCGGCCGATGGCGAGACGAAGCTCCCAGTCATGTTGACCATATTGACCATGTTCGGAGAGTCGAAGTTTCCGAGCAAGGGGAAGAGTGAAGAGAAGAGAACCCAGAACAAAAGAAAAAGTTGGAGGGGAGAAAGAATTGGGGCCCTCAGGGGTGGGAACGCCAATAACGCCAATTACACGGAGGGTCGGGACAGTATCAATGCACGCCTTGGTTAGTGCATATTGGTTAAATTATACACGTAGATTATTGATTTATTTTATTATTTGGTTATTTGATTTATGAAGGGTTTATATTGTAATGATTCCGTAGTTTCACACACTATTTCATACCACGGAGTATCTCATATGCAGAATCAATCTCTGATTCCATAGTTCCAATCTCCGGAAATACGGCAATAATGGCATGATGTAACCATTGACGAGCATAGCTTTCATTACCAGATCAATTAGACCACTTATTCTCATTAGATCCATTACTCTCCCCTGTATACTCGAATCATCATATCACAATTACTCAGGCGTGATCCCGGCTAGAGAATACCCGAGTTCCGGGCTGAACGCTGATTGGCTGCAAAGTAAGGAGGTTTGGAGCGGCACGTGTGCCTGAGACTACAATGTACATCTAGTAACGCTCATCCTTGCATATCTGGGCTTTATTGCATATCTTGGCTCTATGAACGGCCAAAGCCAAACCATCCACGACGACCCTTGTTTTCCTCTTCGGGAACTGCAGCTGTTGGTGCGGCGTGGGGAACCTCCTGTTGCTGGCCCTCACGCGGGTAGTCAATGTAGTTCCATGCCACATCGAGGAACAACGGCTTCACAGGAATAGGTTGCATCTGAGGCGGATAAGGCACCAGGTTGTTGAGATCCACACCGGAGGCAGAGAACTGTTGGAGTCGTTCCACCACAGGACGCTGGCTGGACTGTGATGCCTCTGCAGCAAGGAGCTGCTCCAGAGTGACCAGTCCCCGATACTGAGCAACCAACTCCCGCAAGGTCGATTCCAGGATACCGGATTGCGCCCGAGAGACGTCGAGTTTCGGGGGACCCTCGAGATCAGTGGATTGGGGAATAGCGGAGCCGGCGAGATTCAAGGCTTGAGAGAAAAGTGCAAGAGCTTCCTTGGATTTGCCAAGAACACCGTGAGATCTTCCCAGAGCAAGACATCTAGATATTTGTTAGTCATGAGATCAATGAACGATGTAGCGGAATCTTACCTGAGAGCACGGAAGTAGTGTCGCTTTGTCTCTAGGTCCTTGACAAAGGCTGAATCGGCCGCAACACCAGGGAGCTCAAGGATGAAGTCCAAACTTTGAAGTGTGGAGTCGTACAGAACAACACGTTCACGCAGCTTATTCAGCTTCTTCCCATTTCCTACAGTATGCTTCGTGTCCTTTCCAGCTGTAGGTTCTTCGAATGACAAACCGTCCTGCTTACCACACAGGACCCGGTTACGTCCCACTCGCCATCCGACCAGAGTATAGTTAACTGCAGTTCGGGTGATCTGCAGGGCCTGCATCCTCTTGTCGCTGGGATCAACACCCTCATTGACCAGGTCGTCAATGGCAGTTTTTGTAGCATCAACGGCATCCTGGCTTGCAATAATAACGTTGTCGTATGCAGCAGCCTTCTCCTTGTCAGTAGCAGACTTTCCTGCGTCTGCCAACCAACTAGTAAGGCGTGCCTCTGCCGCTGAAGCAGCGGCTAGTGACTGGGAAATTGAAGCATCCTCGAGAGGGACAGTTCGTGACCTCCACGTCACAGATTGGGGCAGTTCCTGCACCTCTCCCTCTGCAGTACGTCGGGTTCCAGCAGCTTCTTCGGCAAGGCAAGAGGGAGCAATCTTCTCAACCTCAGCGCGGATGTCCGAATCCGATGGGAAGAATTCAATGGACAGCGATGATGTGGGTTTAGAACGAGGGAGCTTCATCTGATAAGCGGCGTATCGCATACTTGGATCAACAGTTCCCGACAGGAGGTCCCGGAAAGCGTCCTTCTTGACCCTCTGGCCCAGAGCCGTGTAGATCACTCTGGCAATAGAAAAGTCACGAAGACACTGCTCCCACTTGCGCTTTTCAAGCCAAAGAGATCCAGAGATCATTGCCAGATAGGCACGAGTCTCCAGGACGTCGATATCACTCGCCCCGGAACCCGATTGTTCGTGGAGCAGCGTGACCAGGTGCTGCGCATATCCAGTCGCCTTGCTCAATCGGGAAATAATGTGACGTCTAGCAGCGCCCGAAATACCCTTGGCCGAGGGATCTGCGGAGTGTGTCGACTTCATGTGCATGGCTTGCGCCCAAGCTCGTTCGGAACCGAGAAGCAAAAGGTGTACATATCTGCCAGACACATGGGGTTAGATGGATATCGGGAATGATGCGGGGAGCCATACGAGACATTGCTTCCGACATTCTCGGCAGTCACAGCTGGCTTGGCAGTATACTTGCGACCCTTCGCAGTGGTCTGTCCAAGCTTCTTGCGGAGTTTGTGCAGTTTTCTGGTAGTGTGCGCCCGGTAGGCATTGTAGTCTCCCACGAGGAGAACCTCCTCTCTTTCCTTGAAGATGAAATCAGTCACCTCCATAATGTCTGTGTGCGATTGTGATAGTGGGAGGGGACACGGTTGTGGTGGGAGTCAAGGCGGTAGTGCTTTTCGGGCAAATGAATGGTCCGATCAACCTCCGGCAGTTTCCAACCTCCGAATCTTTTGCGTGTTTTCTCCAAGCTCCAGGACTTCACTGCTCGCGTTGCGATTTTGTCTCAGACGTACATTTATTGAAGTTGGATTTCGCAATTGCAGCTTTTGCGTGACCACTTGAGCGTACCGCCGGCAATTTGACTAATTGGTTTTTCTCGCCCTGGTATGGCACCACCAAACAATCCGCTAACGCAGCTCCGGGAAAAGCTTTCTGACATAACCAGGACAGGCCTTCTGAACACGATACGATGCAGAACGAGAATCAATTACACCATCCTTTGGTTTGACATTACAACGATCGGGGGTAATGCTCGAACGGGCAACAAGCTGCCTCGAGAGCGTGGGACGGCGTTTCCTTCGAGACCCCAACGGCGTGATACGAAGCAGAAGATCTCTGTCTAGTGGATTATGGACGCAAAATACCACAAGAGCGGATATCCCTCATTGGTTTCTCGCTCTGTTGCAGGCGACAGGTCAACGTCCGTCCCCCGTTCCCAGCACCGACCATGGCAAAGGGGCTACCGATGGAGGAGGACCTTTTCTCGACTTCCTTTGCCCCCGACAAACGCAAAGCCTTGTGGGCTCTCGATTATCCCGTCCCCCAAAGAGGCTTGCATTGCGGAGAAGGAGGCCCAACACGGGCTTCTTGAGATCTTATACATCAGCCTCATGCACCGGTCAAGCTATTCCAGCGGACCAAACTGTCCTAGACGAAACCGCGAAGCGGACAGAAGAGTCGCTACAGCCGCAAGAATCAAAAGTGCCACAAGAGTCACATAGGCCACATCGTATACAAAGAGAACCAAGGCGAACAGGCTCCGAAAAACCGATGAGTTCACAACTCGCTTTTCTCTTACGACAGAAACTTCCTGGCCAGTATGACAAGGTTTGGAAGCTATACCTTGCAGCTGGTAGCCCGTCAAAGTACAATTCTGCAGTTCTTTCCTATTTGAGCGAGTCTTCCAACTACAACCATCAGGAGCGGGCATGGACGGTTTTTCAAAACATTCCTAGCTGGAAATGCACCAGTGACGACTACCTCAATATTCTTTCCTCGCAGCACCTTACAAACCCACCTCGAAATTCTCATGTGGTGTCAATCTGCCAGCAAGCTCTTTCCACAGCATCGGCCGGTTTCTGTATCCAGCGGAGCCTGGTATATGCCACGAAAAACAGAAACTGGTCTCTAATTTCAAATATCTGGAGATTGATATACGAAATCCCGGACTGCTCCCGAATGCAATTGAGAAGTTATCTGGATGACTTCAGAAACAAAGATTTTCCCGCGTTTTCCCTGGCTAGAAATCTACTCAGCTTGGCAGAGTACCTAGAGCTTGGAAAAGGGGATCGTCAACTCAGTGAATTTGCTCTCCATTTGTTTCACCGATTCATCAGGGACCAAGAATTCCCAAGGCTCACACCTACATCCACCTTGCTCCAGTTATTCCGAATTTACCGCTCCCTGGGATTCGTTAGGGTGCATGACTACTTGAAGATGATTGATCATTTCCAAAGCTCAAATACACGGCCTGAGTTTGTACAGTCCATCATATTTTATCGCCAGTTTCGTTTGGACATGCCGGATGAGCCGCCTGGGAAGCTTTTAACTCGCTTATTTGATCGTGCTGTGGCTTTTGAGATGGCCGACAGCGTCGCATACTTTTTGGACGAATTGGCTCATTTCCAGGGGAAACCGACCATTGCAGCATACAGGGAGGCCCTCCAAAGCTTCTCCAAGGCCGGGGATGTGTCAAAGGTACATGGCACCTTCGACAGGTTTCTGACAGACCACGGAAACCCAAAGAGCCGCAGACTGTTGAGCCCGCTCCTTTCTGTTCACGCGGGGCTAGGCGATGTACCCGAGACACAACGGCAATTTGACCGCATCTCTGCAGAGTTTGGCCTCCATCCGAATACGGTCTGCTGGAATATTTTGATCCAGGCCTATGTAACTGCGGGGGATTTATCAGGTGCGGCCTCCACTTTCGCTAAGATGATGAAGCAAGGTGAAAAGCCGAGTTCCCACACATTTGGTACTATCATGGCACTTTTTGCCAAGCGCGGCGATATCCAAAATGTTCGCCGGTTGATCAGAGAAGCGAAGAAGAGGAGAGTGGAAATTACAAGGCCAATGATTGACACTATTGTGCGAGTATATCTCAAGCATGGCCAAGCCGGCCACGCAGAAAACCTTATCTTGGCCAACTGGGAAAAGGCGACCGGAGGGTCTCCCGTGCAGTTGTGGAACACGCTTCTGTGGCACCATGCATTCCAGGTCAGCAAACTCACTTTTAGCCGAGTCCTTGGCGATATGGGCAAGCTTGGGTTGGTTCCAGACGCTGGGACGTACGGGGCCATCATTTACTCCCATGCCATTGCTCAGCAGCCAGATACAGCACGCTCTTTGCTCAGGAAGATGGCCCGAGCTGGTATAGAACCCACGGAGCAGCATTATTCCATTGTGATGTTCGCGTATATGAAAAAGCGCAACCGTGACATGGTGCACGCCATCCTCCACGAGATGCAAACCCGCTTTGGTCGAGTCGGACTGAGTGCCAGCCTTGTGAACCTCCAAATGCAGCTTCAGAGAGATTTGGAGAACGCGAAACGGTCCAATACGCCTGCTGAAAACTTGTCTTTCCCGCATGCAGAAAAGGCTCTGATGGCATCAATCGCTCAGTTCAATGACCACCCTTCGCAAGCCAAGGCGCTATCATTCGATTCGAGTGGCTCTGCCAAGGAACATTTCCCGGCCATGCATTACCAACATCTGATCAGAGCATATGGCGATGAAGGTGCCATTGACAAGGCGCGTCAAGCGCTTGATCAGTATCTCCGAAGCAGGCAGTCTACGAGCTCGTCAGATCAACAGATGGCAAAATTGCCATTTGGCTTTGTTAAATCTATGATGTCGGCTCATCTGAAAGCTCATGAATTCATGAAAGTCGAAGAGTACTGGAACCTTCTGTGGCCTGACATTATCACCATTGCTGCCCGCTTTGATCTTGATCAAATTTTGCCTGCGAAGTCGAAAAGAATTGCGATGTCGAAAAGAGCTGCGAAGTCGGCAACAGGCATGGGGACGGAGTCTCTAGGCTCAAATAAACCTAAGATCCTGCCTAGTCAGAAGTTTATTTTGAATGTACCACTCGAGATGTACATGCGATCTCTGGGCTTACAAAATAAGTACCAGAGACTCCATCAAGTTGTCAATGAGGTCCAGGAAGCTGGCTTTGCGTTGACCGCCCAAAACTGGTCGAGCTACATTGAGCTACTCACGTTATCTGATGAGCCTTCTGATCAGATAAAGGCGTTCAAGTTGTTTGAAAAGAAGTTCCAGCCTAATTTCCCTGGTTGGTTCTACATGCAACGTGGGTTTGGTTGGCGGCCGTCCCGTGCAGCGGTGACAATTCTCCATCTCGAGAACCGTGTAGGCGGCAGCACACCCCGCCGAGTGATGGGCAAAATCGCGCGCAGACATTGGTTGCGAATCCAACCTAATTATATGCATCCTTCCTACCGCACCATGGTGTACCTGGCCAGAAGGTTGCAATTAATCCGAAGAAACAGTATCGAGTATGGCAGTGTATCATTGTCAGAACTCTTCGCCACCACGCCAAAGACTATCCGGATTCTTGCCGACATGCCTCAGTTGCCTGACAAGTACCAGGAGCAATTGCTCCGTGGCTGCGAGAAGGAGCCAGAACCTCTTCCAAAACCGATTCGCTTAACCTCTACGAATTCCGGTTTGCTTGGACCGATGGGCAAACTGAAGCCACGCAGCAGAGAATTGGCCAAGAATGAGCCCGTCGGTCTTGACAACTTCAAGCCTTCCGATACCACCGACGAGCCAAGCCTAACTGGTCTAATTCCAGATGACTCCGCGCGCGAGAAATAAACGCACTGACCCAGGTTCTCCCTCGCGTGGACCGGATCGCGATGGAAATGCAGCTCCACGAAGACTTGGAGGTGACGGGCCTTTGGCGCACACGAGCCGACCCCAATATCAGGATCCGGGCGAAACTCAAGGCACGCTACAAAGCCACGAATCCGAAGATTGCGAAACCCTTCCGACTCCCACGGGGATACTCCAAGTCGCTATCCGGCGCGCAAGATACCCTCGAGCGGCGAGTGTACAACAAACGCTTTGCCATGTATAAGCGCAGGCAGCCGGCGAGTGAACCTTTGTGGAAGCTCTACAACCCTAGGACTGGATGGCATGAACCACACGAATCCCAGATGCAGAGACGAGACCGGAATGGCCGGATTGGGCGACGTCTTCTTCGTACAAGAAAAAAGTTCCTACCACCATCGAGCCCAGAAGTGCGGCCCGGATATTCATCTCAACAGCGGCCGAGGCGCCCAGCACTGCGTGATGATCAGTCGCTTGTACAGTAATTGTGGTTTTAGCATGTTGCGTATACCTTTGCATATATTTCCTTGTACAATAGTTGAGTTTTAGAATTACATCTTCATTCCTACACAAGAGCCCATGCGTAGACTAATGTCACAAGCTGTATACCTAGATAAGTTGTAATCACGAGGCTAACCCATGAACGGAGTATTCTAGTAAACTGGTTAACATGGCCTGAGGCTTTGTAGCCTCATCAATCAGGCGGAAGTACGTAACTTACTCTCTGCATGAGCAGTGGCAGGGTCTTCAGTTTTCACGGCAACGTAAAATTATTTTCTAGACAGCGGAGCGGCATGACGCGCAACAGAATTTACGAAAAGATTTCAAGTGAAGAAGGTAATTGTTGTTCATTGTTTGTGATGAAACAGATAACCATACCATCAACTAAATGGAAGGACCTTTCAGACCTCCTCGACACCCACCAGGACCGACCGACCGAAGTCAGACATCGAGACCAGGTCAAGATCATCACCACTCCCTGGACCAGAACACAGACACTCCGAAAAGCACGCGTAACAGTCGAGGCGGGAGTAAAAAGGTTTCACTTTAGGGCATCGAGGACATAGCAGTCATCAGCAAGGGTGGAGATTCTGTGGCTCTTATAAAGAGCTTAGAAAGAGGACGTCTACTCTAAAGTGATTCTTTGAACTGTTGAAAAGGTCAGTAAAGATCCTCAAGAGTGAAACCGAAACCAGTTGGGGGAGGGGAGACGCACGTAGAGTCGCTTGAAGAAAAGAAAAAGGATCGGGGGATGGCCGGCTTATATATCCCAGGAAAAAAAAAGCGCTGACCTAATCACAGACACGCGGGACGCGTGGGACGCGCTCTTTTCACCAGGGACGTGTCGCTTTCAATTTAGCCCGATCGGTACACCCTTAACACCTCGACTCATCCTTCCCTACCCATCCGCTTTATATTGACTACATCATGGACGGGTTACAACTACGTGATGAGGCCGCGCAGGATCGTGTGCGTGCTGCCGTTGAGTTTCTTGATCCGAGTATGTTTTGTCGCTGGATTGGTGGTCCATGGTGCTAACATCTTTTTTTTTCAGGCGATGCACGGGCACGCAGGTTCGTCGATTTCGAGATTGATGATGGGATTCGGTTCTAACGGAGGTGGTACAGCTATCGAGCGGATATTGTGGTGATGCTAAATAGGGGCATGCGCCGCTTGACTGTGCGTTGGTCTCTTGGAAGTCCCTGTCGGGGGCAATGCTGATTTTTGAACAGGTCAGCATCGATGAAATCAGAGCACACAACCGCGAGCTCGCCGATGGGTATGTTTCTTTTCGGCCTTGGCAGTCAATTGGATATTGACTCATGGGTTTAATTCAGGCTCCTCTCTTCGCCGTTCGACTACTCGCAAGCCTTTGACAGAGCCTTGAAGGAGGTCGTCAAGACTCTTCCTGCCCGACCTGCCAAGGAGACCTCCGATGAAGCAGTGTGTATCTTTGGTCATATCTCCTCATATTCAGTGTCTAATTCCTCGATAGGCTTATTACTGCGCCTATGTTGGTGCATTCGGAGAATTCTCTTGTAACCCCCGCACATTGGGATCTCAACAATTGAACCACATGGTCTCACTCGAGGGCATTGTTACAAAATGCTCTCTGGTCCGCCCCAAGATCGTTCAAAGTGTCCACTACGTTGAGGCAAAAGACCGCTTTGTTGCGAGAAAATATCGGGATCAGACTATGAGTGCCAGCGGTGCAACCAGTTTGAACGTCTATCCCCAGGAAGATGATGATAAGAACCCAGTATGTCTTGTGAGATTATTGAGTGCTTACCAGGGACTAATATATGGCTAGCTTATCACTGAGTATGGTTACTCGACATATTTGGACCACCAATCGATCTCCATCCAAGAAATGCCCGAACGTGCCCCTGCCGGACAATTGCCCCGAAGTGTCGATGTTATCCTCGACGACGACCTGGTCGACACGGCCAAGCCCGGAGACAGAATCCAGCTGGTTGGTATCTACCGCACCCTGGGTAACCGGAATGCAGGCAATGGATCCTCGACTTTCCGCACCATTGTCATGGCAAACAACATCATTCAGCTGTCTTCCAAGAGTGGCGGTGGTATTGCACAGGCTACCATTACGGATACGGATGTGCGAAACATCAACAAGATTGCCAAGAAGAAAAACGTCTTTGAGCTACTGTCCAAGTCACTGGCTCCCTCTATCCACGGACATGACTACATCAAGAAGGCTATCCTCCTGATGCTGCTTGGCGGTATGGAGAAGAACTTGGATAATGGTACCCATCTTCGTGGTGATATTAATATCCTGATGGTTGGTGATCCCTCGACTGCGAAGTCTCAGCTCCTTCGTTTTGTTCTGAACACCGCACCTCTTGCAATTGCTACAACTGGTCGTGGCTCCTCAGGTGTCGGTTTGACTGCCGCCGTCACTTCTGATAAGGAAACTGGTGAGCGTCGTCTGGAGGCTGGTGCCATGGTTCTTGGTGATCGTGGTGTGGTTTGTATCGATGAGTTTGATAAGATGAGTGATGTCGACCGTGTCGCTATTCACGAAGTTATGGAACAGCAGACTGTCACAATCGCAAAGGCTGGTATTCACACAAGTCTCAACGCGCGCTGCAGTGTTCTGGCAGCTGCCAACCCAATCTATGGTCAATACGACCCTCACAAGGACCCTCACAAGAACATTGCTCTCCCCGATTCCCTGCTCTCTCGTTTCGATCTGCTGTTTGTTGTGACGGATGATATTGAAGACACCCACGACCGAACAATCTCGGAGCACGTTCTGCGTATGCACCGCTACCGCCAACCTGGCACCGAAGAGGGCGCTCCTGTTCGGGAACAACTCAACCAGACCCTGGGTGTTGGCATTGAAGATCGTCAAGATACCAATGCTCCTACGGAGGTGTTTGAGAAGTTCAACGTCATGCTACACGGAGGCATGGTCAACCCTAACACAAGCCACAACCGCACAAAGAATGTTGAAATCATCAGCATCCCCTTCATCAAGAAGTATATCCAGTACGCCAAGTCCCGTGTCAAGCCCGTCTTGACTAAGGGCGCCGCCGACCACGTCATCGCCACATACTCTGCTCTGCGAAACGACGAACTCACCGGCAACAAACGCCGCACCTCACCCATCACCCCCCGTACCCTGGAGACACTCATCCGTCTCTCCACCGCACACGCCAAGGCCCGTCTATCTAGCCGAGTCGACGAGAAGGACGCCAAGCATGCCGAATCCATCCTCCGCTTCGCTATGTTCAAGGAAGTCGTCGAAGACGAGCGCCGCAAGAGACGCAAGGTGACTTCCTTCGAGGACTCCTCAGACGAGGACAGCGATCCAGAACTTAACGACGACTCCGACGACGAGACAACAGCCCGCGGCACATCAACCGCAACACCAGGCCGACGAACCGGCACGGCACGCACACGTGGCACAGCCACCCAATCTAGCGTCCCAATCCCAGACGAAGAAGAAGACGACAGCCTGTACGCCGCCAGCCCGCGTGCTCAGCGCCTGCGGTCCAGCCAGACCCAGACAGGCCGTACACAGACCCAGTCCGACTCACAGATGTCCGTGGCCTCATCGCAGCCCGCCTCGCAACTCATCGAGTCCCAGACAGACTCTCAGACCACATCATCCGACGTCCCCATCACGCCCGCGCGCATGACTCTCTTCCGTTCGACCCTAGGCCCGCTAATGGGCTCTAAGGTCTTCGCCGATGGCGATGAGATGAACGTCAATGAGTTGATTGGCGCTGTTAACACTGCCATTAAGGATTCCCATGGTGCTAGCAGTGTCTTCTCGCACCCTGAGGCTATCCAGGCATTGCGGGTTATGAACGAGCAGAACTTGCTTATGTTCCTCGAGGACGATGACAATGTCTACCGTGTCTAATATGTCGTGGATCTGCAATAGCGAAACTCCTTTCCTCGAGAAGGAGAACGCTGGGGGTGTTGCGTCTTGTCTTTGAGTTGTTTATCGCCATTGCATTGGGATTGATATCACATGTCGTTAATTTTGTGTTTGGCGTATGGAATGGAATTGGGGATATCAGTGGACTGACTCAATGAGAAATATGAATGAATACCGATGCTTGACTATAACTCCCTAAGTAGACTGAGCCTGATCTTGGTCCATGTGCATACTACGATATTACTTAACTGGTAGACATGTATCGAAAATACCGTAAACATGCACTGGAATACTATCTACGCAAAAGAAAGCAGAAAAAACAAAACCATGATTGAAACATCCAATGTATCTATAGAACAAGCAACGCATGGTCAGTCATACAAACCAGCGAAGACATCATCCGACACTCCCAATCCAAAATACAGAGAGAACAAGGGTATAGAAATAAACAGCATGAGCAACATTCCGTGCTAATTTGCAGTGCGTGTAGTGCGCGTTACAATTCCGGCACAGCAGCCGGTATAGACTCCTCCTTATCCTTCTCACCCATCGGCAGCACAGAATCATCCGACGAAAATGACGGCGTCCTCACTCCCTCCCGGATTTGCGCCTGCGTCAGAGGCGACAGGCCCCGGCGGAGCATGGAGCCTTTTCGTTTTCGCTGTTGCGGTGTAGATTCTCCGGATGCTGTACTGCCTCGGCGGGGTCTGCTGGATGTTGAAGAGCGTGAGGGTGGCCGGTCCTGGTCCAAGCCGATGTCGACGGGTGTCGTGCTGCGGGACGAGGTACGGGAATGTGATTCGGAGCGGGTACTGCGGCGGGAGGATGGACCGCGCTGCTCCTGGCTTAGTTTTGAGACTGACGGGTGGTGGCTGTGGCTGAGACGGTGTTTAAATTCTGGCTCGATGGGTCGGTGGAGGGTTGCTGCGACGAGGCGGCGGCGCTGAGATGCGCGCCAGCCTAGTCCCCAGCGGCTGAGCCAGCCGCCCTCTGTCTGGGCGAGGTGGATTTCACGCTCGCGCAGCTTGATGCGTAGTTGGGCACGGCGCTCGTTTTCCTTTTCCCAGAAGTCGGTTCGGTAGTCGTCCCAGTTCTCGCGGAACTCGGGGGAGAATGACTTGGGCAGTAGAAGCAGCCGAATGTAGTCACCTCCTGGGCTGAGGTCTTCTTCTACAAGACCGGACTCGCTGTCACCGCCGTTGTAGTATTGCTGGTAGTGTTGACGGGCACTGCGCTTGTCTGAGGGACTCCGCTCGACGAACTGGTAGTTGCCAGTGGGGGAGGGGAAGAATGGGATGGAGAAGGGGAACAAGAAGGAGAGGTAGGAAAGCATCTCCTGCCAGAATGGCCCGCGGATGATGATGATCTTGGTGTTCATGGTTCGTAGGCCGCGATTGGCGACTGCTAGCCAGCGCCTTGGCCATCGGATACCGCGCTCCCATTGCCCTGTTCCCCAGACCAGCAAGGCTGTCACTACGCCGCCGAGCAGGGCGACTTTCTCTCCCATCTCAACAACCCAGTAGACTGAGCCGCCAACGCCGCGGCCATCTTCTCGTGGACGGAGGAAGAGCGCATAGGCAAAGTAGGCGATCCAGGCGGCAAGGAGAAGAACGAAGAAGGTGTTTTGCCTCCGGCGTTCGCGCAGAGCCAGGTATTGGGCTCGCAGCGAGGTTTCGAGAATCAGCAGGTTCAGGTAGATCTGCGGGGGAGCCGACGGGAGGTGATCGAGGGGATCGGAGAGTCGTGAGGCATCTGATGCTTGGGGATGCAATGGCTCTGGTGTAGGAGCTCGGGCTTCTGATGTTGGAGCGCCCTTGACCAGGTGGTCCAATGGCGAGACCATGGTGGATGATCGGGTGTGAGTGAAGTCAGAAGAAGGCCGTTGTGGAAGGCGGTCCACAGGTGATCAGCCTCTCCGCTCACAACATTCAACTTCTGACTTCATACTATAAACTTGTATTCGGCTGCCTATATTCTCTGCCTTTTTTCACTTCTTTTTTTTCAAGTTGAAGATTTGGGAATCTTGTCGCCTCACGGACTTAACGCCCGCCCGCAAACTCCGGCTCCGCTTATATGCTATGCTACTTCCTCCGATTCTTCCCAGCGTCTCATGAGCGTGGCCTCCATTCGACTGGCTGACCACGCCTGTATCTCTACTTTGCGCACGTCAAATACATTCGCCTTTGCACACCTCCGATCATACAAGCTCCATACCCTTCGTGGGCACCGCTATTCCTCAATGGCCTCAGAATCACTAAACTCATCCCAAGAGGACACAAATCGCCGCTCGGGCGAAGAGGCCACTCCGTATGCCACCCGGGCTACGGCAACAAGGCCCTCAATGTTTCCCCTATCATATCGAGACGGCTTTGCTGAATGGTGGGCCAAGCTGCCAGTTGCACAGACGGAACACAAAGTCCTTTCCTACCTGCCCTACTTGCGCCATGAACCACCCACCCACCTGCAGACGGGAACAGAGAGAAGGGGCAGCTTGGAGTCCACAGACCATAATCAGCAGGGCGAGATCAGCACGAACTCCCTTGATGACCCGTACGGCCCGCGCAGATGGAGCTCCAGCATGGTGGAGCTGAGCGGGAAGGACCGCGCGCTCAATGAGTTCTCGGTAGAAAGAGTGGGTGAGCAAGCTGATCAGCATCTGGTCATGCTGCACGGCTACGGGGCTGGTCTTGGATTTTTCTACAAGAACTTCGAGCCGCTCAGTCGTCTCAAGGGGTGGCAACTGCATGCTTTGGACATGCTGGGTATGGGCCGGAGTACTCGACCTTCGTTCAAAATCAAAGCAAAGGGAAGAGAAGATGCCATTCGTGAAGCTGAAGCGTGGTTTATTGATGCTTTGGAGGAGTGGCGCATCAAGCGCAAGATTGACCGGTTTACCCTGCTGGGACACAGTCTCGGAGGGTACATGGCAGTGGCCTACGCGCTCAAATACCCCGGTCATCTGAATAAACTTATCCTGGCCTCTCCTGTCGGCATTCCGGAGGACCCATATGCCGTCACCGCAGACGTTGCTGAGCCTTCAGAATCAACATTGGCCGGCGAGGTTACCCAGGACCAGCAGAGTGTCGTGGCACAAGCTGCTGTCCCAGGATCAGCACCGAAAACTGCTGACGGTAGCTTTATCACCGGACAGCAGCCCGCTCAAGGGCCAGCCCAACCCCCCGACGGAATCTTCCCAAGTGGTTCGCCTATTTGTGGGATGCGAATATCTCCCCTTTCAGCCTAGTACGATGGACTGGTCCTCTAGGCCCACGCATCGTCTCCGGCTGGACCTCTCGCCGTTTCTCCCACCTCCCAGCCGAGGAAGCCAAGGCCCTCCACGACTACTCATACTCGATCTTTAGTCTCCGCGGCAGTGGCGAATACGCATTGGCATATATCCTCGCCCCCGGAGCATTCGCCCGCAGCCCCCTTATCCACCGAGTCCACGGACTTGGACGTCAATTGATCCATAATAACTCTCCCTTGAACCCACTTCCTCACGCGATCTCCACTGCCAAAGCCTGCTCAAAACCAGCAGAGGATGACCCCGCCCCCACTGCTACCACTTCTTCTGAACCGGAGGCACCCGCTAAGCGTGAAAATGGCCTTCCTGTGGTTTTCATGTACGGTGATCACGACTGGATGGACGTTTCAGGCGGCCATGCAGCCGCAGCTCGTCTGGAAGAAGAGAAGCGGAAGGTGTTAGCAAATGCTACACCGGAGGAGCGTCGCTCCGACGAAGGTTCGTCGAAGGTGGTTGTCATTAAGAGAGCTGGTCACCATCTTTACCTCGATGGCTGGGAGGAGTTCAACAGTGTTATCCTCGCTGAGATGGAGGAAGTTAACAGGCGGGAGAGGGGTCGTCAGTCTTCATGATGAAGGGATGTTTTTTGATAATGCTCTATGAAATTTGGGATTGGAGCTTGTTGATATTGCGTAGTATACCTTTCTTTCTCTCTCTCGTTTGGTACGTTCGTTACAGCTTCTGGTGTTTATGTAAATATCTTTACATTTGTGGGTCGCTCTTCTATTATGTTCCTTGTCCTTACATCAACTCACATACATCGGCGAACAAAACATAGAAATGGACAAAACTGGGGGCGTTATCCTAAAAGAGAGCCGAAATCGTATATCAAGTATCACATAAGAGCTCACCAGTACGACCCGTTATCTAGGCGAATACTGTGGCAAGGAGGCATACATGGCCGTCTTCTAGGTCGAGCGAGTATACTGTTCACTACAATTCTTTCACCTCTTTATTGCCTATACCCGAGTGCTAAAAGTAAAGGGCGAATGTCCACTAACGGTGCCCTGACTAGCTGTCCAAATATTGAGAGGCTCCATTATACGACATGTTTGGTTACAGATGACTATCTCCATTTATGTACAATTGCAATGCTTTCGTACCATCTGCACTGATATCCAAGCCAGTACTTTCCAATAACACAAAAAGAGACCGCAGAAATCCTTCATCTAATTCGTTACCCAGAGCCCAGCCCCCTCGAATTCGACCCTGAGATACTCTGCCTTCGGTGCCTCGGACTGGTAGGATAATGTGCCATCAAACGTGCAAACCCCAGTGACGCATCACGCTCATCGGTCGATGCACCAACGCCAGGGGTTGTATACCCACTAGCACTCGGAGAGAGGGTATGATTCCCAGAGGAACTCCGTCGTCTGAGAGAAAAATACCCACCCGCACTCCCGCCACTGCTATTACTTCCAAAGCTGTGGCCTCCATCAACAGAGCTGGAGAGATATGAGCTCGTATAGGGTGCACCGTTCACCGGTAAACCACGGGGTAGAGCCCGTGACTGTGTATTGAATGGTGCATATGGCTGTGGTGTCATGAAAGGGGCTGATAGGCGAGATGTAGATGAAGACATGCCATAGCCATACTCCCTGGAATGGGGAGCAGTGTTATCAGGTCTAGTCAACAATGCCAGAGAAAGACCCGTGCCAGTGCGGCGGTCAGATGTGGTCAGTGAAGATGTGGTCAGTGAGCGGTGATGATTCCTATGTCCATCGTGATGCTCATCGAATTGGAGACCATGTGAGTCTGCGCCAGGTGAAAATGTCTGGAAATGACATCGGCCGTTGCGGGAATTGTCGAAATGCGTGGGACTGTTTAGTGCGGTTGCAGGGTAGCCACTAGCTCCCAGGGTAACAAGCTGAGAAGGAAGCTCAAGGCGATGGTTTAGAGATAGCCAGGCACGCTCGTCTGCGTCGATATCTGCGTCTGGATCTCCCTCGCCGGTCCGGCTATGCGTTGAAGATGATGATTCCGAGCTTGCTGCCTTGCTTGTGCCTTTCTCGTAAAGAGAATGGGTACTACGGGCTTTGGAGGGCATACAAGAGCGCCAGCCGCCTACGCCTTCGAAGTCCCGTCCTTCATCTCCGCAGACGGGAAATCCGAACGGCGTTGAGGGATATAGGTTGTGGGCTTCGATCATGCTGTGGGCGTAGGAATTTCTTCTCCTATTTTCTGGCTCTTCCAAGCTCGTGCCAATGGCCCACGATGCAAGAGTCTCATTATTCTTTCGAGGCTGGGCTCCATGCCCGGAGTTGCGTCTGGACCTACCATCTGCTGGGGTTGTAGGTTCCGAAGCCGCGAATGTCAACAGTGACGACGTGGAGGAGGTAGGCACTGAGAGGAAATGCAAGAGTAGTCCATAGACCAACTCAATAGAAACCACCGAGAGCCGCAATACCAGCGCGAATAGCGCAAATGATATCGTTACCCATGCTGACAGGATGAGTGGAATGGAGATGACGGCCAGGAGAGGCAGCGCAAGCAAGGCTGTTAAAATGGACCACATTGAATTCAATCCTCCCCAGAAGGAGAGAAAGCAAAGAGCCCGGGCATGGTAAACAGTTGCTCGGCTTGTCTCGATCTGCGGAGTAAATACATGTGATGGATGCCCCAGGCAGCAACGCCGGTTACATCACTTCTGACTTTGTATATCAACTTCAATCAAACATCATCTTACACCTTACACCACTATGTCCCAGCAATTCCCTTGGGACATTGGCGTCTATGATGCCCACTGTCATCCCACAGACACCATGGCCTCAGTGGCAGACATCCCACAAATGAAAGCGACAACTCTGACAATCATGGCCACGCGAGGCGAAGACCAAGACCTTGTACAACAAACAGCGATGTCACTCGGTAAATCAGGGCAATCGCCAGAAAGAGCGATTCCCTGCTTTGGGTGGCACCCCTGGTTCTCACACCAAATCGTGGATGATACCGACGCAAACACAGCTCAGCAAAAAGAAGACCACTACATGGCTGTATTATCGCCCTCACCAACAGAAGACAAATCATTTATCAATGCTCTTCTGACTCCAAAACCACTCTCAGAGCTTATAGCCGAGACCAAGGCCCGACTACAATCTTGTCCAGACGCCCTAGTCGGCGAAGTCGGCTTGGATAAGGCCTTCCGCCTTCCGGGTATCTGGTCACCAGATGAACTAGAGAATCGAGATGGCCAAGTAACACCCGGCTCGCGCGAGGGAAGACGTCTCTCGCCGTATAAAGTGAAGCTGGATCACCAGCGCACAGTTCTTAAAGCACAGCTACAGCTAGCTGGGGAAATGGACCGCGCTGTTTCGATGCATAGTGTGCAGGCGCACGGCGCGGTCTTCGATACGTTGAAGGAATTATGGAAAGGTCATGAGCGGGTTGTTCTCTCACGAAGGAAGAGGGATAAGCAGCAGGATGCGGAGGGTGCAGTGTCTGAGGATGAGGCATCTGCACCAGATAGTAAAAGCCCACCTCCTTTCCCACCGCGTATCTGCATGCATTCGTACTCTGGTCCTGTGGAGCCGATTCGACAATTCCTACATCCGTCAAATCCATCAGATGTTTACTTTTCTTTCTCGAGTCTTATCAATTTCAGTGGAGCTCCGGCGCGGAAGATCACTGATGTTATCAAGGCTTTGCCTGATGACCGGATCTTGATCGAGAGTGACCTCCATACGGCAGGTGCGCAGATGGACGACTTGCTTGAAGATGTCGCTCGGCAAATTTGCAAGCTTCGAGGATGGGAATTGAGACATGGTGTCCAGGTGCTTGCGGATAATTGGCAACGTTTTGTATTCGGCTAGGCTTTGCATTGCATCTGTTTAACTGGTAACATACCTGTGTGGCTGACCCTCTGGCTGAGATTCATTGGATTTACTATGCAACTGGCGAAAAGCATCTCTGGCGCTGGCTTGATGTTGTGCATATTATATGGTCTATTTGAACTAGAATATACAGGAAGAACGCAGACAAATGTATTCGATATCAATGTTTGCAATTATATGACAGGGTATATCTCTATCGAAACCTGTATGTGATCGTCCGACATGGCATCGTAGGCTCTGAGCTTGTATAGAACCTTTTGTCTGTAGAAGATTGTCCTACATGGCCTTGAAATGTATTGTATGTGTATTTGCGTGCCCCGGCGTGGCTCGTCTCGTCGTCAAGGGGTAGGAAGAAAGGAAGAGAGGGAGGTAGTGAAGTAGTGTGAGGGAGGTATGACAACCTTCAGTCGTAATGTGATAGAATAGCCAAGGCTAATGATGAATCCATCCTCCGTCGTGGATGAGATCTGCCATTGGGGCATCTTGCCAGTAAATCTGTCTCCATTCGTCTTCGAGTTCGGGTAGACCTTCCACTCCAACAGGTGGAGGCAGATCTACATCACCGAATGCGAACAGTTGTCGCCAGTCAGGATAATCCCGAGCCGGCTCGACAGAATCCACTTGCATGCTGCTTGAGAAAGGATCGTTTCTTTCCAACGGACCAACATTGAGTCGAAGAGGGGCGGTGATCCAATTGTCAAATTGAGTATTGGGCTGTGGCGAGAGGTTGGAATGCTGTAGAGTTGTGGAATCCGGAGTGTGAACACCAAACGACATGGGCCGGGGTGTTTGCGCCATAGACGCCGTTGAGGCCGGAGAAGCAACGGGCATCTTGTGTGAATGTTGAGGATCACTAAATGGCTTAGGTCGTTCGGTGGTTGCCATGCGAAGATCCTCTTGCAAGCGTTTGGAGTCTTCAAAGAGGCGCAGAATTGTGCCAGCATGAACCCAGTATTGAGCCAACTCGCGCAGCGAGTAGGAGGCCGAGTCGAAACGCCGCAAAGCATTAATAGCAAGAACTGGGTTGGAGAACCGAAGCTCAACCCGGACTTGGATCATGGCTGTGAAAAGAGTATGAACACCAGTGTACCAGAGGTATTTCAAGCGGTCATTCATCCTGAGCTCTTCAAAGATGGAGGCAATGACACCGGCAGCTGCACTACAGATTTCTGCATCGTGGGGACCATAATCGTCGGAGTATGCCGAGGCTCTGGGATGCGGCCTATGTAGCAGAATGAGGAAGTTGTTGTATGTCAAGTGGAGCATGGCAGACCATGGATCCATGTCAGATGTCCGGAGACGAAGGTTATCAGGAAGTTTCAGAGACCAAGTTGCCAGTGACCCGTCAGCTTCCTGCAGAACAGCCTTTCGTCGTTCTTCACTTGCGCGAAGCCCAAATCGATCACGAATGAGGTATGATATCATTGTACAAAGTTCAGTGAAATGTATCACATATTCCGCTTGTACATGAGGACCGCAATTCTCGAAATCAGCAGGAGTCAAAGGAGAAACATCAGAATCGTCCAAATTGCTAATGTGAGAATTGATTAGCATTGCGCCAAAACGATTCATTGACAGTCACTTACATTGCTTGGGGTCGGCCATATGATAGAGATATTAGCACATCAAATTGGACCAAAATGAACCAAACTCTCCTCCACATTCGCCTGTCGCGGGTCACAAAACTACTGGAAACGGGGTTTCGATGCATGCCAAGTCCCGTGGCGATTCGTGCAGCTGCACCAACCCAAAAGTGAGCATCTGCAGCAACATCATCGTCCGCACTGTCCGAATGCCACGTCAAAAGAAGGGCCGCTTGGACAAGAATGTCTCGGTTTCGCTCAATGCGATTATCGAACAAATATTTGGTGCGACGGAAAAAGATTTCCTTAAGAGCGTCTCGCTCTACCTTTGCGCGGGAAACATGTGCTCCAATAAGGAGAATGGCTTGCAGAAGTAAGATTGGCGGTGGATCTGCCGGGTCCCGATTCCGATATTGTGTCATGAACAAATCCTCATCAATGATCGGGTACCCTGGATTGACGTAGGTGAAATATGCCTGCACTAGTTCATCTGCAAGTGCCGGTTCAGGAAGTGTCAGGGCATCCATAAGGAGCTGATCATGACCGGTCTTCATTTGGCGCCGGGGGATCTCATTGCTGGCAAAGTGGTATACATCGTCATCTTGGTCTCGTTGTTGCCGGATCAAAAATGACATGTTTGATAGTTCGTGTCCGACATAAAAGGCACGCACACCTCGCTGGATTTCCCTTCTACCGGAGTCCTCCTCATCAATCAATTTCACGAGATGTTGCTCCATCTCCGTGTGTGCCTCGTGAGCATGCGCCAAGTCCGGGCCTTGGCGCCCGAATGCCTCCGATCCCGTACCTTGCTGGAAGCCATTTTGCGGAATACCTCCAGCGAGTGGTGTATGACCGGGAAACGCAGTTGGAAAACTTGGAGGGAGCGGCGTCCCCGCTGCAAGAGAAGGATTCGAAGTAGGATCAGACGCGGGGAGTGGCCGAGATCGGATCGGAACGGGATCTAGAATTGAGCGCACCGCAAGCCGCTTTTTCTTTTCGTGTATACGGCAGTCGGCCTTTCCAGAGGCGCGACAATTTGTACAAGGGGTTCCGACGACACGGGCATCACAGCGAACTTTGCGCCGGTGGCAATGGACGCAGGCGGCGGAGCCTAAGAAATTTTTGAGTCACCAATTAGCCGCAAGCCTATTTTTGCTAGAGAAGTAGCCGCAGAAAGACACAAATCGTGACCAGGCGAAAGCAAAGGAAGAAATCAGTACCTTGCTTTCGCTTCGCCCCGTCGACAGGTAGCGGCGATGAGTTATCGTTGACGGAGGACATGGCAAGTCATCCTAGATCCAGATGGACCAAGATTCTGCATCATTCGAGTCACAAAGACCGGTCATTCAAGGCGACATGGTCGACAAGCAGATAAAAAAGGAAGTGTCCGCGCGGTCTATCCCGGGTAAGGCGATAATGAATCGACGAAACTCGGGGCGAGATCGGGTCCTCACGTGGGATGCGGAGAGGGCACAACTGCTTATGTAAATCCACCTCGCCACCCGTGGATGACACTTCCATGGATAGGGCTCTATATATCTTATGTATTTTCTATAGAGATGAAACCGTCTCTTATGGAGGTAAAGCAAGAGAACCTCACAAGATATGTCTTCGGACTTGCAGTTTACTCTTAGCACTAGGGCATACGAAAACCGCTATGGTCCACGGGGAAAACTAGCAAGTATCCAGCTGGCCTCAGTCAACAATCTTCCTAAATATGCCCTTGATTCTCTCTTCAAACTCGAGAGCACTTTCTCCTACTATGTAGATACGTTCAAATTCCACCAAAATGCTACGCTCTTCCAAGTCTGTCTATGCATCACTTAGGCTTATTGGCATGGCATGTTTGCTTCAGAGACTATGCCTCCCTTGTTTGCCTGCCCTAGTCTACAGGACTATTTAGTCTGCTGCTCCCTCATAGAAAATTATCACCCTCTTCCCCCTCTCCGTCCGTCGCTTATGTATTGTTCTCACCTCCTTCGAGTTCAAAGCTCATTTGTACATTGGATTGTCTTTGCCGCTCAACCCTCACTCAAAATCAAATTCCCACATAAATTTGAACCTCATTTCCACTTTCAACCGTCTTTCACGCCCAACCTTTGCTCTGGCTAATATCTATTTGCTCTTTAGGTGTACGTTGCAATTACACTATGCTATTCATTTTGATTCGACGTCCATGTTCTCTACCCGCACATTCCCCTCCCCCCAATTCGAATCGCATTTATCTCACTTCATTTCTCCTTATATTATTGGAGGGTGAAGCCAAAGCATCGTCCTCGCGTGGTCGTCGTCGGCCATCGTGCTGAGGAATCTTGGACATGACTGTCACGACTACTGAAACTCAGTCATCTGCATCCGACGGATGGACCTAATTCTGGGACTACCTGGCATAGTGCAAAACGGACACCGGGAATATCGTCGTTGCACCATTGACACAGCACGCCATCCTAAGGCACAACTGCAAATGTATTCTTGATGATTGTGGGAGTAAGGAGTGAAAGGGTGAAATGGATGAACATAAAATCCCAAGTGAATTTTCAAATCAGAAGTTAGCGATTATGAGATCTTTGATGGCCCCGAAGCAGATGACTGTGTTACCGAGGACAAAGATTAGAAACCTAGTATATGGCGCACCTGCCCTTAAAAGTCTTCTTGAATGGGATTGTTTCTCACAAATGCTTGAGTCAGTGGATTCTGAACACTGGAAACACCATCAGAGGCTTCTGATACTCGAGTTTATACCACTGGACGATGACGCATGTGTCTACACCAAGGGCCAGAGCAAGGAAATGAACAGTCTCATTGTCCATGTCGATAATTCCATCATTGCGGCTCCTTCGGACGCCGAAGTGAGTGAAATCGTCGCCAGAATCGATGGTTTTTTCTCCCTGGTAAAGACCTCGAAGAGCAGTAGGTCTTCCTGGGATGCCCCCGAAGCCGAAATTACGATGCGGGAACCATTGCTATGCGCCAGACCGCTTATGTCCTTGAAACCTTGTAAAAATCGATGACTGACGATACGACCTGCGTTGAGACGCCGATTCTTGCTTCATGGAAGTGGTCAGAGCTTGAGGATGCAGCAGAGATTCTTAAGGAGTGGAATAGGACGCTCTCCATTGCATTTCATTCCAGCCAGCGTGAAGAGCTAGCAGACGAGTTCAATGACCATTCCAGTGACCTACGCGTTTTGATTTCCACATATGTGGACACAATGTGTTTGAACTTGCACGAAGTTTGTGATGGAGTTGAGCTTTAAGGTCATGAGCAAATCTGGGGACAGAAGTCCTAAGCATATGAAAGATGTTTGCGCGTCAGTCACAGTCACTTAAAAGCCAAGTTTCGGCAACATCCTGTTAACAATGACTTTCCTCTAGGTGTTCCTTCGATTCTGTTGATACGACATGGCCAAAGACGGGAAATTTGTCTAGACCATCAGGAAGGATTGATATATTTGCGGGAGAATGCTACTAATTTCCTTCGAGAAGTGTCCAAGGCAGTGGCTTGATGTTGCGTTACAGGGACATTCAATCATTTCGCTTAGTGGCTACTAGACTTGTTACCAGACGTTGGGGCTTCGGACAAAAGTCGCCATTAAATCCTTCTCTTTGTCCGGCCCCAGTAGTGTTGGAAAGCTCGGACCATCGGGCATCGGCAAGTGGGCCAATAATAGAGTTCAATCCAATCAGAAACATGGTTTGTATTCAGCCTCAATCCCCGAATCGAACACCACTAGAGACTATTGAAGTTCACCGCTGAGTCCAGACCAATGACGATGGTACTCGTGGAGCAGTGAGCGATACAAGAACTAATTTTGTGATCTCATCGCCGATCGGGCCCCAAATTAGTTCATTCTTTGTGATCTTGCCCCCAGGGTGGCTCTGTTGATGCTGCGGCTTTAACATCCGGAAACTACAAGATCCGTGTGTGACTCGTGATATCAATAGCGATGCATCAAAGGCATTGGTATCGAAGGGTGTCGAGATGGTTGCAGCTGATTGGAATGACGAACAATGTCTCGTCAAAGCCTTCAAATTAAGTCACCTAGTGCACTGTTTACATCATAAGACTGGCTAATTTTAAACAACAGGGATCATACGCCATCTATACCGTACCTGATTTCTGGGCTAGCTTTGCGACACAAAGCATTGAAGACAGTATCGAACTAGAAGCTATGCAGGGAATAAATATGGCCAAAGCCGCTGCTAGGACTGCTTCCCTCCAGCACTTTATCTGGAGTACCATTCCAAACAACGTTCAGATTCCCGGAGGAAAGCACTCTGTGGCTCACTTTGAGGGCAAGCTCAAGGTCGACCAATTCATCAAACAAGATAAAGATTTGTTGAGCAAAACGCCATTCATGTAGGTCGGTTAATACGCCACAAACATCATTTTGCCTATGATTACTCCCAGTCTCCTTGTCAGTATTACTCTTCACTCTTCCCCAATTGGTACATCATTCATAGATATTGAGTCGTGCTAAATACACATTAGAAAGCATCTGGCAAATATCTCCAGCTTCTACCAGTCCCAGAGGATTGCCCCATCACCACCGTAGGTGATCCTAGAATCAAGCTTAGTATCTACGCAGTGGCTATCTTGAGCCAGCCCAAGCTCACCCTACCTGGCAAAATTGTTCTGGCAGAGCCTGAGACTAGAACAGTCCGAGACATAGTAAAAATTGGGTCAGAGGTTTCAGGAAAACCTGCCGAGTACTCACAAATCCCGATTGAGCACTACGATAACCTGTGGCCGAAATGGGGCCGTGAAATTGGGCAGATGCTGCAGTTCTGGAATGAAGCGCGCGAAAAGAGCTGGACTTCAGATCATCCTGTGTTGACCAAACATGACTTAGGAGTGTCTGGCTTAATCGATGTGAAGGAAGTCTTTGCCGGGTTTGATTGGCCTTCCTAAGTCTTAAGTCTGCTTTGGCCTGAGGAGTGGTACGTGCCAATGTACAAGCAGATCTTTCCGCGTGGCGGGACTCTCTTGTATAATCTGTTACAGTGGAATTGGAAAATGTACAACGAGTGACTATAGTTAGATTTTCAGTGCGAGTATAAAGCAAGTTTCCGAGGAGGGCGATATTGAAACTCAGAGAGTCCACGACGCCTCCTCAACCGCACGAATGCCTGCTGTGTTGAAGCTTACCAGGCCCTGTGAGCTACACAAAGTGCAGTAACAACAATGTCCCCAGGGCGGCTTCCTCTCCATCTCAAATCCGAAAAATGAAGAACGAGACAAAAGGAGCAAGACAGAAAAGCGCAAAACATCAGGCCAAAGTGGCAATGTCACTCCTACCACACCAGATCATAGATGCCACCATAAAAAGACTCGGTATCCCCTGCGGGAAATACCCGGTTAAATCCTCGGATTAGCTCTCAGACCTAAACTATCCTTCTGAGCACTAATCTGAGGACTTATCCGGGCCTTTCCCGTTGGGGATCCCGGAGCCCCTTTATCCTGCCATATACCAAAACGTGTGTAAGGAGTAATCACAACACGCTTTGGTCTTAATAACAAATTAGTCCAATTAACTTTCAGTCCGAATAAACACGGGAAAGCGAGGGCTTACCGTATCACTCTGCACTATCCATGATTCCCAAGTTTCTCATGACCGCAATGACAGCGTTTATATCGAGTCCGCTGTCAAGAAAGACAGCCCCGATCAGGGCCTCCACCGTAGTGGCCATAGTTTTATTCGAAACCATCCCCCATTGTGCCGGATTGATGATGACATGCTCGTCAAGTCCTCTAGAGCGTCCCAAGATAGCCAGAGCGTTGTTAGATGCTCGGTTATTGAGGATGTTTGTCATTAACTCTAGAATATAGGTTAGCTCGAGGTGTTTCAGAAAATCAGTGACAAAGCACTTACCGCGCGAAGAACTTTTCGAATACCCATCAAAATGGAATGCGAGGGCAATAGCCGCATCTCCAAGGAGAGCGTGGCTTTTGTTGCCGTCAGGATATTCGGGACTCCAGGTCTCCAAAGCTCTGCGAAGCAATGACACATTAATGAATATGTATCCCAGGATATCCATGACGGCCTGATCATTCTCTGAAGAATGTGTCGTGACCATTTTGATGTTGAAGGGATCCGTATAAACAAATTGGATGGAGTCTGGTGGTGGAAAGAGAAATGGAATGCGATAGTCACCAGTTGCGGGCACAACTATTTATCTTTCACCATGCGGCTCTTCGGCATTAGAGTTGATTCGAAGGCTTACAGGAACACCTCGGGCAGCAGTTGTCGGACCGCAGGAGTTGACTTGACTGGTTGCCTGATCCCTCTCACGCAAGTTGACTTGGCCTGCCACTTACATTGGCAAACGCGCGGTAGAGCCACTCGACCAAACGATGACGTTATTAGTTATTTGGTTCATGTATCTGCAAGCAGTCATCCTGGCTTTTTCCCTCAGCTGCTCAAATCAATATGGAGGGTAAAATGTTAGTTACATGGGTAGACATCTGCTAACTCAGCACACTTCGTATTGTCAAAAATGCCAAGGAAATTTACAACAGATTTATCTACCTGTCACGTACACCCGTATACAGCCGCATTCTCCTTGATCCTTCCTTCTTTTATACCATTGGATGCCTCACTTCCACCCCAACCGGGCATCATTACATCCGAGTTAGAGGACAGGCGTAGGCCTCGTTCGAAAAAAATTGGGGAAGGACACTTCCCACCAGGTCGCCTACGAAAGCGAAGCGACTGCGCGTCCGGCACGATCCACGCATGCTCTAGAATCTTATTGTGGAGCTGGGCTGAGAAATGAGCGTCAAAGAGAGACGCCGGCATTTTGGATCGTCAAAATGAAGGACAAGTCATTTATCGCCAAATAACGCTGATAGGTTGATACCCTCGAGCTAAGACCCAACCCAACGTGGGTTATAGGTTGTATGGACCTAACCTAACCTAACCTAAAACCTCACGGTGGGTACCTATTAGGCATTGATGGGAGCAATGCTCACCGCCGAAAAAAAGGCATCGGCTTTTGGAATCAGTGGTCTCTAGGAATTCTATCTCCAGCAGAAGATTCAAACCAAACTCACGGTCATGTCTCGACCATAATTTTGCCTCTTTCGCTTTCAGTTCCTCCTTAATAGGCTTTCTTGCCCACACGCAGTTCCTTAATGTTATTAGCGCGAAATAATTCAACGGTGCGATTCAAGCGAAAAGCAACACGAGTTCAAGGATGGTAGAAGTTCAATAAAGAATCGTGTGCACCAAGATGATAACTACCGAGCCCTACTGGATTTCTCACCACTTCGAGAGATTCGGGAGATCGGCAAGTCATCAATCTCGGAAACAACTCACACATGCGCACGTTTCTCCTTACTGTACGGATGTACGCGGAGTAGGCAAGTTGGAAAAAAAGGATTTCGCGGTGGATGTAATAGCGAAAATGATCGACCGTAAGACCCACAGGCAAACAATAGTCATTCATGTCAATGCACAAGCCAATTCGCGGGGCCTTGAATTAGGGGGTCAGTCTTCTACATTTAGGACTCATCCTATTGCCCGTAGAATGTAATGCTTAGGAGCTGCGGCTCAAAGTTGTATGATTGCCCGGGGTAAGAATGTGAACCGGCCTTGTGTAGATCGATCAGACTGAGACAGGTGGGCCTGCAAGCTCACTAGGGCTTCAGCTCCGAAAGAACGCCGAGTTCGATATAGATCTCAAGCTGGACGGACTCCGTATGTGGTGTCCTGGTCCAATCACCTTCGAACTATACCTAAGTGATCGGCAGTTCACCATTTCAGAGCGCAGAGCCAGTGCCGATATGCAAATTATCGGCAGCCACGTCCAGCTATTGACCCCTTACAGCATTATCCTGATTTCTCGCGAGTCAGCCATGAATGAAATCTTGGAAAGCCTCCAAGGCGGCCCCTTATCCTTTTATCCGGGATCTGTCAAAGCATGGAAGTACTTATTATCCTGCAGGACCCCATTGATGTTTAATCTCTGCGCAACAGTGTAAAGACGCCTCTAGCAAGCATGAAGCTGTCCACGCTCCTTTGTTTTGCGGGACTCAGTTCTGCTCTGCTTTCCCTCGAGTCTCCGAGAAGGTTTGTGCTTAATCTGACTTGGGACACAAGGGCGCCCGATGGAGTCGAGCGTAAGCAAGCTTTGATCAATGGCCAATTCCCTGGTCCTCCGCTCCAGATGGATGAGGGCGACAAGGTTGAGGTGACTGTGAATAATTACCTGCCTTACAATACCACAATACACTATCACGGCCTTGAGTGAGTCCAGGTCTTTCGAACCTATCAGAACGAGCATTCATCCAAGAACAGACAGCAAGGAACATCGTGGTCAGATGGTGTACCTGGAGTTTCGCAGCGGCTCATTCCTCCTGGTGGAAAATTTGTCTCTAAATTCACTGTCACGCAGCATGGAACATACTGGTAAGCTTTATTGTATCAATGTCAGAGTCTGTTATGCTGAGTACTCATAGGTATCACTCGCATTCTGCTGGGCAAATTATGGATGGGTTGTACGGGCCCATCTATATCAGGTGAATTTATATCCACATTGAGAACTAATATCAGCAAGCTGAGAGTCATTTAGACCTCGGACAGCCGCCAACGACATGGCCAATGCTATGGCAAATGATACCCTGACACGGGCTCAAATCTATCTAGCGATCAGAGATCCTAAATTGGTCATGCTCTCCGATTGGTTCCACAATACCTCCGAAGAACTACGCAAAATTGCTTTAGATGCAGACATCGACACATTGTAAGTCTAGCGTATATACTGGCACAGCAACACCTAACAAGTCGTTTAGATGTACTGATTCTCTCCTGGTCAACGGCAGAGGAAGAGTGCGCTGCGTCGACCCTGGATATGCGAGCAGCCTGGTCCCCCCTGCCTTCTCTTCCCTGCTACAGGGTAAGAATTACACTGTCAAAGGGTACGTATACAATCTGAAGAGCCTGATCAAAGTCTCATTATAGCTCACAATTTATCATGAAGATGTCTCGCGCTTAGTAACACATACGCCCAAACAACATATGCGCAGCACAACTACAGTGCAGTTCCCTCTACCATGTACAACGAATGCAATGCCACAGACGCGGAGGAAGCAGTCATCCAGGTTGAAAGCTGGAAGGGATGGGCAAGTCTCAACTTTATCGGCTCGGCGGGCATCTCGGTTCCAACTGGTATATTTGGTGGTATACCTCATCGGTGAACTTTCGACTAACCGAGATAGTCTCTATCAACAACCACTCGCTTTGGGTGTACGAAGTTGATGGCCAATACATCCAGCCTATCCGAGTCGACGTATGATATCTCCCCATCAACCGATAACAAGTCGCAACGTGATACTGACCATGTACCCTTTTCTAGGCACTGACACTCGGCAACGGCGGTCGCTATTCCGCCCTGGTAAAGCTGAACAATACAGCGGGAGACTATCCCATTATTGTCGCCAATTCCGGATTGAACCAGAAGATTGCAGGCCGCGCGACTCTGTCATATGCCCACGGCGATCCCACCATCGATTCCACGCCCTCTATCAATTATGGTGGTAACAGACTTACTTCTGACGTTGTCGTCCTCGATGAAAACACCATCAAACCGCTAATTCCAAACAAACCAAGCCAACATGCGGATGAGACCTACCTGCTCAATATTGGACGTTATGGAAAAGCTTGGAGATGGTCCCTCAATGGACACCATGCTTACGACCTGGCTTTGGAGGCCGAGAGGCCTATGCTGTGGGATCCCCAGTCGCAAGAGAACAGCAGTCTGGTTATCGCTACCAAGAACAACACCTGGGTGGACATTATCTTCAAGGTCTTTGGTGATTCTACAACCCTTCAGCCTGGTCATCCGCTCCACAAACACTCGAACCCGGTTTATGTCCTCGTGAGTTCTTTCAGGCCCTTGTGCCTCGTCCACCTGTTCCTAACGTTATTCAGGGTTCCGGCACTGGCGAGTTCAATTATACTTCCGTCGCAGAGGCTGTCAACGAGATCCCAGAATCCTTCAATCTGGTTGATCCTCCCGTGAGAGGTGCGTATGAGTTGACATTGACTATCCTGATTTTCGCAATGAACTAACAAGTATGCTTTACAGATACCTTCACCAGTCCAGCAGCCTTCCAAGGACAGGCCTGGTTGGCGATCCGCTATCATGGTTTGTGCTTCAGATATTCTATGTAATTAAATATAGGCTAACAATGTCTTTTTTAACAGTGCAAAACCCAGGAGCGTTCTTCATGCATTGCCACATCGACCCGCATCTGACAGGCGGTATGGCGTAAGTGACTCTCCCTGAGCCGGGTTATAAATACCAATACTAACCAGAGCTCGCAGACTTGCTATGCTGGATGGTGTTGACACCTGGCCTACTGTTCCAGCTCAATATGGCCCCGAGGGCTACTGGGGCAAAGCAGCATAGGTCAGGTTCGAAAAGAGGATCAAATAGATACACACATTAGACTTGGGCGTCAAAGAGATCCTGGTAAAATAATGTGAGTATCCTTATAATATCCAAGGATAGGAAGATTAAGTCATATAGCTTAATTTACAACTTCACTTTCAGAAGATAGTTGGTCTCACCAGACCCTACGAAAATATAGATTTCGTCTGTTCTAGTTCTATAAACCCTCCCCCAATATATAAAATACTTTGATAAGAAACTGAAGACTCTCTCAAAAAGCTCCTCCGCACCGCAAACTACGGGCTTGACACTCGGTACCTTCAAAATCTGCGCAGCGTTTACCTTATCAACAAGGGGCCTGGTATGCCGCTCGAGAGGTTGCATTATCTCGACATGAAGCTCCTCGGATGCATGGCACTTCCCGACCACCTCCCGCCAATCGAGTTTGTTCCACCGGATAGCCGTCGGATAGCCGAAAGCGAGCATAACAAGATGATAGCCTTGCCTAACTATTCAACTATCAGTCGAATTGTCATCTCACATTGTTCTATCGGCAAAGCTATCTGGAATTTGTTGCACCTAGCAAGGTTCTTCGGGAGTTTGGACTCTATCGGTGGAAGAAAGTGGTGGGCTCTTCCTTAATTTTTACCCAAAGACTTGATCAAGATTCTTTGCAATCTCAAGGAGACTTTGGAGGTATCGATTTTGGTGTGGGTGAGAATACACTAGAAATGGGGTTTGATTTGGAGGAAGCTTACGACGTGCCGACACACCGATGGTCATACACGGCTCACTGAAGGATTTCGTCGCGTGAAAGGGGCTGAGCATGAATATCTAGCTTCTGCGCGATTTCACCAAGGGGTAGGGTGAGGTCAGGAGGAAGGATGCCATGTTGGTGGACCCTTCGGACAATCTTGAGTATTTGTGTCTTCGCGGATATAAAAAAGGTGTAGTTGAGGAGTGGGATGCTCAGGTTGATGGTTTGGTGGAGCTTTGCGAGTCAGGTTCATCGCCCTGAAAGAGGTGAAGGGAGTTCATAACACGATAGCTCCGGCGCAACATATTGGACATATCGATTTGGAAGAAACCCCGCCTTGGGATTTGAAGGATGCTGGGTACTGGAGTGATGACGAGCGTGGCTTCGATGGTGATAAAGAGGAAACTACTTAGACACTCGTAGATGTGATTTCAGAATTCGAGGAATCGGCTGATCAGTGATCCGGCTGACCGATCAACCAAATCTTCGGATTCTGTAACGCAAGTTCATTCTACCCATTTAAGGCCTATGTAATTCAATAGAAGGTTGCTTTGAAGCAAAGTACTGACCTGCAATACCCGTGGATGTTGACTGGATCTCGGTAAACATATGATCAACCCCTAAGACCGTCAACCGATGGATACCGTTCAAATCATTTCCAAAGCGCAAAAGGAGGCAGATAGTAGGAGACAGTATGTCATTTAATCCAATGTACAGTCTCAGTCATCTGGCGAAGCCCATAATACGTAATAACCCGCAAAACTCCAAGAAAATAAACGGCCGTGAAACAGGCCTGGTCTGTCGAATAGAACGCAATCCGAGAATAGGTGACCCCTCTAGGTAGAGACACTCCACATTCCGCTGTATCAAATGGCCGAGATAACGGTGCAGATAAACACTGAAACCAAAGACGCCTGCACGCCTCACGCTTCCGCTCTGAAATCCACAAAGATGCCAGTCTCAGCACATGCATCCTTTGCTAAAATGGACTCGCTAGTAGGAGTCTCCGCCTGCACCGTTGTGGGATTGGCCAACCATGGCTGGGTAGCCATAGGCCGCGGCATCTTGCTCCGACGGGTCAAGGTTGGGGTTAAGCAGGGGGTTGCCAGCTTCGGCATCAGGGAATCCTGTAGGGCGAGCCGAGCCACCGACAGGTCCTCCGGCTCCATAGCCAGCACTTGGGGGTCGCTGGTTCTCACCACGTGCAGATTGGGTCTATAAGTTGGTTAGGATTTCAAACCATATATGCGCGCGGTTGCTGGGTAGGGATATTATTTCTTACCTCACGGTACTTGGAGAGGTAAATCTTGAGTGCTTCCGCGTAGTTCTCAAAGCCAAGGGAAGTCATGGCGAACAAAATATCTTCACCGTTGACAGTCTTTCGCTTTTCCTGTTGACATTTCTCCGAGGCTGTCGAGGTTCATTAACACATGTATGACACACGGAGAAGCTTCGAACCCACCTTCACTTGTGATGAATGAGATAAACTCGCTCACGCATTCCTGCATGCATTCCTTGGCTTCTTTCGCGATCTTTGCATTCTCAGGCAGCGCCAATTTCATAATACGTGCCACTAAATGTCACTTGGGTTAGCATATCGGGGGTTAAACTCGAAGAATGATAGAACAAAGGTAGGAGGGCATAACGAAAGGAATCAGATAAGCGCAATATGCGACCGATAATCCATCTCATAAAACCACCGCAGGCGCATGTCCAGGATCAAATAAGATGAAAGCGGGACTATCAAAAGCGCAGTTGGGAGGACCGAAATGCGGGGGAAAGCAGAGGGGCAAAGGTAAGGTACGCGCAAATCGGAATAGAAACATGCAAGTTGACGCAACTAACCATTTGCAATCGGAAGCCACCGATCTTGCTCCTTTACCTCAAATTCGCCCTGGTGTCCTGACGGGTCGTGGTGGTCTTTGTCCATGTGCTCTTGTTCTTCACCCGATTGCACCTCGGGGTCGAGTTCAGGTTCCTTGGAGGGGGAGGTCGACGACATGATTATGAGTGATTTAGACACGGGCAGTGGAGCCGGGGTTTGGGCGTCAATGCTTGTTGGTTTCGCGTGCCTGTTGTCAGACCACGTCAGATCTAATGCTGGCGCGCGATCGATTGCGTTTCGGACAGCGCAGAGTCGGCTGCGTCAAAACGGGACAGGGTTGTATCGGCTGGGTACGAACCGCTTCACAGTAGCCTCAGAAGAACGAGTCGGGGGAATCTGGCAATAATGCGCGATCTAGCTCTATGCGAGCGCAACCTGGATTAGCTTCGTGGTTCGGAAATGGGATGAAACCCGTCAAGGATTAAGAAAGGCGATCGCGTCGCACCCGCTGCTGTGGAAATGCCAATCAAGTGCGCCTCACGAGTCGGGTAGGGCCAGTGAAGCTTGAGTGGTGACGCGGGATGCAACGCGGGAGCAGCGAGGGTGGGTCAGATTGGGGGAGCCCAACTGTCCGACAGGTGCAAGTCGCGCAGGGAAGAAGAAGAGCATACCGTATAAAGCCTTAGTGTCTTAGTGTCTTCCGATTCGTCTGGATCTGAGATCAGAGCGCTAAAGTCAGCATGGTGTTTTGAGTGGAGGGCATGGGCTGTGGTCAATTGGCGAACCACAACTCCCTGGGCAGATCGAAGGGACGCCTTCGGTTGGTCACTTACCAATGTAAATATTTAAACGTCAAACAGGGTCACAACAGCAACTATCAAATATACTAAGTGAATGCGCAGGTTTCTTGGCCAAATCGAATGATTATGAAGCGGATGAAGCAGCCGACACAGTCAAAGAGGGGAGAGAACGAGTTCAGCTCAGTCATGATTGCATCCGATTTTCGCCGCCTGAGGCAGCAATAGGGGTGTATAGAGATTACGACTTGTTACAATACGTGCCACGTTGAGATAGTAATATTATGTATTTGAGATACCATATGGAAATGCTGTCGATATTGCATCTATAGAAGCTGCACTGTGCAGATATGAGATCACAGTTGTACGGCTGCCTTGGTACTACACCTTGCATAAATCTAACCTTAAACTGCATCCTTCATAGCCCAACAATGCCTGGGTCATTTTCCATTACGGTCAGGCATCAAACCCTACATAGAGCATACAGATATATGCATATGAAACATTTGCATTTTAGTTGAATGCTCACTTCTTGCTACCTAAGGAAATCCACTTAGATAAGTCTCATTTCCACAGCTCTTTGCTTTTGATTGATAGGAACCATGAGAAATATACAAGTCCACGTGATAGGGCTAGCACGATAAGTCATCTACAATATGGAAACATACGCCTTGTTTTTTGAAGCCCAGTGGGCCAATTGAATACTCACCATGACTTTATTGGCTTAGACCGATATATGCAACCCGAGGGTACGTACCCCCATGACACTGTTAGGCCTCCAAGATCCAGAAGATATGGGTATATTTCTTGGTACTAATGAACACTATGAAACAAGGAGCCCTTGCAAGTTGGCATCAAAGCACGAATCAACGCTGCATTATGTCTAATCTTTTGCCGTTCCCAGTAACGCCGGTAGTCTCATGCTCTCGCACTTCGATAGTACGACCGGGGACAGATAAAGGGATACGTAAGTCAAAATATAAGAAAGAGATGCCATTAAGGCTGTACAACCTGGATGTTGTTCTTCTTCTGTAATAGAAAGGCAAGTTAGCACTGTCCCTTTTCATGGGAGAGAGATAGCTTCAGGCAAGAGAAGTCCTCACGCCAAGACACCCTTACCTTCCAAGAATCCAACTCGCTTTGCTTTGACTTGTATTGCTTGAGCATATCCTCCAGTACTTGCTTCAGTCCATCCGAGTTCGTCTTGAGTGTGGGGAGCACATCCTGAACGGTGCGCTCAACCAAGACACCGTTCACCATGCGGAAACATTTGCGGTCTTGAGGAAGAGGGTCAAGGGTTTCGATAACAAGCCTGAGGAGACCAGAATGTCAGTACCATGTAACTTCATCGAGGAATTCCAGCTGAGCTGGTGTAGCTCCTGATCCAAGCGCAAGATCTCAAGCCAGAGGACCGTCTGTGACATTGGAAGAAACGTACTTGTGCTCTTCAGCTTCCTGCTCGATATCGCCGATCTTCTGTGCTAATTGCTGGAGGGTATTCTTGAAATTGGTGTACTGGAGCTGGAGCTCTGCATTGAGGGGTCGCATTAGTTTTCGCACCGAAGAGTTGGACGGTAGAAAGACATACCCTGTTGCTTCTTCGGATCGATCTGTTGCTGGCTAGACATGATGACTGCGTGACACTTGTGGTAATGCGGACAAGAAAGCTCGAGAATTAAGATGACGATGCGGGGCGGTTGCAGTTTGGTGTTTGGCGCAGGCCACTATGGACTGTCTAAGCACTTCTCAGCCCATAAAAAAAATTTCACGTTATGGTATTGGCAGATCTTCACTTGGATAGTCTATTCGTTTTCTTTATCCTTCTAATTTATTTTATTTACCTGCTGATACCGTGGTATGCGCACGAAAAAGTAGATTGTATATCACGTGACTGATATCGGAGTTTGCACCGTTTGCCCGCGATAAGTTCGGCGGCGATCGGTCGTCAAGTCAACTTCCACCACGGCTCTCAATCTGTGGTCCAAGTCCCATCTCTGGCCTGCAAATAGGTCCATCGCCATGTCTCGCGATATGGGTCCCCCGGCCAAAAGGCAGAAGAGCTCTGGCAACCTCCCGCCACAGCTACGCGACGCCAAGCGGAAGGATATCGACACTTGGGAAACCAATCGAATGCTCACATCCGGTGTAGCACAAAGACGCGACCATGAAGGAGATTTCATGCCCGAAGATGAGGAGGCAACTCGAGTCCATTTGCTCGTTCACGACCTCCGGCCACCTTTCCTCGATGGCCGCACCATCTTTACGAAGCAGCTCGAGCCGATCTCCGCTGTCCGCGACCCGCAGAGTGACATGGCAGTGTTCAGTCGGAAGGGAAGCAAAGCTGTACGTGACCGTCGACAGCAGCGCGAGCGGCAGAAACAGGCCCAGGAAGCGACAAACATGGCTGGCACAGCTTTGGGCAACTTGATGGGTGTCAAGGAGGATGAGGGCGACAGCGCAGTCGCTATGCCCGTTGAGGATACCTACAAAGGAGGAGGAAACAAGTTTGCCAAGCATCTGAAGAAGGACGGCGGAGCCAGCGCGTTCAGCTCGAGCAAGACTATGCGGGAACAGAGAGAGTATCTTCCTGCTTTTGCTGTTCGCGAAGACCTACTGAGGGTCATCCGGGACAACCAGGTTGTGGTGGTTGTTGGAGAGACAGGATCAGGAAAGACCACACAGTTGACCCAGTTCCTGCACGAGGATGGCTACTCAAAGAATGGCATGATTGGATGCACGCAGCCTCGCCGTGTGGCCGCAATGAGTGTCGCAAAGCGTGTCAGCGAGGAAATGGAAGTCGATCTTGGTTCTACTGTTGGATATGCAATCCGTTTTGAGGATTGCACCAGCGATCAGACGGTGATTAAGTGTGAGTTTGTTTCTGTACATGATACACGAATGAAGGCTAACTAGTATCCAGACATGACGGATGGTGTCTTGTTGCGAGAGTCTCTCGTCCAGACGGATCTCGACAAATACTCCTGTATCATAATGGACGAGGCGCACGAAAGAGCTTTGAACACCGACGTCTTGATGGGTCTTCTCAAGAAAGTTCTGGCTCGGCGCAGGGACTTAAAATTGATTGTGACATCGGCAACGATGAACTCAGAGCGTTTTTCGCGTTTTTACGGAGGTGCTCCGGAATTCATCATCCCCGGAAGAACGTTCCCGGTCGATCTTCACTTCTCACGCACACCCTGCGAGGATTATGTCGATAGTGCGGTCAAGCAGATCTTGGCTATTCATGTATCGCAGGGTCCGGGTGATATCCTTGTCTTCATGACTGGACAAGAGGATATTGAAGCAACCTGCGAGCTCACTGACGAGCGGTTGAAGCTACTGAATGACCCTCCAAAACTCAGCATCTTACCCATTTACAGTCAAATGCCAGCTGAGCAACAAGCCAGAATCTTCGAGAAGGCTGCTCCGGGCGTACGCAAAGTTATTGTTGCTACCAACATCGCCGAGACTAGTTTGACTGTCGACGGTATTATGTATGTTGTTGATGCTGGTTACTCAAAGTTGAAGGTGTACAACCCGCGCATGGGTATGGACACTCTCCAGATTACGCCAATCTCTCAGGCCAATGCAAACCAGCGATCCGGACGAGCTGGCCGAACAGGACCAGGTAAGGCCTATCGTCTCTACACCGAGACGGCCTACAAGAACGAATTGTACATTCAAACGATTCCCGAGATTCAGCGTACCAGTCTCGCAAATACCGTGCTCTTGCTCAAGTCTCTTGGCGTGAAGGATCTTATGGACTTTGACTTCATGGATCCTCCTCCGCAGGAGACAATCTCCACATCTCTTTTCGAGCTTTGGTCTCTGGGCGCTCTCGACAACCTGGGCGAACTAACATCCTTGGGACGCCGCATGACGCCCTTCCCTATGGACCCCCCTCTCGCCAAGCTCATCATCATGGCATCTGAAGAATACGGCTGTAGCGAGGAGATGTTGACCATCGTCTCAATGCTTTCAGTTCCAAACGTTTTCTACCGACCTAAAGAACGAATCGAAGAATCAGACTCTGCTCGCGAGAAATTCTTCGTCCCAGAATCCGACCACTTAACCCTCCTCCACGTCTACACTCAATGGAAAACCAATGGATGGTCCGACTCATGGTGCGTTAAGCACTTCCTACACGCCAAAACCCTCCGTCGTGCAAAGGAAGTCCGCGACCAGCTCCACGACATCATGACCGTCCAGAAAATGCCACTCATCAGTTGCGGCACAGACTGGGACATGATCCGCAAATGTATCTGCTCAGGTTACTACCATCAAGCCGCACGCGTCAAGGGTATTGGCGAATTCATCAACCTCCGTACCAGCGTTACTATGGCCCTTCACCCTACAAGTGCACTTTACGGTCTGGGCTACGTACCAGAGTACGTAGTATACCACGAGTTGATCCTCACAGCCAAGGAGTACATGTCCACAGTGACCGCAGTCGATCCTCATGTAAGTTACTTACCCAACCCTACTTCTTCCATTCCAGAACATATAATCCAGAGCATAAAGCTAACATCTCCATCAAGTGGCTCGCCGAACTAGGAGGCGTCTTCTACTCCGTCAAAGAGAAAGGCTACTCGCAGCGCGATCGCCGCGTAACAGAACTCGAATTCAACCGTCGCATGGAAATCGAATCGCAGATGGCAGTTGACCGCGAACGTGCTGCAGCCGATAAGCGGCGCGAGGAAGAACGGAACGATCCCACGCGCCGCAAAAGAGAAGTCGAGGCTGGAGCGGGGTCTGCCGTGCGCCGACCTGTCATTAAACCGGGGCGGAAGGTCGGCGGTCTTACTGCTTCGTCCTCTACTTCGTCGCGGCCTAGTGCCAATGGAAATGGCAGCGGTAGTGGAGGGGCAGGAAGGGGTGGTGGTTCTGGGGGGAGTGTCGTTAAGAGACCAACTATTCCCCGGAGGCCAGGGCGGGCATTTTGATTACAGTCTTAGTGTCAGCCCTGTGTATGCCGTTGGGCTTTTGAGTTGCCTGTTTGTACAACATTGAGTTGTTTTAAATCCATCTAGATGGATATAGTTGAATAGATACCCGCCATTGCATTTCAAACCAACCGGTCATTGAGCTGTACGACTTGATAGTACCTTACGTCCTTTAGTTACCTGGGCAGGTTTGTTTCTCTTTACCTACACCTATTCCATCTCAAAACTATGGGGAACTTGTACGAAGCAAATACTTGTGTAAGTCAAGCTTAACATTGTATAAGTGACTAGACCTAAGATATGAACAACCATGCCCATCCTAATCAGACAAAGCAGTAAAAAGGGAACAGGCTAAAAAAGAAAAACGTCCCAAATGCCAATATCTAAAAAAGACAGTATTTCCCAATCCATTCAATAACCAGCTCATCCAATCAATCCAAAATAGAAAAGAACAGGCCAGCATGGTACCGAAGGAAATGAGTAAAGCACCGACCGAGCACAGCTCAGTTAATAAAGTTGATGCAGAAAAAGTGTAGAATCAAGCTTCCAAAGATGTAATCGGCAAAGGCCCTGTTGTAACCAAATATTAGCAAATATCCCAACCCCGGTAATGAAATACAAGAAAGAACCCACCTCTCATGCGAGTAACCCGTCCCCTGCTCCTCACCCTGCTCATCCGCGAACCGCGCGTTCTTCCCCTTCGAGCTTGGCTTTGACGTAGCACCGGAATCACTAGTTTGCATGCGAAGACTTGCGGTAAGAACGAATTGACCAACGGCGGCACTGAAGCCACTCAGGAAAGCGTTGAAGGGCTGTTATTGAGAGAAGGTATTAGCTTAGTTCATATTGGTTTCGTGTATAATGTGGTTTATAGATTGTCATGTTGCCCATTTTTGGGTATTACCATCCATTGAAACACGAAACATAGATAAATAGCCCAAAGCAGAATGCTGATGATAACTCACGTAATTTCCAGCCAAGACACAGTATAAGAACTGCAAACCACCAACAAGAACAAGGAACACCATGAAGGCATCTAGAAGGAGTGTACGCTGCGGCGTCGTGGTGGCATATTGCTGCCAAACATGCTGGGCAATTTCTGTTGCTGAGGCGTTCGTCTTCAGGGTGGCTGGGCCTGAGGAGAGGGGCTTTGGTGTTGGGGTTGTGGGTGTGGAGGGTGTTACAGAGGTAGATGAGGCCGCGTGGCGCTTGGGAGGCATGGTTTTGGGATCGGGGGTTGTCGGGTGCTTTTTTGGGGTGATGCAATTGGGATATCAGGAATTGGAGGTAGGGTGCACTTTTATGTCCCCAGTTTGTTTGGGTGTGGTCGGTGGGTGGAAGGGTAATGGCGGAGTGGAGGAGATCATTGATGCCAGCTTGGAGCTTCTCCGTTATCGCGTGGTCACGTGGTCACTGTTTGGAAATATACAACAGTATAAATATTTGATTATTTGACGGTTGTACATAAGGGTGATTATGCTTTATTCTTATTTCTTTTAACTTGATACGTTGCACATTATATTTGTATTGATGATATTGCACCACTACTGCCGTCCCCAACATAACATACATCATAGAGAGAAGAGATATAGAAACAATGAGGGGAGGGGATATCATCCAAAATCCAACGCCACAAATGATAGCATCGTGTATATAGTTACAAGCCAAGAGAAGACACCTCGTATGTAGATATGCAGTAGCCAGACGTCAACGGACAAAACATATCAAGATCAGTCCGACGCAAATCAGACAAACCATTCAGTAACATTAGTCCCCTTGGTCGGCTGAGAGGCATCATTTTCGACATCCATCTGGAAATCACGCATGACCTGGTCCCATTCATCCCAGCTGAGCGGAGGGGCTTCAGGGAATGGTTCGGGGTTCAAGAGGGGATTGCTCATGGCGGCGTTGTAAGGTAGGGTTGTTGATAAGCCCGATGGCGGGAGTGAATTCGTTGCTGGGATATCACTTTGTGTAGTTGGGGTATCGTAGATGTTCTGGGAAGCGAAGAAGTTTGTGTCGGGGAAGATGCTCTGTAGAGCATCTATGGGACCTCTGCTAAGGTCGATGTTCAGATCGGCGTCAGATGTAATCTGTGGAGATACGTCTGGTCTATTATTTTGGAAGGGGCTTGCCTGTCCCGGTGGCATATGGATCTGGGGAAGAGGGTGGTTGGGCACAGAGGTGATTTGAGCGCCGACTGGCTCTAATGGGCTGGGAGCTGGGCCAAACTTGACAAGCAATTCCTGGCTCTGTTTGATGCGGGTGGCTTCAGCTCGTTTCATTAGGGCGGCGAGGGGCCGCCATAGCATGCCCTTCTTATGGGTGGCCTGCACTGCCCAATCTGAGTAGAGCGAGCTAACGGCATTCCAGGCTCGATCGGTGATAGGGCAGACAGGGCGAACGCATATTTCAGACAAGACAAATGCAACACCATGCCATTGCATATTGGTCCGGAACAGCCAGCCCCATTTGGCGGTCTTTGGATCGGCTTCGAGCAAGCGGCCAAATTCGAGCACTTCGATTGCTGTTAAGAACAAGCTCTCGCGAGTTGCCTGTGAGACAGTGGTGCTGCGATCTTTCCGGGTCATTGGGTGGTGGACCATCAGCCACAGCTTGGCAAGGATAAGACGCCCCACTGTGGCAGCGCACCATTGGATGGGAATGTTCATGTCACAGTGTCTGATATACCGTTGTTCGCAGCGATCACTGATTACTTGAATCATCTGCTCACAGCGACTGATTGGTGGCTTATTGTCAAGTGCACGAAATTCGGCGCCGGGACACACGTAGTTTGCTCGTCGCAAAGCACTCGTAATCTCACAGCGAATGAGACAGAATGTATTATCGGTGCAGCCCTCCCGTTCTGCGGGAGCCTCAGTCATCTCGGGGTACAGGTCCTCATCGTTGACATTCAATGGAAGCCGAGTGTCGTACATGCTCTCATGGATAATAGGATCCGTCCCATGATCTTCCGATGAGCGGACATCCAGTAATGAAATATGCCACCATAGTCGACGGCGCATTTCGGTCTCGAACGGCTTTAGTGCGAAATTTGTTCCGTCGCGATGTATGCCTAGTCCTTGGGCAAGACGCAAGACGATGGAGGTCATAGACCAAACGAATTTGCTATCATCTTCTCGTCGTACACAAACCAAGAACAGAACAGCAGCCTGGAGAAGGACCAAACTTTGTGTATTCAGGAACCCAGCTTTTGCCAGGGCTTGCTCCGTAGCAAAGCGGTACCGTTTGACAGCAGTCGCGCGGTCTTCACCGAACCGGAATGCGCATTCTTCAGGCTTCATACTGACAAAGCTGCTCAGATACATAGCGAAGACCAGAGCCTCTGAATTCTTATCAAGCGACTCCGGGTGCCGCGCTGCCTCAACAAAGAGATTTCTGGCAGTCGGTCGATGAACGATAGTGATCAGAGGAGCAACGTTGTCCTTGTATGTTTCCCAAAGTATAGACACTTTGGAAATAGAAGGGTGAAACTCTCGAAGCGAGTGAGACAGCGAGTAGTATCCAAAGATGTGTCCATCATGAGAGCTTGAATTAAGAGAGTCTGGCGAGGGAGCATCATCTTCCTCAGAGTCAGAATGATCGAGAATATCTTGCAACTCCTCGATCTATAGCAATTAAAATAAGCCATGACCTGGTATAGAGACATTGATATATCATACCTCATCTCCAAGACTAGCCCAGAGTCGATTGCTCACATATCGGCTCCGACCTTCATCAATGACCAAGCGCCCGAGCTCGTTTTCAAGTCTGTTAGGGGCAGGGCTCTTAGGATCTGCAAATGGACATTCAGAACTCTGGCCCTGAGGTCCAGTCGGTCCAGTCGGTCCAGGGGGTGCAGCAGGAGCAGCTGCTGTAGGCACGGGCGCAGACGCAGGCGTGTCGCTGAGAACAGTAGAAGACGTCGTTAATGCCGGCGTCTGGGTTGATGTCCCCTCTGTACCCGAGCCATTACCACTCCTCAGGTGATCAATAACACCTTCCAAACGACGCAACCGCGAAAGCAGCTCCGCGTCAGGTGGGCGCCTCGATTTTCGCGGGGCACGGCCAGGCGGGGGGAAAATGCATTCAATACCTGCCTTTGTACAATTTGAGCATGGACTCCGCTTGTTACATCGGACTTTTCTGCGGCGGCATGTTACACAGCTGCGGGAGCTCGATATGTCAGCGTGGCGGGGAGCGGTGGCGGACACGTTGGGCGAAGTCGGGGAATTATCGCTGACGACCATCTCTGGCGAATCTGATTGGAACGACATAATGGAGAAGGAATGCAGGTCTCGTCTCCTACATTCTTAAGCAAACCATCTCTTTGCGGCTTTGAGCTTTGAAAAGATCACAGGAGCCTCACATGTTATCATGTGGGGCATGTGACTGGTGACTCAGCGTCTAGGCGTTTTCCTCTTTGGGAAAAAGCCGTTATCTCCGTGCGGTTGGATTGTTGGATTGTTATGGTATTGGAATTCATATTAACGCCTGGTATATGCAGAGGCACGCTAAATGACAAATAGAAAAAGCACTATGAACAAAGATCAGTGGCTCATGTCTCTATAATAGGATTGAGATCCGAGGTACGGACTGGCAAGTCATCGCCTCGCCAGCCTCGTCGAAGGAAGCGTTTAAGCTTTCGCCTAAAAAAAAAAATTGGTCAAATGTTCAGAGATACGGAGTACACCGATGTGAAAAAAAGAGGGAGGACTCACTTTGTAGATTCCCAGATCTTGTTCGCCCCGTTGAAAGTATGACTAAAAAGCCGGTTAGCCCCGTGGATCTATGTAGGGAAGATCGACATAGCGTACTAACCCTGAAAAGGTCGTCTGTGTCAGAGCCTTAGGTCCATATTCCTCCTCAAGAAGCCAAGTATAAGCATATGGAATCTTAACCGCAACTCCCTCAAAGGTGCTATCACGCAGCGGGAAAATATCACTTTCCTTAAGTCACAATTAGCACGACACATCGACATCAAGTAAAATGAGGGCACACCTCGTAATGATGCTTATCCTTGCAAGTCAACGCCTCCGGATGTCCATTCTTCCTCTTATTCTCATCCTTGCGCACAGCAGTGATATCAATGAAAAGGCCCGACGACATATCAATCCAGCGCGCGTCGATCTTGTTCATTGTATCTCGTTCAGACTTGACGACATAGTTGGGATTGATTTCGAGCATGTAGGCGCGACCACCATCAACGTCGGGGAGATCGAAATGGTGCTCTGTCATGTTATAGTATTCTGCTAGGAAGTGGATTGTTGCTTCTGAAATTTGGACATCTAAGTCGTTGTCCCACGGGAAGATCTATATTCTGTTAATTATTGCCTAGGTGGAACGAATGTGGAAGTGAAGGGTAAATCTTACCTTCTGATTCCACCACCAGGCCAGCAGCGTGCCGTGCATAATCCATGTCTCTGCACCGATGGCGTTCATTGTCGAGAAGTATGTTTGGACTAGGGCTGAGAGATGTGGGATGACATCTGATTCTGGGAGAGTTTCATTGGCGAAGCTGGGGTTTATAAGTGGATAATCAGGATAGATTAAGAAAGAGAGAGCGTACCGGCCGTCATAATGATAATGGAAACTGTGGTAGCAGTTTAGTTTAGTGCCGATATAGACATGTTATGTTGTTAACGGGGTGTCTCGACATACGATGATTCATCTAACACATTCTCGCGTGTCAGTTAAAGTTGACAGGAACCAGACGGCTGATCGACAAGGCTGTAAAACAGTATTAGGGCGGCTTGTACTCACGGAAATATTTCTCTGTTGGTATTTTCTTCTCGCTTTTATACTCTCTTGTTACGTTCTTTCTCACGCTCATGAAATCCGGTTCTGTCCCTGTACTCCCGCACACCCCGGAGACAATTGTTGCTAGGAGTAGTCCATGAAGCCAGCAAGCGGTAGCTAGAGATCGCATTCTGTATGGGAGATCGCAGATTCTGCGTATTTATGCGTTGATTATCGGCATATACAACGATTCTGATATATGGAAGGATAGGTTTGATTCGTATGCTGCAGGATCTGCCAAAAGGAGATATACGAGGCACGCGAGGCAAGGTAAGGATATAAATAAAGATTGTTGAATAGGAAAAGAGGTTATAATGCAAAGAAACAAAAGACCAGCGCAAACATCAAGAATGAAAGATGATGACCAGCACAGAAATAGGCTCAGTGGCTGAAGAACAATCCCCTTTCCAGCGGAGTAGATTTCACTTATCTCTCGCAAATTTCAGAACCAAAGAACAGAAACAAATTGACCCTAACGTGATCCATGATTGGGACTGGACGAAGCCGGCTTTCCGCCACGCAGCCAAAGAGGCTTGGTATTGAGCGGGAGCTGACGACTCCCATCGTACTCGTTCGGAGAACAATACTATTAACGAGGCCGGTATATCCGTGGATCGAATCAGCAAAGTCTGCGCGTTCCGCCACATGGACCCACATGGTAATGAGCTTGTCTTGTGTCGCGTGTTCAAGTGCCGGGGAATATTTCACAGCACATGGGTTTCATTTTAGGAGGTTAATAATATTGGATTAGAGAGAGGGCCGCGAATGCCCCTATTTCGTTGGCGTTTTCAAAAGTTAGATTAGTGCTGTTGCTATGTATCTGAAGGCGCAGCGGGAAGTCGATGTATACGCGTCCCTTCGATAGCATCATTTTAGTCTGTTTGACCGCTGCACTAGCACTCCGCACAAGACTGGAAGGATCTAATTTTGACAAAATGGGAAATGCATCACGTATGACATCCGGAGGCTCGGCGTTTTGACCGTAGAAACATGATGGGTATATAGTTGGATATCTATCTTTATGTCGATGTCGATACAAAATATATTGTCATATCTAATGCTACTAGTAGCCATTAGCTTGCTTAAAGTCCGCGTATAGTCTGCACTTATTAGGCGCAATTGAAGCTAGGGGTTAGACTTTCTACAGACCTGTTCGGTAGCCAAGAAATGGTGTAAATTGTGGGTCAGAAGTCGGCCGTTTAGACGGAGTAAGATTCTTAGGCAATGTTACATGAGCCACTTTAGAGTAATTCATTTGAAAGACTTCCATCTCACTAGTTAGGCCTCGCCTCGAATAAAGTAGGCTGATCAGCCAAAGTTCTCGGCCCATCGCAACCCTCAGGCAACCAAACCTTCACCAACTCGAAGCCAGCCATCTCAAGCAAAGACCTCCACTGCGTTTCCGTCCGTTCCAGCGACGCATAAGTAGCCATCATATGCAAATCGGACAAAACAGCAGACAACGCAACCCCAGATTCAGGCAAAACAGTCTCACTAATCAACAGCAGCGAATCAGCCCCCATAGCGACACGCAGCCGCCGCAGGATCTGCACGGCCTGCATATCAGGCCAATCATGCAAAACAGTCCGTAAAAAATAAGCCTTCGCGTTGCGGACGGGCTGTTCCTTGAAGAAATCGTGAGCCATGACTTCGATCCCCGGGAGATCAACGCCAGCGACCACAGCGGGCAGATCCTGCAAAATCAGTTTGCCTGGTAAGTCTGGGAAATAATTTTGGAATTTTTTCAGGTCTTCGCCCTGGCTTCCGCCTATGTCAACAATGAGTGGGTCGGACTGGTCTTCCACGCGCAGTCGTGCGACCGGGAAGAACTCGAACCAGTCTTTGCCAGTTCGCCGGAAGGGCATGCTCATTACCGTGTTGAAGGCTTGATGGTAATATGGGTTAGAGTTGAGGAAATCGAAGTAGTGAGCTGGTGTGTTGTGTGCGAACTGGAATGGCCCGTCTAGGCCGTTTTTGGGGCTCTGCCAACCGTTGGAGTGGAAGTATTCTGGGAGACTAGAGAGTATTGTCCAGAAATGAGTTCTGTTTGATGTCAGGCATTGGCAATGCTACGCTATCTCAGGGGAACTATCATACCCATGAATGATCGCAGCAGAAAGGGGCGAAGTTGACACCAGTGCAGCTGCCAACGGCGTCGTGGTATATTTGTCTACATCTACCTCATGGATCACGGACATGGCAGCCAGGAATCGCACAATCCGCCCTACAACTGTCTGTTGTAATTTACAATGGTCTGAGAAGCACTATGCATGAGCAATGGGCAGTAAAACGAGATGATTTAAGTCTACCTCCCGAAGGAGGCTTCTCTATAGCTATTTATAATGGTCAAATGCATACGATATGCCTTTCATGAAACTATTGCGTGATCAGCTCACTAGCAATATGAAAAGGCCACGTTGCTTGATGCATTCAACCAAGTGCTCTGAAGCTCTCTATAGCGCTGCTCAGCCAAGCATTAGCAGTGCTTGGCGAGCTTCAGATCACAACACACCCCCTGAATGCAGCAAGCATTTCAGAGGTTCAAAAGCCATAAAATTCAGCTCTAAAATGAATGGATAGGGTGTCAAATAACTTCCCCAAATACTCGATTCTGATCGGTCGAATCAGAATGCCATTTTGCTCATGGAGCAAGATATCTCTTCAGTTGATGAGAGAAATGGATAACTGCTTCCTGAACTCGTCAAATGACGGTTTCGGGAGCGGTTTTGTGAGGCCATCCGCTATATTACGGACACCTGGCACATGCGACAGCCGTATCTTTTGATCTTCGACGGCTTCGCGAATCCAGTGCCAATGGACGTCAATATGCTTGCTCCTCGAATGGTTTTTCGCGGACGTCGTAAGAGCAATAGCTGAGAGGCTATCACAGAGCAAATGCACTGCTTCACCCTTGTTGCCAATGCCTAGATCGTCTAGCAAGCGACGCAGCCATACGGCCTGGCTTCCTGCGTCTGAGAGAGCGTAGTATTCAGCCTCAGCTGAAGACTTCGTGACGCTGGTTTGACGGCGAGTACACCATGAAATAGGAGCGCCGGCGAGGAAGAATACCCAGCCGGTTCTCGATCTCATAGTGTCGGGGTCGGAAGCGAAGCTCGCGTCCACGCACCCCCACAACCCTAGACCTTCTTCAAAACCAGTATTGCCTGCTTCCTTCGCCTTGCCGTAAGTGATCCCATATCCGCTGGTTCTCTTGGCATAACTAATGGCGTGGTCGGCGGCGAGGGTATGCGATTCGTCGGGGCTCTGATTGAATTTCGACAGTATGGAGAATGCGAGGGTAAGGTCGGGCCTGGAGTTGTTGCTCGCATAGCCGATTTTGCCAGTGGTCTTCCTATATTCCTCGCCTCGTAAGGTGTCGGTAGGAAGCTCTGGATCAGCTTTCTTGAGTACTGCGATAGGATTCATCGGAGTAAGAGGGCTTGGTGAAGCTATCTTGGTTGTTGGTTTAGCAAATCCGTCAACATATGCTTGCTGGTCAATGCTCAGCAGCCTCTGCTTCCTGTCTCTTTTGATGCGAAGGCCAAGGTAATATGACACTTCACCGAGGTCGGAAGTTGACCATTTTGCTGAAATAGCTTCTTTAGTGTCGTTAAGAAGCTTCTCCGAAGTTGCTGCTATCAGCAAGTCGTCAACATAGACGAAGATGAGCACTATTCCACCCCCCTGGACATGGCGTACGTAAAGGCATGGATCAGCCTTGGTGCTCATGAATTGCCTGGAGTGGAGGTACTCGGAGAGGGTTTTATACCAGTTTGCTGCCGACTGGCGAAGTCCGTACAAGCTTTTATAAAGCCTGCAAAATGCTCCGCGGTCCTCGAAGCCTTCCGGGTAATGCATATACGTTTCTTCCTCCAAAGCTGCATTAAGATACGCTAAGTTGACGTCCATATGCGTGGTGTGAAGGTCTCGCATTGCGATGACGGCAAGGAGCACTCGAAGGGTGTCATATCGGCCAGTACTGGCGTAGACTTCGTCAAAGTCAATACCAGGAAGCTGCTGGTCTCCGCGGGCGACCCAGCGAGCTTTGAACTTCGCTGGTTTGCCCGCTGAATCAGTCTTCAATTTGTATACCCATCGACCACGAAGTGGGCGGGCGCCCTTAGGCGGTGTCGCCGTTTTCCATACACCGAGGGCTTCAAATTGTGAGATCTCTGCTTGCATAGCTCTCTGCCACCATGGCCATAGAGGTGAAGCTTTCGCTTGAGCAAGAGAGGCTGGAGAGTCAAGCCATTTGGTAGGGATTTCCTCCATGTTTTGAGGTAGGGTATGAAGGTCATTACTAGCCAGCTTTTGAGCTAATAATACCGTTGTAGTGTCTTCCCATGCCTGGATTTCCCTTCTGTCACTTTTTGAGATCACTGAGGGTCTGAAAGCTAGTGCTCTAATGATCTTGTCGGTTTTGGACGGCGATAGCTTGTCCTCCTCGGCCATATCGAGAGGAGATTGATTGCTTGTTAGGTATGCGTCTACTTCAGAGGTGAGATTGTCGGCAGATTCATCGGAGCTTTCTTCATTGTCCGATTCAGGGTTGAGGAGCAAGTGATCTGCTTCCTTGAAGCTTTCCTGGCTTTGTTGGCTTTGATGGCCAATAGGCTCATCGATTTGATGATGAGGAAGCTTGTTTCGAGGGTCTGGAAGGTCGGGGTTGTTGTAAAGGGCCCAGTCTTCTCCTTCCTCGAAAATTGCATCTCTCACTAAGTGGAGAGTGCCGCCATTAGGTCTAGTGCCGTCTGATCGCACTGGGTAAGGTCGGTAGACCTTGAAAATGCCGCCATTGTCATCTTCATAACCGACGAGGTAGCCGATTTCGATGCGGCGGGCGAGATGTTTGCCGACGGGGTCTTGAGCCACCTGCTCTCGGCCAAATACTCTGAATACCCGGCATCCGATGATACGAAGGTGAGAGAGATCCGGCTTCCGGCCATGGCGAAGCTCATATGGGGTGGTTGGTGGCATCCCGGCGAGTCGTCTACCATAGTAAATGGTGCGGTTTCGGACGTATACGACGGTCTTCATGATCTCCGCCCAGAGGAATGGCGGGAGGTTCGAGTCAGCTAAAACGGATCGCATTCTCTCAGCTACTATGCGCATCAGTCGTTCCACTTTCCCATTTTGCTCATGAGCATATGGAGCAATGAAATGCCAGTGGATTCCGCGGTTTTCAGCCCAAATTTGGAGGTCTTTCTGAATGAATTCACCCCCATTATCGGTCTGAATGGCTCCAATTTCCTTGGTCGAGTCGATAGAAACAAACTGCTCAATTCGGGCTTGGTGGTCCCTTTCGTACTGGGCAAGAAGCTTCTTGATAGCGTCTTTTGCTTCGTTCTTAGACTTGAGGAAGCAAATATCGGCCCAGCCATCGAAATCATCGATCATTAGGAGCCAGTAGCGAGCTTCAGTATTGAGAGCAGGTTTTAGCTTGCCGCCGCCGCCAATATCTATATAGACGAGTTCTCCGGTCTTTTTCGAGCGGTGAAGCACAGGTGCGCGGCGTGGTTTCAAAGTTGCTTTGCCAATGGCGCAGCATTCGCATGGCCTTTTTGAGGCTGACAACCCATCAATGTCAATGCCATTGACGATTTTGGCTGTATTCTGCACCCCCTGAATGCTGAGATGCATCATACGGCGGTGCCAAGTGTCGACATTGACTCGGGAGCGGTCCAAAACAGGTGGTTTTGACGCTTTTGACGCTTGCTCGGTTGCTATAGGCGGAGCTTGCTCAATTTGTTGAGCTTCCTCGATATGCGGAGCTTCCTTGGTGAGGCTCTCGGCATTCAACTCATCCGATTCTGTCGTCGTTTTCAAGGCATATATTGCTTTCTCAGTTTGATGAGTTTTAACGACGTTAAGCAGCCATTGTGAGCCATTCTTCCTTCCCGAAGTAAGGTGCGAGCCGTCCTTCTCAATGAAGTCAACCCTGGTTGGCTTATAAATGGCTGTAATGCCTTTCTTTGAGATACGGTTGCCGCTGAAGAGGTTGCACTGTATGGTCGGGCACCATATTGTATTGCAGAGTTCGATTTCTCTGGTTTTACGGCCCGATTTGACGGTCAAAACGACGTTTCCACGAAGCCCGTTTTGCTCTTGTCGTCCATTTATAGTGACTATGGTGGTCGTAATTGGCTTAGCAGTGCCAGCCACGAAGTAGTGAGGTGAAGAGATAAAGTGGTCATCGCTTCCTGGATCACATATCCATGCTCCTGGGCCATTTTTGGTGTTTACCGAGAGGGCTATAGTAGCTGGTGACGGTGATTCGTCGCTTAGCGAAGCGGTGAGGGAGGCGGTGAGTAGAGATCTTCTTTCTTCTCCTTTCTCTTCCTTTTCCCCTCTTTTTGGCCGTTTCTCGGGGTATTTCTTCCAGCAATTGGAGCTTTTATGCTTCCGGCCGCAGTGCTTGCATTTCTCTCCCGTTGCAGCGGTTGAGTATGCTTTTGATGTCTCGTTGGAGACGTTCTCTGTCTGGTTCTCTATCTCGCTGACGAGCAGCTCGAATTGGAGAATTTCCTTATCAGGGTTAGATGAAGCTGTGAGTCGAGACTTGAGGTTGGTCTTCCAGCTTTGCCATTTCTCCGAGTCGAGCTTTCGAATGAACCAAAGGCATTTGATTCGCTCGCTTTCAATGCCTTCATTATGGACCTTGGCCCATGCAGACTGAAAGGCGTTTTTGTATTGGTCGAAGCTGGCGTAATTGCTCAGCTTACATCGCTCAAGCTCCGCAATGCCGTCTTCAGCTACTTTGTATGGATGCGGCTTATAATTCAGCTCCAATGCTCTCCAAATAGCATGCGGCTGGTTGATTTTGCGGTGTTGTAAGAACTGGAGAATGGGCTTCGATATGTGATTGCAAATAACCTTTCTCGCGTGGCTGATGAATTTCTTTTGCATCATTGAATACCGATGGTCGGCTGGGAGGGCAATGACTTCGCCATATACAATGGCTTCAATTGCATTGTCTTCAAAGACTTGTTGCATGCTCATTACCCAAAGGGTGTAGTTCTCCTTTCCCTTCAAAGCTTCGAATTTGTCGTCATCAGTAAGCTTGCGATGAATAGTCGCAGCTATTTTGATGTGCTCGGTGGCTTTGCGAACGGCTCTTGCGTATTGGACCTCTTCATTGGTCATTGCCGGCGTCGGTTGATGGCTTGGTAGACGTCTTAGCGGTGCATTGCCAGTGGAAAAGTGAGATCTCCGCGAAGCTGTTCTTTGAATTGGCTCTCCACTATGGCGACTGGAGGCTCTAGGAGTATGTGTTCCGTTCGGGTGAGCTGTATAGCTTCTTCCCGGCTTGCTCGACGCAGTTCGGTTGCGATACATTACGTCGGCATCTGTATGGGGCCCATCGGTCTCTGACTGGTCCGATGGTCCATGGATTGGCTCACTTGGTTGAGTAAAGAGAGAGGGTGCTCTCCTACTTTGAATGTTAAGCCTATATCTATCAGACGTTGTACTGGCGTCTAAGACATGTGGTTGGTTGGTGCCAGTGATCTCTGGCCCATATTGAGGCAGCGAGGTCGAAGCTGGCTGCTCTCTTATTGGTTGGTTGCCAATTGCTCGCGATGAAGGGCCCGGCGCCGAGTCCTGGATCACGGTATGCGTATCGTCTTCAACATCAGAGGGGTAAGCGTCGCTCATTGGTGGAGCTTCACTTTCACTCCAATCGAGGTGATCGGTCTCGAGACGGCGACGTTGAGAACGTGTGGTGCGTCTATCAGACATTGTTGGAGGAGTGGACTCAGGGGTAAAGCAAGTAAAGAATTGATAGCAAGAATGAAGCTATTCCCGGCTTACGGAGACGAAGCCGGGCTCATAACCTGTTGTAATTTACAATGGTCTGAGAAGCACTATGCATGAGCAATGGGCAGTAAAACGAGATGATTTAAGTCTACCTCCCGAAGGAGGCTTCTCTATAGCTATTTATAATGGTCAAATGCATACGATATGCCTTTCATGAAACTATTGCGTGATCAGCTCACTAGCAATATGAAAAGGCCACGTTGCTTGATGCATTCAACCAAGTGCTCTGAAGCTCTCTATAGCGCTGCTCAGCCAAGCATTAGCAGTGCTTGGCGAGCTTCAGATCACAACACTGTCAACACAAGCACAGCACACGGATTAAGAATGGATGCCAACTTACTGGCAAGCAGGGGATCGGCCTTAATCTGCAATTGCTCAATATTGAACGCACCATGACAGTTGGATATAGCATCAAACAGCTTCAAGTCCACAGCTAATCGAATAGCCATTCCTTGGTGGCCCTACCACATGTCAATTGCCTGTCAATTACCTCCACAGGGGATCCACACGGCATACCGAAAATACTAGACGTGAGGCAATCACCAAAGGACTCTCCAGCCGAGTCCGTAGTCTGTCACATGCTTGCAGTAACTGGGTTTTTTGTTGCTCATCCAATCTATCTGGATCGACGGCGTCGAGTTTATGTTGCAGATCGCTCATGTTGCAGTAAAAATAGATTTAATTGTGATACTTTATCATTATGATTGATCTTTTCTTTTATACTCTCTTTGAAGCCGAATTCAACGAATATCCCGGCTATTCTCTAAATTGAATCTTGTCTCATGTAATAGACCGAAAATCCCATCGGACTCGGTATATTCGGGGAATTCTCGTATAACGTTCAATGTCACGTTCTGAAGTGTAACCCTAAGAAAGTCCAAACGACCCGGTGTCCTAACCAAAGTTTAAAGGATCCATCAGACAGTCTACAGCGAAGTCAATTCGCAAACTGCACCAATTCGAGCAAATCGGGAATAGCCGTCGGGCGCTGATGGGCCAATATTAACTTATAGTGGAGATATTTGAAGTGCCTGATTGGTTAGGTTTTAACTCTATAACTTCACTGCCTGTTCCTCCCATTTCCAGCCACCGAGGTTGGCATCTTTGGACCCTGAATTTTGCGTCTAAGTATTGGCTCACTGCTTACCCCAGGAGATCTTGGACCTGTTCATTCTTACCTAATTTCTTCCACCTTTCGACTCTCACATGTTTCTTTCTGATACCAATGACTCCCGACTAGTTTTCGTTACATTTGTTCATGTGCTCCCATTTTGACATTCATTCGATACGATGAGTCGAAATACACACTAACACTTGGCCCGGATTTACCTTTGAGGCCGTTTACGTTCCCGGTTCGAGAGAAAGTGCGCTATTTGTGTGTCGTGTGTCCACAGACATAATTTTATGCCTATAGGGTGTGCCCAACTCACTCTCGACCCCCCCAATCTCACAAGATAGTGCTAGGATAGCCCACTATCACGGGCCCCCAAGTCCAAGATCCAAGATCCAGTGGAAGTGAACATGTCAGAGGCCTCCACACCCCTGGGAGAATCAAGCACACTGCAACCGGGCTCGGCACAGCAGCTGAACCGCTCCTGTGAGTCATGCAGAAGTCTCAAGGTACGCTGTTTGCCTAGCCCGTCCACGCCTAATCAGTGCCAGCGATGTGCGAAGGGGAAGAGGACTTGCGTCTTCGTGCCCCCGCAGAGACGCCGGCCCCGTAAGCGGACGGACTCACGTGTGGCACAGTTGGAGAAGGAGATGCGGATGATGCGTTCGCTGTTGAAGGGTCGGATTCGGGAGGAAAGTGAGCCCGAGTCGGAGGGTAGTGAGGTTGATGATCGGGATTTGGAGGGCGATGGGGAGCTGAAAATTATGCGGGATCATTCTGCACATTCTTCGGATCGATACATGGATTATTCGCCTGAGTTGATGAATACCCATCCTGGTGGGCATGATGGTGTGCCCTTTTCGGGTCCTCCGTCTTTCGCTGGGTTGCCACCTGGTTTTGAGATGGAGGAGACTCCGCCTGTTGAGGATGTGATCGACCGGGGTATTCTCTCTCTAGAAGACGCAGAGCAGTTGGTGGCATATTTCATCCACGAGCTCGCATATCTCTTCCCGTTGGTCGTCTTGCCCCTGAATACAACGGCAGCGCAACTGCGACAGACAAAGCCAGTCCTCTTTCTCTCCGTCATCGCGGCCACATCAATATCCGTCGACGCTGGATTGGCAGCGGTGTTAAATCGCGAGATGGTCCGGCTCTATTCCGAAAGGTTCTTCATCGAAGGCGAGAAATCACTAGAATTAGTGCAAGCCCTTCTCCTCATGATTGTCTTTTACTTCCCACCAGCGTCGCCCCTGAAACTGCAATTCTATCAGTACACGCACATCGCCTCGACGATGGCGCTTGAAATCGGTCTCGCCAACAAGCGTCGAGTCTCGAAGAAGTCCGACCGGAAGAACAGACCTGAGCCGCACGATGAGTTGCTGGCTGAACAAGCAAGAGCGGTTCTGGGCTGCTACCACCTTGGCTCAACGGTGGCGATGAAAACACGTCGACAGAATCTCCTCCAGTTTAACGACTGGGTGACCGAATGTGTCAAACATCTCGAACACTCCCCCACCGAACAGATCAGCATTTGGCTGTGTGGTTCGAGCTTCAGCGTATAACAGACGAGGCGATGTCTTCGTTCGGTCTGGATGATACCAGTGCCACCTCGCCTTTGACGGAGTCAAGAGTACAAGCCGTGCTGCGATGGTTCGACAAGCGAATGGATACATGGAAGAAGAATACTCCTTCAGCCATGCTGACAGGTAAGTCCTTCTCCAAGCATCCCATTCCCAGCCCATCAAAACTAACACCGCCCGACTCCAGTTCCAATGATCCTCGAATACCGCTCCACAGCCCTGGCAATGTACGAACTAGGCGTAGGCGAAGGCTACCGCGACCCAGACGCAATAAAAAGACGCTACTTCACGCTCCCAACCCTCGACGACGAACACGAAAATGATCCCGAATCCTCAGATCCAGACCCAACGACTGCCCCAATCCGAACAAACACACAACAGCCTACCAGCACAAACACCCTCAGCGCAATCCGCATCGACATAAACATGAAATGGATGAACGCCGCGCAGGAAATGCTAGACGCAGTCCTAGCATGCAGCATAGACACGATGCGGAAATTGCCCAACTTGATGTACACACGGCTAGCGACGGCCGTGACAGCATTGCTGAAGATTCATTTCTCTGTGCGGACTGGGGCACTGGGAGAAGTCATCACGCCCGAGACGGTGAATGTGGCATATTATCTGGATGCTGTTGCTGCGAAACTTGGCGAGGCGGGCGGTGGTGGAAAGTACAAGATTCCTAGTCGGTGGTATCAGGTCGTCGGCGTCAGAGGACGGGATTGGTATGAACGATTGGAAAGACGGTATAGCGGGAATATTGGGGTGGGAGTTGGATTGGGGACTAGTCCATCAACCGGAACAGGAGTCACAAGAGAGCCGATGGGCATATCAGCTCAAACACCAGGTATTGGACCAGGATCACACCACAGTACCGCAACACCCTCTTCAAATCACTCCCACACCCACCTGAACGTGAACGTGAACCCAAACACACAAACACAACCAGGAATGGACCCCTACCCCGTCTCAGCAGCCGTGAGTCCCATCCCACCACACGCACCGGGAATAGAAAGCGGCTATGTAGCAATGAGCGGAGGACCGGGAATGTGGCCCGGGGCTGGTCCGAGTCCGATGGATGCGCAGAATCCACATTTCTTCCATTCCATCCCACCGGGGTATCAGCCTTTGCCTGCGCATTCACATCCAGCCATGCAGCCGCAGTTTGCCTATGAGGCACAGCGGATGCCGGCCCAGGGGCATGTTCAGGTTCATCAGGGTCAAAGCCAGGGTCAGCCACAAGCTCCAGGGATGCATGGGACGGGCATGGAGCTTGATGGGTGGTTGCCTGATGGGAGTATTTTGGGATGCCGCCGCTGCCCGAGTTCTGATAGTTCAGTTGGCGCTGATAGGGTGAGCAGTGTCAGATCAGACCAGATCAGATCGGACCAGGCTGAGATGCGGAGTTTGGTGTGCACATGCTCGTTGGAGTATATCCATTGATTCTTAGGATATCAACACGGTTGGCTGTGTTGTGTTTGCATGCATATGTTATATAACTATTGAGTGGGGTTAGTAAACCCGACAAACCACAGGAATAGGAACAAAATAATGAACAAAGACATACTTTACTCACCAAATAGAGACCAAATCTCTACTCAATCAATAAAGAGAAGTGAGAGAGTGTGTGTCAAGCTTCAGTCCAGGTCGAAGTATAGAAAACCCCAACAAAACAAGCCGATACCCAACCAAAAGCCAAGCAGGCAAAAAGAAAGGAAAAAGAAAAAATCAACCCAAACCCAGAAACCGGGCCTATGCGAATATTAATACCGAATGCCCAAATACCAAAACCAAAAACCAAAAAGGAACAAAAAAACCCAACCGGCCGTTCACCTCAACGCATTTACCCCCATTTACCCGGGCTCGAAAAAAATGATATGGCGGCATATCACGGAACATCGGGAGGATCGGAAGTTCCGCGGTGTGTAGAGTCCGATTACCTGTGAATGGGTCGGTGGGTATTTGGGTTCTTGGCGGGCTGGGATATGTTGGTGCTTGGTAGGACTATACATAGATATGCATGCATAGATATGTGCAGGTGGGTGTAGTTGTGCATTGTGGATTGTTTAGGTGTTGATACAACATGCTTCCGAATCCGAATCCGAAGCCGGATCCGAAATTTGTTAAGGATGCGATGTGTTATTGAGGGTTGGGGGGTGGTAGATGTTTGGAAATTGATAAGCCTTCAGCTCGGCATATGTTAACTATATCTCCCGAGAACCCCATATACTCATCACCGCTGTGGATATGCTGTGAGCTTATAATGGTGTAGTTACGGGAAGATCACCGAATAGAGTACTGTATCTCCGATGAAAACCAGGAACAGGGGCCCTCGGGGAATCTCCATGGACAATCTTCGGGGTAACTTTTTTGTTCGCGGAAACCATGCAGGTCAGTCATTGCTCTGAAACAGGGTGCTCGTGGGGTTTATGAACTAGTTGGATATGTATGGAAATAAATATTGTAATAGACAGGTAGCCATGGGTATCAAAATCGGACCACCGAACCCGAATGGGGTTCACCAGACGCCGAGACCAAATGAAAAGAATGTAAAGAGAAAGAAAGTTTACAACCAAACTCATAGCAGCATGGATCCAAGTGCATAAAAGAAATCAGGTAAGGCTAAATGCCTCCAACGCATCTAAGAACCCGGCGATAGCACCAATACCAGCTAAGCCCCTTGTAGCTTTCTTAGTTAAGTCTTTCCGGCGCTCCTTAGCCTCCTCCCTTGGTTCTCGGGAATCATGGGAATCATGGGAATCGCGGGAGCTGCGCGAGGAGTAGTGACGCGAGCGGGTTGGTGATCGATGTCGTGAGCGAGGCGATGGGGGTTGGAAGCCCATTTCGGGTGTAGATGTCGAGAGTGGGTAGACTGATGGATGGGGCCGGCGCTGTGGGTTGTTGTTATATGGGGCTTGGGGCTGGCCCCACGGAGGCCCGAAATGGACTTGGTTTGGTGAGTGGCCTCGGGAGGATGGGTAGGGTGTTGTCATGGAGGGACCGGTTTGTTTGTTTACTGGGATTGATCGAGGGGTTGGGGCATAGGGCTGGGAATTATTATGATTGTAGGGTTGCTGTGGTGTGCTTTGAGGATATGCTTGGGGTGGTTTCGTTTGTGAGTGAGGTGACGGTGGTCCTGAGAAGTGCGGTGGTGGGCGTGGTAGGGTGTGGATAGGAGGTGGGAAGCTGCCACTTGGATATGGCCGGTTCTCTGTATTGGTCCAGCTAGAGGGATATCGAGAGGAGAGACTGCTGGCGTGGACGCGACTGGGAACCTGCTTGCTGTGAGAGGGACTGAGAGTTGATCTTTGCTCGCCCTCGTCGCTCGAGTCAATAATGATCCTGGAATTATTTCGACTGTCTCCCCGCTTGATTATATCTTCCGGCTCTGACTCGATTTCTACCCGAGCCTGGTAATTTGAATACTTTCGGCGGAGTTCAGCGGCTTGCTGTCGTGCTTCTTGGGAATGGGGGTCTCTCCAGTCAACTGTGGGTCCCTCGATATAGTAGCCCCGTACATCGAGGCCCTCAAAGTCCGATCCGGCGTCATCATCGTCAGTGTCAGAGGAGACATAGACACGAGGTTGGGCATGCTTTCCAGATGCATCGATCAACTTTCCAGCATTTTGTACCTTCGAAAGATCAATAAGGGGCACCCAGATTGAAAGTAAACGGTTCATGGCACTTTCAGAAAGCTGCACCATATCCTTTGGCGATCGTTCCATGTTGCTCAGACCAACATCACTTTCTCCAAAAGTCACGACAGGCATTCGGATAGGATCAGAGGCACGAGTAGCAGCAACCGATGGCTTCGACGCGGAAGCCGTGCTTGACAAATAATTTGAATGAATTCTCTGATTTGTCTGGCTGGTTGCTGCATCTCTCGCCTCCTGTTCCACGAGATCCCAGAGCCGGTCAAGACGTTTCAATGACCAGTAACGTACAATGATCATGTTCTGCGAGTCTGCTTTTTCTTGGGCGATGGTGTCATCAGCAACTGATGGCAACGACTCAGCATCGATTCCATCATCAACGTTGGATTTGATGATACTCCCAAGCTGTAAAATCTGAAGTAAAACAATCAGACTGAGCTTAAGAGAATCAAGTTGTGCAAGCAAGTAGGTTACGTGCTGCTTCTGAAAGCACCACTTGAGTCTCTCTTGGAGAGGAATCCTCCTCAGGTCATCATCCCTATCGGTTGACTTTAGCATGTCCAGCATGTGTTCAATCTCGATGAAAATCATCTGGCCCTGGCCAGCGATCTCCCATGCCTTCTCTGTTGCCTCTGGTGTCCGATGGAAGCCCGTTGATTCAATAGTCTGTCCAGCATCCTTGAGGGTTAAAGCAAATAGTGAGATGCCCTTGGCGATGCTGTGTATCTCCAGCTTGGACTGCGCAAGTTGACAAGCTGCGGCATTAAGAAGCAGTGAGAGCCGCAGCCCCGCACCGGCGATCTTAACAATGGAAGCCTGGGAACCTTGAAAGAGAGTGGCTGTTAGCGGGGTCATCTCATTGTCAGAGAGAGATCCTACTCTGCGTCATGATCGGATTGCGTTGTAGGCTGCGCAGGGTCTTAGGTAGGATGAAGCATGTGGGGAAACAGAAGAAGAAAGAAAGTTGCCCTGATCAAGTAGCAAATCTGATGTACGGGGAAGAAATGCCAAGAAGCTTGGGGAGCCTCAAGCTGCACAAGTGACTCAACGCCCCGTCAAGTCCGCAATCCCCGTGCATGACGCCATGAGGATGATTCTCGCACTTTGTTTGGCCGGGGAAACAGACAGAGCGATCCTCAGCTGCAAGTAATATACGACGTCTTTGAAGTCCCGGGCAAAAGCACCCGCACTGCCTCAGTCGAACCCGATCGACATGACGTCCCCCATGCTCGGATCTTTTCTTTGTTTCGTCCAAGTACTTATCAGAGACGCCTCGCCCGTACTTTGATGTTTGCTATCGGGCCTTGAGCTGGTGAGATTTCGCTTCTTACTCGGGTATGGACGATACCGCATTGGGCAAGGCTGAGGCGTTGCCCTCGTATTCATTCGGGATTCTGCAGATAGGAAAGCTCCAAGGCTGACTCGGAAGGTATCATGTTTTATGAGCTCCGATATCTGCGGTCCAGGGTCTTTGTTTTGTATCAGGATATGACGATATTCACAGTTACTGCGCGGTACCGCGAGCCTTTTGGCCACGCCAACCCAGTAGACAGCACATAGACAATATGGACGTATTATATTGTAAATTAACTTATATTGTGGATGAAAAGTGGCAAAACAAAGTAGAGCGAAGCTGTTTTCATGAAGTATTGACAAAAACATTCTGGGGAAGCTGGAGGGGTGTCCGCTTTCGGCCTTGCAATGCAAACCAACAAAACTGCGCAGAGTACGGAGTATCCATATGTCTTATACTCAATAAATATTCAATATCCTTCAATATCCAAGTGTTGAGTATAACACTGTGGTTTTATTTGATATCCCGCATTGTCCGCCTAGCACTCCTTTTCGCCGCGTGGCCACCGATCGTCACTTGCGGAGATCCAGTCCGATGACCATCAATTGGCCCCCCATCGGGCATGCAATATTGCACTAAACGAGACTGACAGGTCGAAATACGTCGAAATACAACACCTAGCCAACTGTGAGCCGGATGGGTGAGCTCTTGAAGCTATCGCGAAGGAACGTGCGAAGCAACGTGCCACTGGGATCCCACACATCACCCCTCTTGGAGCCTCTGGGGTTCTCTTGTCCATGAAACCATGACCGTAACCTCGGGTGTCACCGTTGACACCTCCGACAAACCCACCTCCCCGTCGAATGCGCCTGATTCACCTCAGCTTCCCCAAGGAGGCTCCCCCACAAACCAAAATGGGAGAGACACAGAACGAGCCCCTCAACCAGCGACGTCCGAATCGGCCGTAGAGACAGCGAAGCATGAATCTACAGAACCAGACGAGGTCGATGATTTTGGCCTTCCCATCCGCGCACGCCACAAACCCGATCCCCCCACCAGCGAGCCACCCGCAAACGAAAATGCCAATCACGAAATCCAGGAGACAGCTGCAGGCTCGACAAGCTATAGTGAAGCTCTGAAGAAGCCAGCGAAACCAGAGCCGCAGGACAAGCCCGAAGGTGAGACGGCCCCTGAGCTGGCCAAGGTCAACAACACAGAACAACCAAACAAGGATCTGGAGGGCCAAGGCGCTGCTCCTGAAGATGCAGAGAAATCACACGATCTGGATGCTACTGCTCGGCCCCGTACGTCGACCTCAAAGCCCAAACCCGCCGAGATGTCGGAATGGTCCCATCAGCGACTGAACCAACCACAACAATCACACCCCGTGAGCGACGACTCAGAGGAGGAACCCGAGGAATGGAAGTCGATGCCCGCCCTTGGAGAATTCGACTACTACGATGACTATGGGAGATTGATCGCCAAAGGTGCCAAGGAAGAAGACGACGAGGCCGTATACCAAGGACTAGGAGGAGCTGGGAAAGGCTATACCCGAGTGCAACTTGATGAAGATGCCCAGTCTGCCACAAGTCTAGATGAGGACACAAGCTATTTATTCCGAGAGACAGGAGGAAACTCTGCCGGTCTAGTTGGCGAGGAGCTTCGAGACTCAATCAGCCAGCTCCAGGCTACCAAAGACTTGCTCAATGAGACCCAAAAGATCGCATATGTGGGAGTTGTCAGGCTGTCCATCCATGCTATGAACCGTGATTTGGCATCCATCTCCACGACGAAATCTACACGCAAAGTAATGCAGAAAGCGTCGGATGCCATGAGGAAATGGGGCCAAGCGATCATGGCTCGAGTCTATGCTCATATGGATATCAATTCAGCTGAGCAGATTATGATCGAACAACTTGCGGAGCATGGCGTGCAACCAGAGGACCTGGTACGACCACTCATGCAAAATGCGCGAGTCAAAAACCCCATGGCCGAGAATGACCCGAAAACTTCTACATCTACGGCGGAGTCTCCCAGTCTCAAAAAGGACCCACAACTGAGGCTGTCGGCAGAGTCAGATACATCCTCTGAATCGGACCCTCCACCGCCATATGAAGCTCAGGAGACCGAGGAACCCCCAGAGGTCACGACTCCTTCTCAGATGCCTACTACTGATCGAATCGACATCGATCTCCGATGGACCGTGCTCTGTGACCTATTCCTTGTGCTGATCGCAGACTCGGCATATGATGCTCGGTCACGAACGCTCTTGGAAAGGGTCGGTGCAGCTTTGGATGTAACATGGCTGCAGATCTCTCGGTTCGAGAAGCGTGTCACGGATTCACTCGAGATGCAAGAGCAAGCAGACAAAGAGAACTGGGACGAGTCAGATCATATGGAAAAGCGCCGCAAGATGGCCTTGAAACAGAAGTATATGATTATGGGCCTGGCGACAGTGGGTGGCGGACTGGTCATTGGCCTTTCCGCCGGACTGTTAGCTCCTGTCATTGGAGCTGGTCTTGCAGCTGGTCTTACTACTGTGGGTATCTCCGGAACAAGTGCGTTCCTAGGAGGAGCTGGTGGTACCGCCCTGATCGCTTCCGGTGCTACACTTGGCGGAAGTACTATTGGTATGAGGGCTTCACATCGCCGGACTGGTGCTGTTCAAACGTTCGAGTACCGTCCTCTTCATAATAATAAAAAGGTCAATCTTATTGTGACGGTTTCGGGATGGATGACTGGCAAGGTCGATGATGTTCGCCTGCCTTTCAGTACCGTCGATCCGATCATGGGCGATATCTATTCCGTGCTGTGGGAGCCTGAAATGCTTCGAAGTATGGGTGACACCATCAACATTCTGGCAACGGAGGTAAGTTCCCAAGACGTATGATATCCATGCATAACCTAACAAGCGATCTAGGCATTAACTCAGGGTCTGCAACAAGTTCTGGGCAGCACCGTCTTGATGGCGTTGATGGCATCATTGCAACTTCCTCTTGTCCTGACTAAACTCGCATATTTGATTGACAATCCCTGGATCGTCTCATTGGCTCGCGCCAACTCTGCCGGTCTTGTCATGGCCGATTCCTTGCAAGATCGAAATCTCGGTAACCGGCCCATTACCCTGCTCGGTTTCTCACTCGGCGCGCGTGTCATCTTTTCCTGTCTCAAAGAGCTGGCCGACAAGGGTGCCCACGGACTCATTCAGAACGTATACTTGTTCGGGTCGCCCGTTGTTGCAAACAAAGATGAATACCTCAAGGCTCGGAGTGTAGTGTCTGGCCGATTTGTGAACGGCTACGCCACAAATGATTGGATCCTGGGCTACCTCTTCCGAGCTACAAGTGGCGGTATCATGCGTGTGGCCGGCCTCGCGGCTGTGGAAGGCATCCCAGGTATTGAGAACTTCGATATCACACGGCTCGTCAACGGCCATATGGACTACCGTACCGCAATGCCTCGCATCCTGCGGGAGGTCGGATGGGAAGTTCTCGAGGATGAGTTCGCAGAAATCGAAGACCCAGACCCAGACAACCACGCCGAACGCCAGCGAGAGCTCATTCGTGAAATCGACGAAGCCCGCCGAGAAGCAGAAGCAAAGCCAGAAAAGAAGCGCTTCGGTCTCTTCAAGCGAGGCAAGATGGCCGAAAAGAAGAAATGGGAGACCTACGACATTGACCGAAACAATGCCCCGCGCGATTCAAACGACACCGACAGCCCTGGTACGGTGCTCTTCGATATCGAAGCCATTCGAACCGAGTTGGCCTCGGAGGCCATCGAAGTTAAACAGCTAGAGTCGACCATGCCTCCGATGAAGCTAGACCTGAACCCCCCGTCAGACCCACCTGCTCAGCCTTCTCCTACTCCTAAGACACCAAAAACACCTAAGACACCCGACCTTCCACCCCCTTCCCGAGTTTCTTCAGAGCCCCCGCAAGCCTCGGGACCATACTCTCCTCACGGCCCGAATGAACATTCCACCATACCAAAGGACGAGTTCGAAATGACCTTTGATACCTCTTTCCATGAATCCCCAAAATCCAACAACGACCCTCTTGCTCGGCCCGAGCTACGGTCTGCAGCTACAATGCCTACAATGCCTACTATTGGCACAACTGCTGTCGGCGCCATGGCTATGGAGCCTAATGCTTGGGCAGACCAAGACACGGGACATGGGGATGGCGAGATCTCAATGACGTTTGAGTAATCTCTGTCTTAAATTTTGTTTCTTCCACACCTCTTTTCTTCTTTTTATTCCCTCTATATACTTTTTCCTTTCTTCTCTTCCGTTAAGATTACGAGGTGCATGGCTTGCACGGGCGTATTTGGTTTGGTCGTTATCTGCTTGTATACAAATCCGTTTGTCTGTTTGTAAAAACAGCCCTGGCTTTTTCAACTATCACGATATGGTCATAACTCTCCAGGGCTTCGGTCAGCTAGGAAAAGTGGCGTGCATCGTAACCCTAGAACGTATATACTCTCCGTAACAAATGGGATTTTTGGGTAATGGCATCTTGATTTCATTTTATCTTTTTTTCTTCATTGAACTACCAATACGAGTTATACACATTTTATACATCCTCGGCCTTACAGAAAACAATGTCAAGTCGTTGGTGTCGTTGGCGCTCAAGTGAATGTATTTCATACTGTTCTTTATCCCTTGGTTCTTTGTCTACGTCTCCGTTAACTCCTCAACCATACAATTTGAGGGACGCAAAGAGAATTATATGAGGGTCTACAGCTCTGCATGAGATGTAATTACTGTAGGGTCCTATAAGTATGGCGTATGAAGATGTTTGCGCATCGAGGTATTTAAAGTACAGAAGTGGAACTGGCACGTGTCACGCGTTTCGCGTTCCCCTCACGTTATCTGAGCCCTTTCCAGCTTCAATGAAATGTCCATGATCAGCCTTCCGACGTTAAATTCCTTGTACTGTTATTTCTTCTGCTCGTGAAGAGCTTGAGCCCGCACCACACGCGTCCCGACTTATCAACGCGTACCCGTTTCACATGTTCAATGCTCTAGCTCCACTCCAACCATTGCGCAACGTCTAACACCCTCCACAACGATTAAGCATGGGCGCTCGACCCAAGCGCGATGCCAGTTATGCTTCAAATCGCTTAACGACACGCAATGGCCCGGGAACGCACCTATTGTCGAGTTTCAACAAGCCTAATTCCCCCGAAGACGCCGAGTTAGATGTTGAACCTAGTATCGAGAAACCCATGCAACGATACGAACCCGCGATAGATGACGCGCCACTTAGCTCCGAGGATGAAGAGGAAGCCAATGACAGCGATGCCTCTCAAAGCTGTAGAAATGACCGAACCAACACAACAATGGAGCAGAGGCTGGCGGATGACTATGTGATTTCGCAGGGTAGTCCGCAGAACTATAATAATGGCTCATCCCGCAAGGGTGGGCTTGCGCGGACTACCAGTGGGGCCATGAGCGACGAGGATAACAATCCGCATTTCATGTCTTCGCAGAGTTCAAAGCGCAAGCGGGCCACGTACGCGAAACCACTTTCAAGGGTCCCAAGCGTGAGTAGGCAGCCAGCTGCGACTGTGAAATCCTCGCTGGCCAGGAAAAAGGCACCGAAGTCTAGTGCGGAACAACCAGACAACGCATATGAATCACAAGAAGAACCAGAAGTGACGTTTAAGATGCCGAAGGATTTGCCATCTTCGAGTCCTAGGAGATCTTTTGCTGGCAGAGGGAAGAATGGAGACTCGAAAAGCATGCCTCCTAACACCTTACCCAACGACTCTTTCTCCGCCTCTTCCCTTGGCACTTCATCGTCCAAAGACCTGCAGCAGATACTGCTAGACAGCGACTCGTCCCTGAGCAGCTTGCCCACCTCACCATCTGGTTCTGTTTTCGATGAAATGTCATTACTCGAGGACCAAGAAGAATCACCTCCTCGAAAAGCCCTTTGTCCAATGTGTAAAGGAGAAGTTGAACGGGAGATTCTAGAGCTGTTCGAAGCACAGCCGAAACAACGTATCCGTGAACAGCAGCAATTCTGCGCATCCCACCAGGAGCGCAGTGCGATGAGAGAATGGGAAACGAAAGGATACCCCGAAATCGATTGGGGCGCGTTCGACGAGCGGCTTCAGAGCCATTTCCCCGAATTGGAAAAGCTACTTGTTCCGGATGCTTCGTGTTATTATCGGAATATTCTTGACACCAGCATGAAATCTGGACAGGCAAAGAACTTCCGTCTAACCTTGGATGGTGATGGACTTGAAACGATCACTTGTGGTTATTATGGGACGAAAGGAGCAGGTAAAATGTATGCAATGACGATGTCCCTTCACTTTTTGTATAGATACTAACGGATCTTCTCGATTTAGGTTACAAGCTGTGATTGATCGATTCTCTTTGCGACTCCGTCGTCTGGCTACGTCGGATCATATCGCCAAGACTGCCGGTGTGGCTGGCTACGCACAATCTGTTCTTGTGCCTGAATTGGCGGTACGATTAGTGAAAGAGGATATGGATGTCGGTGATGAGACTGCACGTCAGATCTTAAGGGAGAGCATTGAGATTGGTGAGAGACTGAACCCAGCGCTGAATGATGTGGTGCCCATTCCGGGTGATTTTGAGGTTTAAGGGGTATATTTTGCATCTTATACCACCACTATCTTTGGAACTAGCATCTTTTTATATTACTATCCCATGCCAGGATAGTTCTACTTGAGCGTTTGTATATAGAGCCTGCATTCTGATACCTCTGATGTTTGTTGCATTTAGTGGGATACCAATTACTCCAAATATCCCTTCTCTGTTATCAGTCCACAGCGGCACAAGATAAATAATTGACTGTCTTATGAAATCTCTAGAATCTAAATGAGAACAAAAAGAGAGAGATCAATTACACTCTCCGAGAACTGGATTTACGTCGGGAGCTGGGGCGAAAAGAAAGTCCTTATGAACTTGACTTCCCTAAAATAACTAAGGTAATCCTGAACATTAACTGAATGTTTCACTCAGCGGAGAATCCCGCATAATCTAGTCTAAAGTAACTTTTGGTAGAAGTACAATCGCTGGCTACTGATACAGCAAATGAGAGAAGGAGAAGCGAATCCTTTGAGGCATATACAACAACAAATTGACCAGGGTGTACATGCGTATGTCGTCGAGATAGGAATGATTGGATGTTAAGCAATGTTCCGAGTACAGCCTTGGGCCTCGACTCAGTCAGGTTTAGGGCGTCGGATCTCCGGCGGCGAAGCTCAATGCCAAGAGCGCCTAATGGTCTTGGTTAAAGCCCCGAATGACCTATGGAAAGTGATTATTCTGTTAATATTTGCTGCAATAGCGTGATAGCCAGCAAGTTCACTGTGTAATTCGCGTGTGTTATTGGGTTGGAATATCCCTCCCGATTTTTCCAAATTATCAGGTTAACACTCCTAACAAATCAATATATTCATATCAGCATAGCTGAGCTAGTTGTGCCAGACAAAGGAAGTGTCCAACCTCGGACCCCTCCTTACAACTCCCTATTAGGCTACACTCTCACTTGCTAGCGCGAGCGTCGAGCCCATGGTTATATTGCGAGCATTTTGGAAGTCTCCATATGCAGCATTTTCATGTCTAAAAGCAACTTCTTACTTCTGACCAGACCTCAGAGCCTCATCCTCTCACATCAACGTTGCATTTCCCTTTACTTGGCCCAGTGCCACTCCCGCCATGGGTGCCTGCGACGATGGCCAGTTTGGGCCTATCGTCGATGGAGATTGTCGCGGGGGATTCGACTTCACTGTAATGTTCGAGTCCGGTATTCTGAGCATCCTTCCCGCCGCGTGTTTCCTCCTCCTGACATCCTTTCGTCTGCTCCACTTGTTCAGACAGCGAAGGAAGGTGCTCTCTTCCACATTTCGGGTGGTGACCCTGGTGAGTAACCCCGACCGCTTGAGGGTGGTTTTTGATATCTAAGACGTGTTTTGCATTAGAGTGTCTCCGTGACTTTTGCAGCGATTCAAGTTGCAATAATTGTGCTTGTTACAAGACAGCACCCTGCAGGGAGAACACTGCTTGCAAGTGCCGTTCTCGACCTATTAGCGGCACTGGGTGTGATACTCCTTCTTGACCTAGAGCACATCCGGTCAATTCGACCATCCTTCTTGGTCTCTGTATATTTGTTTATCACGTTGCTCTTGGATCCTGCGCGTGTGCGCACAGCCTGGTTGCTACCGGATAATGAAGCCTACTCTGCTCTACTGTCTACGTCTTTGGCCGTCAAGCTAGTTCTATTGGTGCTAGCCAGTGCTGAGAAAAAGAAACGGCTTCTATCGACCGAGAAATATCACTCCACCGAAAGTGTGAGCGGTCCTTTCACTCGAGGCTTATTCACCTGGCTGAACGGGCTGCTGTGGAGAGGCAGCTCTGAATCACTGGCTGGGGGCGACCTCCCTGCGGTCCACGAGAAGCTTTTATCTTCAGAATTATCTGCTAGATTCACGGATACATGGGCTCACTCCGATCAAACTGGAAAAAATGCATTACTTTGGGCGGTAATCAAGTGTCTGCGCTGGGAAATTGCAACAATCGCCTTCCCGCGGCTTTGCGTTGTCGGATTCGGTATTGCGCAGCCATTTCTCATTGGAAAAGTAGTCAGTGTCTTACAGCGGACTGACTCTTTCTCAATCGACATCAGCTATGGCTTAATTGGAGCCACTGCAATTGTCTTTACTGGGATTGCGGTAAGCTAGTCAACACATTGTCGCACTGCTGAAAGTAAACTGACATTCCTTGTAGCTTTCTAGAGCTTCCTATGAGCACCTAGGATATCGTGCTACGACGATGATCCGAGGAGGTTTGATGAGCATCGTCTTCCAGCATATGATGGATCTGCCACTGGGGAGCACAGACGAATCTAGTGCTATGTCCCTTATGGGCTCTGACATAGAGATGCTCGCCGAGTATTTTTATTCAGTCGTCTGTGAAACTTGGGCAAATATAATTCAGTTAGCACTGGCTACATGGCTGTTAGAGACCCAGGTCGGCGCCGTCTGCATTGCTCCCATTTTGGTAGTAATAGGTTAGTTTTCTCCATTGCCCTCATATATTTTTCATCTAATAGAGCCCACTAGTATTTACGGGTACCTCCTTTGCTATGGGATCTACTGTTTCCACTCGGCAAAAAGAGTGGCTTCAGGCCACTGAGAAGCGGATTAACTTCACGTCGTCTATCCTAGGGTCTATCCGCAACGTCAAATTTCTCGGCTTAACCGAGATAATGAGCTCCAAGATCGAAGCATTGCGCACAGAAGAGCTTGAAATTTCCAAGAAGTTCCGCCGGATCCAGTCAATTCGTGTCTGCATGGGTGTGTGCTTGCCACTGTCCTTGTCCCGAGACAACTACGTTATGAATAGCACATTGCCGTGCTGACACTTAATGCTAGTAAACTCTCCCATAATAATTGGCCAGTTTGCGACGCTGGCTGCCTATGCGATAGTTGCCTTGGTGCAGGATTCTGGGCCCCTTGCTGTCAATCAAGCCATCACCTCATTGTCGCTTATTAGTTTGATGATTACACCACTGAGCTACCTTTTGCTCGCGATTCCGGACACATTCGCTTCCATAGGTTGTCTGTATAGGATACAGGTCTTCCTTAAGAACCAGAATCGCCTTGGTAAGTGCTCTAGTTCCCGTTGTTCAAACTGTTTGATTGTGTTCCAGGGTTTCGGGTTCCTGAACCAGAATCTTAGATCCTGAATGCTAATAAGAGTATACTATACACAGAGAAAAGAAAGCTTCCCCAGATCTTGTCGACTAACTCCACATCATCTAACAGCCTCTCTGGTATTGAATTGTCCACATTTACACAGCCTTCACACAGCGAGAAAGGTGTGGTCCTATCTCTAAAGAATGTCAAATTTGGCTGGAAATCCCCTTCTGCACCAGAGACAAGTGGTATCACTCTTATGATGGAGAATGCCCCTTCTGGAAATCTTGTCATCCTTGTCGGCCCAGTCGGCTGCGGTAAGTCCACCTTTCTTAAGGGCCTCGCAGGAGAGACGCCCGTGTTAGAAGGGGAGCTTTTCGTGAAGTACCCAAACTTGGCCTTCTGCGATGACACACCTTGGCTATCCAATTCTTCAATCCGGAGCAATATTGTTGGTGAAGACACTTCGGCTGTCTTTGATCCTGACTGGTATCGGACTGTTGTGAGCGCATGTGCGCTGGAACTTGATATAAAGAAGATGCCGGCCGGCGACGAAACACTGGTCGGCAGTAAGGGCTCTAAGCTCAGTGGAGGACAGAGACAAAGAATCGTGAGTGACCTACAGGCCCAGAAATATCGGGTCTCATACTTACATCTTGGTTTGCATAGGCTATCGCACGAGCGGTATATGCTCGCAGACAGATCGCTTGTTTTGACGACGTTCTAAGCGGCCTGGACAATGCCACCGCCCGAACTGTATTTAACAATGTCTTTGGCCCGGCGGGTCTGCTGCGGCGGCTAGGCTGTACTGTATTCTTGGCTACTCACAGCAGTATGTGTATTCCATTCACAGATAAACAACCTGGCTTACCATTTTTCAGCCCATCATTTGCCCCAGGCTGATTTGATCATGGTTCTTGGGGACAATGGCCAAGTGGCCAAACAAGGCAGTTATGCACAACTTCGAGACAACATTGACGGCTTCGTCCAGATGAATGATACTCAATCCGCACCTGCAGAAGAGGCGAAAGGAAGCGGCAAGCACACAGATGTGCTAGCGGATCTTCCGACTCCTACCCAAAACACCTTCAGTGTTTCCTCCTCTAAAAATGGTAGTCGAAAGACAACTGACTTTGCTGTATACAAGTATTACTTTTCTGCGTTGGGTTGGTCACGAATCGCGACGTTGGTTCTCTTCATTGTTACTGAAGCCGGTATGAGCGGATTCCGCTGTAAGTTATAACGAGACCCCGAACTTGCATTATTGGCCATGGCAAGAAACTCACTCTTTCCAAGATGTATGGGTCGACCTTTGGTCTTCGAGCAGTGACAGTAGTTCACGCCTAGGTTACTGGCTTGGACTGTATGGAGCGTTCTCTATTCTCCAAGCTCTTGGACTTGTACTTGCCGTTTTGTATGTTCAACATCGCCATTCAATGCAGTCGTCCTTTCGATAACGTCTCTAACCTGGTCATAGCTGGACATGGGTAATTATTGTCCCATTCGCCTCCAAGAATCTTCACTTAACCGTGCTACGCACTTGCATGGGGTGAGTATCTCTCCAATGATCACTGCAGTAATTGGCTAATACTCATAGCGCCCCGTTGTCCATTTTGTCAAATCTAGAGACTGGAGCTCTCGTGACACGTTTCAGTCAGGACATGAGACTAGTTGACATGGTCCTGCCTCGAGGTTTTATATCCACAGGGTTCCGTAAGTTTAGCGACAAGATCTGGGAAGAATAATTGGTCAACATTTTAACATCATCGGCTTTAGAGTTTTTCGGTGCTATTGCCCAAGGCGCCATTGCTATTGCATCGTTACCATACCTGGCAGCGGCCTTGCCCCCTCTATTTGGAGTCCTATATCTGATCCAAAAGTTCTACCTTCAGACGTCTCGTCAGCTGCGGCTACTAGAGTACGTTACTCTTAGACGCATTTCCTACATCAATTTGTTTTCTATGTTTATCTACGCTCCACAGAACTAACATATCTACAGGATCGAGCTCAAAAGCCCCCTTTACACTCACTTTATTGAGTCCCTGGCAGGAATCACCACTATTCGCGCCTTTTCGTGGACCCACGCAACGACCAACCGAATGCTTTCTATGCTGGACACTGCCCAGCGACCCTACTATCTTCTCCTATGTATTCAACGCTGGTTGAGTCTAGTGCTGAATCTTATCGTGGCCGGAATAACAGTGCTTCTTGTCGGACTCTCTGTTGCCCTTCGCTCTCATCTTGACCCCGGTCTTCTGGGAATTGCTCTTGTCATGATGATGGATCTAGGACTCATTCTATCGGAGCTGATTCAGAACTGGACATTGCTTGAGACGTCACTGGGAGCCATTGCACGCATCAAAGATTTTGCTGACGAGACTCCCCGTGAAGAAAGTAACTTTACTATTGAGACTCATGTTGAACCCTCGGAATGGCCGACGAGCGGTGAGATAAAAATCACGGATGCAGGAATTGCTTGGAGTCCTGGTGATACAAAGCCTTTACTCAATAGCATCAATCTTCGAATCGGGGCTGGACAGAAGTTTGGCTTATGTGGCAGAAGCGGAAGGTGAGATCAACTCCTATCGTGTCCTCAGACTGAATCATGCTTTTCAGAATTGAAGCAGCAAGCTAACAAATTACTACAAAATAGTGGCAAAAGTACACTAGCACTATCGCTCCTCCGTCTCAACGAGATTGTATCCGGCCAAATCCTCATCGATGGACAAGATATCTCCTTGATGACCAGATCATATTTGCGACAGTGTATTAGCTGTCTTAGTCAAGAACCCTTCCATTTCCCTGGCACAATCAGGGAAAATGCTGATCCAGCGGGCAAAGTGTCGAGCTTGCAGATTGTTGATGCTCTGAAATCTGTTGGAGTTTGGAGCATTCTCACATCAAGTCACAGAGGCACCGACGAAGAAGTGTTAGATTCAACACTGGACGACAGCATCCTATCACAGGGTCAGAAGCAGCTGTTCTGTCTAGCTAGAGCTCTGCTGAAGAGAAGCAAGATCTTAATATTAGATGAGCCAACGAGCAGGTATGTTCATGTGTTATTTCGCCTAACTCTCAATGCTTCTATTGCTTGATAGCTAACAAGAGATCCGTATAGCTTGGATTCGGAAACAGACGCTATGGTGCAGAATGTTATACGGGAGTCGTTCCGTGGCTGCACCATAATCATGGTGGCGCATAGAATTCACACATTGCTTGACTTCGATCAGGTTGCTGTTCTAAACAGTGGTCAAATCATAGAGGTCGGAGAACCTCGTGATCTACTTGATGAGCCTAATGGGGAATTCTCAAAGCTGTTGAGCCTCGAGTCGTGACATCCAGGCCTATTCGGACTATGTGTCGCTAAAGGATTTTTGAGTTGGTTTGTTTTCTTTTGCTTAGTTATTTTATTTAATTTAAGAATATTCGCACGAGAACACCCGTAGTGTGTACCAGGTATATTCTTGTGTTATTGGCTTGTTCCAGCGTTCCGCGAAACGTCCATCCATCACGAGGGAGTCTTAGCACATGAAAAAGCCTGATGCAAGGAGGAAGTGATGATATTTTGAAGCTAGACAGTTTCATATTCCAAGAGGGCATGGGCCATCTTCAGTCGTAGGCAGTGCCATTATCAGATTCAGTAGATGGGAATGGGCGATAGGAGACAAGTAGTGTAGAGATGGGACTCCCATAGTATGCCAAGTGCCAGGTGTAATATGGATACTGCGCCTATATTTCATGTTCCCACGATAAACATATGCATGATGCGGGCTCAGAGAGCGAATATTATGGGTCGGGTTGTATATCACACGAAGACAAGCCAAGTTCCTCCAATCTATAACGCGGTTTACTGACATGAAAACCAATGTAACCCTGCAGATACGCGTCCACTCTCTGTAATAGCGTCTTGTCGTCCGAAACAGAAGCTTTTATACGAGTAACATACACTTCAATCTCCTGAGATAAGGAACAAAGTACATCGCTTACCTGACTCGTGTTTTGCTGCGCTCGAAGGTATACGGGGTTGTTCCTCTCATTCGAAGCGATAGACTCTTTGTAGAAAGATAACAAGTCATTCACAGCATTCGTGTAGTCCATGATATCTGGAACAATTTGGATTAAAAGATCAAAACTTGTCTGAGAACAGATATATTTCGGAAGTAAAAGCTAAGCGTAGGCCTCCACGAGCCCAGTCATGAATCGAAAGTAGTGCGGAAAATTAGGCGCAGTTGAGAGCTTCTTGAAATCATGTGTCTCGGCTTCTAAAACGGTAGAGCTCGTGAAGTTGATCGTTCCAACAGTGATCTTGTCCGTGGAGAAAGCTGTATAATATTCTCCGAATTCTTCGCAGAGCTTTTTGTAGTCCCGAAGGAGAGGGATTTGAGGCGCCTCATGAAATACATCATGACGAAATAGTCGAAGATCAGCCAAAAAGTCAGGTCCAAGATCGTCGATGGCTCCCAAGTAGGCAGTGTAGAAGGCTACCGCCTGGCGAATTTCCTTCTGGTGGAGGGGATAAAAATGTTCCGCCGAGGAAGCCCCATGGAGAGCAAGGTATTTGGCTTTTGCTTCACTAATTTGGTCGTACTTTAGAAAGCGATTCAAAATAGTATTCTCTATATCAGGATCATTCTTGGCTGTTTTGAAGGCATTTTTAGATAGAAATCTGCAAAGTAACTCCTTGTAGTCTTCTTTCGAAATCGGCCCTGGGCAGTGAGAAGTAGCCATAGTGAGCGAACACGGCGATTATTGGATGGTTAAAGTGAGGCTACCTTCGGGATTGATGGAAATACTTATATGTTGTTTATTCAGAATGCGCACTTGATAACATCGACAAAAAGGCACAAAATATAACTACAACCTTAGCCCACATGACTCTTCCCCCACTATCCCACCGCTAATATTCGCCACACCTCCTGTGTTTCTGATCACTCAAGTTTGAGTCAAACCTAGTGCTATCCTAGAACCAGACACCGTCAGCTTAGGAAGCCAAATGGGTTGCTTATTACGGACACGTAGACATCTACTAGTAAACTTTCTAAGATTATTTCTGTCATGGTCTCCTGATCGAGTGTGATGCATGCTTCTCACGTCATAGTCTCTCAAATAAACTTGGTGCGTAAAGTTTGGTGGACCTTAGAAGTGGCGGTCTTAGGTGGTCTCTTGAATGGGTGTGGCGCATGCTACTCGCGTCGTAGTCTTCTGAATAAGCTTGGTGCGTAAAGTTCGGTGAACTTAAAATGCTCAATTTGAACAGAACTTAGGTCAACTCGCAAGTTTGGTAAACAGTATACATACGTTTTGCATTATCTCATTGCGGCAGTTCGTTAAAACAGATCAGGCTAAAACAAAGAGCCGTGAAAACTATTCTTTACGAGATATAACCTTGGCCAGAAATGTATTGCTCGATAGTTTTCCTGGTATGAATGCTTTTGATGAGAACGGCCTCACCAGACTCATTCAAGACACTCAGTCAGGCAAAATTAACTGCCAATTTCAAAGACTTTTTGACAAGGGCACCATGCCTAAGATTTCCATACTTTTCGAGGGCCAAAAAAGCCAAACTTTGGATGACATTATAGGAAGGAATGTAGCATGTCGTAAGAGTGACAATCTTATGCGAACAGGATTCATTGCAGAACTGGTGCAATTCTCGAAGAAGATCCGCATAGTCCCGAGGCAGGACGGCATGTGAAAGGCTCTGAGCCATTTTGTGGCTAAATGTTCGAAATCCTTTCCCGGGGTCCTCAATCGCCCCCAAAAAAGCTATATATAAACCGATAAGGCGCTGAACTTTTGCGAGATGAAAGGGGTAAAATCACCTCACTGCAGCAGCGCCGTGTGGTGCTAGTGTCCTTGGTGTTCTATCAGCAATCCCTCTCATAGACATCGACATATGACAGTGTTCTCCAATAGACTATTGTGAAAATTTGACAAAAGTTTCTCTACAAGTTCCTCCTATCCTTGCCTCGAACTTTCTGGCGAGTTCAAAGGGCGATAGTACCAGTAAGAGAAATAATATCCCAGGTCAAAGAGCGTAGTATAACAGCTGATTACAAATCATAAGTCCTGCCAATATTAAGGAATGATGTGCATCCCTTCAGCCATGGCACAGACGCCCAAATCAGCACCGTGCATAGAATACTTGGGAGACCTTCAAACAGGGAATCTCAAGATGAGAAGTGTCGAAGACAAAGTTCAAACCCCGTTGGAAGCGGTTTGCGTTCGACGGGATTATCTGAGAATCCAATGTCAGAGCTGGGAAATGCGGCGACTTGAATCAACCTTCTGGGGTATACGACGTTGAATGGACTCTGTGATCTTGGGAATTCAGTGGGTATATACCATTACCCGTTGGTACGTACGGCCGGCTAAGTGATTGTGGATGGGCAACAGTTTGTCGTCCCATGGCGACAACTGAAGGCGCGCTGATTGCTAGCGTTTCTCGCAGATGCAAGGCTATCGATCTCTCCGGCGGCGCCACCACTGCTATCGTTGCTGACTACATGACAAGGGCTACGTGTCTGAAGTTTCCATATCTCCCACGGGCGAGCGAAGCTAAGATCTGGATTGAGTCAGCAATAATGCGCGGGAAATACAATTACTATGCCTTGCCTATTAGGGTAAGATAAATGGAGAAGGGGTCCGAATGATTTTAATATAGCCCTATATATATTTGATGATGGTTGCCGGAAAGTAGAGTGGGAAGATACTTTTGACCAGTATCTGTACTAGCCGCATATAAGCCACACGCCGGCAGGTTAGCTTTACTATGTAAATAGCAACATGCGCTCCTCTCTGCTTCGTGGCATGTGCCCTCATCCATATTCCCCTGAGCATTAGAAGCTGTGAGGTGTCAGCAGGTTACGAGCCCGGTCAATCTTGCTATTTTGTAAAACACGAGATCGCTGAGCTGGGAAGTTTAACACGACCGCTTTCAGCGCCGAATCATGAAGCTTTTCGCCTCAACTGGGCACTAAAGGTAGCCATAGTTGGCCGTGGGGCCTATTTGGGAATCATGTAATAAATCCTGGAATCATGTCACTCCACATCACTGCACCTGTCGGTGAAGGAAGAAGTCTTAAATTTTCTTTCCCGGGAGGCCAAACTTACTTGCTTGGCCATTTGTAAAGTTGTCACGCCTTTTAGCCTTGGGACCAGAGCAATTCTGCAACCCATTGAAAGGACTCTCAGTCAATTCCAGTGCCTTACCATGAACGCGAAAACTATTCGCGAATGATTGCCCGAAGGAAGAAAGGTCCTCTAGGTCCGCGCAGGCTGGCGATGTGACTGACGTACCGTCTAGAGTACTACGGCAAGAATGATTCCCGCTCACCCACTTGATGCAATAGCGACACCGCAAGGCGCTGTTGATGTTTCTAAGGAACCGCATGTCTGCGCATCATCTGCGTCCAGTTGTCACCACCATTCGATTGAGCTCTGCTTGCCAGTCGTTCCGTGGCCTAGGACAGAAGGGCGAAACGCGCAGGACGCAGCAACAAAGAAATAAAGACGCCCTCATCGTTTCTAGCGTGTAATTGAAACCTCCCTGTTGTGTGTTTTGCTTTTTGATTTTACTCACCTATGTTTTCCCTGCCATGACGAAGCCTCGCGCTGCTAATTTACTACGGTCTCCTTGCTTATGTTTTTTTTTTTTTTTTTGTGGGGGTTGAGTTGTTATATTCACATGCCGACCCCTGCATAATATTCAACCGGAACTGTAAGGGGTGGTTGGTCTTCAGAAACCTGGATTTTCTCATAAGTAATATGGTCCATTATATTTTGCAACAATCTGTCCATTCTAGGTCCCACCTAGCTGGCCCAGTTTACCTGTGAGTTGAAGCCGTAGAGTTCAACAAACCGGCCCCGCCCCCCGGGTTGCCCTCCTATCATGGCACCGGAGCAAGGGGAGGTGCCAACTCGGCCGACTCCCAATCCGACCCCTAATTATACATGGGCGTATGAGCTGCAGTGGTATAGACGCCATTTCAATTGCCTTCTGCATGTATTACTTGGGGGTCCGCTGGTTATCGTGTTTTTGGCGGGACCGTATGTGAGCTGCTGTCGGAATACAGCGATAATGACCATTACTTCGGCCATTCTAGGAGGTCTTGGGATTACTATCGGTGAGTGGATATTCCATTATCGATTTTCAATAGCCCCAGTATCTAGACACTAACCCAGCTACAGGCTACCATCGACTTTGGGCCCACCGATCTTTCCAAGCATGCACCGCGGTCAAAATCCTGCTCGCTGTTGCTGGGGCTGCCCAGAGCCAATGGCCGATTCTGTGGTGGGTGCGGCATCATCGTGCCCACCATAAATATGTAGACACGGACCGAGATCCGTATAATGCGAACAGAGGACTGTGGTTCACTCATATTGGCTGGCTGCTTGGAAAGAACGAGGCAGCATGGGGCCGAGTGGATGTATCGGACCTGGAGATTGATCCGGTGGTTATCTGGCAGAAGCGATTGTATTACCCTATTGTTGTGGTTGTGGGAATCCTTCTTCCCACTGCTGTTGCTCATTACGGCTGGAACGATTGGAAGGGAGGGATGATATACGGAGGCCTAGGTCGGATCGCCCTGAGCCATCATGTCACATTTATGATCAACTCGGTCGCCCATGCTTCCTGGGCTGGGAGCCAGCCGTATTCTGCGACTACAACAGCCCGAAATGTTCCCCTTCTTGCGCTGGTGAGCTTCGGGGAAGGTAACCACAACTTTCATCACACGTTCCCTACCGATTATCGGAATGGAATCAAATGGCACGAGCCTGACCTTTCAAGGTTGGTCATATGGACGTGGGCAAAACTGGGGCTGGTGTCTGATCTCAAAACTGTTAGCCCACTTGAGATCGAGCTCGCTGGTCAGCGTCAGCATGTACGTCGCACCGAAGATGGAGAGAAATTGACCCAGCTACCCCGGATGATCTGGCACGAATACATCAAACAGGTCAATCGAGGTCGCTGCTGGGTTTCGATCGATGGGATGGTTTATGACGTGACCGACTACATGAATGACCATCCTGGCGGACGTGATCTGATTGAAGGGGTGATTGGGAAAGATGCAACGGCCCTGTATTATGGGCATCATTCCCACTCCCCACATGCTGCTGCTGTACTGGAAGACCTGCGCATCTCTTTGATTAGGTCAGATTGATCTATTAGTAGAAGATAGATAGGAATCAATATGCACATTCTGTTTATATTTCGCTTTTTTAAATTGGGCTTTTATCTCGTACAACGATGTCGGGGTTGCCTGGTCTCCTTGTTGGGGCATGAAACACCACGCTGCACCATTTATCAAGACACAGTGAACGCATGTCCGCAAGCACATGTACCAGAAAGGTATAACCAAAGTCAAAATCAAGAGCAAGATTCGGGACGATGTTTCCGATTCAAGGAATCCATGACCAGAGAGACAACACCTTCAACAGTCCCTACCGTCGCGATATCAAGGAGGCCTATTTCCACCCCTAAACTGCGCTGTAGCCATGTTCTAGCTTCCACTGCCACCAGCGAGTCTACTGAGATTTGGGCCATGGCAGCCAGGTCTGCGTTACTAACCGCTAGTGTGTAGGGCCCCACTCGAAGCGCGATTTCCTTGGTGAGAAGATCCACCGTCGTGGCGAGTCCCAGGAGGTCTGGGTTGGATTCAACTGCGGAGAGGAGATCCCTGAGATTGCTGTTCTCAGGCAATAGAGGACCCGAGTTTGCAAATCCCACGGCGGGCGGACGATAATAGCGGGCGTCCCTGTACCGCGACCGGCTTGTTTTATGGGTCTGCGAAAGACCCAGGCCGAGCGAAAGCTGACTTTGGCCTTGGAAGGGAGAAGGAGCTCCATCAACCATTTGAGGCGGACTCAGAAGCAGGTGTAGAGAGTCCAGAAGATCACTCTCTTTCACCGGGAGGAGGCCGTTGGACCGCATTACCTCCTGAAGCTGGGGACGTTGACTTACATAGCCAATGTCGACGAGCCAACCAACCTCAAGGACGGATGCTTGTAGACCTAGAGAACGGCGGTACCGTGCGAAGGTTTCCAGGAAGGTGTTGGCTGCTGTATAGTTTGCTTGGCCGGCGGAACCGACTGACGCTGCGACAGAGCTGAACAGAACGAAAAAGTCAAGGCTACTTGATTCTAATGCGCGGTGCAAATTCCATGTCCCCTCGACTTTAGGCCGCTGCGAGTCTATCCACTGGTCGTACGCCATGCTAAAAAAGGGGAGTCCTGCGAGCCAGTCCGGTCAATTTGAATCTGGCAGATGGTTGAAATTCCAGGATTGTGAAGTTCGTGCTTACCTGTATAACCATTGCAAGGTGGAAAACTCCAGCAATAGGCTTGGGGCTTGCCGAGACTGCTCGCTGTGCGTCGGCCAGGCTGGCAATGTCACCTTGAACCAAGAGAGCCTGGCATCCCTGCAGCGCCAGGTCATGGACAAATCGGTCATGGCCTCGCCTGGTACTGCGCGAGAGGAACACCAGGTATCTGGCGCCATTGTCAACCACCCATTGTGCCACGGCACGGCCCAAGCCCCCCAGTCCACCCACTAAAAGGTAGCCCATGTCTCCACGAAAGGAGATGGGCGACCTAGATTTCGAGACTGAGAGGTGAGACGTTTCTTTTGGCATCTCAATAGCAATCTTCCCCATGTGTTTACCTTCCTGCATTTTCTTGAACGCTTCAACGACATTTCCTGCTGCAAATGTGTGCATGGGCTCGACTGGGGGGATATGGTTGGGCGAGAACAACTCAGATATGCAATTCAAACATCTGTTCGAAACTCATGTCAACATATAGTGTTCGCTATCAGGGTTAGAATTGTGTTAACTCACTCTTTCACCATGGGCCGTGTCCTCGCAAGTGATAGAATATCCACGCCCACAAACGACCGGTTAGCAAGGAATCGGTCCATAGGCAACATCGCATGGCTCATGAAATCACGCTTGCCTATTTCGACCATTATCCCTCCCTCTGCCACGCAGTCCCACGATGCCAGCAGGAGATCACCAGCGAGAGAGTTGAGAACGAGATCAACTCCTCGCCCTTGAGTTCTTTCTAGCAGATTAGGGGCAAAGGAAGTGCTTCTTGAATCAAATATATGATCTGCTCCGATTGCAAACCTCTGGATGAGATAATCTCTCTTCTCTTGGTTACCAACGGTGGCGAAGATCTTTGTTTGTCAGCTCCTATACGAAGTATGATGAACGGGAGGGTGGCATAGCTTCACTGGACTTACCTCCACGCCAATCCTCTGGCAGATCATAATGGATGCATTACCAACTCCCCCAGCTGCGGAGTGAATTAACACGGACTAAAATCGTCAGCATATCCGAATCTAACCTCCAGGATTGAAAGCCGATACCTGTCCTTTGGATAGTCTCCCAACGTTCAACAGACAGTACGCCGCAGTAGCATATGCGCAGCAGACGGTGGCGGCCTGCTCCAACGAGAGACCGGTTGGTATTGGAGCTACTAGGGCCTCTGGGACAACTATGCGATTGCTGAGCACTGATGGATGCAGGAAGATCACCTTATCTCCCGGATGGAGTTGCGACACACTGGCCCCGACTCGTCGAATGAGACCGCTACCCTCAAAACCAAATCCGTCTTTTTCCGGAAGCATATTCAAGCCAATCATCAAATCCTGTCCCACGAGGTCAGTCTGCGTTGATATTCCATTCGATGGAGAAGTGCCGACGAACCCGGAAATTTAAACCGACATAATTGACATCAATCTCAACCTCATCGTTGCCGAGGGCGGGGATACTCTTTTCAACCCATTTAAGGGACTCCAGTATGCCCGGTTGCTCGATAGTGAGGGTTTTAGGGGCATCTGGTGTAGCATCCTCGAGTAGATTCTGTGAAAGATGACTCCAGCGGTACCTGGAGATATAAACCACGGCACCTCGGATGGCATACTCATAATCCAGCGGCTCCTCAGGGGATCGGAGCCGCTGCTGTTGGAATTTTCGGTAAACCTCTATGAGAGAACGATGAGAATCCCGGTCAAAGGCCTCCACTTCGACCGTGGCAAAGTCCATTTGATACTCCACTCGCATAGTTCGCGCGAACCCCAAAATCAACCCGTAGTTGGGTTTTTCACAGACCATTTGCAACGGGTGAGTGACCCACAAGATCCGCATCGAAGTGCAGGAGGAGAGATAGCTTTGGAGTTGTGAATACCCGTCCTGGGTAATGGAATACAAGAAAGGATCTTCCACGTCTAGGAGTGAAATGATGTCTTCGCCAATTGGCGGCGGGTCAGCGATGGTGCAAAAGCGAATAATAAACCCAGCAGCTGTCATCTCCTGGGCAAATTCAGTGACGAAGTGATGTTCCTTCGAATGGCAGAGAATGTTTACGTTACCCTCTTCAGTATGCTGGGATGGTGCAACCGAGGATATAATGGACGTCAAATGAGTATCTCGTTCTTCTGTCACCGTGTCAAAGCCCGCAAACCCGGCCTTTCGCAGTTCCTCGTCCCACCGTTCAACCGAGATATACGGAACGTCCACTCGATCATCATTATCGCCCATCCACCAGCCGGGAAGTATTCCCTAGGGAAGTCAGGAACTCCCGCACAACAATAGTACTAACAAGGCGAAAGGACATACCATGATATAGTCGATTGGCAGAAACTCTGCGAACATGTTAGTGTCAGCCCGATCCTGCTTTCTTCTAAGTGCTACTCACCTGTGCATATTTCTTCAATCAGCACGCGACCACCGGGCTTAAGGATCGATTTGATGTTGCCCAGTGTTTGTTCAATACTGCGGGTTAAATGGAGAACCTATCAAGGATGTCAGCATGGCATTTCTGAGGGTAAAACGTGAATAAACAGACATTTGACGCGATGACCAGATCGAAGGACTCGACATCTAAACCTTGCGCCGTTGGGGATTGGTTAATGTCCAGAACTGCAAACTCGACGGACCGATGATGCTTAAATCGTTCCTCGGCGGATGGAAGGAGATCCGAGGAAATATCAGTCCAGAGATACCGGGAATACTGCGGATCGCTACCGGGAGGATGAAGGCACTCTAGCACTTTGGCTGTCGTTGCACCAGTACCTGCACCAATTTCTAGGACGTGAAGGTCGGGTCGCCCATGTCCCAGCAGCTTTATGAATCCCTCATAGGTTCTAGATGAGCTCCAAACGCTGTATAGCCGGGATAGGGCCTTTTCCTTCATCAAAATAGTCAACGGAGAACAGTTCCCCTTTACTAACTCAACGCAACTTTTCAGGATTGTGAGGCTCAGTTCGGCGAGGGAGTCATAGAGCGGCGAGGCTACTCCAATTTCACGACGCAGACCGTCCAGAATGCGAGGCCAGTCTTCTCTAAGCACTTCCAATAATGGCCGGATCCCTGCGGAGACCACGGGGTCATCGTTGCCGAGAATGGCGGCCGATCTTGTGGTCACCCAGCGTTGGTACTTGCCGAGGTGCAGCGAGTCCGGTTCCAAGGAGCCAATGAGCCGTGCAGTTTCGATTATACACATGTCGAAGAACTGTTGTTCTGGCGAATACGTATCGCTCGGAAGGGGCTCCTTTGAACTTGCGGTTGTCAAGAGGTGTCGTCGAGGCAACAGGTCGATATCAGGCGCCCAAACAAGATGAGAACACAATTTCCGATCTTTATCCCCATCCAGGCTCTCATCCAGGGCCATAAATTCAAGGCCATCTATGGCCACCGCGACCTCGCCTCCATGCTGCGCAATCGTGGAGCTGGAATTTGTACCAGCAGTGGTCTTTGTCTCGGTAGCCTGGAGTAACAGTCTCGACCCTGTCTTTCCTACGAAGATATCTCGAATGAAGATGGGCAAGCCAACAGCGTTGTGTTTTCGTGCAAGGCCGTTGCACAGAGCAACTAATGCGAGCTGTAAACAGTGGTCGATGGTGGGGGCATCAACCGCACTTGGAGCATCAACTGCACCCTCGTCCCCGTCAATCAACAAGCTGGCAGTGGCGGAAGTTTGGATTGGATGAGCAGATATCTGTTGGAGACGTCTGAAGTGCGGTCCATATTCCAACCCATTTTCCTTGAGATGGCCATACCAGAGCTTAGATTCAACGTTTCGTGGAAAGGACGTAATATCTCGTGGTGAGCGCGAGACTGGTTCTGCCCGTGCTTGTCCAGTACAGTGTGTGGACCATGCACCTCTTCGGAGGCCTACGATGGAGAATTCATACCAGCCCGAGCCTAGATTTTCACCGTTGGATCGGACCGGGCGAAAGTTGGACACAATCTCCGTTGTTTCATGATCGTCGAGGATCAACGCCTTGCTCATGCGAAGGTTTCGTACGCGATACCTCTCGCACCCGGTGATTTGCCGAATTGCTTCACCCGCCATAACAATATATGCCGCGCTGGGGAATACTATAGTCCCTCCAATCTGATGCTCCGCAAGCCACGGAACATCGTCGAGGTGGAGCAAGTTCCTCCACGCAGGCTCGATTGGCGTTGAATCCACCCCCTGAGAACCCAAAAGCTCGTGATGTGAATTTTCGCGGAATCTCCAATCACGAGTTGTTCGACCCCCACATCGAACGACCCTGCCAGCACCCCACGGGTAAGGGTCGAGGTCAGTGAGAATTTTCCCATGACCATTGATTGCAGCAAAGTTGATAGGAAAGCCACTTAGAAATAGGTCTCCAACTGCCTGTAGAAGGGATGACTCTCGGTTCTGTCCTCGGACGACGCAGGACGCATACAACAGTTCTTGTCCTGCACCGGCCGATGTACTGAAGATGTCTCGTAGTGGTCCCTTGAGAGCCGAATGGGGGCCAATTTCCAGGAAGAAGTGCCTTGGGTTGTCTGAGTGGTCTCCCAGGACAATAGACTCAATGGCACTCCAGAAGAGAACCGGAAACGATATGTTCCGGCACCAATATAGGGCGTCGAGCTCCTGCGGATTCACAATCCGAGCTCCGGTTAGGGTGGAGTACATAGGAACCATCACAGGTCGCACTTCAATGTAGGACCAAATACTAGACTCGTATGCTTTGACAACGGGAGCCATCAGCTCTAAGTTTGAATTAGTTTTGCATGTACTTTTCGTCTGCCCGAGATTAGTGACAAGGTTGACTTACGCGAGTGATAAGCCCTATTGACAGAGAGCATTCGACAGAGAGCCTCTGGGTGATCTGACTTGATGTTCAGTAATACGGCTTCTATATGACGCTGTTCTCCCGACAGAGTCACGCTGTTTGGGCTGTTTTCGCAGGCGATGACAACCGTGTTCTGCAGATACGTTGCCACTTCCCCTCGGCTCAGTCCTACTGCCGCCATCGCCCCCAACTGGCCGAGATCTTCCACCAGCAAACCACGATAGTAGCTCAGAGCAGTGGCACATCGGCCAGTAATGGCCCCTGCCGCATATGCAGCTGCAATCTCGCCGCTCGAATGGCCGACAACTGACGCCGGCATAACTCCCCAGCGGGCTAGTAGGTTCACCAAGGCAATCTGCAACGCGCAGCAAAGAGTTTGCGAACGAGAGGGCATGTTGATAAGTTCAGTGTCAGGATCGACAAGTGCATCTAAAATAGGCTGTGAGTAATCGTGGTAGCTAGAGCCCTAGAACTGTGCAGTTACCTTCTAAGCTCCAGCGAGGGGGCCTCTCTAGGCCCTGCAATAGCCCATCTAGCAAACGTATATCATCCCGGAAGCTATCAAAGCGACTCATCAACTCTCTTCCCATCCCAGCCCACTGAGCACCTTGTCCAGTAAAAACGAATGTCACCACTGGGGGCGGACCGGCAATGGAACGTTTCACACCCGCCTTTGGTATGTCCCCAGAGATGGATTTGATAAGAAAGCCCCTGTGTGAAAGATGCTCACGGTGGGCACCGAGGGTATATGCAAGATCTTCCAGTCGATCCGGGTGCGACTCCATGTATCTGAAAAGGCTTTCTTCTCGAAGGAGAAGTGCTTCTTGGCTTTTCGCAGAGAACACCAGGAGTAAGTCACATGGTTCTCTCTCCATCTTATCGTGAAATGGTGATGTCCGCCGGGATGATGGAAAAGACTCTATAATCGCCTGAGACCGTGAGCGACTGTCTATATTTCCCGCATTTTTAGTATAGAAATGCTCACATGCGCATTTGAGCCGCCAATTCCAAAGTTGCTGATACTGATTCTCTCCTCTCGATCCTCTGGCCACGGGATTAGTCTTTGGGGTACACGAACACCCCATTCTTTCCAAGGAACTAGCGCCGGATTAGTTCAATGACTGTAACGGGAGCAAGGCAGTACTACTCACTCCGCGGGTTGGGGTTGTTAAAATGGATGTTTGGGGGTATCTGTCTATGTTCCAGACAGAGGATTGCTTTGATGAGACTGGTGAGGCCCGACGCTCCCTCGGAATGACCAAAGTTTGGCTTGACCTAGTAACAATATTAGCGCAAGGCCTTCTTCCTATTACGAGCCAACTGGGATTCAAGCACAGACCGATCCAATATAGGTCCCTTTAGGGAAGACCTTTGCCATTGCAGCGCATTCAATAGGGTCGCCTGCCAAGGTGCCTGTGCCGTGACACTCAACGAAGGGCGTTTGCGAGACATCGTGTATGGATGCTTTGTGGTACGCACCACGGATGAGGTTTTCCTGCGCCACTGCTGATGGTGTACTTATACCGTGACTTCTACCATCACAATTAACCATGGTTGACCGGATCACCGCTCTGATTTGATCTCCATCCCGTACTGCATCATCTAGACGCTTGATCAAAACAGCATTGACCGCTTCTCCTCTTCCATACCCATCGGCCGCAGCGTCGAAGGTTCTGCAGATTCCTGAAGGGGAGAGCACGCCCGTGTCTGCGGTGTGGAGAGCGATAGTCGGTGTAAGTATCAGATTGGTTCCGGCCACAACAGCTGCAGAACAATCTCCGGCGTTCAAAGCCTGGCAGGCCTGGTGCAATGCCACCAAGGATGACGAGCATCCGGTTTCAACTGTCATACTGCTTGGGATTTAGCACAAACACATGATCCAATCTACTAGATGGCACAGCGAGTGCGCTCAGTATCGAAGCAACTGACCTAGGACCGTTCCAATCAAATTCATAGGAGGCAAAATTCGCCAGTCCAAACGGTTTCCCACCCATCAGGTGGAACTTGCTTGTATTTTGGGCATCTTTGTTCACGATCTCTTCATAGTCTCCCCCAAATGTTCCGACAAAACAGCCGATGTCCTTCCCCCGCGATTCTACCAGCCCACCATTCTCGAGGCACTCCCATATGACCTGGAGCAAAATCTTCGCCTGGGGGTCAAACAGCGAGTGTTCTAGCCCCTCCAGGTCGAAGAAAGATGTGTCGATGGTTTCCAGATCTTCCCGGAGAAAATAACCATGCTGGACCCTTATCGAATGTGCTCCAGACTCACTATAGAACCCGTCTGCGTTATACCGAGACTTAGGAATACGGCATCGCCCGTCGCGCCCGTCAATCAACATCTGCCAGAACTCTGTAGCGGATCGCACATCTTCCGGAAGGCGCATCCCCATTCCGACAATGGCAATTTGCCCAGTGGTAGTATCATCCATATTGGATTCTTGACTTGCGGGAACTGGTGATGGATTTTTAACCATATTTCCGTTTGATAGTTTTTCATCTTTCATTTCTTTTCCCCAAGGATAACAATGGGATCATCCTAAACCAACCTTCCAATATTCCATATCGAAACATTGCTTTAAGTCAGGAGCAAGCCCCCTGCGGAAGTTTCCTGCAAGGAGGGATCTTGAGAATGTTGCTCTGCTTTTGTAGGCAAGGAGGTGGTATCGGGCATTTATCGCTGATAGAAAGCTAGCAGTATCTAGCTCAAAGACTAGGAACTAAAAGTGGCTTGAGAGTGAGAGAGATCGTGAAATTGAGGGTTTCCAGAGGAGGGAGCCCTTAGCTTGATTCGTTCCAGCGAGAGGAATCAATCGATCTATTCCCAACGCCCAAACACGATCCTTGCCGATCATGTAGACATGCAGATCGGTGTATATATTTTGGGACAAATAATCAACACTTTGGACTTGGTGTACTTATGTCGTGCTTCAGGACGATAAAGGCCAAGAAATCAGTTCGGCAATCTATTCCTTTCTCATCACTGGGTCCCCAATGGCGGCATTGTATTTCGGACCTTGTGCTCCCCTGATCTCCATCGGTGTCGGCTTTATGTTCTTCGAGCATCTTGCAAGATATCCCCATATTCGGTCTGCATTATGTGGTGTTAACATTCTGTGTGCTGGTCTTACTATGCGCCACCCACCAACACCAAGTCCACTTTTCAACTATATCGCAGGTCTTCTATCAATTATCCACATTGTCCGAACGATAGAAATTCTCTTTGTTTTCAACCCACAATCTATGAAACGTCTCAGGAAGATCGGCTCGTGTGCTTATGCCTGGGAGCCCCTTCCTCCATCTCTTAGCTTTCGGCGCTTAGTATGGATCGTGGACATACTTTCAAATCCCCGTTCCATTGGTTGGAGTCATGGCTATTCCCGGTATCTTCCTCCAAAATGTCAGATCCTTGACAAAAACACTGCTTGTCGTCCGTTGAAAGCCACCGGAATCCAGAAAATTGACTGTCGATATTTCCCATGGAATCAGTTGAGGCGACTCGTCGTCATATACCTGTGGTTCGATTTTTACCATGCTCTATTTGTCCATGGCCATGGACAGGCTGCGCAAAATGTCATTGATCAAACTGCAATCAAATTACTTGGAGAAGAGCTGACCTCAGCGATGAGCCAGACCCTGTATATCTGGCTAGCCCGTATCGCATGGGTGATCAGCGTCCACTTCTTCTTTGATGCCTGTCACGCCTTCATCACCCTAATCGCAGTTGGCATCTTCACCGAAAGCTGGCTGGGTACAGCTGGAGAACCGTGGGCATATCCCGCTCTCTTCGGAGGCTTCCGGCTATCGACGCCCAATTTAAAAGGTGGGAATCTCATGAAAGCAAATTCTTGAGTAGACCCTTGCTAAGTTAGATTTGTTGCTAGACTTCTGGGCGAACTGGTGGCATGACCTCCTACGGCGCCCATTTTGGTCCGTGGCCGGGTGGCTTTTCCCGTCAGACCGATGTAGGACACGATATTTCTGGGCTATTTTTCTAATGAGCGGTACTGCACATGGCGCCGGATCATACACGGCCTCTCAAGATGCGTTGCGTGCCTTGAAAGTGTGCGTTGGATTTTCTCTTCAACCAGTAGCTACGATTTACCAGCAGAAGAGTGTCCAGTGGCTCTACAAGGATCTTGGAACCCTATTTACAAGGCTGCTTATTGTGTGGATTATAGAAGCTGCATCATCGATCATATGGGTTCTTTGTATCGTTCCATGGCAGTTCGACGATCCTAGTCAGGAAGCGCCTTTCTCATTTCTTCGTCTCCCAGTTAGGATGTGGTGTATCTTGTCCCCTCTCACATCCCCTACCGGTCTATGCTAGTTCTCTGGGAGGGTGCTTCGGTTTTGATAAGGTGTCTTGTGGGAGTTAGTGGCTGATCTAGCGTAGACTTTCCTGATAATTCCTCAAACTCAGCCTTTATCAAACAAAGTATATATGTAATGTAAAATTTGATCGGGGTGAATGCAAAGATTGAGTAATGTTAATTGGTGACTATGAAGTTGTTAGTTCAGACATAGACAGTGACTCAAATACTACTTTTTATACCCATGCTCCCTTAACTACAGTCTCATTGAGAAGGCTATGCAGCATCAATATCGAGACAGGTTTGCGATAAATAGAACACGTTGTTCGCATTGGATCAAAACTGGGCTATAATTAGGAGTATGCATAGATACTGAACCGTCATCCTCGCACGCCCAAAGCCCAGGTTCAAGCCACAGCTTCTACCTATCATATGACCAATTCTTGAAGTAAACCTCTAGCAGTGTATGCATGGGCTTACATTGCAAGATTTCCGGTTGGCTTTCCAAGGCTCTATTTACGTTTTGCGTCCCATATGTCACCATGGCATCTTGTTTTCTGTTCCACCAAATCATGTCCTCTCCTAGTCGCTCACGTATATGCGGGGCAAGTTGAGTAACAAGATGCCCTTCAGACTTTGAAAACAATTCCACCCAATCGGAGATTTCCAAAACGCGGAGCGGTGGTGAAGCAAGTTGGCCAATGATGTTAAAAGTGGTTGACAGGCTGATATTTTGATCCGGATCCGGATGGATTAGATTGTACGCTTGGCCGATGTTCTCATTTGATAGGGAAATCTGCAGCGCAGCTGAGCAGACAAAGTCCACAGGGACAAAAAAGTTCCGCTGGGCAGGAGGATCAGGATATGCGCCTAGCTTGATGCAGGTCGACATCAATCGATTTACAGCATCTTTCGCATTTCCGACGCCTGTAACACTGTGCCCCAGTACAAATCCGGGCCGGTAGATTGTGAGAGGAAAGCCGTTTCCGATAACGTCCCAGCAAATGTTCTCAGCGACACACTTGCTGAGGGGATAGCCCCCGTGGTTCTGTGTTTGCTCGGAGCCGGCCATCGGTTTCTGATTCTCAGGAATAAATTCTTGGTTGCCAAGAAATCCGGCTGGACCGTACGCAGCCATGCTAGAGAAGTAATGGACAGACTTCAGACGCCGAGCGTTGGCAAAACCTATGACATGAACAAGGCCACGCACATTGACACTCCGGAGATCAGAATAAGGCAGGCCAAAGTTCACAGCAGCTGCAAGATGGAAAACAGTACTGCACTTTTCGGCCAACTGGGCGAACATTGCGACTTCTAGGCCAAGATCTCGTTTTGAGATATCGCCAGGGACCGCCCGCACCTTGTCACGGAAATTCATTGGAAGGCCAAATTTGTCCAACGCTGTTTCTAGTCGAGCCATTGCGGATGACTCGTCGGCAGATCGTATTAAGCAAATGACACATTGGACTTTAGGAAGTGCTGCTAGCATGCATAACAAGAACGCACCCACAAACCCTGTGGCCCCGGTCAAAAGTACATATCCTTCTGACCCTGAATGCCATTCTGGTATTGGTCCCGTAATGGGATAGATGTCCTGACCCAGCGTCAAATCCTGACCCGGGCTAGTATCATTATCGGATGAAGAACTCGTGTCTGCTTCCATGTTTGCATCTCCTGTCTGGTATTTAGCACGGAGAGCGCTCATTGTGACTTTCCCAAGGCCCCCAATGGTCCCTGCGTTAGAAATATCAACTAGGGACAGCTCCAGATTCAGGTGCCGCCGAAACCAGCTCCTGACCTCGATCATAACCAGAGATTCAATTACCAGGTTTTGTATTTCATCATCTTCCATATCATTGATGCTGGTGAGATGTGACCCGATCTCTTTGCCAAGCACTTTGGTGATTCGGTTCTCGATAAGCGGATCGCCTAGTATTTCAGGGCTACGCTGGATAGCCTCAACTAGCTCCTTGACATCTCCTTCCAATGTTGTGGTGGTCGTATCGTTCGATGAGATTATTTTTGTCCAGAGACTGTATCGAGCATCCGGGGTCCAAGGGGGAACTACATCGGGGTTGGACGGGCATCTCGTGGTCCCAAGCCCAGTGGCAATCTGGCCGGGCTGCAAAATAGCCAGCTCCAAGGCTTGGAGCAAATCATGCTCCTCGACTGTCTGCATCGATGCCGAGTGGGCTCGTTGGAGGAGCTTTGGCGCATACTCGTATGCAAACCCCACATTCTCCATAAGGCCGACATCAATCACACTAGCCACATGGCCCTGTTTTCGTCGATACTGGACGAAGGCATCCAGGAAGGAATTGGCAGCCGCGTAGTTGGCCTGGCCAGCGTTCCCACAAAGACCAGATAGGGAGCCAAAGCACACAAAGAAGTCCAGATCGCGACCAACAAGGGTCGTATGCAGATTCCATGTCCCTTCGACTTTTGGGGCCAACGCTGAGATCCACTGATTATGCGTCATCTTAGAGAAGAGCTGATCCTATATACAGCAGTTAGCTCACTCAAACTTGATACAAGGGGCCTTTGACCTACTCTGAGCACCATGGACATTTGAATAACACCTGCAATGCGATTCCCGCACGCCGAGACCGCACGCTTCACGTCGTCTAGGCTATCCACGCTTCCTCGGATCGTAGTCACCGAGCAACTCTGACTCTGGAGCTCCTTGAGGAATGATTTTGAATCTGATTCTTTCCCCGCCGATCGGCTTAGAAAGACCAAGTCTCGAGCTCCCTTCTCTACCATCCATGTGGCCACCATGCGTCCCAACCCTCCGAGTCCACCAACTAGGAGAAATGAGTCATGTGGAGAGAAGGAGACCGAAGAGAGACGGCAAGATATTGGTAGCACCGAAGAATCGTCCGGCATATTGATCACAATTTTGCCCATGTGCTTGCCCGTTTGCATAAGACCAAAGGCCTGGAAGATGTCGACCGCTTCGAAGAAGGTAACTGGCCGTATAGGCTTGAGCTTCCCTTCGGAAATATAGGCCATGGCCTCGTCCATTAAACTGTCGAGCGTTAACATCAGTTAAAGATACAGGACTTCCTCCGAACAGTTGCATACCTGCGAAACTCGGCCGGGTCTTCCTCCATGACCTGCTTTATATCAACCCCGGTGAAGGATCGGTTTCCGGCGAATAGTGACATATCCAATTGGGCATGGCCCAAAAGGTCCCGTTTCCCCAGCTCTATCATTCTCCCAAATTTGGCGACGCATTTCCAGGACAAATGCAGCAGTTCACCGGAAAGGGAATTCAATACCACGTCCACTCCACGATTATGAGTCTGCGCCATAAGCCCCTGGAAGAAAGACGGGCTCCGGGAGTCAAAAATATGGTCTCGGGGGATGTCAAAGGTGTCTATAAGATACTGCACTTTCTCCTCATTTCCGACGGTGACAAAGATCTACCTTCGGTCAGTTTCTGACTTTAACTTGAATTCAGGCTAGGTAAACATACCTCGGCGCCCAACATCTGACAGGTTTGAATCGCTGCAAGTCCCACACCACCGCATGCGGAATGTATTAATACGGACTGGCCTTGCTGGATCTTGCTGATATGTAGAAGGGAGTGTATAACAGTGCCATACACACATGCCATTGTGGCAGCATCGGCCAGGGAGAGGCCCTCTCGGAGAGGGGAGCAGTACTTCGCATCGATGATCTTTCGAGTGCAGAGAAGCCCGGTTCCCATAACTAGAACGGCTTCTCCCACGCGGACATCTTCAACAGAAGACCCGACTCGACGAACGAGACCAGTACCTTCGAGTCCAAACTCGCTCTTGTTACCCACGAACCCCATGGCCACCATCATGTCCTATAACAGTGGGTATCAGTAAACAATGTCAAAGTAACTGAAAATATTCTGGGTGAGCACGTACTCTGAAATTTAGCGAGACATACTTCATGTCAACCTCAATTTCATTGTCCTGCAATGGTCGTTGGTCTTGTTCACACCAGGCAAGCGAGCTCAATAGCCCGTATGTACCGATATCCAGGGCTTTGCCTCCATTGTTTGGGGGCATCGCGGCAACCAAAGACTCCCGAGTCGAAGTCCAGTTGGCTCGACTAACATAAACGACTCCTTGGCGCAATGCAAACTCGTAATCCGGGTCCACCCAAGGACAACTCCGTTGCCTGTGTACATGTTCAAGAACGCGAGCGACTGAAGTAGCCCCAATTGAATCAAACTTGTCGATCTCAAATGTGGTAAAATCTGGCATGACTTCATGTCTGATTGTCCGCGCGAAGCCCAGTACCAGGCCAAACCGCGGGTCATTGCATGACATTTGCGAGCTCTCGGTGATCCATAGAATCCTGGAGTGCGTCATTTGGGTAGTAAACAGTTGAAGCTGATGGAATCTGTCCCCAGACATATTCGAGAAGAATGGGCCTTCCAGATCAATCAAAGATACCACATCGGTTCCCGGAGGAATAGGCTGTCCCAAAGCAAGCCACGTCACAATGTAGCCTTTCTGGACTAGAATACGTTCCACACTCCGAGCCCAGGCTGTGATGGTGGAGAGATATAAAAGAGAGATGTGCCCCTGGTGGGCGACAGAGGTACGCGAGCGCCATAGAATCGCAGTGCTGGGTCGAAAGGGCGACGGGTCACTCGTTGTTATCTCGTCCCCTTCTTCAAGCTTCACTTCTTCGAGCATCGTCTTCCATTCCTTGGGAGAGACCAAATGGTTTCCATTATCACAAGGCTGCTGCACCCACCACATCGGAAAGATACCCATAATATAGGTCACCAAAGGAGTACTCGAACAAGGCTCTTGGATGAAAAGCCGACCACCGGGGGCGAGAAGAGCGTGAAGGTTGTGGAACGTAGAGGAGAGTGGTCTGTTTCCATCAAATACCTCCGATGTGATGATTAGGTCGTAGCTTCCTGTCTCGAATCCTTGATCCAAGATATTGTTGTCAGCGTCTAGCAAGATATAATCGATGTTGTGAACCCAGTCAAGTCTCTCCTTGGCCTGAGAAACGAGGTCTGGAGATATGTCGGTGACCGTGCATTTTTCATACATAGGTACGCCGTCTTTGCATGTGAGGCCGCGAAGAACCTGCATAGTGGTAAGCCCATTGCCTATCCCAACTGTGAGAACTCGCATCATCGGGTTGGAGTGACCAAGTAGCGAAAAGAATTCCCCACAGCCAGTGCTGATTGAGAGGAACGTGCTCAGAGCTTTGATGCTTTGATTCTCGTCTGTGATATCTTGCGGGCTGATTTTTTCTTGAATCAAATCAGCTGAAAGATCTGAAATTCTTCGCGCTAGGTTGCAGATCACATCTAGCTGGGGCATCGCCTGCTCCAGCTCTTGTATGCATTCGTTGAGTTTATCTTCCTGGCAGAGGGAATCTAGGCATAGCCCATTGCTCTTGTCCGGTGAAATGATATCAGCCTGTGCGCAGAGCCAAGCTTGATACCTTTTCAAATGAGAATCATTTGGGTGAGAGGGTCGAACTTTGGCTGCGGTATTCACGATCAAAATGCGTGTGAAGTTATCAAGCAGCTGCGCAGAGGAGGCTCGTAAAGCACCAGGAGAGAGTTGATCGGCCAGCGTAATTAGGTCGATGTGTGGCTTCCATTCCACTCGCGCAATCATAGAGCCGTTGTCGTTGGCGGCATCTATCTCTTCAACTGATACCAGCGTCGCGTTTTTCATCGAGAGGACAATCTCACCGTCCATGACTGCGATCGAATCTCCAGTTATTGATTGCGCAGACCCATGGCAAGATGCATCGAGGAATATTGAGCCACGGCCAGGTCGGATATCAACATTTTCTATCACCATCGGGATACCGAATGTTGAAAGATGACGAAGAATACCGCGGTTCATGGCAACGACAAGTAGCTGGAGGCTTTGGTCAATGACCGTTGGATGAAGAGCATATCGACTGCAGTGAGTTGCACCATCCTCTTCATTGTATTGGAGACTAGCAGATGCCTGACAGGTCGAGGTACTTGCAGATATATTCTGCAGGAGTCGGAATCTGGGGCCATAGACACCACCGCGCTTTTTTGCCGTTTTATACAATGCTCTAGAAGGAATGGACCGCGGATATGGATGGATCTCATGAGCATGGGAAGGTTTTCCCATCGCCGCCCTTGTCTGTCCAACACAGTGCTTTTTCCAAGTTCCGTTCTGGTATGCCATGATAGCAAACTCGTACCAGGTGGATTCAACATTGTCTGAGAGCTTCACCGGACGAAAATTGGTCAGTATTTCTGCGGCTTCATCTCCTCTCAGAACCAGCGGTGCTCTCATAAACATATTGCGAATAGTATACTCTTCCGATCCCGTTGTTTGCCGAATTGCCTCACCGACCATGGCAATGTAGCCAGCACATGGGAATATCACATCTTTCCCCATCACATGGTCCCACAGCCAAGGCACATGGCCCACATGCAGAAGTCTTCTCCACGAGGGCTCTATATCTGATGATTCCAGGCATCGAGAACCCAGAAGCTCGTGGGGAGGCTCTTTGCAGTTCTTCCACTGTCGAGCAAGCCGCGTCTCACTCCACGAGCAGTCTTCGTGTTGCCAAGGGTATGATGGTAAGTCTATCAGCACTTTGCCAGATGTTACATTTACCGCAGACAGATCAATTGGAGCACCTCCGACATAGAGCCGCCCCGCAGTTCTCAGAAGAGCTCGCCATTGTTGTTCGTTGCGAATCATGGTAGGGATATACGTTGACATCTGTTTAGGATCGTGCATGCGCAAAATCTGACGGAGCGGGCTTGATAGAGCCGAGTGCGGCCCAATCTCGACGAATATTTTCGCTCGCTGTGTGCTTTCTATCAGAACATTCATTGCTCCATTGAAAAGGACTGTCGACTGCAGGTTCTTGCGCCAGTATGCCGCATCTAAAGCGGATGGATCCGTGATAACGCCACCGGTGACAGTAGAATAGAGTGGCGTCATTCTGCTACCGTGGGACATAATCGGCGTAATGAAGCGTTCATATATGCTTCCAGGTTGCTGCATGCTCTCTGACAAGATGTTAGGATCCAGCCTCTCAGAAGGACATTTGACAACGTACCAGAATGATACGCAGTAGAGACTTTGAGTTGTTTGCAAAATGTATCTTGTCTTTTTGACAGAATGTCTTCCAAGACCGAGAGTAGAGTATCTTCATCTCCAGACAGCGTCACACTTGCTGGGCTGTTCTCACAGGCCACAGTCACTCCCTTTCGCAGATATTTTCTAACATCTTCGGCGGACATCCCAACAGCAGCCATGCCACCACGCTCTGTTGCCAGTTCTTTCACAGCCTTGCCCCGGAAATAAGACAAGGTGATGGCCACTTCAGCGCTAATTGCACCAGAACAGTATGCCGCGGCAATCTCTCCGCTCGAGTGGCCAATGACAGACGCTGGGTGAATTCCCCAGACGCGGAGAATATCAGTCAGCGCGATCTGGATAGCTGTACAGAGCGGCTGGCAAAATTCAGGTTCTGAGATGCTGCTCTCTTCATCGTCTTTCAAGAGCTCACCTAAAGCCCTAGTCAGAGTTTTAAGTCTTCATCTCACTAGCTGGGCAACGTTACCTTCAAGAGTCCACGAAGGAGGGTTTACCAGTTGCTTCAACGCTCGATCCATAGTTTGAATGCTCTTGAGAAAGCATGCAGATGTTGATAGTAATTCCCTGCCCATGCCGGCCCATTGCGCACCTTGCCCACTAAAGACAAAAGATATGCTGGATGGGGCTTCGTGGGACTGTTCGAAGTCCGATAACCCACCATTCTGGTCAAGAATCGCGAAGCCTCGATGCGCCATGTGCTCCCGTCTGATATTCAATGTATACGCCAAATTATTAGCGGCGGGCCGGTGCTGGGCGACATATTCATGAATGTTCTCTGTTCCTTTCTGGAGTGACTTTTTGGTCTTTGCGGACAACACCAAAAGCTGTGGAACTGCTGCAGAGAGTGAGCCATACGTTGGCAAGGCGGTTGAAGACGAAAACGATTCCATAATGACCTGGAAGCGTGTAAGTAGATGTGATCTAAAGTTTCGTCTAGTAGAAGAGAGGCCAGTACGTGAACGTTTGTCCCTCCGATTCCAAATGAGTTCACGCTGACTCGTTCAGATTTCCCGTCTGGCCAAGAGATGGGTTCTACAGGTACTTGCAAATTCGCCTCCTCAAAGGGAACTTGAATATGAAATGACCAGTCAGCGGGTCCTCGTCTTGATGAGATGTCTTTGCGTACTTTTTGGGTTTCTGTTCAAGAAATGCGCATTGGGCGGGATGATTCTCTTCTCCAGCGCAAGGGCAGACTTGATAATGCTGGTTAGCCCCGAGGCACCTTCAGAGTGCCCAACGTTGGGTTTGACCTTCAACATCATTAGCACTTTTGACGAATCTCAAGATAGCATATGGCCAGACTGACCGCGCCGATATATATACCGCCCTCGTTGAAGATCCTGGCGACAACACGCGTCTCTGCTGTATCGCCAGCAATCGTTCCAGTTCCGTGGCATTCGAAGAATGCAGTTTGAGACAGATTTTCGATGCCAGCCTTTAAATATGCGCGCCTAATAAGCCGTTCCTGAGCGTCCGACCCAGGCGTTGTGATAGTCGGTGTCTTCCCATCACAATTCACAGCGGTAGATCTGATGACAGCGCGGATAGGGTCGCCCTGCTGTATCGCATCTGCCAGTGGTTTAATATAGACGGCATTGATAGCCTCTCCCCTCCCGTAGCCGTCGGCAGCTGCATCAAAGGTCCGACAAAGGCCACTAGGCGAGAGGACCATGTTTTCCGAAATTGATATTGTCATAGTGGGTGCCAGGAGGAGATTTGATCCGGCAATGATAGCTGAAGAACATTCGCCGCTGTATAGAGCCTGGCAGGCCTCGTGCAGTCCAACCATAGAGGATGAACAGGCTGTCCGGTACGTGATACTGTGCAAACTTGCGTCAACAAAAGAGAAGTAGTTGGAGCTGGCTGCAAGTGGCTGCTCACCTGGGGCCCTGGAGGTCATATTCATACGACAGACGGTTCGAAATCGCAAAGTCCCCTGTGCACAAGGCGTGGGATCGGTCAATAGACTGGACATCTTTTGTCGATATCTCCAGCCAGTCTTCTCCGAAGACCCCGACAAAGCATCCGATATTGCTTCCTCTCCAGTTGGTCTGTCCACCACTCTCCATGCACTCCCACACTACCTCCAGCAATAATCGTTGCTGTGGGTCTAGCTTTGCCGCTTCCATCTGGCTCATGGAAAAAAATGATCGATCGATGTGGGCGATGTTATCCTGCAGAAAATATCCATGTCGTGTTTTCACTGTGCCGGGCGCGGAAGGACTGTAGAATGCATCGACGTTGTATCTAGTTCCTGGTACCTCACAGTGTCCATCCCGCTTGTTGACCAGCATCTCCCAGAATGAGTCTGCATTGTTCACTCCTCCCGGCAGTCGCATTGCCATGCCGACCACGGCAATCGGGAAAGGAACGGTATGGGAAGACAGCTGTTCGTTTATGTCCCCAGGTGACTGATGATCCAGGCACGGTGAAGCTGTACCATTAGTCGATGGAGGGACAACATCGTGCACTGGTTTCGGCAAGCCATCTGGAACGGTATCGGCGGTAATTCCTGACATCTTTCTGACTTTCCACCAAGAAAGTGTGTTGCAAATGCGTTTCAACTCTAGATCCTCACGAGCTCTAGCGCTGGCGTGATTTTGCGATGATTCTGAGAGCGATTTCTCTCAAGTCGGGAAACTTGAAAGCGAACTTCAGTCCCAATTTTGGCTGACGGAGAGGATTTGACAGTGAATGCCTATTGAATAACCCTGAATACGAACTATGTTCTGCCCATAAGTTCGCTTTCCCAATCCCTTACATGACCCACCCTAGATTTGATACAGCGCAGAAATCCTGACAAGCTTGCATTTGCTCTTTTTTCAATTGGGCTATCTTTTGCTCCTAATGGCTAAGTTTTGATCAAAAAAGTTGATCATTCTGCTGAACGTCATAAGCTCTGATATGTGTACATAAATTTAAGGACTACCTCTCCCTTTTGTGGCGGTCCTGCACCCGCCGGTATGCAGACGATCCGTTCTTCTCAAGCACGGAATTTAACCCCCTTACGTCGAGTTGAGCCTCCCATATTTATCTCACTTTTAAATGACAGGCTCCTTGCCGCTACAATGGCCGTGTTCTCTGACCGTTCAATCCTCTCTCACGAATTGCGACCTCGCCATGCGTTTTCTGCGACGCCTCTTTCCTTTAGTGGTGCTGTTGGTATCATCCTCCACCGCATTTTCAGACCAGGCCAACGATGCCCTCAGTCATATCTCTACTTTCTCTAAGATGCTTGACGAGAATCAAGATGCTGTCAATCGGTACAACGGCGGCATCGTGGCAGCTTCCCCTCTTGCACACGGAATGCTCAATATATGGACCTCGTTGAGGGAGGCCAATTCCAATCTCCAAGGTACCAAATTTACACCTCAGGAGTCTAGTGAGATTGTTGGCAACCTTACTGCTGCTAATGAGGCTTCTCTTAATGTGCTTGATGCGTACCGGGAAAAGGTTTGTTATATTGTTCTTTTTTCCAGGACAAAGAAATTCAAGTCATCTCATTGCTGATGTCCGCCCCTCTCTAGGCACCACTGCTTAACCAGGCCGGTGTAGGCTTCATGGTTCCAATTTTCATGCAAGCCTTGTACCGAGAAGCAGATGACTTTACAGTTGGGTTGAAGAAGCAGATGCCTCAAAAGTATGCGGCCTCAATGGATCAGATTACCGCCCGCCACAGGACAGCCTGGGATGAGACATTCCAATCGTACGAGTCAGCCAGCAAACCGAATCCATTGAACCATAAGAGGTTTTTCTCAATGGTGTCGCCAGTTCTTGGATTATTGATTTGAGTTTCGGGTTTTTGATCTCCGTGCATCTGGTGGACACAATATTCTTCTCAGAGAGCCAACAGTATTTATAACTAGTTATCTTCATGCCTGGGATTACCTAATTGGGGGGTTATTCAATTGAATAGCACTAGTTCCGGAGTAGCAGACAACGAAATAAAAATTGTGTAAATAAAAATTGTGTCACAACAATTAGATAACTTTCTACAAACGGACGAGAGGTTAGTCTCTAGAGCCGCTACTTACTGTTCACCGGCTGACTGTCATTGGATCAAGAACATTAGGGCCGATGCCTCAGGTCGTAAATTCTTTTTTGTGCCCTCCATTATTAACGCTCCTTTTTCTTTCCTCGTAGCCTCTTCTCACGCTGGAATCAATCTGCAATCATTTCAAATCGAGTTTTAGTACTGACCTTCGCCTCTGTTATTCTTATTTTCTCCACCTCAGAGTATATTGTATTGCTAGAAATTGCCACCTTGAAGTAACATTGACAACCCAGCTCTATATAACACGCAAATCGTCAAATTCACTTGGATCAGGCCATATTCTGTGTTGCCCTCTTACCGAAATTTTTTCCTTACAGTCGAGAATGCTGTGACACCATATACCGCACGCGAGAAGAAAGGATTGGAGCGTCATAAATGGTTCTCTGAAGAGAGGTCAGATTACCGGGCTTTACAAGCGACGAAGCCTACAACAGCTAGCTATGCATTGGCTGACAGCCCCGTCGCATTGCTGGCGTGGCTCTACGAGAAGCTTCACGACTGGTCTGATGGCTATCCCTGGACTGAGGAAGAAGTGTGTACGTGGGGTAGCATCTACTGGCTTAGTATAGCTGGACCGTAAGTTTTCCTTTCGTCGATATCTTCAAACAGTTCACAATTAAATTTAAAGCAGTAGAACCTCATTGCGAATATATAATGAGTCAACACACACGTGGAAGAACAGCACATCAAACAAGGTCAAACGAGCTCGGACGGGTGAGTGGATATATTTTGTCAAAATTGGATACAGTTATCTTCCAATGGAGTTGTGAATCGTTCCTAGTACCTGGATCAGAAAATCGTTTTTGATCGTCAGAATGGCCGTGGCGGGCATTTCTTTGCCTGGGAAGTCCAGAATCATTGATCAAAGACCTGCAGGATACGTTTCGAACTGCTGGGGAGCTTACGGGGTTATTACAGGTCACGATGCTATGAGAGGTAGAATTTTGTAAATTATCTAAATGAGAGAGTGTTTCATTTTTGCCGGCAAATGCCGGTATCCTTTGTATCATCGACCTTTATCTAGAGCAAAATGGGTCGACATGGAAAAAAACCAGACATACTGTTTTGAACTGCATGTCAGAAGAATTGGGGAATTTGGAGGAAGGGTCTAGTGTTTAGCCCATTGCATTCGGGGTCTTGGAAATCTAACTCTCTGTGTACAAGGAGTCTGAGGAACTCTCCAACTTTCACTGCGAAATGAGCATTAGGTTATTAGAAGCAGCATACCGAAAGTAGAAAATCTACCAGCTTCTGTTTTCATCTTCAGACAGAACCATGTGATAGCTCGGTGCTCAACTTAAACGTGTTCCCACGATATATATCTTGTTGAACTGTGAAGCCTTTCCGTGACCGAACATAATCGAACATAATGGTTGGTTAATCCAGGAATTACTAGACATGAGGGTTCCGGAACGGAATAATTCCATTACATACGATGGATATATTTTTAACATCCATGTACGACGGCGAAAGTTGTAGGCACACGCAATTAAATAGTTTAGTGGTGGAACCCATGAGAGTAGCGTATTCGTGGCCTGAGGTATCACAAATGCCTTGGGAAGCTTGCATGCAATCTTCTCCTTCGAGGGCAGCATCCTACCAACATCAATATGACTACAGTTTTTCCACCAGATTCTTCATTCATGATATAGCTTCAAGATCAGTACTTCAGTCGCTTCCTGAGACTACTCTCTATGCCTACGGTGGGCATGGGAGTGGTTGGTTGTCTTCTCTCCATTGATATCGACCCGTCTGCTATATCAGACTGCCATCTAGCCATCCCTATTTCAATAGATATTATTTAAAATATATCCGTTCATCTTGTGGTCTGAGTCTAAAGTTTCGCCGTCTCATGTACTCTTATCAGATGCGCCTTCAGATTCCCTAGCAGCAAGGGCCACCTTTGCGGCAGCATCGCCGGCACGTCGTCCAAAGACCGCACCAGAGGTTAGGCCACTACCTCCGGCGTAATTATTGTAGAAAAGACCACCCATCATCTCCCCCACGCAGAACACATTTGGAAGCGGCTTTCCTGTAGTGGATTGAATGAGGCGGGCATCCTTCGGATCGACGGCCAATCCTCCAAACGTGAATGTAATGCCACAGGATACCTTCACAGCCAGAAAGGGCGCCTTGTCAATCGCTAATGCCCAGTTTGACTTAGGTAGCTCCAGCTGTTTAGCATTCGATTGAGTTGAAACTCCATCCCGGATTGCCGGATTCCACTTCGCAGCTGGGTTCTCTCGACGGTGAGCATAGACGGCTTCATTATACTCCTTGAAGGTCGCCACAAACTGGTCAGGGTTTTGCAAGCCGCGTTGGGCGCACCTGTCGGCTAATTCCTCTAAGGTGTTGGCCGTGATACGTTCAACTCGCTCATCACGATATTCTTCCTCACGGAGCCAAGGACTAGTTTGCGCATCCCAAACCTGGAAAACGACGTGATCGGGTTGGGCCAAGATAGCCTTTCCAAAACGAGCGTAGGTATAGTTTCGGAAATCGACGCCCTCGTCAACAAATCGCTTTCCGTGGGCATTGAGCATCAGACCTAGGGGGTATCCGGACTTGGTGTATTCGTTCGAGGCTTCCCGATCTCCGGCATTGGCATCCGCATTAGCATCCCAAGCGACTGAATGACAGCCAGACCAGTTACCGGCTGGCTTAGCATCCAGCTCCCGGATTGCAAGTTCCAGGCAATCTCCTGTGTTGTATGGCGTACCTCGGACCATAGCCATATCCCAGCCTGGCCCCAAGTACTGGCATCGCATGCGGGGGTTGGCTTCAAAACCTCCAGCCGCGAAAATGAGGGCGTAAGCCTGGATTGTTCCCTCAACTCCTTCGTGGAGCACAGAGGCTTTGACCTGTCTAGCCTCTGCCGATACGCTTGGAATTGGAGAGGATTTTTGAAGATCAACACCAGTCAGAGCCGTCGACCAACATAGGGTGACACCATGGCGAAGAGCAGCCGCTTTGTAATCTTCGACGAGCCCCTTGCCACCATCTTGTGTCTTCAATGACAGCCCACCCCAGAAATGGTATCGATCCTTCAACTTGTACGCTTGGCGATTGAAGGAAAGTTGAAATCGGATCCCGTTCTTGGCAAGCCATTTAATCGTGGAATTCGAGTCGGAGATAAGAGTATGCGCAAGGAGGGGATCAGAACGGCCCATACATACGCGATGCATGTCATTGGCAAAGTCATCATTCGAGTAAGGACCGAGGTCGATTCGGCTTGCCAAATCTTGGTCGACATTGTTTACCACAGGGAGAAGATCCAAAAGTCCTCCGTGGACAGTACGATATGCACCAGCCGTGAAGTATGTGTTGCCCCCGGCCCATTCCTCTGGGCATTTATCAATCAGAATGACCGACTGCGCCCCGGATTGAACTGCGGAAACAGCCGCAGAGAACCCCGCATTGCCGCTACCCACAATTAAGACATCGCATTCGCTTGGGAAGGCCATTCTGAGCAGTAAAAAGAAGTGGGATCTGTTTGAAAGATATGAAAAATGGGTTAGATAAAAGAAACGTGATTTCCAATGATAGTTATGGAAGTCAAAAACTCCTAAACAATCATCCACAATCAACGAAGTGATCAACCGGCAGCGGAGAGTTATCCTCCGGCATATTGAATGGGCTTAATTGCCCGCTTTCGGATATAGTGTTGCTTCCCTACCAACGGCCATTTGAATAGAAGGGATGCACGGAGGTCGACTCCGAAATATCATAGCCGGAACTATCGGCCTCTAGCCAGTTACAGAAAGAGATAGTTGCAAACCAGCTTCATCAACTCGCACTTTTGTTGATTCTGAGCCCCCGAGTGCATATTCTCCGAATTGGGGGTTGACTATTCATGATCGCACAGAAAGCCGAAGTCAACCTAATGCATATAACCCTGTCCGAGTCCATTTGATTGGTTCAAGAAATATTGCGCACCCTATGCCCTATGCCCTACATATCTCTAGTCAGTTCCCTGTGAGGTGTGCGCGTTCATGACAAGCCATTAAGCAATTGAGATGAGGTACGTCAATAGTTGACGAATATCTGGTAGTCTATGCAAGTATTGATTGGCCAAAAATTGATTCCTCAATTCTGTCTCGTGATCATTCAATCAAGATATTTGAGTCATGATGAATGTTTTTGACAGATATAGCCGGTCAATTTTTGTGTCCTCTTTAAGTTACCTTTTTCTAGATACTGTAGTGGTGGAACCCGTGACAGTAGCGTATTCGTGGCCTGAGGTATCACAAATGCTTCAGGAAGCCTTCTTGCAGTCTTCTCCTTCGAGAGAGAGCATCCTAGCATCATCAATATAACTACAGCTTTTCCACCAGGTTCTTCATTCATGATATAGCTTCAAGATCAGTACTTCAGTCGCTTCCTGAGACTCCTCTCTATGCCTACGGTGGGCATGGGAGTGGTTGGTTGTCTTCTTTCTATTGATATCGACCCGTCTGCTATATCAGACTGCCATCGAGCCATCCCCATTTCAATACGTATTGTCTGTGTCTCACTAAAGCTCTGGTATGAACGTGCAGGAGAACACTCAGTGGTGAGAGAACTATATGATTACGGTGGTTGAGTCAATCGAGTTCCGGTGTAGTTCATTTTCTATAATTTCCATTCTCCTGCCTTCGCATTTTATGGTTCTGAAGATTAAGCATAACCAGAGGCTCCACTTTAGTGCAAACAATATAAACCGTGTCAGACCCACTCCGTGTATTGTTCAGCTGAACAGCTCAATGCCCAAGATCGCTGCCCCATTGTGGAAACACCCCTGAGAACAAACTCTGTGCCTCCAGGCTGCCTCCGAAGGAAGTAGCCAACAATGAGCATTCGTAAGACGTTGAGAAAATGGATAAACAAGCCAGAAACGTCACAACAAAATGACTATTCGTTCGCTCCGACCGCAAAGCCAGACCCGTCGTCCCCAGCCTCTATCGAATCAACCCCTGAAAAATTAGCTTCAGCCAGCTCAGTCAATACCAAGCCACCTTCGTCGTCCGTGAGTCACTCCGATGTTGGACCTACGGATATCCCTCCCAAGGACCTGGACCTCTGGACACTGGCCTACGAGAAATTGGAACAGCGCGACCAGGAGTTGATGCATATGTACAAGCAATGCTTAGGCTTATCGCTGCAGGATACGAGCATCGCAGATCTCTCTAGTTCCAAGTCTGTAAGCCTAGTCGTGGATAGGCTATTAGACGATCGCGAGAAGAAACGGTGGCACTTGTCAGTCCTGGGAAAAGATATCGAAGTTCGAAAACAAGTTGAGAAGCTACAAAAGTTTATCCTGTGGTCCGATCCACTGGTTAAGGATGCCCTCAGTGCCCAGCCATATGCTGCACTAGCATGGACTGGCGTCTCATTATTTGTACCGGTATGATTAACTTCCATTGAATGCGAATTAATAACTAAAACCGGTGACAGCTTTTGGCCAGTGGCATGACTGCTAACGCAGATATGCTTGAAGGCTTCAACAAGATTGATGAATTGCAAATTTACTGGTACCACTGCGCTCGAGTGTATCTACCAAGATATCCCTCCCTGGCGGAGCACATATCCAATCTCTACTCCCATATCATTGAATACCAAGCTCTAGCTATCTGTCATTTGTCCAAAAAGCAGCCCTCACGTGGCTGGAGCGATGTGGCCGGCCAGAATGACTGGAATGGAAAGGTGGCTAAAATTGAAGGGCTTAGTACCCATTGCAATAAGCTGATTAAGCCGTTCGAAGCTGAATGGATACAAAAGCTCCAATACCAAGAGCTTGAATTGATGAAGCAATCACGAGACTCTGGAAAAAACACAAGACCTTTTCAAGGAGACTCAAAACCAGCAACTCGCTCTTTTCGAGGAGAAGAAGCAAAAAGAGCGTATGGAAAAGTTGGCTTCTAGTTACGAGGAAGATAAAAACTTCCCTAAGGAAAAAACTCCAGGTACTTGCAACTGGCTTATTCAAAATGAGACTTTCTGCAAATGGCGAGACTCGCTAGAATTGAATGTGCTTCGGGTTTCAGCGAGTCCTGGATGTGGAAAATCAGTCCTGTCGCGGGCGCTCATTGATCTACTTCAGCTATCTACGAACCTCACGACGACAACTATATGTTACTTCTTCTTCAAAGACGGAATTTCGAGCCGTGTCCATGCCGCCGATGTTTTGCGTGCTATCCTGCATCAAACCTTTATGCAGAATCGCACATCAAATGCCATCAAAACTGCGGTTTCAAATTACGACGACTTCAAGGACTCTTACCTCTCAAGCTTTCCTAAATTGTGGAGCACGCTTATCAACCATGTCGAGTCGCCGCACTCCGGAAATTTAGTTTGCGTCGTTGATGCTCTAGACGAGTGCAAAATGGATGAGAGAAAGCTGTTCATTGACCACTTGAAGGCATTTTATCGTGACGCAAAGTTCCCACATAAACTCAAATTTTTGGTCACCACTCGTCCCTACGTCAAAATCGAGTCTCTGTTTTGGGATGTATTGGAAAACACCTCCTTTGCGCACGTTGAGGGCGATCGCTTGTCCACTGAGATCAGGGAGGACATCAATATGGTCATCGATGCGAGAGTGAAAGAGATGAAGCCGATTTTCAGAGACAATGGACCGAAGATCGCCAGTCAATTGAGAGCCATGGAAAATGGTACCTACCTTTGGTTGCATCTTGTCCTCGATATCATTGAGAAATCACCAGAGCTATACACGAGGCTAGATGAGGTTCAAGACCTGTTTTCAAGTCTGCCACGCGATGTTTCGGACGCATATGACCTTATTTTGAAAAAGGTCGAGCATCCTCAACCGGCGGAGGCTCTTCTCCAACTCATGTCAGTTGCAGAAAGACCGTTGACTTTGGTGGAAGCAAACTCCGCATTGGCATTGACGCTCGTTCTGCAAAAGCAACCATCAATCTCTTTTGAGGGCTTGAAAAGCAAGTTGTGGGGAGGTGATGTTTTTGAGGCAACTATGAAAAGCATATGTGGCCTTTTCGTCACCGTATACCACGGAAGGCTGTTTTTCATTCATCAAACAGCACGGGAGTTTTTAACTTCCGCAACACCGAGTGGAGAGTGGAAAGGTCGATTGAATGTGACCAATGCCCACAGAACAATGTCCATTGTGTGTCTCTCATATCTGCGCTATGTGTACCTATCAAAACTTGACATCAATTGTCTTTCGGACTTCGAGACGTTGATAGACGAGTTTCCACTGGCGATTTACAGTGCATGGTTCTGGACGGATCACGCAAGGCTTGTTGACCATGAGAGCATCATTCAAAACCGAAGTTTGGAGATGCTTCAGCAAACCGAGTTCACAAAGATGTGGCCAACCCTCATAACTGCTATTCGTATTTGGCATCAAAGCCCAGCGACCAAAGCAAGCTTTGATGGTGCCTCTGGAGCTCGGCAAAACAAGCTCAATAACAACATGCGGAAGCAATTCGCCACGGACAAGGTGAAGCATCGGGCTCCAGGGAAGGAAGCACCTTTGTACATCGCCTCGGCAGCAGGGATGCAAAACGTTGTACATTTATTATTGAAAGCGGATGAGAAACCCGTACCAGGGAAATATTTGGGTGCCCTCGAGGTCGCCGCGCTGAATGGTCAAAAAGCGGTTGTGGAGAGCCTACTAATCTCGGAACTTATGATGGCTACCCCAAGAGAATATCTGGCTCTCGCCCTTAAAAATGCCTCTCGTGAGGGTCACGACGAGATCGTGGAGCTACTTTTGCATCATAGAGCTCCTACCAACGCTGAGAGATTCGGCTATGGCACAACACTTTAGGTGCCCTTGCATACAGAACATATAAGAATTGTTGAGCTTTTAATCAAATATGCAACAGGAAGTTTACCGAACAGTTCCCTTCAGCATGTCTACCGCGTATGACTGTCCGAGAAATGATTAGAGGTCAATAAGACGGACCCAATGGCATCAAATCGGATGGGTTGCGTATTTTTGACATTTCCACACTATATACACATAGTCAACCCTTTTCAATAATTGCATATCCTAAGGAATCAATTTAGGCTGATGGGTATCTATTAGGGCAAAAAATGAGTAGGCAGGTGCGATTTGTCAACTTCTGTATTATATCCGACCAATTGGAGATATCAATGACTCTGTATTTCATTACCCTTCCTTCTCGCTAACTAACGTATTTCATATGCGAGCCGCCCACCCCAAAATACCATAGTAAATGCCATATATTCCCCACTTATATCTCAACAGCCACGTCTTAATTATATTTCATTGTTTACCGATAGCTATTGATAAGACGTATTAGCACTGTGCTTCAATTTCAAGGAAATCAAAAGGCCATATTATCCTCATTTCAAAAATTACTGAAAATTACACTGCTATAAGCTATGAATATATATCTCTCAATCACGAAGTCATAGAAGTTCTCCAATCTCCATAAAGAGGCTAGATATCACCTGGAAAACATTCTGATAAGAAGAAAAATACTCATAGGCCATGGTTGTTGAGATATAAAGCTGTAATTTATCGCATTTACTATGGTGTTTTGGGGTGGGCGGCTCGCTTGGGTGGGCGGCTCGCATGTGAAATACGTTATTTATTGGGCGACTTCTAATTACATAATGAGTCCTCGGATATAGTTATATACCCGAGGCATTCGGACCATTTATAGATCCGGTTTTATGCAGTATTTGTAAGGTAATGCCAACATCTCTAGTTAAATTAACATTAACGTTAGTCAGCTGATAAGGCGGGCCCCGCCGCCGGTCGATGATACAATCCATGCGGAGAAGCTCGAATCTGTCTTTCTCTTCTTCCATCACTCGAGATGAGGGAGAAAGACATGCCGTACTCAGAGACGACCCCTCTGCTAGAGGTCCATGTCGCTCCTCAGCGGCATCGATACCCACATCATGCCCTCCGTCGAGCTTGTACTATCTCCCTTGCAGCTTTGCTTGTTTTGGCAGGAACTCTGTTCCTGATTCCCATCGCCATTCTGCCTCGAGAGCATGGCTCAATTTGGTCATACCTCCCGTGGTCTCACCCAATCCCTCACGATGCATGGCCAGAAAGCTATGGCCTTCCCTACGATCAGCTCCAGCAGATCCTCCTCAATGTTCCATCTGCAGCCAAGGCTCGTGAGTGGAGCAACTACTATACTGCGGGACCACACTTGGCGGGTAAGAACCTGTCCCAAGCTCTTTGGACTATGGAGAAGTGGAAAGAGTTTGGTGTCGAGGATACCAGCCTCGCCGCATATGACATTTACATCAATTACCCGGTTGATCACCGTCTGGCTCTACTGAACCAGTCTGATGGGAAGACCGAGGTTACCTTCGAGGCTACATTGGAGGAAGATGTCTTGGAAGAGGATCCCACCTCCGGTCTGCCTGACCGTGTCCCGGTCTTCCATGGCTATTCTGCTACCGGCAATGTGACCGCCCAGTATGTGTATGTCAACTTCGGCACATACGCGGACTTCGAGGACCTCGTCAATTCCAACATCACCTTAGAGGGCAAGATTGCTATTGCCAAGTATGGCCGCAACTTCCGTGGCTTGAAGGTGAAGCGTGCTCAGGAACTCGGAATGGTTGGTATTGTCATCTACTCTGATCCTCAAGAAGACGGAGAGATCACCGAAGAAAATGGCTACGAGGCTTATCCCAATGGACCGGCCCGAAACCCAAGTGCTATCCAGAGAGGTAGCACTCAATTCTTGAGTATGGACAACTCTCCTATACTGACATTGAAAAGCTAACTCGAGTAAAAGGTATCCTTCCTGGTGACCCCACAACCCCGGGCTACCCATCGAAGCCTGGATGTGAACGGCAGGATCCGTATAACTCCATTCCTTCAATCCCATCTCTGCCCATCTCTTACAAGGAGGCGTTGCCTTTCTTGAAGGCCCTCAACGGGCACGGTCCCAAGGCGTCCGACTACAATGAGTGGTGGCAGGGCGGTGGTCTTGGCTACAAGGGCGTCGAATACAACATTGGACCCTCACCCGAAAATGTAGTCATCAACCTCCACAACCACCAGGATTATGTGACCACCCCATTGTGGAACGTCATTGGCGTAATCAAGGGTCACATCCCAGACGAGGTCGTAATCCTGGGTAACCACCGTGACGCATGGGTAGCCGGTGGTGCTGGTGATCCAAACAGTGGATCTGCTGCCCTCAATGAAGTTGTTCGCAGCTTTGGTGAGGCTCTCAAGGCCGGATGGAAGCCATTGCGCACTATTGTCTTTGCAAGCTGGGATGGCGAGGAATATGGCTTGCTAGGCTCCACCGAATGGGTTGAGGAATATCTCCCCTGGCTCTCCGAAGCTAACATTGCGTACTTGAACGTCGATGTGGCTGCCGCTGGCACTATCTTCGAGCCCCGAGCCAGTCCCCTCCTGAACAAGGTCATCAATGATGTCACCGGCCTGGTACAGTCCCCCAACCAGACCGTTCGAGGCCAGACAGTCCGCGATGTGTGGAGCGGCAAGATTGCAACAATGGGCAGCGGCAGTGATTTCACTGCCTTCCAGGATTTCGCCGGTGTTGCCAGTCTTGACTTCGGCTTTGGTCGTGGGAAGAACGACCCGGTATACCACTACCATTCGAACTACGACAGCTTCGCGTGGATGGACAAGTATGGTGACCGAGGCTTCCTGTACCATCAAGCCTGCACACAGCTCTGGGCTCTGGCCGCCGCGCAGTTGGTGGAATCCCCTCTGCTTGCGCTGAACGCCACCGACTATGCTTCTGGATTGGGGTCCTACCTGAACCACATTAAGCCCTCGGCGGACAACCTCCCTGGGAACACAGGATTCCACTTCGCGCCTCTGGATAGAGCCATTCTGGAGTTCCAGGAAGCCGCAAAGGCTTTCGACGCGTATTCCGCTGACTTGTCATCCCAGCTTAGTGAAGATGTGCCATGGTATCACTGGTGGAAGAAGGTGAGACTGTGGTTCCAGATTCGGGCTACCAACAAGAAATACAAGAGCATTGAACAAGCCTTCTTGTACCAGCCCGGTCTGGATGGCCGTGAGTGGTTCAAGCACGTTGTGTTTGCCCCTGGTATCTGGACTGGTTATGCTGGAGCTACTTACCCTGGCTTGGTGGAGAGTCTTGAAGCCGGAGATGTGGAGAACGCCAAGGTATGTTCTGATCTAATACCCCTTCGTTCGGGCTTTACTAACATCTGCGGTTTAGAAATGGGGCTCTATCATTCTGGGACGGATCGAGGCGGCGACTAAGTTGTTGCAGTAGATAGGCCATGGTCTCTTGTCGTCAAAATTGAACACAGGGTATACAGCTGGCTTGATTCTTGTATCTTGCACAAGCAAGTACAAAAGAAGCCAATATAAGCATTTTATCTGAGCGCCGATTGGCTACATGAAAACTATTAGGGACATCAAGTATAATCATGTTTTATTTGTCTGTGGTGAGCATACACGGCATCCAAGGCATATAGACTAGACAAATAAATGCCTCAGATTAAAACCACAAAAAAAGAAAAAAAAAAGGCTCCAAATGTACATGTAAGATATATCCATCTTCGATCTATAAAAGTTATGCTATGCGCACATCTACCCCAGACTGCGTCATCTGACTAATCAGTGGCATGACCGCCGACATTTAGAGATCAATCTTACAGCTCTAGTCCTCTCCTCTTTCTACCTTTACATCACATACAAGCCCCAGAAAGAACCCGACAATCGGCGCCAATCCTACAAGATGGTAAGTCTCACCCCAAAGCCCCCCATCCGGCATCCAGCATCCACCCACCGTCACATCCAACCAAAACACCCGACCCAAAACATCACACCACTACCCAATAACCAAACCCAAACTAACAACCAACCAACCAAATTTAGACCCTCCCAACAACTTCGGCAATAACCCTCTCCCTCCTAACCTCCCTAGGCGGCGCAATCGGGTACGCCCGCACTGGCTCGATCCCAAGCATAGCAGCAGGCGTCTCAGTAGGCTTCGTCTACCTCCTCGCATTCCTGCGCCTGCGCGCAGGCCAATCCTACGGCGAGGAGTTGGGATTGCTGGCTTCGACTGTGTTGGGTGGTAGCTCTATTCCGCGTGTTATTAAGACCGGGGGCAAGCCTGTTCCGCTGGGATTGTCTGTTTTGGCTACTTATGGACTTGTTATCTTTGGGTTGGCTTTCCGGGAGAAGAGGGCTGTTTGAGGGGATTATTTGATATTTTGAGGAAAGAGTAAAGTGGATATGGGATTTAGTTGATGAGGTGGGGATTGCGAGGTTGATATGATCTATTTCGCTTGGATGCTGTGCTGTTGAGGTCTTTCGTCCGAGTGGGTGCGCATATATACTCCCGTGTCAATCTGATATCAGTTGTGCCGCTATACGTGTTAATCAAAATTCCGTACTACAAAATACAAACTGCATGTGAATACAAGTCTACTGTACACACCATGACAGAAATCAAATCCATTGTGTAGGTAAGAATAGCCCACAAAACCCAGTCCAGAACGCCCAAACGGGAATGTAATCCCTACCTCGAGATCGAGAGAAACGCTAAAGACTTACGTCGAGAGTAAATGGCATTGTCACACCTGGAGGCATGCACATCAAACCAAACGGGATAGGGCCAGGGTTACACATCGGAGAGTGTAAAATGAACAAGGGAGAAAAAGAAGCAACGAAGGGCAGAGAACACGTACTGAGGCTGGTCGAGGTGGTAAGTTGATTCACCCCCTTCAAGACGATAGTTCCTCAGATTAGATCAGACATGATCCCCCATAAGGTCCTTGCACACGAGAGACTCGAAGGTGTTGCCCTCAATGTCTTTATTTCCTTTCCAGTTTCGTTTTCTGAATGTTTTTCATTTTCGTATGGCTGTGAATTGAACTCAGAACTCACCAGTACTGACGTCTCCTCGGGTAATCTTGTCTTGTCGGAAAAGAAGATGGGATGGTGAGAGGACTGGCCAGAACTACTGATTCAAAATTGGATCAGGGACTGATAACAGATAACAACGGGATGCCATGGGGACACCGGGAAATCACCGGCAAGTGAAACGCTCATGTGTAGATAGCTAGAATTGTTTGATATGTGTCGAACTTAGCTGAGTCCGTGATCCATCACTTGCAAACGCCACGGGAGGGACAATGCAGAATCTAACGGGCCGGATCGAGCACTGTGTCGGACGTTTGGATGGCTCCGACAACTACGGCGGGGGGACCTCGCCGAGGACGGTTTGGGCCGTGGTATCTGGAACGAATGCATACCGGGGAAGCTCGGCCATCCTCTCTTCTGGGCTGATAGTTTCATGGGAGTAAATCATGTGACCCGATGGCTTCGACTTGTCTTTCTTGGCTGGCTTTTCAACCCCCTCTGTCGGTTTGGAAGCCGCTGCGGCATTCGCTGCTCCTGAAATCAGATCGTCAACAGACTGGGAGACTGTTCCATCTCCATTATAGGCTGGAGTTGCCTGTGAATGCGGGACATGACCCATGTGCATCTGTTGCATTTGGTGCGCGTTGACCGTAGGTGCGCCGAATGTGGGACGTTGAGGGAGGTTCGAGGCAGTTGGCAAGGCACTCGGTCTGTGTTCGGGGGTGTAGGTTGCTGAGGGAAGGATGGAGGAGTTCCATAAGTTGGGGGCTGTCCAGGAATCGTGGGGAATGGCTGTGGGTACCCGTTCGGCATGTAAGGTTGCGGCACAGGCATGTCAAGCGTCTGGTTTCCGTTGGCCGGGTAAGGTTGGAATTGACCGGGGGTGGGTCTGAGGGAAGGAAAACGCGGGAGCGGCAGCGGCACCGCCATAGGCCGGAGTGAAAGACTGTTGCTGATCCAGAGCGGGAGCGGCGGCGGCCTGAGGAGATTGCGCCTGTATCGCTGTCAGTTCCAAGGCCATGCTAGCTTGGACGGAATAACTTACGAATCCAGTGGGCGTCGCCGACTGTCCAGCACTGGTGGGGGTTACATCACCGCTGCTACCTCCAGCAAGCGCCTCAGCGCGCTTGGCCCTGTGTTCAGCCAATCGCTTCTTAAGATCCGAAGCAGCCTCAAGCTTGGGTTTCTTGGCCGGCTGTCCATTAGCGGAAGCGCCAGCAGGAGGGTTTCCAGTCACGGCTTGTCGCTCCACCTCGGCCTGCTGGAATTGTGTGGCAACACGCTGCTGGTGAGCCTTGAGCACATCCTCGGGGATACCCTCCATGCCGAAGATTTCCACATCGAGGCCCATTCGGTTGGGCAGCGCGTTGTCCACCTCGGTAAGTTGTTCCTTGTGAACTTGACTCAGATGGACAGACAGGCCTGGCCGCGTGTATCATTAGCATTGGTTTGATGCGGAGAAGAGGAGGGGTGGATGGTATCTCAATGAGATCCACTTACCTCCTGCGGTGTTCAATCGGCGCTGGCATCGGTCACACTTGAAGTGCTTGGCTTTCTGATGCGAAATGAGGATCTTGAGGTCGTCAAAGTCGCGCTCGCAGTAGTAGCACCACGGACGAGCGAGAAGCTCTTCGAGCGAGGGGCCACGTCTTTTCTTGCCCATGATGGCTGTGCGTGTTGAGTCGAGAAGAAGACGCGATTGCGGGGTGAGATAAAGATGTTGCTCCTGGAGCGGTGTCGCAAATCGGCAGCTTGAGATGATGCATTCAGCCAAGAGAGATCACGTGTGATAATAGGGTCACGTGCGATAACGTGATCTATATACTTCCAATGATGAAGCGGTGTTCGACGTTCGCCTCAGTTCGTTGTATCTCTTCAGCTTGTTGGAAGTTCATTTGCTGCAGTATTCCTTGTTGTGTTAAGCTTTGTCTACGACAACTATTCTAGACACATTTTGGCTCCCTACTGTAGACCAGACCCACTACACTAATTTCCATGTCTGTGACTTGATTAACTATAAATGGGAGAAAAAAGTAATCGTACAACATCTGAATTTGCTAGAATACATGAGCTGGTGCCCCCGTGGGGTTGCCAGCAACTCAATAATGTATCTGATCTTCGCGCTCTCAGCCCACTCCCCCAGGAGGTCCAAGACCACAGGGAATCACCTCCATCACAGTTCATCAACCGCGTGCCATGTCCATTCACGAGGACAAAACACCAAACAGAGACGACAAACCGAGGCAGAAGCGACTCCCCGCGGCCTCAGACCAATCCAGAGGCGTGCCAAGAAAGAAACAGCGAACAATCAGTGGTGTTAAGGCGGTCCCCAGTCTCTTTGTCCCACCCGTGTCTAAAGTGAGAAGTATGTGAAGAAGGTTTCCATTGTAGCTTCACAGGTGAGAGGGAGGGGGACCGAGGATCACCTCAACGAGCGGACCTGCCTTCAATGTCGGGGATCCCGCGGATCATGTGGACCCGGGATGGAACCCATCCCGTAAGGAAGGTACGGGAATGGCGCGTACTGGGCCGGCATGGGTTGCCCCAACTGCGCCATAGGCGCAACAGGTGCAGCAGCGTAAGGGTTTACAGGGCCGTGGCCGTAGTGAGGCACACCCATAGGAGGGAGGGTGGGCATTGGCTGCTGCGCCTGTACGCTAACAATTGAAGGCAGGCCGCCTGGCCCCTTGGGAGCCAAGTTGCCGGCGAGCGGCGCGAGAGATGGCGACCGCTTACGGCGGCCGAGGGGCTTGGGGGGCTCCTGAGTGCTGTCCCCGTCGACGGTGCGGTCTTGCTCGATTTGGGCCTTGGACCGCTTTGGATTGCGGATCCGCCCCTCGCGGTTGAATCGGTCCCAGTGATCCAGCATCGCCTTTGTCCGCTTTGGATTCTTTGAGTTGGCGATCTTGACACGCCGGGCCTCCTCAATGGCCTCGGCAGACATGGCCTCCTTCTTGCTCGATGATGGGGCGTCGACAGGACTTTCAGTGCGAGGTTCAATGGCGGGGAACGAGGTCTCCGGTGGGATCGAGGTGGCTAGGGTGCTTGCGCCGCGTCGACCACGGCCACGGGTGGAGGTTTGAGGAGTTGGGGTGACCTCGAAGGTGGCCCGAGTGGAAGCGAGGCGTCCAGCGCCACGACCGCGACCACGTCCGCGCCCACGTCCAGGTCCAGAGCCTCGGCGAGGAGTAGAGTCAAATTGGATGGATTCGCCAGTAAGGCGCTTGCCGCCACGGCCTCTGGTGCGTCGCTTTGGTGGGTGGCTATCGTCTTCAGTCTCTTCTTCGCTCTCGTTCTGGGTCTCTTCAGCATCGGTCTTGTTGGGAAGTTCAACCTCAGCGGCCTTGCGCTTGCGAGTGACTTTGGGAAGAACTGGTTCACGGCGGGGCTCCCACACTTGGGGGACGTAATCAAGACCGTGTCTCTTCATCGTGGCCCAGCCATCGGCATTGGGTTCGCCAGTCTCCTTTTTCTTTGCGATCATCTTTCTAGCCTGTGCAGGAGTAGGGACAAAGCCTCCTTGGACGAATGGATCTTGCATGGTGCGGATAGGAATGAATGGGTTGTTTGTGGGGAAGTATTGGTGTTTGTAACCATAGAGCATTGCCTCTTTCTTTTCGGCAAAATCTTGTGTGTCTTCATTGACATGTGCCAGAGGGACGCCACCTTTCTTCTTGTGGCCCTGCATGACATTTCGCTTTGTCTCATATGAAGACTCGCCCCGGGTGTGTCGGAGGGCCCTGAGGTTGAGATCATCGAGCGCCAAATACTCATCTTGGATGGTTTTCATGGCAAAACAGGCTGTTTGTGTGAGGGCATAGAGTTCTTCAGAAGAGTAATTGCCGGGATTGCGGAGCATGTTCACAAGTTTGTCGATTTCTTCAACCTGGACTTCCAGGAATCCACCCTTGTCGACTCTGGATTTCTTGTATAGTAGAGGGTGATTAGCGGGTTCAGAAGCATCGCGCTTTCTGATTTTGGTTGGATCATGGAATGCAGCGTCCCAAGAAGCTCCACACTTGGAGGCTTCCTGTTCGTAATCCGAGGAGAAGAGATTAACATCATGGACATTCCAGAAACGTCGAAGGCGTTCTTTGGCGTCTGGGCCACGCCATTTTCCCTCGCGGGCGCGGTGTTCCTCCGGGAATGAGGTGCGCGGATTGGAAAGCCAGTCAATCCAATCGATCTTCCCTGTAGAAAATTGGCCGGCAGTGACGGTGGTCTGAGTAGGCTTGACAATGTTTTCAGAGTCACTGTTTTCGCCATTGGTCACAACGGTAATTCCTTCGACATCGTGAGGCTCGCCATCTTCAGGCTTGGCTGTTTCAGCTGCAGTGTCCTCATCTTCTTCAATGGCGTCATCATCTTGAAGATCGCCAGTCTCATCGTAAGTATCATCGGGACCATCGTAGCCAGAGAAGCTGATGGTCTTTGGATGGGCATCATTGATGTGATCATTCAGAATGTCTTCTTCAGAGATGTTTTCATCATCAGGTAGCTCTAAAAGCTTTCCACACCAATCGCACTTGACATGTTGCGGAATGGGCTCCGGTGACTGGGAGATTTGGGTAGAAGTAGATTGAGGGCGGAATGGCTCGGAAAATTGTCGGCGCAGTGGAGAGTCCTGACTGTCACCAACATCCGAAGAAGGGTTGTCCCCATCCAGATCGGCCCTTGGAATAGGGGCCATGTTGGAAAAGAAAAACAAAAAACAAGAGGGGGTATGAGTAATTGAAAAGCAAGCGATAAGAAGCAAAAAACGGCCCGGCTCAAATGGGGAATGTGAAATCTCAAGAAAGGATCTGTATAGATGTGGTCAGCCGGGTTCGCTTGCGGGTGCCAAGACGCCAGTAATCGCCCGCGCCAGCCGTGGGAGTCAAGGGCCACGGTAGTATGAGAATCGCCAACACAATACACATGGAAAATGGGCAAATCAAAGGGGGTCCGAAAGCAAGACAAAAAGGGATACATGTAAAAAGAAGACACGGTCGGCCAGGAATGTGTGCAGTCCGGACCGAGAAGTACCAGAAGAAAAAAGAGCGAAAGATGTGCCACTTACCATGAGATGTTCAAGATGTTCAAGGAGGTGTAAATTGAGTGGGCCAAGAGCCAGATCTCAGCCAATTACTGCTTGCTGGCTGTCAGTGATCTCTGCAAAGAAGGGTGCAGGGTAGGCGTGAGTGGCTGCCAGGGATACTTACTCGGAAGGCTGGGTAGATGAGGCTTTCCACTTTTGAAAGCGCAACGCGATGTACGAGAGATGGAAGCTGACGAGATTAGATAAAAAGATGTCCAGGAAAAATACACCGGGAAGTTGTGTTGTTGGCGCGCAGATCTTTGCGCCGGGTAGTATGGAAAAAAGATCTTCGACGCGATAGAACGCGAGGGAGACGATGAGAGGTCAGAAAGCAGGTAAAAGGATGGTACAGAGAGAAATGAATACAGGAGAAGAAATAAATGGGAAGGGGAAAGGGAGAAGGATGAAATAGCGAAGAGATTGAGGTTGAGAGAGAGAGTAGTTTTGTAGTTTGTAGCGTTTACGGGGGTTTCCACTGCCCGATGCGGCCCGCCAATCAGGTGTCAGCTATCTACTAGCCACATCAATGGCTGTATGTCGAGGAAAGGGGTTATTCAGTGTATATCTTTATTTGCTTGCTTTATTGTGGTGGAATCCATATTCACGTTTCTATTGTGCACTTTGCCTATTGTTGTCTGGGCAGCCTGGACCGAATAATCTCATTTTGCAATTTCGGACGTCACATGATACGTACTTTATAGTCCAACAAAGCCTGCCTCAGCGGGCTCTAGAGGGCTCTGGATAGCTCTGAAGTCTGTTCAGATGCATGGAATAGAAGTCGAGCATACATTCTGCACAGGCTCACTGGTGTGGGGACCCGGTGGAACTACATGTATCCTGAGGCGCTTGCTCCCTGGACACTAGCAGATTTCCGTCATCTACATTCATTGTACGTGATGGCTAAGTAACGGCTTATTCCAAGACAGCCCCCTTGTTTCCCAGCCTCCAGATTCTGTATGAAGTGACGGTCAAGTAACGAATGCGATGGGGGATCTATGACGCACGCGACAAGAATGAAAATGTCGTCCTCTGTGTTTGAGAGATAGAATGACAGCAATACTTTCAATTCTATTCATGCAGTCTATAATGCTGAACAGTGTAGGAAGAGCAAGGCTTCGTCCTGGCAAAGGACATGCCGTCAAACTCTGTCTCTGTCTCTCCTCTCTAGTACAACAATCCCCGGCGGCTTCAGGTAATGGCAGAGGAGTGCCAGTCAAAATACGATCCTTATCAGCAAGAGCAGCCGCCACTGACATTGTCATTCAGCGGATTCCAACCTTCTTAGCGTGAGTATATTATAGAAATGCGTAGGACGTTCGCGCGACGCGATCGTAGATCTGGGCATGAACAATGAGCAGGCAGACAAAAGAAATATGGCGAAACAGCTTATTCCTTCATTCGCATTTTCATAACTTGGATATTTTCTTTGATGGGCCGTTGGCTTGGACGCTGGTGCTCGCGTTGTGCAGTGGTTCGTTGCGTGGTGGATAATGATACCGGATGCCAGCTAATAAAGAATCAAACCCAAGCTGTGATCAAGAAAATATAGATGATCTGGGGAATACAGTTCAATGGGCGTTTCTTCCTGGTATTTCGACTGTACATCGTGTTGTGCGCCAATGCACTGGTGCAAGATTGACCATGGAATAGTCCTGGGAAGAGAAATCAGTACACAAAGAGGAAGGATAATCACCAACAGAACTGTTATTCTGGCAAATGGCAAGGTTGTCAACAACGGCCTCACTGGGACAGTGTAGAAGAGGGTGTCACTAGACCGGAATATACTGCAGGGACTACATATATTCTCCACAAACAAGAAAGCAATGTAGTACACACCTACCGGACAGGTAACCCCAAATCCCGGCTATGAATTAAATCCGATGTCACATCCAATGAGATATTCACTAGGGGCGTTAATTTTGTACATGCATGAACTTGGCGCCTAGCAAGCGCCAGCCATGCATGATGTCCACTCTATGTACATACCAAAAGAGCCTCTAATCTCTAAATAGAAAATAGTCGCAATAACACAAGGGTTCGAAACCTAAATAATGCAAATCATGGATCTAGTCTAGTCTATATCTAAACCTCTGCCCATCATCCTCTACTCTGTACATGAGCCTCAATGATTTTTCTCCCCAACATCAAGAGCGACCAAAAACCGACTGACACAATTATAAGCAGCAACAGTAGCCGTAATCTCTACAACCTCTTTCTCATCAAAACAAGCTCTAAGCTCTTCAAAAACATCATCAGGCACAGCAACAGTCTTAGTCATTGCATCGGTATACCTCAAGACCGCCCTCTGTTCAGCATTCATATTTGAAACCGAATTCCCATCCTTGAAATCAGCTTGCGCATCCCCAACGATATTCAATGCCTCCTCGCTCAGCCCGCCCTGCTGCAGTAGCGGCGCATGTTGTTCCCATTCGAATAATGCGCCGTTGACTACTGCGACACGGCAGATTGCTAGTTCGCGGATCACGGTTGAGAGACTTGTTCGGGTGCGGATTGCGCCGATGAAGGAGTTCCACCCTTCTGTTACCGGGTAGGAGTGGAGGAGGGCTAGGTCTAGCGGGAGGAGGGGGTTTGGAGCTCGGCGGGCTTGTACGCTTGCTAGGATGCGGGCTTCGTCTTCTGTTTCTGTTGGTGGGGGGTTTGGGACGTAGGGGAGACGCATTTTGGTGTTTAAGGATAGATTGGAGGGATTGGGATTGGTTTGTTTGTCAAGGTGTTGGTTGTGATATGTTGATCGGGGGTCTGGGTTGATGTTAGTCCAGAGTAATGACTCAATGTCGGAGATCGTAATTGGCATACATACGATTGTTTCAAGAGATGCAATGCGATGAGACACAGGAAGCTTGATAGACACCACAAGCGACTGGGTGTTTAACAAGTCTGAGTCAAGGTGTCAAAAGAAAGTATGACCCCGCGCGGTCCGGCTAAAATAGTATAGTTCTCGCCGCGGCAGTCGGCTTTGCGCTTCCGACGTGGTTCCGCGCATTTTATATAAAAGTGTGGTGTATTCTTGCATAAGTAGGCTACTGTAGGCCAAAGGAGGTATTGACATTAGTACTCTACCTGGTAAGTTTGTGCTAGGGTGGCGTACCTTGGTGTATAGATCCACTATCAGATGAACTTGATCAAGATCCTTCATTTCGAAAATCAAACATTTCTAGTCTCTGAAAGCAGCCTTGTAGGTTCGAATATGATATTTATCTTTTGTACTGCTCTCTGCATAGAATCGCAGTCGGACTAAACACTGCAGAGCGGGTCTTGGCAAAGGGTTCTCCACAGGTCAAGCTCAGGTGTCGTCACCTCTCCTTAACACCACCCAAACATGCCACCAAAGGCTCCCAAACCAACCAGCGATGAGCTCCTGGCTCAGTTCGACGACCTCGGTCTCGACAAATCCGGCAACAAAACAGCCAAGCCAAGCGCCCCCAATGCCGGAGGCGAACAGGAAGACATTCTGGCGGAGCTGGACCACCTAGCCACCCAGCGCCCTAGCAGTGGACCGGGCACTCCCCGCTTGTCTTCTGATAAGCCCAGGTCATCTACACGGTCTCCTCGGCCCAGTGCAACCATCGACCGACCGGCCGAAGAGAAGGCGGCGGTCCGCCAGTCTGAGGAGACGGGGCGGACGTCGCGCACAGAAACCAAGCCCGAGCAGCCCAAGGCTGAGGCCGAAAGCGCCCCTGCACAGCAGTCCTCCGAGGAGGCTGGTGGCTGGTGGGGTGGTTGGTCGGGCGGATTGTCGGGAGGACTGTTTGCGACCGCCACTGCGGCGATGAAACAGGCCGAGGCGGCTGTCAAGGAGATCCAGAATAACGAGGAGGCACAGAAATGGGCCCAGCAAGTCAAGGGCAATGTTGGAGCTCTACGAGATCTCGGTATGTCTACTTCTACAAACTAGTATCATTCTCTTTCACAGGCGGATGCTAACAAGGTACACACAGGCGGGGAACTTCGCGACAGAGCCCTCCCAACATTCACGAACCTCATCCACACCCTCGCACCACCCATTTCCTCGCATGAACGACTTCAAATCCACGTGACGCACGACCTGTCTGGTTACCCGGGCATCGACCCATTAGTCTACGCCGTGTTCTCGCGCGTGATGTCTCAAGTCGAGGGCGGAGACCTGCTTGTGATCCAGCGCGGCCAGGAATCATCCCCGAAACGCGGCCTCGATGTGACCGGGTATATGACCAGCGCCGGCTGGAACGACGGGCCGTGGTGGCGGACTGTCACACCAGGACAACCGCGGACCGTATCTGCCGTGCGAGGTGTTGTCGACGGATCCAAGCTGGCGCGTGCTAGCGCCGAGTCCTACGCCACGGAGTACTTCTCTTCGCGTGGCGGTGTTGAAGAGGCCGCGAAGCAGGCTACAGAGGTACTGGAGTGAATCGAACCCGGTTCGCAGTAGTGATATCTTCTTGGCTATTCAAGCCATTAGCCAGGCTACTTCCAAGGACCTATTCCGGGCCGGTGCGTCAGGCGAGAAGGCCGATAGTGCTGAGGAGAAGGAAGATGAGGAGGAGATCTGTTTCGCGCTGTACCTCCACGACCCTATCCATGGTATTGCCTTCCACACTATCTCCCAGGCTATCCCACAGACTTGGATTGACTGGCTCGACGAGTCGGCCCCGGCTCCCGAGAATCCCGATGCGGAGGATGCTCATATGGCGCGCGTTGTCGTGCCGGAGGCCATTGCCGAGATTATCGAGAGTGGAGGCGTTGATCCTCGTGAGTGGGTCTCGGAATGGATTGAGGAGACACTCTCGCTTGCTGCTGGAATTATTGCTCAGCGATACGTGGCGCGCCGCATGGGTGTTGGTGAGGGCGGTGTTGGAAAGGGTAAGATGCGTGCTGAGCAGGCTTCCACTGTTGAGAGTGGTGCAGGCGAGGCTGCTCGTGCTATTTAGGCCGGTGTTTCTATTTATATCGAGAACAGCTACCTTGTTCTAGCATCTGTCGTTCGTGATAACCCCTTCAATCCATTGTTTGCATCGCACCGCACTTGCTTTTTCTGTTATTTCGCGGTTCTCTATTCAAGCTGTTTGGTGGTGAACACTGGAGAATGATAATCTACAATTGATCCCCTTGCAAAGTCAAACAAATCATAAAGAAAAATAAAATCAGGTATGCAATTCCCGAGATATATATACACAGAATTTCTATGATCAAATGCAAGATCCAGCGCCGCAAGAAAGCAAACCAAATGCATCCGAAGACCATAGCGGGTATTGTATCAAGCATTCTTCTCTTTTTAAACGTCCAAAGGCCCTTCCAAGCCAGGAACATGCCAGAAGTTCGCACGGAGAGCTGTCACACTAAGAAGTATCAGCAATCGTCCCAATAACCTCAGTTCATAGAAAAAGAAAGACATACCTCGTAGACCCATTCAACACAGTATGAGCATCCGTCCCTTCCTCACTCTCCTGCATAGTCTTTTTCATATCGGACAAATCAGCCGACCACTTGAACTGACGTTTCCGACTTTTGACCTCATGCCCATTGACACCATTCACTCCACCATTAACCGCACCATTAACCCCATTAACCCCCTTCTTCCCCAAATCCTCAGCATACAAACACCCCCGATTCCAATAATAAGGCAATGTCCGCGTATATATCACCGGCCGCTCCTCAACATCAACCCGCATAGGAACATTAATATTATAAAGCTCAACACGCTCATCCCAATGCTTATACAAGAACCCCACAACGCGCACAGCAAGTCTCGCCGCAGCGGCAATAACATCCGCAGGCTGTTCATCCTTGCTCCCGAACGAAATCGCGATCCCGCGTTTCCCACAAAACACGGCTTCCAGGGCCCCGCCTACCGTCCCCGAAGACAGGTTGTAGATTGTTGAGGCGTTGCGGCCGTGGTTTGGGCCGGAAATTACTAGGTCGATTTGGGGGCGGTTCGTGAAGAGGTTGTGCAGGCCGAGTTGCGTGCAGCTGGCTGGGGTTCCGTTTTCGATTATTACCCATTCGTCTTGGGTTGGGCCGTCATCTCCGTTGCCGTCATTGTCGGTGGCGGTTGTGCCGTTTGTGAGGTTACCATTGGTGAGGCCGTTGGTGAGGCCGTTGGTGTGCTGCTCCTCTGGCTGATACTCCTCATCCCAGGACCCATCTTCGCGGAATGAATCCTTGTGCACATAGCTCGCAGTAAGCTTCGCTTCGATAAGGTGCGCCTTGCCAATCCAGGAGCGCGAGGCTGCCGGGATAGCTACTGAGACTTGGTGGCCATTCGCTTGCAGTTCGTCGACTAGTGGGCGGATGTATGGAGATAGGCGTCTGCTTGGCGGGCCATCGTCGTTGACTACCTGTTCTTGGCGGTTAATTCGGTGTCCTGATATTGGTTTTTGGCTTTGGGTTTATCTCTCGGCATTGAGGGAGAAAGAAAGGGAAGAGGGAGGGAAAGTAGGTCTCGTGAGGACTTGGATGTCATGCGGATGCATGATCCACCGATCTATAGCAGATCCTTGCATACTCCGCTGATAGCTTGATTTCTTTTTTCTATACTTCCGCGGAGTAGAAAGGAATAATGGAAGAAGCAAAAAAGCAAAATGATAAAAATAAACGCAACGATGTAGATCTCACTTACCAAGATGTGCATGACCTTTTGCAGCGCTTAGGGCGATATACCTCGAAACTTGATGGTCTGAGCTTCCAGGGAATTTTCCCTTTTGATTTTCTGATTTTTTTCCCGGGTCTGGTTTTCTGGGGTATAAGGAAGGAAGAGAGGAAAAAAGAGAACTCCACGAAAACAGCGGCAATCAGGCACTTATGGGAAACTGGGTAATGATTGAGCCATTCTTCCACACCGGGGTTGGGGTGAAGCCGTTCAGGCTGCGGGGACGGCAGTGGCAGGGCCCGAATGCAGCCTGCGGTGAACCGATCCGTCGGTTTTCTCGGTGGTACCGGCCATAGATGTGTTTTCTATTATTCATGTGGATTGGAATTGTGAGCTTCGACATAAGTTGGGTGTTCTAGAAGGCATGTGCATCCAGTATAAGTTACATTTAGTGTAGTTATGTACAGGCACAGACTGCACTATGAAGTCTACTTACCCCATAAATTTAGGTTGTATACAAGAGCCCTTGGGTCCATGTATGTTTACCATATACCCTGCATAAATACGGAGTAGACCTCGTAATAACAACTTCAAGACCTTAGGTAACTTACATCGTTAGTTAAGTCGAGTTATGTTAAAAGGTTAAATTCTGGCTGAGCTAAGCATGCTGTAACATACACGGCACCTGTAGTACCTGGACCGGGAAATTTTTGCTTTTTTTATTAAAACCTTGGGAGACACAAAATGTAACTAAAGTTTATAGTGGAAACAGGGACTTGGCCATTCAGAATCATATGTGATAGAAGCTCCTTTTCTCTGACAACATCGACTCTCGTAAGGTCCGCGCTCGGAGATCAACACACCGGGGCACACGTTGTCGGCACCATTACCAGATTGGCCCATTGGCATCTTGACTCACAATTATATAGACTGAAATCTCTGAATCCTCCAGTTTTAAATCCATTAATTCCGAACATAACCATAGGCATAACCCATAACCCAACCCAAAACCTTGGTCTGTGCCAGAAACACGCTAGAGACGATCGCAGAAAATCTTGAGGTGGGGACCCGTAAGCCTTCATCTTTTGGCCCCTCAACTTTTACCTCTTCCATCATCTGCCTTACGATACACTTGCAATCTGCCCACCTAACTGCACCTGCAAAGTCTCAAAAAGCACGAGCTTTTTGAGATCTTTGCTCGACTCGGTCGTCGTCCCCCTCGAACATATCCTGTATGGACAGTGGAAGCACCGGGACCGCTGCGGGGATCGACCCCAAAATCTTAGACAATTGGCAAACCGAAGGCGCCTTTTCGGTCGCATCGTGGGAACATTTGGGATACGATCAGCCCCCAGAGTGGGATACCAGCCAGGACTCGAGCCAGTGTGATGCGGATATCGCGGACTTGGGAACCCTCCAGGGTCCGTTGACGGGCGAATTCCGTCGTCTGGAGAATAGGTCGGGACCCCTTCTCCCTGGATAAGATGCGTGGTGGGCGATGGCTGACACGTGTTGATTTTGCAGAAAGCATGATGTAGCACCCGAGACCTTGAACTACGCCGATGGCGGCGTCGAGGGAACCGGGAGTGGGACCATCAGTCCCAGGACGATCCCTTCTTCCGATGAGAACTTTCATTCCGACGAGACGTGGCCGCATTTTCAGTTGTACAACTCTGTCGGCATGCCGATGGATGCGTCACTGATGTACCCCTACGCGAAAGGACAGAATCACTCGACCGGTGCCGTCATTGTGGACGATGTGGGTGAGATGCCTCATGGGGGTTTCTCGGATGCCCCGGGGGAGAGTATTATGCAGTTCCAGCAGATCCCTCAGTCCTTCCCTATGATACCGGAGCAGTGGGCTGAGATTCAACACGGCGTACCTGTGGAGAACATCCCTGCACAAGAGTCTGTGCCGCTCGCGGTGGGTACACAGGGGAACCCCAAGGACCATCCCCTATCCGAGTTCCCGACTTCCATCCGATCCCTCGAGTCCCGTTGGCTCAACAGTTTGGAGTCCCAATTGCCCATCCAGCAGATCACACCAGCCTCCCAAACTGTGGGCCCCCACAGTGCCCAAATGGGACAGGACCGTTTCCAATACAAGTCGGAAAACTCATCGGTGTCTGGTGATTTGTCCGGAATCTACGAGTGCTCTTACTCCGCCACTAGCGATGAGCCCCCGGCTTTTGCGGACCATCAAGTAGACGATGATGAGGTGAAGTGGACATCTCAGCCGAGCTCGCGGGAGGGATCACAGCCGGCGCCCAAGACCACGGCATTCATGGTTAGCGAGGTGCCGGAATCTATCGTTTCCACCATTCCCTCCCGGTCAAGGGCTTCATCGACTGCTGGCCAACGTGCCGGTCGATCGGCGCCCCTGGCTATGCAGAACTCCGGCGCGGTCAGGAAGCGCAAGACCAGAAACCCAGGTTCTACAGACCAAGGTCTGCCAAGACCACTGCAGATTGTCCAGGAAGATGGCCAAGGTGGGTCTATTGCGTCGGCAGACTTTGTCTCACCTCCCCGAGGCGCTCGTCGCAAGGGTCCTCTGAGTATGGTTGGACGGGCCAACGCTGGTCTGCGTAGGAAAAACAAGGATACATGTGTCCAGTGTCGATTGAACAAGCGCAAGTGTGATGGAAGCTCCCCTTGCGATGCTTGCCGTCCAACGCTACACGAGCAGCCCTGTGCGCGTGCCTGCTTCTCCAGCATTGTCGAATTTGGAACTTGCAATTACATCTCTCAACGAGCTGTCAACCACCCGACAATAGATGGTTCCAACCGAGTCCGCATGGAAATTCCATCCGAGTTCGATCTTGGGCAACTCTTGTCATTGCTTGCTGAACGGCAAGGGCGGTTCAACATCCGCGCTAGCCAGTCCTGGGGCTCTCTATACGTCCTCGACCTGGGAGAGACCTACAAGTTCCTCAAGGCTCTAAGCGAGTACAACGGCAACTCCAAGTCCACCTTCCTCGAGTTCATCGACCGCCGAATCGTCGACTCAAAGGACAAGTCTAAGAATTGGCTATCCTGCGTCGCCGACTGCGACCCAATGAACCAAGCCTATGTAAGCATTTTAATCCTTCCCCATCAAAACCAAACTAACAATCCAGACCCTCCTCTCCCAATGGCACAACATGCCCAGCCGCGCAAAATACAGCTTTGTCTCTCTAGACGCAAGCGGCGAAGAACGCCCAATGGACATAAACAGCGCCACAGACCGCCGCGAAATCCTCCTAGCAGCCCAACTCTCTCGAATCTTCTGCCGAATGCTGGAAGTCGAAGGTTTCCGCAAACTCGAACGAGACTTCTACAACATAAAATGGAAGCAAATCTCGCACGAGACCCACGTCCGCTTCCTCGGCGAACTAGGCCACATCCTGCTCACGCTGCGCTGGCGTGTCTCGTGGTGGAAGCGTCTCGGCGACGGCGGCCAAACCCCTGACCCGTCACAGCAACACTACATCGACCGTGTCGAGCTGCTCTGCCGTATTCTTTATGTTTATTATACGTGCGTGCTGGCGAAGCTGCCTTCTTGGTCGGCGGCTGATGTGCCAAAGGGCATTTGGTCTACTTATGCTGATTCTGAGAATGCTATTTGGGATGACTTCCCTTCTGATTCTAGTGATGATGGTTTCCATGGCTGGATGGAGAGGGGGAGGGATCTTATTGAGCAGGCTGGTGTTCCTAGTCGGATCTCGAAGTCTCCTCGGCTGGGTTGAACTGGTCGACAGAACGACAGAATGACAGAGAACACTGCGCGCTGCTCATGTTATGGGCTTGGTTAAGTTAAGGCGATGGACGGAATGGAGTTGGACTTTTGATACCCTTTTACCCTGTTTTTCTTTATCTTTTCTTTATATTTTCAACCTTTTTTTCATTGTCATATTTTTATTACTTAAACCCTGTCTATTGGTTTTGGTTTGCTTTGCCTGAGTGCTCCCTGTTCCTGTTTGGAGGCATCATGACTTGATATACAGACTTACCTTGCTTATGATTTGATGATTTCGCACCAACATGTTCCCATTCAACGTGGACATCTGGACTGCTGGGTTTTGTACATAGACTACTCTAACGATACAGATATATACTCTTCCCTACTTTCTATATCCAAGATCAAGTACTACCAAAAACAAAAGATAGAATATAATGAAAAGAAACTGGGTATCGATTTCATGCACTCATATCGAGGACTCTAGAGCATGGAACTTGAAACTGAACAGGAACAGAACGGAAGCAGAAAACCAAAACAAAAGAAAACCACTTGTAAATGCAGATTATGTTTGTTTCCTTTAAGCCTTCTTACCACCCTCCTGGGCCTTCTTCTTCTCCTTCTGAAGGCGATCCTTCTTGCCTCCAGCTAGAATCTCGAGATGGCCTGCCTTTGTTGCGAGACTGCGTTCTGTCTTGCCGACGAGGCCGGATGTGAGTTTCTGTATGGTGAAGATGGTGTCAGTTATCTTTCTTTCTTTTGTATCTTTATCATATCCATATCACATCTCATGGTCGTATCTGTAACTGTCGAACAACGATGATAGTTGGAGATAAAACCCCAAATCCAAAGCCGATTCCAATTCCAATTCCAATTCCAGAGAGAAATAACCCATATAGGTATATAGGGGTGGATATGACAGTGTATGCGTGTAAAGGTAGAAATTCATACCTTCGTCAGCTTCCGCTGCTTAATGAGATTAGCCTTCTTAGGCGCAACCTGACGAACACCAGGCTTAGTAGTCTTAGCAGGCCTAATTGACAAGGGAAAACATTAGCCCATGTTCACAACCCAACCAATGGACACCAACTGGTAGCCTCATCGAAAGTGTAAAAAAAGAAAGAGGAAAAACCACCCCATCACCATGGTGATGGATGATGGTTCTTCCTCCCTGGGAGAGTAAGAGAGTATAACTTACTTCCGACCAGCTGTGGCGGGCGCGGCCTTCTTCAGGGATCCTTGGACCATATTGGCTGTGTGTGTGGTGGATATATCTGAGGACAAGGAAAGAGGAAAGAGGTAGGAGAAAGTACTGCCTGCAGCACGGTGTTCTTCTGCCTGGGTCTTTTTTTGGGGGGTGGGCGGAGGGAAAATTGCTTATCGGGCTTATCGGTATCGGTCACGTGCGTTTTCGCGGCTTTGTTGTTCCGGTCCGAGGTATATCTCGTTGGATAGCATTTTTCTTCCTATTTTGATGTTGTGTCCGTATGCTTCGATTGATGGTTCTTATTATAGAATAGATATCCATTAGTATATCTACCTTGGCTTTTCTATACGGTCTTGTGTACGACAATGATAGGAGGAAACGAGCTAGCAAGACTGCTTGAATAACATCCCAAGGTAGAGAAGAGACTCCCTAAGCCGGCGCTATCTCTCAGTAAGTGTACTTGAACCCAATCTGTCCTTCAATTGGCTTTCCACCAGATGCGACCCGCTTGTTCGCCCGATTGAACTTCAGCGTCATTGCGCCCACAATTACAACAACCAATGCATTGGCTAGCATAGTACAGAGCAGACCTGGTCGATAATTGGGTGCATCTTGGGCGCGGAATACTGTTGTTCCAATGATTCCTCCAATACTTCCTCCGCCGATCAGCGTAGCGGATGTAAAGGCTCGCTTCCATTGTCCGCGGATATTGTTGCTAGAGTGAAAATATGTCAGAACATGCAACATAACACAGAACTCTGTAAAAAAATAATCCTCTTACCTCTGCCACGACACTAAAGCTGGACAATTTGCGTTTGCTGTAGTATAATGTTAGTAAAGCCAAGCACCCAACGGCAATATTGAATCAAACCAGTCAACTCACCAGCAATAGTAGCCAAGAAAACCCCAAAATACCTAGGCGCCGGGTGCTCAAGATACCCCAACAAACCAAGTCCAAGCAAACCCATAAGCGCGTTTCCAGCAACAACCGGACCACGCAAACGCCATTTATCAGAGTAAACAGCCTGGATATACATAACGATCGCGGCAGCAACATATGGCGGCGCAACAAGGCACTGGGCCTTTGCCACGGAGAAATGCATACTCTTCTCCAGGATTATAGGGAGGAAATAGGCAATGGAGTAACTGTTTGTAGTTGTAAGCATATAGAGGGCCGCATAAGCCCAGACTTTGCTGTCTTTGCCATTGGCGAGGTATTTTCCCATGGAGAAGGGTTCCACAATAGCATCTGCTCTGTCATTTTCAATCTGGGCAATAACGAACGATGCTTCGGTTTCGTTAAGAAATTTCCAGGATTTCGGGGATTGCTCTGGGAAGTCAACTAGGAAGATGTACGAGCCAATTCCGAGGACGCAAGTCAGGAGGCCTTCGATCTGAAGGTAGTGTTAGTCGGATATGCCCTTTTTATTACAGTGAGATGGTTGGCTTCTTACAATAAAGATCCATTCCCAACCAGATTTCCCGGCTATTCCATCCATTTGCATTAACCCATAAGCTAGGATACCGCCGAATCCTGAGGCCGTGCTTCCAATTAGGTAGAATGTGGCATTGCGCTTCTGGAGCTCGTAGCGGGGATACCAGGTACTGAGAAGGTAGACGCTGCCGGGATACATTCCAGCCTCTAGAGCGCCTAGAATGATGCGTAGACCAGCCATGGTTTGCCAATTTGGGACGAAGCCAAAGCTCTATATTAAATGATCGTGAGACAGGGAATCCGCCAATTGTTCTCCATGGGGGACGTACAATCATGACAGCTCCCCAGACGAGCACAATGCTCGCAATGAACAGTCGGGGCCCGACTTTCCGGATGATGACCGTAGCGGGGATCTGGAAAACGGTGTATGTGATGAAGAATACCAGAGATGTGATGCTGTAGCCGTTATTGGAAGCGTTCATGTTCAGGTCGCCCTGCATTCTGAAATTGAGTCAGCGAAGTCCGTATATAGGTATGTGCTAAGAGCACTCAACAAGAGATTATGGCTGGAACATACCCAGCAACAGAAGCAGCCCCAAGATTAGTCCGATCCAGCAAGCTGACGCAGTAAAGGCATCCCAGCGTAATCACCAGGCGAGCATCAATCCGCCGAATGAGCTTCTTCTGCTCACTTGGACTGAAGGAAGCAATGACATCCGCATGTTGGAGCGCGCCTTTCTCCGTGTCCTCGATGTGAGCTTCGGTGTAGGTGTCTTTCATGGTGACGGTCCCGAATTGCTGAGGCAAGTGTGGAAGAAGGGAAGGGCTGATGCGTCTGCATCGTGGATATATACCAATTGCGGGGTTGTAGCATTGACACTGACACTGACTGTGCCCACATTTGGTTCCCACATTTTCTCCGCAAATTCATGTTTGATGCCTTTCCAAGAGTTGGGATCCGGGGTAAATCGGTCCGATTGGTTTGTTAACTTCCGGTGGAACTTGTGCTTGTATATTCTCGTTTAGATATCCTCCACCGGCGGTTAACTTGTGAATCATATTGCAAAACTTGCGTTATGATATCTTTAGATTTCAAGTTTCAATGTATATCCAATGGGATCGTGGTTATATGTGTATCGCTTACGCGCAGAACCCCGATATACGAGCTACATTTGTGAACATCGCCAAGTACGATAAACATGGCCTCTTAGAGCATTTCACTGCTCAACGGCGCAAAGGAAACGGAATACAGGACCTCCGTGATCACCTGTTACGGGATACCTGAGTCACTTCACCAATTTTGAGACTCTCAGGTTACATATCAAAGAAAAGTTAAGGTATAGAAAATACCATTCAATATTAATAACAATCAGGAAGTCTACCATCTTCCTTCATATACCTAGGGGTTTTCACTAACATTAGTGGCATTGAGCCTTTATAATGGGTAGCCGGGCTGGGTTCTGATTCTGACAAATTGCCGTTCTGCCTCGGGCTTCATTTTGCTGGCCTCGGCTATATCCAGTGGATCATCGTGCCATCAGCTAAGATAATACCCATCTTCCAACTCGGCCAGGCGACGCGAGACGGATGTAACATGGGAAAGTATTAGCTGTTAGTTAGCTTCGCCAAGAAAGATATTGAATATAGTACGATGCAAAGGAGAAATATGTATCAAGAATGAACACAAGAGAAGCTCTTGACTCAGTTAAAATGCAACAGCTGAAAATATTGTACAAGATGCCAAAATAAAGATTACACTCAAATCTTACCACCGGTGATCTCCTCTCCGAGCTTCTTAACCCGTTCCTGGACGATATCCCAGCGCATGGCCTCGCTGCTCTTGCGAGCCTTTCCGGCAAGACTGTTCACAGTTGGAGGGTTACCCAGGTTCCAGATGTTTTCACCGGGCTGATGGTCGTTGCGCCATGCCACGTTCTCGCCCTCGGGGAATACCCGGTCGATTTCTGCAGCAAGCTGCTCCTCCGTCGTGATAAAAGTGCGAGCATTCATGTACAAGGAGTGTAGGTGCTCCTGGCGCTCTGCCTCCTTCTGTGCCTGCTTGGCCTCCAAGCGAGCCTTGGAGAGCGCGAGGCGCTCCTCCCGGTTGGGGTCAGGAATGATGCCTTGCTTCCGAGGCTGCATTTCTTGAATCACTGATGGCCGAGTGAGACGTTCATCCTCACGAATGGGTTGTTGAAGGATCTGGTCTCGCCGTCTCTGGTTCTCAAGACTGCGGGAGATCATCTTGGAATCCGCCTTTTGTTTGCGCTGATACAAGCTCGTGAGACCTTCTCGCAAGTTCTGTCGCCGCAATTCTGCCATATGGAACTTCCATTCCTGCTTTTCCGGGTCGCTACTTGTCGGGCTGACAGTGCGTTCTGTCTTGGGGGTGGGTGTTGCGGCATCGATGTATTCTTTCTTGGGCTTGTCGGTTCGGCGGACTGGGAAGATCTCGCGAGGCACGGGGAGTGTACCCTTCACATGAGGTCGGATGGGGTTGCCAGGCTGGACAATCTTCGGCACATCGATGAATTGAGGGGACTCAGGTCCGACACGGAGGTTGGAAGAAGTTGTGAATCCGCGGACTTGCACAGAGGCAGTCCGGCTGCTGCGAAGGACAGACATGTGCGATCCAATGTCACCGGAAGGGACTGAATTGGCTGATTAATAGTACAATCAAAGGCCTTGGAGCTGGAGGCGGAGAATCATGGGAGCCTTCGCGGTCAAGGAAGAAGCGATTTTCCCGTGGTCCGTGCTTTCTTGGCGCCAAAAAAAATAATCTTCGCCGCCTTCCTCTTTTTTTCTTCTTCTTCCTGCACTCTGCCACTCCCCTGTGTTTGGTCTTGTCTACTACTTTTTTTCCTCTCTTTTCATATTGCAACCTTTACCATGGGTACAGGAAAGAAGGAGGCCACTCGTAAAGAGCGGCAGGGGAAGACTGGTGATGGCATGGGCAACGTCAAAACCAAAGGTGAAAATTTCTACCGGTATGTACAACTTGACTCCTAGTCATGGCAAAGTGACTGACGTTTTTTTCAGCGATGCCAAGAAGCTCAAGACGTTGAACATGTTCAAGGATGGCAAGGCGCGCCGTGACAAGGAGGGAAACATCACAGTCGCTGCGAGCTACCAATCCAGAGATGTGCCCACAGCTCGGATCGAGCCCAACCGTAAATGGTTCGGCAATACCCGTGTTATCTCCCAAGAGGCCCTGACCTCGTTCCGTGAGGCTGTCGCTGAGCGTGCTTCCGACCCTTACCAAGTTCTCCTAAAGACCAACAAGCTGCCCATGAGCTTGATCCGGGATGATAAAGGTGGAATCAACGGGTTGAAGCAGCACCAGGCCAAGATGGCTATCGAGACTTCTCCATTTGGTGACACCTTCGGCCCCAAGGCTCAGCGCAAGCGTGTCAAGCTCGGCGTGTCTTCTCTCGAGGACCTCGCTGGCGAGACTGCCAAGATGCAGGATACCTACATCGAGAAGAATGATGAAGGCACCCATGCTGATGGAAGCGCCATCGTCGGCGGTGATGACAATGCCAAGGAAGATCTCGGCCAGCTCACCACCGCTCGTGAATCTGTCTTCTCCAAGGGACAGAGTAAGCGCATTTGGAACGAACTTTACAAGGTCATCGATTCCTCCGATGTCGTTATTCACGTCCTTGATTCTCGTGATCCCGAAGGTACCCGTTGCCGCAGTGTTGAAAAATACATTCGCGAGGAAGCACCGCACAAGCACTTGATCTTCGTCTTGAACAAGTGTGATCTTGTCCCGACAGGAGTTGCTGTAAGTTTCCACATTCTTCTACTATTATTTTCCCTATTGCCCATTTCTCGCGTTGCGTTTTTCATGTCTTGTATATGCATTTTGTTTTGTTTCATTGGCCTTGAGCCAATTCCATCGCTAAGTCAAGGCTTCTTCCCGCGACGCATGTCGTGCTTTGTTTACAATGGAGGTCTGTCTGTTACAGCTTTGGTAGATTAACACTGGCCCGCACCGAATTTCTTTCTGAAGCTAGGTTGACTTGTTTTCGTCTTGAAAACATGTCGCAAAGGGCCAGATGTGTTTTGTTTTTGAGTTGAACTCTGCTTCTGCCTTTTTGGTGGCTTAGTAGCAGAGTTCTTAGTAACATCCCACACATTCTGCTTATACAATGCCTCATTATCTGGTGACTGATGCTAACATTTCATGTCCACTAGGCTGCCTGGGTTCGTCATCTTTCTAAGGATTACCCAACGCTGGCTTTTCACGCCAACATCAACAACTCTTTCGGCAAGGGATCTTTGATCGCTCTGCTCCGTCAGTTCTCTTCTCTTCACTCCGACCGTAAGCAGGTTTCGGTTGGTCTGATTGGTTACCCCAACTCGGGCAAGTCCTCTATCATCAACACCCTTCGCAACAAGAAGGTGTGCACAGTCGCTCCCATTCCCGGTGAGACCAAGGTGTGGCAGTATGTTACATTGATGAAGAGAATCTACCTCATTGATTGCCCTGGTGTGGTTCCTCCCAGCCAGACCGACACCGAGGAAGACATTCTCCTTCGCGGTGTTTGCCGTGTGGAGAATGTCCACAACCCGGAACAGTACATCCCAGCTGTCCTTCGTCGCGTCCAACCCCGTCATCTTGAGCGCACCTACGGCATCAAGTGGCAGGAGGACCACATTGATTTCTTGGCTCTTCTTGCCCGCAAGGGTGGTCGTCTTCTCCGTGGAGGCGAGCCGGATGTCGATGGTGTTGCCAAGATGATGATCAACGACTTCCTCCGTGGAAAGATCCCCTGGTTCACTCCTCCTCCCAAGCTCCAAGGCAAGGATGGCAAGGATGAAGAGAAGATCGAAGGCCGTGAAGGCCGTCTCGGTGAAATGGGACGCAAGCGCAAGCTGAACGAGAACGATGAGCCTGCCACCAAGGAGGCTGATGCCGAAGAAGCCGAGTCTTCCGACTCGCAGCCTGCTCAGGACGAGTTCGGCGGCTTCGATGATAGCGACAACGACTCGATCGCCAACATCGAGGTCAGCGACGTCGAGAGTGGCGAGGAGTGATTGATCTGTTCACGTTTTCTACGGCACTCGAGTGTCACCCCCATTCAGCCATGAAACACGCAGGCAACCTGCCAGCACGGGGTCGGCCCTTCCTGCTCTTGAAATACCAGAGCTTCGGCTGCCTCATCACTCGCCATTCCCTTCCAACGGGAAATTGGCTCAAGCCATTTGGCGTGTCGTGCTCCCAATCGCAGTAGTCTGAGGGCTGTCTCGCACAGCTCAGCCCAAAGAGCGCGCCGCTACCCAGCTTCGTGTCCGATTGTGAGCTTCCCAGTACTTAACCGTGCATACCCAGGATCTGGTGTTACAATCACTAGCTCTATTTCAGATACCCGATTCAGAGGAATCAAAACCAATGAAATCAATTCAAACCAATCATGTCCTGGGTAGTCGTAGCAAACCACGTATTCTTTCCTTGCCCAACCAGGCTCTTAGTGTTCACCGTTCACACCGCGAAAGTACAATGTTCAATAGGCCCCGAGATACATCATACTCCAGTCCTGAACAAGGTCTGTCATGGTCCCGAAATATGCGCCTCCTCTAATGTCTATCTCTTCTATTGCCGTCGAATGTGATTTATTTTATCTGACCATGCGCATAATCATAACCTTTCTGACCTTGGCTAAGGCACTTTTTCCTGACGTAGTCTCAGAATTTCTAGGAGGGAGGAGTCCAGCAGTCTGAAGTAAGGCACATCGAGATTATTTCACATTTGAGTTGTTTGCTATGAAGGAGACATGGGTAATATATGTTTCTGCTAGATACTGGCAAAGTTGAAGTTGTGTAGAGAAATCGGAGAAGGGGAAAGGATATCAAAACGTGGACTGGATAAGCCTCAGTGGTTGGAGGTGGGTGATGTAGTCTTAGAATTTTGGAAAGTTGGGAGGGACAGGAATATAGTGATTCGAAGGAAGGCTCGTTGGGATTATTCTATGATGGATTGATTAGATCTTAAACTATTGAAGTTGTTTGCTACCCCGAATTTCCTATTTGACTTTGTTTGCTACTCCGGGTTTGCATGGTACATGTATATTCAGTGGCCCTCTTCTCTACCTAGATATATCGCGTCCAAAACTTCCACCCCTCACGATTCTCATGCACCCCAACTCCAACAAGCTCCTCAATCCCCTTAGCCCCAGGCGCATTCTCAAATTTCTCCTGATCGATCTCCTCACTTCCCCCCCCTCAGTCCGGAAAACAGCAGGCCACAGCACCCCAACCCCATCAGCCCCAAGCACAGTCTCATATATCCGGAACCCCTCAGCAGCAAGATCCCGCTCAAGCTCCTGAACAGTCTCCTCCCGCACATCCGGCTTAAAAAGCGTAATAGCACATCCACCACCCCCAGCACCTGTCAACTTCGTCCACCCAATATCAGTATAATCAACCAGTTCACGGATCCGCTCAAGACGCGGATGAGACACGCCCAGTGAAACCAGGAATCCATGATTAACACGGATCAATGTCCCAAGATGATCGAGAGTCCGGGAGATTCCATCCCGACTATCAAAACCGGGCGATGTAATAAGCTTCAACGCCGAAGCCGTAAGCTGCCCAATCCCATTTAGAATCGACTCCGTCAATTGCTCATGGTTCGCCCTAAGCCCTCGCACTTTGTCAACCTGTGTCGCCGTTGAGCGTGCATGCTGCGTATCAATCAAGAGGAGAGGCAGTTTCGGGAATTTAGTCAGAGGCGTGACGGTGGGTGCATTGGCGCCGTTCCTCTGATACACGACCGCCTTCCCACTGGCCGAGACGGTATTATCTATCCCACTGGGATCACCATGTGTACACAGCTCGCCCACAAACGCCCACCGGTTGATCCGCTCGATTTGGGTCTCTGCTTCTTCCGGTGGTTGGTCTGGGTGGGGTCCTGCGAGAGTGCGGATTTGGAGGAGCAGGGCTGCACTTAGACAGACGCAGACGCTTGCGCTACTACCCAGACCGGCGCCAATTGGGATTGTTGAGCGCAGGGTGTAGATGAAGCCTGGGCTTTCGGGTGAGCTTAGCGAGAGGAAGAGGTAGAGGAAGGCTGTTGCGGATCGGATGTGGATCTTGCGTTGTTTCTCTGGGAGGTCTTTGGATACCGCTTCTGCGTGCGGTTTTATTGCTTCGAGGAGCTCTGGGTCCAGGGAGTCGACTAGCGAGTAGTAGAATTTCTTTTTGATTGGTTGTTGGAATACATCCCATGGGAGAGTATCGATCTTCCATGTGTGGTCCAGGCCGATATCTCTGAAATTGAGCTTGACGGTACGTTGGGACTTCGAGAGGGTTGTCACTAAGAGGTAGGATCTCAGTGAGATTGCAGCTGCAATGGCTGGCTTGTCGTATACTGCTGCGTGTTCGCCGAAGACAATCACTTTTCCCGGTGCGGAGACCATGAAGGTGGGGGCCATTGGCGATGAACTTTTTCGCTCCATGTTGATAGTGGGTGCGAGGACTGACCAGTAGAGGATCAATCAATGTTTAAAGACCTGTATACTCGAGATGAAGATCGAAGATCAGAGATAAGCTTAAGACTCAACCGCGGTTGGAATCCAGGGTCCCACTATGGCCACTACAGCCTCAGCCAGCTGGGCATCCCAGTCAATACTGCCTCATTTACATGCAGAGTATGCTAGCCTCACTTAAATTCTGTTTAATCAAACCAGTTAGGTCACATCACTCGATATAAATAGTATAGACCCCATAGGACTATTTCAATTCACTTCATATCCTTAACTCTTTATACTTTCTCCCCTCACCGCCCAGCGACACCATCGTCATCAGAGCCGCAGTGCCATTCCTCCCCATAACGCCAGACAATATGTCTATGATCCCCTACAATGGTGGAAACCTGGATGTTGTGCTGTAAGTGATATATATCTTGTTTTCATTTACCCGATCTAACCATAACAGGCGGCACAATGACTCCGTGGTTGTCTTTGACCGCGATTCGCATCAGCTCGTTCTCCGCAGTACGGCAGACACCGATGACGATGTAGAGCTCGCCAACTGCCCGCTCTGCCACCGTCCTATGCGCGACAGTAGCAGGGGGCGGCATCGTGGCAGTCATGAGCCTGAGGGGGAATTTATAAATCCCAATTATTTTCGCATGCTCAACAACAGTCTCCCCAGCTCCCCCTCTGCCTCGACTCCTTCTTCCCCACGACGCCGCCTTGTCCAACCTGCCCTTCCCGGTACACCGCTCCATGAACCCCGTGTTCAAGCTACATCTGGATCACAGGGGATCTCCTCTGCAGCATTCAGTCCAGATTACTTCAAGAGATTCTTTGTTGAGAAACGAATTCTGGGCAAAGGTGGGAAAGGTGTGGTGCTACTAGTAAAGCATGTCTTGGATGGTGTGTCTCTTGGCGACTATGCATGCAAGCGTGTCCCGGTCGGTGATGATCATGAGTGGTTGGAGAAGGTTCTTGGCGAGGTACAACTATTACAGCACCTCTCACACCAGAACCTTGTCTCGTACCGTCATGTCTGGCTGGAAAATGCAAAGATAAGCAACTTCGGCCCCAGTGTGGCTTGCGCATTCATTTTACAACAATATTGCAATGCTGGTGACTTGCACAACTACATCTGTGGCTCTGTTCAGACCTCGAGCACCGCCCAGCAGTTGAAGGACCGTCTCCGGCGGAAGTCGAAGGGCGAACCTGAGCTTCAAACGGGCACGGGAGGTCCTCGCACACTTCAGCTGGATCAGATCTACTCTTTCTTTCGTGATATTACTTCCGGTTTACGCTATCTTCATGCCAATGGGTATATTCATCGTGATTTGAAGCCACACAATTGTCTTCTTCATGAGACTAGTGACGGTATCAGAGTCTTGGTCAGCGACTTCGGTGAAGTGCAATCACAGCATTCAATGCGCAAGTCAACTGGGGCAACGGGTACCCTTTCGTACTGTGCACCTGAAGTTCTTCGACAAGAATACCCCAATGGACCGTTTGGGAATTTCACTTTCAAATCCGACATTTTCTCCCTCGGCATGATTCTTTACTTCCTCTGCTTTGCAGCTCTGCCATATGCCAATGCCGATATTATCCACGAAGAAAAAGAGGACTTGGACCAGCTCCGCGCGGAAATCACCAGCTGGGCTGGATTCGACCATGCACGAGCAATCCGCCCCGACCTTCCCGAGAAGCTGTATAAATTCCTTGAACGTCTTCTCTCTATCGACCCAGGTCGACGACCTTCAGCTGAGGAAGTCTTAAGTGGTATCCAAGCCGGCGCCAATTCCAACGCAAATGACAACTTCCGCTTCAGAAAGGCCAGCTCAGCAGGTCCCGATCTGCCAGGTGCTCGAATTCACCCCGTGGACAGCCCACAGCCATCGATCGAACGTGCTCTCTCTCCAACAAAGAAAGTGCGTCGCCCATCTGCAACCTTCCGGCGCGACGCCATGTTTGACTCGAGTAACCTTCGAGCGAGCACAACGCCAGCAGAGGACACGAATCTCGAAGACGGCCCGTTGTCAACTCCAAACCAGGACCTCGTCATCCGACACCGTTACTCTACCTCTCCACCTCTATCTCCAACCCGACGACCCCATGAAGAATCCTCACTCGATGCCCAATCCCACTCGTTCTCTGAGCACCATCTCCTCCCACCGCCACCAAGCCGCTTTCCCTCACTGAACTCCCTGATAACAATCTATCCTTCCTCACATACCCTGCAATTCTCTCTCTTCTTCGTCAAGGTCGTCTCAACTCTTCACCCCTGCTCACCCCTAGCCGTGAACCCCTGGGTCCTCTACCCCGTTCTCCTTTCAGCATTATTGACCCTCCGAGTCCGAAGTGCCCAGGGACAGCTTCTGGCTGTTTTTGTGCATTTGCTTTGTATCGGGCTAGGTTTCCGTCTAGGTGCTTTGTGCATGAGGCATCGAGACTCGGATATGCACATGTAAACTTATCCTATGAACTCATGCTTTGATGTGTTTTATCTTTCCTTGTTTTATAAAGGAGCATGACTTCGACGAGGCCGTTATGGCTGTTTAATACCTAACGAGTTAATGATTGTATTTTTGGCATGGATATGAGAAGTACGTGTAAACAAACATCCGTAACTACAGCACAAGTCTATAATAGCACGTAGTTTACTAGTCAAGGAGACGAGTCAATTATTAGCGTTATATCGACAAGAGTTGCAGGTGTAAACATATAGTATCAAGATTCATCAACAACAATCAATCATCTATATCTACATCTACGTGCACTGCCAAGGAATGTCGAGATTCTATTATTGACTATATCTCCATATTCGACCGGCCATAACGTTACTCTAAAAGAGTACAATGCAGACACCTCCCGTCTCTCCCAACCGCACCGGTCCACCAACAGGTGGAAATAGATTCAGGAGTAAGCGAGGTAATACAGCGCTCTCTGACTCTCATTTCAATTTGTGTAATCCAGCAGACGGGCCATACCATGTAGTCCTAGCTCGCTATGAGAGAGGGTATGCGCATCTTTCAACACGGCAAACCAAGAAGGTGTCATAAGGTGTGGATGTAACAGCAATGCATCGAGGAGAGGAAGAAGGAAGGAAGAAGTGAGCTGGGGAAGGAGGGCTTATTGATAGGAGGAGCGTTTGCTTTGCCTGCCGGATGTTCACGAGGAAAAGAGAAATCTTGAATGTTTCTATCGTTTCTCATCTATGTGTATCTTGTCTTTATACTTAGCAGGAGTACTGATTGTGCATTATCTTATACCCTCGTGCCATCCATGCTAATTTAATCTATGCAATGGAAAACTAACCCATTCGCGAAGCTTTGAATTTGCTCACGCGCTTCGGTGGCTCCTCCGGTTCGGGTGGGAGGACAACCTGTTCTTCCTCAGTTTGTGAATTACTCTTTCCAGACAGGCGATTTTGCATATGGAAGAATTCAGAGGCGATCTGCTTCTGGTGAAGTTCTTCGTCGTAGTGGTCCAGCTCTGGTGCCTTCGCCGCTCCAGGTGACACCTGGCGCTCGAAGACTTTCTCGGCCAGTGTCCTGTCTTGTGGAGGTTTGGGTGTGTAGGGCTTGTGCTCGTTCTCGGTGATGTCTGTGATGGGTGTGGAGAAAGGCTTAGGCTCTTTGGGTGTGGCTGGGAAGAGGGTGGGAGGTGCTGCGGATGGAGCTGCGTTTGTTTGCTTGCGAATTCGAGATTCGGTGACTCCTGATGGGTTCGAGGTGGTAGCGCCTGAAGTTACCGATTCACTGGCCGGAGTGCCTGGGGCCGCACCCCGAGCACTCTTGAACCGTGAAGTTTTCTTAGGACCCGACGGTGTAGGTCGAGGTGGTTCTTGGGGACGGCTTGTACGTTCGACAATTGAATCAGCGAGCACTTTGGGCTCCTCTTGTGGAGGAAGTGACTTCTCGGCGGCGGCATGAGGTTCGGGAGCTGGTGCGATGTCAAGGTCATCGGCGAATGCAACCCGTTTCTTGGGTTTCTTCTCCTTCGGGGTAGACTCGGTTTCCGTTCCAACCACCGTTGGGTTCTCGATCTCCTGCTGGACTTCCTCAGGGAATGTATGTGTGTCCTTGCCCATGTTCATCAAACCGCGAGCGTTAAGCTTGGCTTCCAGCTCTCGCATCTGCTGATGATAATCCGCAGGAAGTGCAGTGTGAGAGCGGCCGTATTCATCCTCGTTCTCTTCCTCGTCATAGTCATAATCATAGTCTTCGTCGAAGGAAACGTCACTTCCGGACTCGTCCATTTCGAGTTCGGCCACAATTGCGCCCACTTCGTCAATTCCGTATTGAAGCATTTCACGGCGCAGTCTCGCATCTTCAGCGGTTTCATTCACATCGGTGACAGGTGGCTGCTGACGATCTTCGGGAGTCACCACAGAGACAGGGCGCTTGAGGTCGAGATCCTCGCGGGAGATGTCATTTGACTCAAGAGCCGCATTCTGACCACTTGAAGAATCGCCCTGCTGGCTTGCAGCCATTGAGTTACGTGGCTCGCCCACAGCATCCTCAGGTGTAGCCTCGGCGGGGGTAGCAGCAGTCTTCGACTCCTCAGCATCCGGGATATCCTTGACACCAGCCTTCTTCAACACGTCCAGCAATTCCGATGCCTGGTTTCCGGGAGTATTGATCGAGCTCGACACGACATTTCCGTCCTCATCAAGCTCCTCCATAATCTCCTGCATAGGAAATTCCGCGCCATCTTGCAACGGCTGGTCCTTCGCACAAAGAGCTGAAAGCTCATCCTCGGCCTTCCGGAGCCGCTTCTCCATGGTGGCCACATTTTGTTTCACATAGTCGATCCGTCGGCCCAGAAGATCAATCACTTGTCCGCGAGACCGCATCACACCTTGCGACCCAAGTATCGCCTGCATTTCCTTCTCGTCCACAAGGGTGCCTCCGAATTCCAAGGCGACATTAAGGAAGCTATCCGTGCTGGCTCCATCGTCCAAGTTGCCGATCTCTTCGCGCAGTCCGTCGTATTCCGCTTCCCAGGTTCGCCAGTGGTAGAGTGATTTCTGCAGTTGGAGAATGTTATTTTCGAGCGCTAGGCGCTGCTCCTCGAGAGCGTCAAGCCTGTGGTTTGGGACTCCCATGTTGAAAAGCGTGGAACAGCTTCACGCCAGGGATATAGCTTGAGCAGAAGGGAGTAAAAGATGGGATGTTCGGAGGCAAAAAAAAAAGTCCAAAAAGGTGAGTAGAAGATGTGGTCCGTGCGCACGTGCTTATCGAGTTCCACGGCTCGTCCTCACGTCACTCTCACACTCTCTTCCTTCACGCCCTCACGATGGCCTCAAAAGATGGGATCTCTCGTCGGGATGACGACGGTAAGCTGACTATAGCTTCTCTGTGATCTTATACACTAACCCAGTCTCTCAGAGGTCTGCCCCGTCTGCAAATCCTCGCGATACTTGAATCCCGACATGCGATTCCTCATCAACCCAGAATGCTACCACAAGATGTGCGAGTCATGCGTGGACCGCATCTTCTCCGGAGGTCCCTCGAGCTGTCCAGTCGCCGGATGTCGTAAGACCCTGCGTAAGAACAAGTTCCGCAAGCAGACGTTCGAAGATATTGGAGTGGAGAGAGAAGTAGATATTCGGCGGCGCGTGATGCAAATGTACGCCCCTTCGCATCCCAAGCACCTCAGTGAATTTCTGACTAACATTCATATCCTCCAGTCTGAATCGCCGCGAAGAAGAATTTGACTCGAAACGAGCCTTCGACGACTTCCTCGAACAACGCGAAGAGATAATCATGAACCTAGTAACCCGCATCGACGTAGCCAAAACCGAATCCCAACTCCAAAAATACGCAACCGAAAACATGCAATCAATCCGCACAAACCAAGCGCTGGAGGTCGAGGAAGCACACTCATTCCAAGCACGCATGACCCTCGAACAAGAAGAAGCCAAGCTCCGCCGACAAGCCGCGCGCCAAGAATACGAAACCGAGCGACGCGAGCTCCAAGCCGGACGCGAGGACTTCCTCTCCAGACTAGCCTCAGGCTCATCAACGGACGCCGTAGCCATCGCGCGCGAGGGTCATAAAGTCCTACTCAAGAAATCATCAGCCCGACGCAGCGAGGAGGAGCGTATCCGACAGAAACAAGCCGCGCTGCGCGGAACAGAAGGCAAGCGTGGCGCGAGCGGTCTCTCTTCCATAGAGAACGGCAGTGCACCGGATACAGGGCTTGTCAAGGGTCTGCGCAAGATCAAAACGCCCGAGCCAGAGAAGCCCTACGATCCCTTCATGGGGTATGTACCCGACAAGCGCGATTACTATTCCCTTCAGTCGTATTACCCATCTACGTATCTTGATCCTATTCGACAAGACGCGCGGATACAGGCTGGTGGATATGATTTGGGCGAGTATTACTCGCGCACGCTGCTGGAGGCTTTTGCTGGGTTGAGTTGCTTTGTTGGTGAGGAGATCTCGCAGAGAGATGCTTCCAAGCCTGTGGCTACTGAGGGCGCTGCTATTGCTGCTACCGGGGACGAGGAATTGTAGTGGCTGACTGTTACTCTTGTCTGGCCTGTATCGGGTCGGATTTTTTTATACAGCTTCAAGAAGCTTCTGGGCATAGCGATGGCGTTTTTTTATGTATGACGACGGCCATCTCAGCTACCACATAGGTATATGAACTAAAATTGAAATTTTATGCGACTGTATAGATTGCAAAAGAAACCTAAAACCCAAGACCAGTATAGAACGCAGCACTAAGTCCCAGATCCGAAATGGGCAAACTACTCATTTAGTTCGACTACAAGCTCAAAAGGGAATAAATAAAGAATTAGCTTTGAAGGTCACATGGACATCGCCTATCAAGAACTTCCCAACAATGAATTATCCAGTCCAATCAACTTAAACATACAGATTCAATCCCAACTCCATGCGACAACGCAAAAGTAGCACCAAAGTAACCTTAATAAAGAACAAACGATATACAATGCAATGCAATGCAATCAGTCTCAATTTAGTGACCGCGAATAGAAAGATGTCCAGTCATCTCAGTAGTGCTCTCAATACCCTCCCAAGGCAAATCCTCCTCATCATCTAGATCAATCTGATCAGTGTGACGAGAAGATTTATCAGTGGTACCGGTGATGTCCGGAGCATGGGATGCGCCAAAATCAATTCCAATGGATTCGAGTGTCATTTCCATTTCTTGCTCGGTCATTTCATGGCCGTCCTGCTTTTGGCCCTCGAGGACATCGTATAGAGCGTAGATTTGATCGGACTTCATGTCAACGTCCTTCAGAAGCTTGTCGATCTTTTCGAGGAGTGCCTTCCGTGGGCGCTTGCCAAGGGATGCGTCGAGCTTGTTGAAGGCGCTCTGGTACGTGGCCAGTTGCATCTTCAGATGAGAGAGCTCGTCTTCCAGGCTCTTGAGGACAGTGGCAAGGGCGATGGCGGGGGGTTGCGAGGGACGCATGGTCGGCTCTTCATTGTTTACCGACGGCTTGGGCATGCGCTCCGAGACTGGAACAGGCTTGGGGACCTTGACCGGCTCGTGGTTGCATTCTCCGTCATTTGAGCGGCCATGGCAGACCGTGCAGTTCTTGCCGTTGTGTTGGGCAATGCTATCCAATGCTTTCTGAGTGGCTTGGGGCAGCTTGGATGGGTCATTTGCCGCCAAGTCTGCCTGGTGGAGAGTAATATCAGGAAGGATGAAGGCGGAGGTCATGTCAGGGGCAGGGCGCTGCTTCTTAAGCGGGGTGGTTGCAGGTAAGGAGTTGTCTGAGTGACGCCTGGAACGCTCGGCAATCGGAACGGCCAGACTGGTCTCTCCGTCGGTAGTTGCTCTTGAACCAGTGGTGATATCACCAGCAGCGGATGCTGGGCGAGGGATAGTTGGCTTGCTTTCGCGAAGGGATGACTTTCGAGGAGCAGGAGCTTTCAAGATACTCTGTCTGGTTGAGTTGACGGTCTCTGTAGGGTTGCTCTCCGTGGGAATACTTGAACGGCGCTGTTTACGCATCAATCTCTCCTCTTCCAGAGTCTTGCGCAGACGAGCAATTTCATGCTCATCAATAACGCTCAACAAAGTGATGTCTGCCTCAGAAGACGCCTTTGTCTGCTCAGTCGCCTCGACAGGCGAGCTCGCATCCTCAACCACCACGCGTTTCACGCGCTGCTTGCTAGTGTTTGGCTGTTTCCGGGAGCTCTTTGATTCGACTGTGCGGGACACAGGTTTTGAGGTCTTAGAGGCTGAGGTGCGTCTTGGGGTGGGTACTTCAATGGAGAAAAGAGCCTCATCGGCGCGTTCTTTTTCGAGGCGATGAATTTCCTTGTCCACCTGATTGGATACCTTGGAGCGCGAATCATCCTGGCGCCTGCTCTTCGTGTTAGAGCGGGTACTTTTGGAGGTGAGATCCTTGGTGCTGCGACTCATGTCTGCGCTGCGCTCGGTGTAAAGCTGGCTGTCATCAGCATCAGATACAGTCGAGCTGGCTTCAGATTCGACGGTGTCCTGCTCGTGAGTTTTGCGGTGTGAGTATCGAGAAAGTTGAGACTTAAGATCCGCATTCTCTTGCCGTAACTCCCCATTTTCGGTCTTGAGTTCTCGGTTCTCGAGGTAAGCTGCACCAAGTTGGGAGATGGCTGACTCTCTGTCGTGATTAAGACGCTTGATGGCGGACTCCTGAACCTGAGCCTTTCGATCGGCAATGTCCAGCTGGTTTTGTAACTCAAGGTTTACTGCTTCCAATTCTGCATGAAGACTGTTAGCCAAAGAATCCGAATTGTATGGTAGGGAACTCACTTTGATTTTCGTTCGCCAAGCGTTTAGATCCCTTCTTGTGATCATTGTCCTCCGACTCATACTTGACTGACTGGCGGGGTTTGTTTGATTTTAGGGACGCGTTCTCCAGGCGATAATTCTCCATTCGCCTTTCTGCGTCTGCCTTCCACATATTCAACTCGGCCACCTTGTCCTGGAGCAGCCTCAATGAAACGAACAAAGCCTTCTCATCTTCAGGAACAGGCACTGCGTCTAGCGGGAAATGATCATGGGGCAGAGACATTTCTGTGTGATCATGCAGTGGTGAAACAAAGCGAGTAGAGCGCATCTTGCCCTGTCGGTTGTAGACAGGCGTGCCATCTTCGTACACACCAGACACGAGTTCGGAGATATTAGGGAGGTCGGGGAGAAGAAATGATTGATGGGTCATGGTATCACCAATGGTGTTGGTGTTGGCTGGGTTGGCACTGGACTTGCGAGGAGTCCCTGAAGTGGACTTGCGCAGTTCCTTCGCGTAAGCATCACGCGAAGCTCGCTCAACAGCATCCGCAATCTCTTGGGAGGTGTTGGCATTTCCGAAACGTGTCGAACGCGTCTTTGTTGAAACTGGGGCCGGACGTTCGTCTCCCAAGAAAGAGCCGTCGTAGTTGTCACGTACTTTCGCGTGCATGTCGGAGAAGGTTCGGCGCTGGTCACGCTGGGCCTTTGATACTTGCGGGCTCATGGTTTCCTTCTGTGCCTGGGTCGCTCGCCGCACCTGAGCGTTCTTTCGGAGATTTTCACTGACGGCTCGTCGCTGTGGGCGCGTAGCGGGCTTTTGTGGTGTTGGGTATTCAACCCGAATTGCGGGTGAGGATGAACGGACACTGTTTTCGAAGCTCATCACAGAGCTTCGCGAATCGTCGCGTCCCGCCTTGCCACCGCGTCCCAATTCCACGGACATTTCGTGGTCGCTCACTGTGAGCTCATCCTGTTCTTCTTCGGAAGTCTGTATTTGGGAGAAATCAGGGAAGGCTTGGTCGAGGGTTGAAGTGTGGATGTCGTAGTCGAGCTCGGGTTCGTCGACACGACGTGTTGATGTGCCCATGATTTCGTGTTCCAAATTTGTCAGAGAAAATGAGTCGTCATGATCAAAATCTCTATTAATTGGAGGCATCTCGAGCGTGATGAAGTTGGTGTAAATGGAGAGGCTGGTTTGTTTGGGGGCAGAGTCGGAATGTTTGGGTCTGGCGCGTCTCGGCAACAGTCCCACTCCTGATTGGCCCACATCCAACTACAGAACCTCAACTTGTACTTCGACATCTTATGTTGTACTCTGTTGTACTCTGCGTTTTTATTGTGCCGTCAATTGCTAAAATCCCAGATCATATCAGAATATATCTGACTTTCTGGGAATTTTTCCGTAGCACATACCATATCTTGAGCCCCGCTGCTCCTATTTGTACCTGCAGCCTCGGGAATATAACTGTAGCAACCAAAATTTAAGCATGCATAATTATCATTCGGGCTCTCCATATTAGTTGCTAGTCCTCATAAGCTCTTGTTGTTGGTCAAATCCCACAGTATATTGCATATGCATGCAAAAAGGTCTAATGGTATTCGTTCACTACCAAGTTTTCCAAAAACGTAAATTTAAACTCTCATTAGACTTAATAGAATAAAGTGTGTGCTTTCTATCACAAATATGGTACTGTTGAAATTCTCTCGAGATGTCTTTCAAAATATTGTCGCGCTTGCAATTCCAATATATATTTGTGTTTAGGAATGACTCTTCAGCAGGCTGGAAAGTATCAACCATAAATGCATTCCTGCTATTCAGCACAACTCCCTCGGCAATTGATCTTCAGACTTAAAATGTTTTAAAGTTAATCCCTAGGGATATATCTTAGTTGCTTGTATTTTGCCCCAACAAGTTCACCTTATAAACTGCTCGGTTGACCACCTAATTAGCGATCTCGGGACCATTCATAACTAAGTAATGAAATGATACAATACGCCATAAACCCGGACTCAATTGCAGTCTAGATGCCTATTTCCGCCTTTTAAGTAAAGGTCAGAGTTATGGGAATTACAGTACATGCATATTTCGGCAGCGTCAGTGTTTTGGTGTCCCGAGCATTTCCGATGTTGGTTCGCCTACCGACTGCACCCTACATTTTATGCCATAAAAGAAATACTTAAGTTCATTGCATCTCTAAATCAAAATAGCACTCGACCAGACCCGACCCTAAGGCACCATGTGTTAGAGTACATTCAGCTCGAGTATAGCCAAAATCACCACTGAGCCTGAGAGAACGATTGAATTCCAACACGTTAAAACCTCCAGACCAGCACCCAATTTCCATTTGGTGAACCAACTCGCCTCTCTCAACAACGTGCTCTATGACAGTGATTCTGATTTCGGTGACGAGGGTCCATCCGCTGTATGCTATCCAGAACGACCATTTTGAGACGCCCAGAAGACTGGTTCTCCTGGCGGATCTCCATTTGAAATCTAGCAGTGACGTGTAACGTTTTGCCTTACATCACAGAGAAATCCGAAAAGCCAGGGTGTCCAGAGGAGCCACGCCTACGTCTGGTCCAGAATGGGTCTCTGCCAGAAGAAGGTTGGCCAGCAGGTGGATTGAGCTCCAAGACTCCTATCAGCGCGACATGTCGAAGTGGCGAGATATACGATGGCGTCTCACATTTCTTCGAGAAGTTATTAGCCGTTCCGTGGGCTCCAGGGCTTTTACATTCTAGACAAGGATGAAGATGTCGATCCTTCAAAGGAGTTTGCCATCTAAACGTGAACGCGTTGTCAAGGGAAGCAAGTACAGCATGTCGATTACCTCGCCAGGGTGTGGGACAAGCAGAGACAGGTGGTGCTGAAAAATAAGTCATAGTTGAAGAAATGCCTGTGTCGATGGAATACACTGTTCTTAGAATGTGTGGATGCCCTGATCTTCCAAAGAGAAGGACCAACAGCTTGCATCTCTGAACCTCGTGGACGCACTGAGTTTCTCAACCTGGGTTTCTTCGGCCTTGTCAGGGCTAATATCCTGAATGGCAGAGACACGAAACTTCGCACAACTAACGCTTGACATCCCATCTGAAGTTCGGTTCAAAGAAAGGTAACTCGATCCTTATACCCCGTCTTCTCTTGTATATACACCTGCCTAATATAATATGTGAACCCACATCGACTTCTTCCCACAACCAACGTAGCCCTCAAATAGTTCCAGAACCGACTTCAAAAGAGACTAATATCTACGAATGCGAGTAAGACATCATGAAGATATAGCAAATAGCCATGCCAAGTTAAACATATAAGATTAGTAATAGGACGATAATAAATGACTCTTATTTCAACCCATGGATGTATCGCATCTGATTTGTACATCAAAGAATTGAAAAAAAAAAAAAAATATGGTATGAGTATGCGGTGGAACAAGAGCTTATTACAGCCTAAGTTCGGCAGAGAATAGGAATGTGTCGGATTGTGGAAACAGCGGTAAGCAACGTCGAATGGGATGATGATATACATGCAGAGTCTATGCATAAAGACCTAATGTGTGACACAAGGCAATAAAACAGAAAAAGAAAACCTCGATGATTCCTTCACCATGGATATATTGGCCTAGTAGAAGCCAAGTGGGTATAACAAATATAAGGACCTTGTAGAGGGCGCCGTTAGAGGTACGTAGAGTGACCCGTAGCCTCATAGTGAAACACACTAAAGCCAAGTACACTCAAGTATCTATCAAGTCACGAGTAGGGCCTGCACCACGTGTTGTCGGCTTCATACAACCGCTGACCAATCACAAGGCAGGAACCACTCACGAGCACAACAGCCAGGGTTACCGTGAATTCCTTGACAGGTCAGGTCGCATTGAAGAATGGACTGACTCCTACTTACATCTTCTTCGGTTTCGCTCGGGGTTCACCGGTACAGATGTGAGTGGCTTGGTTACTTGGACTCGACCCTTGTGACATCATCTAGACAAGGTCGAACCCGATCAAATGGGGTACTACAGTCCCCGCGGAGAGGAGGAGAGCCTGCTCGGACGCCGACGAGATCATGGTTCTAAGCAGCAACGGTCCCGAAAATGGTCGGTAATGACCATGGCTGCGCTGTTGGGCATGCTGTTCCTGTCGGCTCTGTATTTCGTGCTGGGACCTGAGTACGAACCCTTGCATTCCATAACAGAGATATCCGGAGCGCAGTCTGACCTGCCGACTTCTGCCCCTCTTTCTAGGTCGATGAGAACGTCGCGAAGTGGTGAAGCCTGCAATACTGTCAACGGTGGTTATCAATGCAACCCTGAGATCTCGCACCGTTGGGGTCAGTATTCGCCTTATTTCTCTCTTGCGGAGGAATCTGCTATCTCGGATGAGGTACCGGATGACTGTCGCATCACCTTTGTCCAGGTGCTCTCCCGTCATGGTGCTCGGTACCCGACGGCATCGAAGAGTGCAAAGTATGAAGCTCTCATCGATAAGATTCAAGCGAATGCCACGGCTTTCAAGGGCAAGATGAAATTCCTCCGCTCGTACAACTACACCCTTGGAAGCGATGATCTGACGCCGTTTGGCGAGCGTCAGATGCTGGGATCCGGACTGAAGTTCTACCAGCGCTATGCGGAATTGACCAGGCAAGCTGTGCCCTTCATTCGTTCTTCCGATTCATCGCGGGTTGTGGAGTCAGGCAACAAGTTCATCAAGGGCTTCCAACAGGCAAAGTCAAAAGACCAAGAAGCCAACCACCGACAGCCAGCCCCAAAAATCAGCGTCGTAATTTCTGAGGAGCCCGGCTTCAACAACAGTCTAAACCACAATACTTGCACAGATCTCGAGAACAGCGAGCTGGGCGACGGAGCTTCCGACGAGTTCACATCCATCTTCGCCCCAGCAATCCGCACACGTCTCGAAGCCAACATCCCAGGCGTCGAACTCTCCAACACAGAGGTTGTGTACCTAATGGATATGTGTCCCTTCGACACAGTCTCCCAGACAACCAACGGAACAAAAAGCTCCCCATTCTGCAACATCTTCACAGAAGAAGAATGGACCCAATACAACTACCTCCAATCACTAGACAAATACTATAGCTACGGAGCAGGCAACCCCCTGGGCCCAGCCCAAGGCATCGGCTTCGCAAACGAGCTAATCGCCCGTCTAACACGATCCCCCGTCAACGATGACACAAGCACAAACCACACCCTCGACGCACCAGGTGCAGCAACCTTTCCACTGAATTACACTATGTACGCAGACTTCACGCATGACAACGGGATGATCCCCATCTTCTTTGCGTTGGGATTGTATAATGGCACGGCTACCCTCCCTCGCTCGCATGTTCAGTCGCCTGCAAAGGCTGATGGATACTCTGCTGCTTGGACTGTGCCATTCGCTGCGCGCACGTACATCGAGATGATGCAGTGTCATTCGGATCCGAATCCCGAGCCATTCGTGCGGGCTCTTGTTAACGATCGTGTTGTGCCATTGCATGGGTGTGATGTGGATGAGCTTGGGCGTTGTCGTCGGGGGGATTTCGTGAAAGGGTTGACTTTTGCGCGCTCGTTTGGGAATTGGGACCAGTGCTTTGTTTAGTAGCATGTATGATTTTCTGTTGGAAATACCCATTGGTAAAGCATTGGTCTTTCCGTTTCGGGTTTGTGTTTCAATATTGTTTCGACTTGATGCCCACAAAATGTACTATTGCATGCCTGTCCGTTTCTGTTAGATTATTCTTATTTGCATCATTAGCCAATTCAACCTGAAACAAAATACAATCCGAGAAACAATATACTTGTAACCAGATATAACTAAAAAGGCTCTAACACATGCAAGTCACCATAAAAGTAATTCAAACAGCCGCCAAACACCAAATAAAACAAACTCCCTCTCATCTTTTACCCATATCGTAAACTTATCTCTCCTAACAAAGTACCAACTACATACTCCACCCATGCACCCTCCCATTCCCATTCCTCTTAGCCCTCAACGACCCAGCCAACACCCAAGCCTCCCAAAGCGGCATCTGCTCATGCAAAACATGAACCCCATCATCCCCCAGATCCTCCACCCCCAATGTCCGAACCTTCTCAACAGAAACCTGTCCAAAAGCCCCCATCTTCCCGCACACCAAATCAGGCCGCCCATCAGGCCCTAACCCTAACCCCAGCGGCGTATACGTAGCAGGCGACAAAACAACACCAGGCTCCTCCCCCGTCCCTGCCGCAACAGTCAACGAAGAAGGAACATGAACCTGGACAGGAGCAGGATAATCATAATCATCAAAGACTTCAACTCCATTCGAAACAGCCACCAAATCGAAATAGGCCGCGTAGTCAATTTCCCGCAAGTCCAGGCGGTCTAATTGGTCCATTTCTTCGCGGAGAACTGATAGTACATCGCGCCATCGACCACCCGGTCTGAGATAGACGCCTCCGAGTCTGAAATCGCGGAGTTGGTATCTATGCCTCCGAGCCAGGTTGATTATTTCCTGGGCGTTTAGACGCCAACCCTGGATACTTAGTTTGCGGAGGGTTTTCCAGCGGATATTGTGAAACAGGGCCTCGAGATCAAGGTCGAGCGGTGTTTTGCTTAGGAAGCCGATATGGATTGCGATGAGGTTTTTGGCTGCTATGAAGAAACGGCGGAAGACACCCGACAGGTTGGCCATTGTGGGCGTGATGTTATCTGTGTTTGAGTGGAAGTTTATATCGAGGCTTGTGAGGCGGGTCCCCATTGCCGCTAGGGTTGTTGAGGGCGCGCGGAGGAGTTGGAGGGTTGCTTCCGGGCTGATCTGTGGTGCTGTGAAGCGGATGGAGCTGCATTTTGAGTTTAGGAGGGCGATTCCTAGGTTTGTTACTGCGCGTGTGCACGCTGGTTCCCAGTCTAGGCGGATTCCTGTTTGGGAATAGTGGTGGTCGCGGATGAAGTCGGCAAGGCGTTCGTCTCGGTGGTCTTGGAGTCTTAGGAGTTTTATTTCTTGGAGAGAGGTAAAGGCGGCGATCGCGTGCTGGAGTTGGGTTTTGTCGTAGTTTGTCTCGGTTAGGTTTGTTTGTTCTTGTAGTCGTCGGCTGTGTAGTTGGGATAGGGCGTTGTTCTCTGTTCCCAGTGTTCGTAGTATTCGGGCCCATCCTGTTGTTTTTGTTAGTTTATTTCTCGATGGAGTTTGGATTTGAAGAGCTGGTACCGCTTCCTTGATAAAAGGGTCGCACCATGTACGTGAGAGTCTTTACATAGCAGGCCAGCTGCATTTCTAACAGTTCCCCCAGGCGCCGGAAGCCATGTTCGGAGAATCGCAGGATGAAACGGGAAAACTTATAAGGGGTGCCGATTCGCATGAAGCGCTTGCAGACCAGACGAAAGCGATCGAGGTCGGATGCTTCGCCATATTCAATGGCATTCCCAGAGCCATTGGTGTAGAATAAATCGTTTAGGGCTCTGGGTGCTGGCTCGAGGAGAAAAAGCAGTATTTCGCTCAATAGCTCGTCGGCAAGATCATGAACGTGACGTGGCTGATCCATGATCGGCGCGCAAGGCCGCCGAAGCATCGGCTTGAGCAATTGGCAGCAACATGGAAATATGGCGAGGTTGGGGGTGAAGTCGAAGCTGAGTCTCCCGGGGAGAGGCCACAGATGGAAGAAGAGAGGGGAGGTTGGGCATATAAAAAAACAAAAACGATATTACTTCACACTAGTAGTACAGTTGACTTGTCTCACCATGAGAGCTCTCATCCTATGCCTGGCGACCGGGATGTCCCAGGGCCCTTATTTAGCGCCCTTTTTCGGCAAGAATTTCGGAATTTGCACTTCATTGGTGATCATTGCACCCAGGAATCACATGATTGATTGACTCTGCGGCCAGCCAGCGCGAACCTGCAGGTTGTTGCATTCACGGAGAGCGAGTCAAATGGTGGAGGTCGGTGCAAACCCCGCCTGGAACCCGTCACATCATGCAGAGTGACGGGCCATGCGTATGCGATTGGGGAATAAATGGCCGAAACCAGAATGAACTAATGTACTTCAAATTATCTACTTCTCATACCTTGGCCCGTTGAGCCCGCCGCCGCCTGATATCTGTGCTGCTTATTTTGGACTCGAAACTCTCAGTATCGGTGGCTTCTCCAGATTGGAGTACATCCACTTCAAACACCGCAAGGGCCTTCCACCCTTTCTTTGCACGCTCATCATTGATCAGGGCCCCTCCTGATCGGGTCTCCTTGGACACCACAATCGCACCGAGGTTCTCCTCCGTGATTGTGGGCCCAAACATCTCGGAGATTTCCACAAACTTGAATGCCAAGTTGGGTTGTATCCTCGTGAGAACATTCTTCAGGGGAGTCTGGCCGTTAGGGTCCGGCGATAATCCACGTTCAATCTGCAGTGATTTCTCTCCAGGCGAGAAATCCATAATGGCTGTAAGGAACGAGGCAGTACTCTGCCAACGCTCCTCCCAGCTCTCGAGGACTTCGGCGTACTTTTTCTTGGTCAACAGTGCATCCCCTGTGACTCCGATGGTCAGGCGTCCTTCCCGGCCCGGCTCCAATGCCAATGCAACTGCTGTAAGAAGAAGCTTGTGACCAACATGGAGGTGATCAAATGTGCCACCCACGACCACGGAATAGTACGGAGTGGAGGGTTGGTCGTCAGGAATTAACAGGGGGTCAGCAGTCGTCCAGTCAGGATGGCTGGTGATGGCTTGCAGGCTTGCCGCTCTGCCGTCTTTGGCCTGGGCACCAACATGGCTGATAAAGGAGTCAGCCACGTTTTTGCCGGCAGTGTTTCCTAGATAATAGACATGGTCCCAACGGCGATCGCAATCTGCAAGTGATTGCAGGTCCAGAATGGGCCCAAAAGGAGTGCGTTCAGCCGGTTTAGTCGCCTGATCAACAAATACCACCCTGGTATCAATGCCACCTGGAGAGTCCAGCTCGATATTTCGTGTTGCACAGACGGCACCAATCAGGGTATAGACGCTGCTCAAGTAATGTTGGAGTTGCGCAAACACTTTGGCCCGAGGTTGACAGCTCGAGAGTAGACCGGGGATGGCCAGAGCAATGTCGAGTATAGCTGTGTCATTGGACTCATTCAATTTATCGGAGAGCTTAGTGTAAACATCCACCAAAGATGGTTCAAATGCATCTTTGACTGGGTCAAAAGAAAAGGCAGAAGGCGGGGGGAGAAGTAGAAGAGCCGAGGGCGGGTTGGGATCAGCCATGATGCAACGAAACAATTACTGGCCAGGCTAAAACAGCATCGAGAAGACAGAGAAGACAGAAAAGCACAGCAGACCCAGAAACATAAACAGCTTGAAGCTTTGAAGCTGAAGCTGAAGAAGCTCAAGAAGTGATTCTCTGGGGTTACCCGCCCAGCTGAGTCAGCCCACTTCTCCCACTCTCCACTCCTCGACTCCTTGAGATGCTTCGAGATGCCATTGTGAGCCCAACTGATTAGCTGGAATGATCCCAGTTTGCCACGGTCCTCTTCGGTTGGAGCTCTCTCGCAGCCCCTCGCGCCTCACCTCCTCGTTTGGAGCCTACCCCCAATCTCTCTGATCGCAAGGTGGAGCTCATTCTTGAACTAAGATCCATCGCACCTTGCCGTGCATAGACGCCTTTGCCATTCACATCATGTCGAACTCCGCCCAGCCTTATGACTCGCATCGGCGGTCAACCGCCTTCAGTCGCCAGCCCGAGGAGCTTCACATACCATCAACGGCGCTAAGCAATCCGAACCTATCCCGTCAATCCTCCTCGCATGACTACCCAGCGCCCGACGGAGGTGCCCGACTTCCCGCGATCAATGTCCAATCAAGTCCGGAGTACGGAGGTGATGGAAATAGCAGCAGCACTGCGCTCCCCGGAGCCTTGCAGCCAGGAAATCATAACCGTCCAGCTGCGGTATCGATAAACACCGCTCCATCGGCCCTCCCTACCATGCCCCATTCCTCGACGCAGCCGACGAACCATCGCGCAAGCATGATCAACTCTCATGGACATTCGCGATCTAGCCCCGCTGGGTTTGACCACTCGATGTACAAGCAACACGGTGCTCCCGAGGGCTCCAAATATCCCTCCTCTCCTGGAGCGTTCCCACCCCATACACCGCAAGGCTCGAAGTACTCTCCTCTCGGTCTGGCCGACATTAGACCCCCTGGCGAGCACCTTCTGAGCGAGGCGCTTATGAGCCCTGGAATGTCATCGGTGCCTTACAATGGAGGAGATAACCAGGTCCCAACCAACAGCAATTATGTTGCGCCGTGGCCTATATACGCGGTCGATTGGTGCAAGTGGCCGATTACAGGAAGTTCAGGCTTTGGTGGAAAATTGGCTTTGGGCAGCTATTTAGAAGACAACCACAATTATGTTTGTGGATCTCTCCGTGAAGGAATACCCTGGCGCTAACCGATTGCTAGATCCAAATCATCGATTCACACTGGACGCAACCAGACCCAGACACCCCAGATGCCGCTGCAGGAGAGATCAAGTTAGAATACGTCAAAACAGCCGAGGCGACTCATTCTTATCCAGTCACCCGCATTCTCTGGGAGCCTCCATCGTCTCAGAAACAATCGACTGATCTGCTCGCCACGTCAGGAGACCACCTCCGTCTATGGTCTCTACCGAATTCGCAGCCCCTACAAAGCTCGAACTCGATCACTCGTCCCTCGAGCCAGCGGGACGCCGCCACATCTAAACTGTCACCGTTGGCATTGCTGTCAAATTCCAAGTCCCCCGAACACACTGCCCCCATTACATCTCTTGACTGGAACACCATCTCTCCCAGTCTGATCATCACCTCCAGCATTGACACGACTTGCACTATCTGGGACATCCCAACATTGACCGCCAAGACACAGTTGATTGCTCATGACAAGGAGGTTTATGACGTTCGATTCTGTGCCAACAGTGTCGATGTCTTCGTCAGCTGTGGTGCTGATGGCAGTGTGCGCATGTTCGACTTGCGAAGCCTTGAACACAGTACTATCATCTACGAGCCGACCGATAAGAACGAGAAGCGTAAGTATTCGTCCCAGTTGTCTGTGCTTATTACTGACAATTACTTCAGCAGTTGTGAGCCCTGGTAACTCCAGTCCTCCAGGCCAGTCGCAGAACGGCCTCTACCCGCCACCTCTTTTGAGAATTGCAGGTATGTAACAAATCCAACGTACGAACTATCCCCAGCTTACACAGTGGTAGCATCTCCCCATGACGCCCACCTCCTGGCAACATTCTCCCAAGACTCCAGTGTCGTGCGAGTCCTCGATGTCCGCCAACCAGGCCAAGCCCTCCTAGAGCTGAAGGGCCACTCCGCAGCCCTGAACTGCGTGGAATGGTCCCCAAGCCGCCGCGGCATCCTAGCATCCGGCGGCGACGACAGCATGGTCCTCCTCTGGGACCTGATCAACCAACACAACGCCGCACCAGTGCCCTCACCAAACCCCCACACCCCGGGGGCACCAGCTGCAACATCAGAGCGCGGTCCCGCAGCCGTCTGGCAAAGCGAATACGAAGTCTCCAACATAAGCTGGTCACCCCAAGGCGGACCAAACCACACCGGCCTTCCACGGGAATGGCTGGGAGTCTGCGGCGGGCGAGGAATCACCGGTGTTGCGTTATAAGGATCGAATTCTCAAAGGCGAGAAGTGAGAAAGGGTTGACGTTAAACTTTCCATGCAGTCATCTATGAAGCTTGCAACAGTCTGCTTTTCTTGCATTAGATTTGTTTTTTACGCTTATCTCTTGTTTGTGGTGTTTGATTTGGTTGTGCTTTTCGCCCCCTCTGATGCTCTTCATCTTTAACCTCATGTGTTTGTTTCTCTTTTCTCGCTATTGTCTGTAACCCCCGCCTTTTTTTTGCATAGGTCGAGCGAGAACATGTGTGACTTTGTCTCTTTTTTTTGAATGGGTTTTGACGGTGACCATACTTCTGACTTGTTTTGGCACGAGTGAATGAATGAATGAACTATACATTGGATTTTACTCACATTTGGGATTTTGGGTTAGTGACTTGCTTTTTGTAGACTAGGAACTGGTGTAAAAATTACGTATTGGTCGGTAGTGTGGAGATGGCCAACCCGCCTCGAAATAAGCCGATTTTGTTGCTTGAACAGGTCGCAGTAGATGTTACAGCAATGATTGGATGGATTTAGTTTAGGTTTTTACTCCGCAAGTCTAAAAACAGAAGAAGCCACAGGCCTGAAAACTCGTGTATAAAAAAGCACGAAGGCTCGCCTCGCCCAGCGAGCAGGTATCATGGTATAGAAACAACAGAACAGAAAACTCCCCCGCTAAACACAAACAATCTAAGACATCCAGCCCCATACTGAATCCCAAAAGCATTCATTCCCTTTGAGGCATTGACAAGCTCGGAGGACCATGAGCAGGAGCCTTAGAAATAACGCGGTCTTCCAGCGAACGAGCGAACTTGACACTGGGAATATCAACGAGACGCCAGAAGATATCACCCATCCAGATAGCGATGGGCAGGCAGATGAGCCAGCCGAGGAGGAACCCGAGGCAATACTGGAAGTTCGTTACCTTGCCGGTGTAGTTCCAGATATTGGGCATGATGGAGTAGCCCAGACAATGAAGGATGGGGCCGTGGACGACATAGAATGCGAAGGAGATCTTGCCGAGGTATTGGGAGAAGGGGTTTGTGAATAATTTCTGGATGTCTGGGGAGTGATTGATAGAAAAGACGATGAGGACTGCACCGATGGTTTGGGCAAATCGGTGTGGTTCCGGGTAGGTCTTCGGAGTGACATGCCACAGCCACATGTAGAAGGGCGTCCATTTGAACCCGATGTTGGGACAGGAGCCGAAGTATAGACCGACTATGAAAATGGAGATCCATAACCAACGGCGGGAGACATTGATGGTCACCTTGCTACCGGTGTTGAGACGGATGGTCGTTTTCTCTTCTTCTGTGGTATTTCGTTTGGGTTCTTCCCAGGTGCCGTTGATGAGATCTACCTCTGCCATCAACATGCCAAAGAGGAAGAGGACAATTTCCCAGCGGCCGTAGCGCATGCAGAACCATATCAGAGCAGAGACTACTGTCATGCGCACAGGCGCCACTAGGCGTGATGTTCCCAGAATGACAACGAAAAGGATGAGCGATGAACGGAACTCGAGGGGAATTGTCCATAGGTGAGGATTGTAGTAGTTGTAGTAGAGGTTGTAGTCGAATGGGTTCATCAATGTTGCTAATGTAAGCCACAAGTCGTCGCTTTGCTTCATGAATGATTTGAAAACAGTCGGGTGTTGTTCATTGGTGCCGAGAATAGTGTGGCCCTCCCTAATAACGCTGTGGGAGTAATTGTACAAACCGAGTCGGACAGCCACAAAGACGCATAATACCCCAACAATCGCGGGTATGTAGAGGCGGAAGGCTCGACGGAAAGTTCCCGATGCTAGCGTTGTGAATGTTTGGTCAAAAGACCTGTTCCGAATCGTCTTTAGAGGTTTGTACGAGAGAACGTAGCCGGAGAGGACGAAGAAAATGGCCACCATGATATGACCAGAGATCAACATATGAAAAATGGGTAGTTGGTGAATCCCAAAGTTCTCCCCACCAAATCCCCATCCCACAGCAACTTTCCATGTGTAAGTGAAGAGGAAATGGAAGTTAAAGACCAACAGACAGGCCCAGCCGCGCAGACCGTCCAGCGCGGCAATGGCATGGAGCTTCGCAGGTTGAGGTGCTTCACCACCCACCCAATGCTGGAGGAAGCTTGGAGTCAACGCAACTGTCAGCTTGTGCCATGTGTTCTCCAAAGAAGCTAGCCAGTCGTCCTGCGACATGCTCGGGGCTAATCTTTCGGGGTGTGCAAGGATGTTCGACGGGTGAAACTGGGAGAAACCGTTCCAGCGCGATGTAACTCCTGTAACACTTGAAATTGTAGCTGACTCGAGGTCCGTCAAGGGGACATCGGAGGCCGAAGTCCTGGCCCGGGTCTCGGGGTGGGATACCATTGCCTTAAGGGCAGGGCGATCGTAACAAGTGTCCGGTGCGGCGAAAGCCTCAATTGCGTGCGCTAATAGGTCGAGGGGAACATCGAGGCCTATGGTTTGGTGTACTGGCCAAAGCGACAGAAATGGAATCGGTGATCGCCTCGAAACCGGGTTTGGCGCAGTTGGATCGTGGGGTGGTACTGGCCGAGGGGCGTTGGATACGGGTCGTTCGATACGTCAGCGGAAAGAGTCCCCGGGACTCTGATTATCTCAAGTCGGAGGTTCGAAGGGAGAGTGAAGGAAAAAGAAAGCCACGGGAGATTAAGGGGAGTACGTGAGGTATGACGAGGCAGAACGGCCGAGCCGCCGATCGGTAGCCGTTTTCGTCGAGCTTGGTCTCGGGGGTATAAGCGGCTCTTTTCCGGCGTTATATATTTAGTTTAGCAATTGCAATAGTTATTAAAAGTGTATAATAACTAGCCACTACTACGTTATGCATTCCGTGTATACAGTATGTACCGATTGACATAACTTATAACTTGTCCACTTCGAGTGTACAAGTTATGTGTCAATCGGATTTGTTAATTCTTATACTGCTTTGGCTCTACTTTGGCTTCTATTTTTCGCCTATGTGCTTGATTTCCTCTGCAACTTCTTGGCGTTCCCTTTCTGTTTCAATGCTCAGGCCTGGCCGATTTTTGCTCACTAGTACAACTGAGCATCACCCTGAGCGCCCTGATTTGCTCACTGAGTCTGAGCTGAGCCTAGGGGTGAGCAGCCTGAGTAAGCCACATCAATAAAATGCAACACGCTAGTTCCGTCACGTGTACCCCTTCACTTGTGGATGGCAACCCTCGTAGTCCTATCAAATAAAGCCTGGCATTATCAGTATGATGTTTAATCCTGGTAAATTGGCTGCAATTAATTGCGCCATATCAGCATTACCATTCTATGCTCGATGCTCCTGAGATATCTTCCTCTACTCGGTTCCACGATTTTCGAATCAGGCTTTGGAAGACTACCGGAGCCCAGGGTATTGGATCAGTCTACCTGGGGATCCTCAACATGTCCTGGTACAGAGGCCGAGAAGACCTTTAAAATGCGGAGATAGAGAACCTCTTCTCTGCCAATAAGCGCATGGACCTGGACTTGCATAAGCACTCATATTTGCTTTGTGAGACTTCAAATATGTTGGCTCTGGTAGTCGGCCGCACAATCTGCAAGAGCCTTCCAGAATTTTCCGGCACACGGAGTTTACTTCGTTAATTGCAACTATCGTTTGGGCTATTTCCCATTTTCTTAATCACCATATTCCCAGGAACTCGGACCGTTTACAACCTCTATGTGTACAGGCCATTCGATTATGTGAGGGCTACGCGTACGCCGCGGAGAAACAGCTGTTCCTTGACTCTAGTAGACGTCGCGCGAGGAAGTAAAGAAACGGGGCCTCCTCACGTCTAAGAGAACCTAGGTAAGCTATGTAGGCTATCGTAGCGTGTATTTCCCACTCCTCCTATATATCTATAAGATCTATAGCTCTTTAGAACAAACTTTGTTCCTAGGAGCCTGCCGTGCGCCTAGCTAGACCCTATTCCGCAAAAGACCTAGTTAGACGTCCTAGGAACTCAACCTATATCCACAACCCCTTAGGTTGCTGACTATAGACGTGCTAGAGGATACCAATGATGCTGCTGTATAAATATAATGTAAAGGATACCTATCTCTATCATTTACAATCTTCTATGGTCTTCGGTCACTAATACTATATCTAAGGATAGAAATAGCAATAATTCCTCTTTGCTATGGTGAGTCTGCCTATGTTAACTAATTGAGCCATTTAGTTAATACGTTCGCTACTTATGTTACCAAATGTATGATGCCCGTCCTGATAAGTATTAGTGTAACTACAGTCTAAGTTGCGGAAGCTGCGCAGCGCAGCGTGCTTGCTCTATTAAAGGATATTTAAGCTACTAAGTAGGGACTTCACTAATCTCTCTGTTTGCTCTCGTATCTTTATCCTTTCCCAGAAGCGAGACCCGCCACTGCTTCTTTTTCCGATCGTCCAACAGTTGCTTCACGACTGTTTCAATGGATTGCAAAGTTAAGATGTCTGCAACAGTTGAGCAGTTGCGTTGCAAGGAGGCCAGGTGCTTCTTGTATTCTTTCATCAGTTCGGGCTCTCGAGTCTGCAAAAGCTTATAAGCCCGAGCCCACAGTCCAATGTCGTTGCTCGCATGAAGGTAAGTAACTTCAGAAGTGGTTGGTTCTGTACCCATATTGGAGACTCTGCTCTCTCCTTTTAATCCGCCATGTTTTCCTTTTTTTGCCAGGCGCAACTTGGACTAGAGTCCCATGTTTTCCTATTCCTATGTATTACGGTTATATTGATTTAATTTGCTGGGATTGGTGTAGATGGAGATTTCAGATCCCAAGAGAGGGATGCTAACGGCCCGTCTATTTTAAGATCCAAAAGAAAAATAGAGGCGTCGCAAATATTGAATGCTACGCATATATTGACGCGATGATGAAAAGATGATCGGTCTAATTAACCAGTATACATCCATGGATATGTACATCTCAACTAGACATCGGTTGACTTATGTGATAGGTTAATATTACGAGTTTCCCTACTTTTGGGTAGTTAGAGGATCGCATGGTGGTTCTTTGGCTAAGTGGATGATGAATGGACAGGGCTAGATTGCACTAAACCGTATCTAGATTGGGGGACTGCAATCAGGAGCGCTAGTGTAGTCAATACCCAGCCCCACTTCAGGGCCTCCAGCTCAGCCAACCAGAGACCCCCAACCCATGGTGATACCCTATCGCCACGTCGGGAATAGAGTTAGAATTCAGGTGATGATTTTGCATCGTCTCTACGTAATTCTACATAATCATATATAGAATGGAAGATGTCATAGTGATGAAAACGGCCTGGCCCCAATTCTTCGCTATATATCGGCTGTCTAGAGAGCCAAGTATATATTTGTGCTAAGAACTCAAGAAAACTTTCAATCCAAGTTCACTCATATCCTTATCGATTTGTGGATCCTCATTTTTGTTCGCACCGCGAATCTCCAGTATGCCTAAAGCATATTTCGACCGCGACCCTATAACCCTGCAGGAAGGGAGCCACATCGGTGCCGAGATTGGTGGCAAAATGATTGAGCCCGATGAGATGGAATTTGTTACTGGAGAAGTTGAACGGGTCATTATTTATACATCTCCAAATTCCACTGTTGAGCTCAAGTGTACGCAAGATGTTCATTTTTCGCCTGGGGAACAAGTTATCTTACAGCAGCTGGGTAAGCTCTCCAGAATAAGCACAAGTGAACTATTTTTAACTAGTATCACAGATCCTGTCAGTTACGCTGCTATAGGCATGGAAAGTGGAAAGGAAGTTGAGTTTAAGGAGTAATACAGTTAATTTTGTGCTTCAAATAATTTGCCATTATGTATTGTTGCTGCGATCAGAGGTAAGGGGAAATTGGCTTTGGACTGTTGGATAAAAATGGGTACGGCTCTCTGTTATATCCCAAAGGCAGCTGCGTGCGGGCCATAATTGATTGAGCTCGAGCCTTCTTCTCTGTCTTTCTCATGCCACAATCTCATGCTTCTCTCTTGAATATATTCTTGAAACGTGTATATCCCCGCTGGCCCTTCGGCGAAATATTGATAATTTGCGAATAACCTCTAGAATCTTCGGAAGGCCGAAGACGCGTGCAATGCCGCCATTGTTATAGAGCTCACACACGTCAGGGTTTGTGGAGGAGCACAATTTGGCCTCAGATTTTCCTCGTCCTTCCTGAGCCCTGCCAATAAAGGCGCGGAGCGACGGGCTTCCACACTCGACTTGCAGACACGACCGCTGTCAGTATACTCATCGGCACCACTGCGAAAATGAAGTAATGAAGATGAGTAATGCTCTCGCTAAGGTACTGTTTCGTTATCCGTCCACCAAAGGGAGCTAGGAATGGCGGGAGATCGGTTACGAGATTGTTCGAAAAGTCGTCCCAGCCGTCTGCACGGACAAGAGGGAAGGGCCAGAATTGCGAAGAAAGACGCGAGGACATCCTCCCCAGTAAGGGCGCAACAGAGTCTTAGGCTAATATTATAGAATGACGGTCGTGGCTAAGACTGGAACAAGTTAGCATTACCACGCTTTAAACGTTGGTCGCTGGTGTCATGGCTCACTTTTTATTAAAATACGCCTGTATATGAGGGCCGGAATATTAGTGTTTTCGCTCAAGTAATGCCGCAGACAGAGCTGACCAGGAAGGAAATAAGAGATTCGTAACATCGAAAGAGAAAGAGGGCTATAACGTGCTAGAATATGCGTATGTGATGAAAATACGATGGTTATAACTAACTGGTTAGCTAAGTAGGAGGTTAATTCAGCCACAAAAGCAATGATTCTCAAAAGTTGTGGTGCTGCAGTCCTTGAGTGCTAACTATTTCTTCCTCGCCTTCTCTATTCTCCGATTCCACTCTTCTTCATTCATTACATCGATCTTTATAGCACCCCAGCGGATTTTCCGCATTCTTTACGTCGGTTTTTTCTTATACGAGCCAGGCGGCAGTTTTTCTAGTAGCCCCATTGTAGAAACCTATAAATTTTATAGAAATTGGCATCTTAGTGTGTTAGCTTTAAAAACTAGGAAGAATAAGGTTAAATATATAATCTTTAATGTCTACACTGATTATAGCCTTGGCCTCTATATATACGAGACAGCGAGGCTATTATACACACCTTACTTTCCGTGTATAGATCACTAACACAGCGTAAGTGCTACAACGTTATAAGATACCGGATTCATTTGTCTAGAATCACTTTCGATATAGAAGTACATCAATGTAGGGGGTTACAATGTGTAAGGAGCCAGATCTCGAAAAGTTTTCCCTCTTCTTAGATATTAGCACTACTAGGTGCAATTACGTATCTCTATTATGTTTATTCACGCGTTAGGACTTCTATTTCTCATTTACACGATAACGCCAAATGTCGGTATAGCTAGTTCCGGAAGACCTCATAGTTTCACTGCATAATGTATTCTTTCCTTTATGTGATCCGGTATCCACATTGATAGTAACGGTTTCACTGCATAATATGATCTTCTCTTCATCTAGTAACTATATCAATGACAATGGATTCGCTGCATATTATAATACTCCCTTCATACTACACTGCAAAGGAGCCCAATGCTATCAAATTTAACCTTTACATGCCTGTAGTACAACAAGCGTTTACTAACAAATAATATAGACTATATGTGCCCCTAAGTGGATGCTTTAGGTTGACTATATCCGTTGTGATTACTGTTCTAGTGAGGGCCTGCGGCACACACACTCCTGTAAGCCACTGTTTGCGAGAGTAAATTAAAAAAAAAAAAAAAAAAAAAAAAAAATAATCATGGGATCTAATGACGCAAAAAAGGAGGTGGACGAACAACCTGCAGTTACAGCGCATATGGCAGCCACGTCACGGGTGCTGGATCATATGTATCAGCTATTCTGTATCGAAATCCCGCTGTAACAAAGACAGTCGCTTTCCTACTCCAAAGTGGAGACTTTCAGCTCATTATATTTCAATATTTACAAAGGCATATGATTCGTCAGCATGCTCAAAGCAGAGCCTTGATTGTGCTACCCTGCTTAGTTGTGTCGAGGAATTTTCATAGCACCGATGTTATAGCAAATATCGGCCTTACAGCATTTCCATGTCGCTAAAAAACTTAGAAAATCCTTGAATTTAAATATGTCAACTTATCTACACAATCATTTTTCATGTGAAACTCGACTACATCAGATCAAGGATGGGCTACTATATATATATAGTAGGAGGGATTCGGGTAAGGATCTCCTCGCCCGATCCCCACGCCGGCTTTTTCCAGCTGGACGGCTCCATGATTAGCACCACGAGATGCCACGCCAAGAAGTTGATTCGCAGCCGAAGTGACACAAAGACAACAATAGTCCATCACGTTGCTCATTAACCCCACTTCAGCTAGCCACGCGCACAGATGTTATTCATCGTATTACTAGGATGGCTAGAAATCGTCTCGCAGACCGCTTTTACTTTCACTGCACGGGCCGGCCCGAATTACTTAGAATAGCTTTTATATTTAGACCACAGATATAATTGATACTAGGCTTATTCATTGAATATAGAGAGCTGACCTCAGGTACGCATGATTGTGAGTAATTATCGCTAGAATACAGCTGGGAAATTCGTTTAACTAATCAATATCGTAAATCACTTCATAGCCATGACTACGGTATTTTTTGGTGTCGTTCTATTTTGACCACATGCTCTATGGGTTGCAGGCTGAACTAATGTGTGCCTGTAGCCGATTTGTAAGTTATGACGCAATGTAGAAGCTCATATGGTATAATCAGCTTTGCGTGGGGAAAGGATATAGAAATTACACCGCGGTTTTTGCTTTTTTTTTTTTTTCTTTTTCTTTTCTTTTCTCATTTTTATTTGATTTTATGACATTATTTTACGTATAAGCATCTCTTCTGCTTTAGCATGCGTTGCAAGATTAAATGCCACTACCCTGAATATTGCGTTTAGTAACCTAGCACCCTTCAATTAGCAAATGGAAAATGAGAAGCTACGTAGCTTGTGACGCGCTACATTTGTTTCTCGTATAAACTTCAAGCTATTGATCCTCATTCTTGACTACTAATCAACTGTGACTGAAAATAATGCCTACTTGTGAGTAAAATCAACCTATTTTGAGAAATGCATGCGGCTAGAAGCAATATTATCAAACTGTTACATTTTTGTTAACGTCCTGCATGAGGCAATAATGCACAAGTACGTAATAAAATATATCAGGATTATGTAGTGTTGTAGACAGGATTTAAGTACCATCTCTATAACACAGTTACACGAACCACCGACGTAAATACCTACCAACAAAAGTGATTTGCTAGCTTTTGATGTGAATCACTAGCCGGTTTTGGATCTCTATACAGGGTTACTACACGATTAGAGTCGGCTTTTGCAGATTATGATGGCATCACATTAAATTATGCGAGGTCTTCAAAATTGTTAGTCTATCATACTCTTCACCGACACTTCGTAAGCGTCTAGACTAGAGAGGATCTATGTCCAGAAATTTATAAATTCTGCTATTTCTCTCCCTACGAATGTAAAACTTCCAGACTTCCAACAAGATCATTATCACTTATCTCTTCCACTTCTATCAAAGTCCATTTGAATCTACCAAAATGGTTGACGCAGCCATTGTCCACGGAGAGAACCAACAAGGATACTTCTTCTCCGGCAGACGTTACGCCCGGGTCAAGTGGACCCCGTACGGTAGTGATGAGGAGATAGTATTCGGCCCAAAGCAAATCAAAGACTACTGGCCCGCGACAACCAAGGCCGGATTTGGCAGAATTGATAGTGCGGTTGCCGTTCACGGCACCAAGGACGAGTTCTACTTTTTCTTCGGCGCCCGCGTTATCCGTATCAAGTTCAGCCCGGGAGGAGACGATACCCTACTTGAGGGGCCTCTCAAAATTACCGACAAGTGGAAAAGCCTTGTCTCTACACCTTTCGATACGATCGACGCCGCTATCAATCTTCCCGGCTCTTCGACTGAAACCTATCTCTTCTCAGGAACGAAGTCCGTCCGGATTGATCTTAGCAAAGACAAGATCATCTACGGCCCTTACACCCTAGTTGACCAGTGGCCGGGGCTCACAAGCGCTGGGTTTGATGCGGTCGATGCCGCTATTCCTGTTCCCAACGCTAAGGTGGAGGGTGAGCACTACGTCTTCAAGGGATCCCAATATGTGAGAACCCAGGTTATTCCTGGCGCCGCCGACAAGTTAACCTGGGGCCCGAAGCCAATTGCCGACTTCTGGAAGTCTCTTGACTGGTCTTGAATGATATAGTTGCAAGTGCCAAAAAGAATGGACCAACTCCTATAAATAGTCATTCTTTTTTCTTTACCAATCAAGTTACAGTCGGAATGAATCTGAAATCAGAATTCATGTCCCTTGCAAATCACTTTCTAGTAAATACAATCAATAGGACGTGAAGGACAAGACGAGATATTGTATTGTAATATCCGTACAGTAAGTGACAAATTCGGCTTCTTACAACATTTACATACACTCTTCCGTTCTTTCTCAGCGCCACATCCGTGCACTAGTCTATAATAAGCTTAGGTTGTTGTTCAAATATTTTACTTGCTGTTTCCAACTGAATGAAACAAGCGTTATTGTAAAATAACTGTTCTGTACATACAACGAGTTCCAAAGATTCGTTGCAAACTAGGCAAGCTGTAAACATACCAGTGGCTCGAGAGTCTGGCAACGTGCTGTCTTTTTCCCTCTATAGAAAACTACCATGCTAATCAGTAAAATGGACGACATTGTCGAGTAGTTTAGAAGCCGTAGAATTTTAGCTACAGTAAGGATTTATCAATGTACCAAACAGTGAGCCGAAAGTAGAGATATAACTCTGGTCCTTCTCTTCTTGTTTCACTTTTGTGAATGTGTACTTGGCCAATGTGCTTTCTACTTTGATGGGTAGACCTCTATGATATCTATAGCCAATTGTGAGAATTTATGAAATCAGCTAAATGAATGTAACTACCCATATAGTAAAATTGATGAACAGCACTGAAGTTGAAAATGAATTGGTCTGGGCCGGCCTCTTACCGCAAGTCTAACTGGATAACCCCAAATTTTAGGGGATGGAAACTCTGTGGTCCGAGAAGAGGAGCGTAGGGATATTTTGTCCTCGTTGATGCCCATATTAAGCTTTGTTGGCGTGAAGCCAACCGCCCCGGGAACGAAGCGAGGTCGGGACGGCGTGGGTGGCAGCAAAGGCGCACCTTTTGTTCACGGGATGCCAGGCCACACGAACACAACTACTGCCCTTGCTTGCGCACCACTCAATGCAATGTTAAAGTGTTGGAGAAGCATAGTTCGCGCCTGCACCATAGTCTTGTGTTTCGACGTCAGTTCAGAGTGGCCGACCAATTTCGAAGGATCCGGTTGATTACTCACACTTATCACAGTTGACATACCAATCGAAGCCCCTAACTCTCACATGTCTGCTATGAGCCTCCTGACCTAGAATTAACACCAGTATTTTTAACTCTATTCTGAATAGAAAAAGAAAAGGCCTTTGGCAAATTGAGTATCAAGACTTACACTTTGCTTGGGGGTTCACGCGCCTCTCTAGGCCATTCATTCACTTTCAGTAACAGACCTTGGGCTTCAGACTGGTACTTAGTGTCGAGTTCATCTTTTTCCCGCTGGCACTTCTGGTTCGTAGACTCAAGGTCCGCTTTTCCGACTGACATTTCGCGGAAATGTCCTGCTGGAGCGCGAGTTCATCTTCCCAGGCGTTTTTCTCATGGAGGCATCCCGAGGTGTCAGGACCGTCTCCGTCTTTAGGTACCTCGGTAGGTTTTAAATAGACCGAGCCCCGCAGTGAGCTCATATCATGGCCTTGGTCGACTCGAGCGCGCATCAAGTCGAACACCTCATGGAACTCTTGATGATCGCAAAGCGTGTAAATAATTCTTCCTCACTCGCCCAGCCTGCTTTCACCATTTTCCGAAGAACATCTTCAGTTAATTGTGCATGTCCTTTGTTCGCGCTCGAGGCCTTGGAAACGAGTTTGATGATCTCGTTTTGAGTCGCTTGAACCGGAAGCGCTCAGACCCGAATCTTCGCGACAAGTTATCGGTTCGGTTAAGTATTGATGTACTTCAACTCTTTTGACTTTATAGGTTTGACCACATCTCTCCAGACCCAAAACAAGTTTCAACATTGCTCTCGCAACCTCGCAACCTCGCAGCGGCCGAAAATAGAACGGTACAAGCCTCCCGGAAGTGCTAAGTTAATTATTGAAACAAACAGCTTTACTTCATTTGCGTAAGGTGAAGGGTACAAGAACACCCTTGGCATGAGGTCTTTGTTTCAAGATATAGTTCTGGAATAGGACTAGCGTGCTATGGCGACACCAACTGAACTGGGCATAGCCTGGGCTGAGTAATCTTATACCACGTGATCCTCGAACAATCCCACCTGGCCTTTTCCAACACCTTTCGATGAGGACATTTGAACATTTTGATACGTAGGATTGTTGGAGGACGATTGCCTGAAATATTTTGCACAATTTACAGACCCGAACGGAGATCGTTTCTAGCATAAGTGGTTCCATGATATCAAGCTATCCGAAAGCATCATGCTTCAAGAGCTCTAGTTTTCTACACTTGGCAGCTTTGCTGGACATTTAGAGCTCCAACATAGAACTACACAAGCAGCTACAGAAATCTTCAAGCTTCAACTTGACCTGCTCGAACACGCGCAGTAGAGCTTTCTATAGCCAATTCCCTAAAGCGGCGATGATCCTCTCTCCCTGATTCGCGCGATTCCGCAGTTCGAGAACTTCTCCCTTCCTCTTTGTTCATCCACACTCATTGTCCCTCCCTGCTTCCCGACATCTTGCGAGGTCTGAATGTCGCGATCGCCTGTCGCGTGTGATTTTCGATAATAGTGCTAGTGCGGTGAACCCGAAGTGGGTGCTGTCACTATGGATTTGCGCACGATCATGAACAGCGACGCCGGCGCCTCCAATCCTCCACCCCCCAACAACTCGTCCAGCTCACCCATATCCGCCCAAGCCCCCCAGAAGCGCACAAAGAAATCACCTTCTTACTCAGAATATTCTGCCCACCCGCCCCAACACCCATTGCAACCATCGTACGCTTCCCCAGACCAGACTTCGCCTTACACAACCGCGCAGTCACCATATCAGCAATACCACGGGCCAGGGATAAACACAGCAGTGCAGGCTCAGCGCGGTCAAAGTCCCACACACATCTCGACACCCTACGGTTCTGCAACGCGTGATCAATTTGGCGCGTCGGGATACGGAACACACCCTCAACACCCCAGTGGCCCGTTAGCCTCACCTTATACACCACAGCCCTTGAGCGCAGGGCCACAGCAGCCGGACCAGCAGTCATATTTTGCCCAACAACGCTCTCAGTCGCTGCAATCGGTTGTCACCAACCCCCGGCCCCCAACCGACCCCTTCCATCCTAGAGACAGCCCGCCCGCTGCATCAGAATCTGTCTCATCGCAGCGCTTTTCACCTTCTGCCCATCGATCCGTTCCCGGCACTCCTCTCGGTCCTCCTCCTACCTTTGCCTCCCGCCAGTCGCCATCGACTGCGCGCCCGCCATCCTCCGGTCACGGCTCCTCGCGCAACCCCCTATCCAGTCCGCGAGCAGCGCACGAATTGCAAGCACGAGACCCCATTCAAACGCAGTCACCTGGGAATCAAAGACACTTATCAGTGCACAGCTCTCGCCCGTCTGAGCCGACACCTCATCCTCCTTCACTCGGGTTCAAGCGAGAGCCAATTGAGAGCGCTAGTCCTCAATCCAGCTCCCGTCCCAACAGTATTGTTGGCATTTCAGAACCAGCAGCAAGTGGTCCAGCGCGCTCATCTGAAGATAGAAAGCTGGTCGATAGTCCCACAGCACCGAAGCCCATTTCAGCCGGATCGGATTTATTTACCTCCCCTACTGCACCGGGCAGCCAGGTCAATAGTTCACCCTCAGGTCCTAGCGAAGGTGTGCATCCTTTGAAGATGGAAATCGACAACCCGCCTCACGTGGAGTCTCAACAGCCCAGTCAAAAGAGAAGGAGATATAATGAGCCTCCAATCTATGCTCAGAGATCGGCTCGCACCAGAGGCAAATGTCCGCTCATTCCTAATCCCCGCCCTCCAATTCCGAAGCATGCCCGTCAAACACAACAAGAGTCTTGGGCAGCTCGCAGACGTTCCTCCTCAACAATGGCCGCCACACCTTCTGCGCGGGTCACCCGAGCGCCAACCGTGGCTTCACCGAGTACAAACGGGCCAACGCCTGTGCAGCCCCCGCCATCAAGTACCTCGCAGTCAGCAGGTTCACTGGGACCTTGGGAGCCATCTATCACTGGTTTCATCCCACACGAGGAAGTCACAAAGACGCTTTGCGATTTCTTGTTCAAACATGTGGTGTTGAGAACCGATGTAAATGCAGGACCCGCAGGCTCGGCAGCTGCTGGCCAAGGCGCAATCATTGAGGTTGAGGCGAAACTGGGTCATATCATCGACATGGACAGTAGAGACAGGATCAACCTTCCCATTCTAACCGAGAGTGTGATCAACCGGGAGAGCGCACGGTTCCGGACATCGTTTGAGAGTACAATGACTGTCGTAAGTTCATTTCCACCCGGTCCTCAAGCATGGTCAGCATAGGAACTTGATCGCTAACCATGAATTATAGGAACAACACCGCGCGATGAACAACTTCCTCAACGAGACTGTCAAAGCGTCAATGCCACAACAAAACTCGACCCGAATCCCGCTCTCCTATACACACAAGAGAGCGTGATACCTTTCATGAGGTTCAAGCATCTGATCTACCCCCAATCATCCGTCAAAATTTGAACCCTCGGCACAAGCCCAAAGTCCGGGTTACCACCGACCAACGCACAGGGGAAGTCCTCGCCAAAATTGTCAAATGTCGAGTTGCCGACATAGATGTGTGCAGTCCACGCACCACAGTGGATTGGCGTGTCAGTGTCAACCTCGAAATGGAATACCCCGGCGACGTTAGCACCCTCCCACTGGCGGATGCAGCAGGACGAGGCGAGCGCATCAAAGACCGAATGAGCTACAGCCATTTGGCATATCAGGTGGACCTGACTCAGGTAGCCAAACCCGAGGTAAGTGCCCCAAAAATTCTTATGTTACCCCGAAAACCCGAAGACAGTCTTCTGACCATCAATAGCAACAACCGGGCAAGAATGAGTTCGAGCATGAGCTCGAGGTTGAAGTCTCTGCCGCTGAAATCCGTCGCCAGGGTCAACTTGCCATGGCAGGCGATCCAAAGAACCAGTATGAGGACCTTGTCAAGGGCTTTGTGGACAACATCCGCCTGTTGGCTCGAGCTGTGCCACCTTGACGAGGTTGCTTGTATTTTGTAATATCTATCTTCATCAAGTCCTCCCTTCTGGGAATCAGCATTTTGCTCTTTTTCTTTTCTTCTACTGCAAATATGTTTTTGCATTGTCACTGGGTAAAAAGCACGCACTTCATTAGACAAGGTGTGTTGGTTTCTCTATGTTCGTATATTTTCCGGAGTTATTCACGCCTGATGTACGATATTACTCGAATTGATTACACTTGATCGCCTACTTGGGCTAGATTCGTTGTCATTCTTTCTCAGCAATCGACCTACTTACAGACAATTCAGGAGTAGATATACAAAATCATCAGACTCGGCATACTTGACAGGGCTCTCCCAGTGAACTTGATGTTTAATGCATAGTATCTGCCAATTTAAGCTACACAACCACTAGGCCCATCAGAACTTCCGTCTATTAACAAGCGCATCAACAGCAGCAACCCACTGCATCCAAACCTCACCATCCCCAAGTCGCAGCACCCTCTCCATCCTCGTGTACTGCCTAATATCTTCATCTTCAACTTCACTCTTAACCCCCATTCGACTGTGAGGCCCCCAAATCATCCACTTGCGCCCACCCTGAGCAATCCAAGGCTCAACCCCATTCGCAAACCGAATCCAAGCAGCAGCAAACTCCCTCGCCATCACACTTTCCCCCTCACTCATTTCATTATTCAAATTTCCAAAAAGGTAAAGCAACTCATGAGCGTGATACGCAGTCCCCTCAAAAGATTCTTAATCCGAGATCGCTGATCGAAATGGTACAGGAATAAATTCTCTTCCACCACCCGTTGACGCAAACATTCCTGTCCCAGGACATAATTGGGAACTTTGAAAATAGCATCGCCACACATATGTTCTAAGCGTTCAAGCAGTGTCTCGTGGGCTAGACCCTCGGTGATACCATATGCAGATAGGATCTCGTCGGTGTACGAGTCGTCCTTGAAATGAGTTGTCATGACATGTCTGATAGATGCATAGCTCTCTTCAACAAGGTTGATATGAAAGATTACACCTTCGTGGTATGTATCTCCAATCATATACCCCTTCAACCAAGGCGGCGGAGTATGAATCTGACGCGGGTCAAAGCCCGGGCGATAGAACCAATCGTCCAGACATGGATTCCCCGTTCCAGATGGCACACCTTGAATGGATGGTGTTGCATTGGCAAGATCCTGTTGCGGGATAGCACGTAAATGATCCAGTGCATCCAGACCGGCAGGATCAATTTGGAAATGACGACACACATCCTCGAAGAAACGATCATGTTGTTCCATCGTGAATGCAGGAATAGCAGGCGAGAGGCCGGACATGCACACGGCACGGTGGAATACCGGTGGTCTTGCAGCGAGTAGCTGGTTGCTGATTGAGATGCCGCCTGCTGATTCTCCCACTGCTGTGACGTTGTGAATATCACCTCCTAGGAGCCCGATGTACTTCTGTACCCAGTCAAATGCGACCTGCTGATCAGTGAATCCGAAATTGCCACTGCCTGCATATCCATCGTGTTTCAATTCACGGGCAATTGTCTGACCGGCAAGGAAGCCGCCAATGCCGACGCGGTAATTGAAGTTTACACAGATGATCGGTAACCCGACGGTTATACTATGTGAAACGAGATTGACCGCGTCGAAAATGGGTAAATTTGCACCTCCGTATAGTAGTGATCCGCCGTGAACGTAGACAAACACGGGAAGCAGTTTATCGTTTGGCCTCGGTGCATGTGGAACCACGATGTTCATGGCCAGACCGGACAGTTCGTCAACGGTCTGCAAGGCCGGGAAGTGAGCAGCCAATGGGACAGGGATGAGGTCGTCGGCGTCATCACCTTCGATTATGGGGCTTGGGCAATCATTCCTGCATGATAAGGGTCGGTCAGCAAAGACTCAATTTTGGGGATTTTCGTCCTAATACCCTAGTTTGGTGCCATCGTGGTGTCCATTTTCCCATGTTGTCTTGAGAATTGATCTTGTCCAGCGTTTTGAAAGATGTGCATAGGGAATCCCGCAGAATTGTTGTACGCCATTGGCGAATTGGAGACCTTCCACTGTTCCCAGACCCGGGATGGAGACATTGCATTTGGATGTGGGCGGTCGGAACGACATTGAAGAATACAGCAGACAGAGATGTTGAAAACCAAGACACAGGAACGAAGCTGAATATATCCAAATCTCAAGATTGAGACAACTGATACCCTTTAGATATCTGTCCCAATTGGGCAGTCGGACGCGGCTGTCAATATGGCCGCGATCTCCACAGTTCCCCCCGCATTCAATTAAAACCTCGGCGTCTTCCCATCCCCGAACTCTCCAGCTCCCTCTCAATCTGGCATGTCGACCCGCTCCTACCAGGGCTGTTGGACATGTAAGCGACGGCGTCGCCGCTGCGATAACGCGCGCCCTACTTGTCAGAACTGTGCTGAGCGCGGGGTCGTGTGCGAGGGCTACGAGGTTCGGCTGCGCTGGGGCAGTGGCATTGCGTCGCGCGGCTATTTTACTGGTGCTGCTAAGCCTGTCAAGGGTTCTGCGCCGAGCAGGCCGAGGGGTCGCCAGAGGGATTTGAGTCGGGAGAGGAAGAAGCGGGAGACGGAGGGACTGGGGATTTCTTCTGGTCAGTTATGGCTTCGCAATTGATGAGTTTGTTCTTTGGTGTTGATTGCTGGGTAGGATCTGACGGGAATCGGGCTTTGGAAGACAGTCCAACAAATGACGAGCAGGTCGTTGAAGATGAGGTTCTTTTTAACAAATGTGAGTCTTGGTGATGGTAACGAAGGAAAATATCTGCTTTACTGACAGTAAGCAGTTATGAATGATGGCATCAATGCCCTACATTCCACGACAGCAAGAGACAGTATGTTGCACGACCGTCTTCCGCAACTATGTCAAGAATCCAGCGCACTGTATTCTATCTGCATTGCATTCCAACTTGCATTGACAAGCTTCGCCATGCCGCGCTTCTGCGAGTACTTCGACACAGCCCTAGGAACATTTCGATCAGAACTGGCACGTAGCACAACCCTTTCTGACGGGACATTGACCTCTGGGCTGCTGCTGTGTAGCATTGGCGTGCGTGACCCCAGATTCCTTCGTGAGACATTGTGATATGGTTCTGACACCCTTTCTAGTTGATGCATGGTTTGCCTTGGACTATGCATCTAGAAGGCATGCACAATATTCTGCAAAGCCACGGCTTAAACGATACACATCGGCCATCTACGCCAACCCATTTCAGGATTCATCTACTGGAGGTCATGGGAGTCATGGATTTGGCTAGCTTTTCTATTGGTCGCCAAAGCCCGCGTATAGGCATCTGGCGTCGCTATTGCCAACCTGCTGCTCCTAGGTATGGCATTGAGCCTGTGAGTGGTATCCCGCGCACCTTATTAGACATCTTCGCGGGAATAGGGGCAGAGGCTACGGAGCAGACGTTCTGGGACTGGCCGGGTGAGCCGGGCAGTTTTCTACAATGCTATCTCTGGGAGGCACATCGGTTAGCTGGTATTTTGGCTCTTCGCAGAGAAACGAGAGCTTCTTTTCCTAGCCAGGGCGACACTAGCACCTCGGCATGGCGACAGCCCGCAAGGTGCCCGGCAGATACAACTGTGCTTGTTACACGAATTATGGCTTCCCTCGATGCCATGCGCCTCGCATTTATTGAGCGTCCAACGGAAGATGCCTTCATCAAGAACGCGACCATTTTTCCTATGTTTGTGGCTGGATTAGAAGTCAGTGTGTTATGTCGCAAACCAGAATGGCAGCAGGCTATCCGTAAGGAGTTTTCACAATCTCATCAATGTCAAATTCTTCTGAGTCTGTTGGAAGAGCTATGGAGAAAGGGGGATCCAGCTATTGATATACATGAACTGGCTCGCTCAAAGGGACTCGAAATGGGCTTGTTATAATGGCCTTTATGGATTGGGATATGGAGAACATATGCTACCTTACTACATGATCTAACCAGACATCCAAGGTTATATTCTAACAATTGTTCAATCCGGAGCAAAACCAATGTTCACCTCGCTTGCCCCGTTGCCGCGTACTATTGAGTGGCTATACATGCTACTTTATACAACTTCTCCCACGTTCTGACGGACCTTGCATCGTTATTCTAACTCCCATTCTTCCCTGGATGAACCATTACCCAGTGCTTGAACCCCTGATCACCATCACCGTCCCTATGACTCCCATCCTCGAACATCTCAACCACCTCGGCAACTTCAAATCCGAAACTCTCATAAAATCCAATGTTCTCCTCCCGAGTACATTCCAGATATACAGGTTCGTTTTGTGCATGTTCCAAGGCCCACCTCATCACACCCCCGCCGAGTCCGCGTGATTGCAAGGAGGGATGCACAGCTATTACCTCGAGATACCACAGTTTCTGCTTGGGGAACGTTGCCTCTAACAACTTCACACTTTCGTCATGCTTCTCCATGAGTACCTGCACTCGCTGGAGGACAACGCATTAGCTTCAAGAATAAATTATGCAGAGTGACATGGGATATTTGCTTTACCTTCTCTCTCACACCGCTATCGTGCGCGGGTGTCAGACATTCCAAAAACCACAATTTGCATGCAAGCCATATGCGCGGTAGGGACCACGATGCTCGCCCGGGAGGTGGAAACAAGAAAACAACAGCGCCGGCATCCTGTCTGCTAGAATTGATGCCCCCGTCTCCCTCCATCCAGATTTTCGGTTCTTTTTCTGGCTGTGTGGTCACAGATACTGCAGGAGTACATGTTGATACCTTGCTTCGTGCTCTCTGGGGAAATTTGTCTGCCATTTGTTCAACATCGCCAGATCTGAATACCTCGCCCTCAAACATTATCCGTTGGATCCGCCGGTACTGCCAACTCCCCGTACCGGTATCTTGCTGTGCCCATGGGGTAGCATTCGGGCGCAGCCAACGGATCAAGGGATCGGAGGAGAACGCACGGTGGACTGTTCGTGCGATGGCGGGAATGGAACTTTCTGTACGATGGTTCATGTATTAGTATCCGGTGCAACCTGTCTTGTTCTATATGGGGGAAGTTCTTACCCTTGTGAACAGGGAAGAGGTCAACCTTTACCATCGATTTAGCAGACATGGTTCCGATAATGCAAGGTGATAGTGCGAAGGCGGCTGACAGGTTCGTGGATATAAGATAAACGCATTGATATTGAGATATTTGCAGATATCCTCAAGTTGGAAAGTACTGGCGAGGTTATGAAGCACGACAATTAATCAGAGAATTAATTGCCTGATACTGGGATCTAAGCCAGCTTCCCCGGATATGGCTTTTAATGAGGCTTGATAGGCGCGGACATTCGTGTTTAGAATGGAGAACTAAGTGGTGTCCACCTGCCGCTTATGGCCAAGATTCACCTAGTCAATGCGGTATGCAGTGTCGATGCAAGCTATATACCGATGGCTCGGTCTGTTTCAATTACGGGAAGTGGTTTTGTTCCAGAATTGGCTTATCGATATTAAGCAAGATACTGTTTGGAATGTGCTGTAGATAGAGATACATGAAGGCTTCGTGTAATAGTCAATTCTAGTTCTAACGCGTTCATTTACGCATATTTTGTAATTTACAGAACTCTGGAGATCTTTGACGAAGCTAAAACATTCACTATTACAGTGCAGCTGATTTCCACTTTAAGATCCATGCTGTGTTTTAGTCGTCAAGCCCACGGCAGTTGAGCACTTCCTCCAGCTCCGAACCAATGTTGTCCACCATATTCCGACGAACACAATATCCAAGAGACTATCAAGTAATAACATCAATCTCCCTCCTCCAGTCTTGCGGGGTAGACAATTCGCTTCGCCACGATATCCACTAAATGAGTCTAATTACACGCCATCCCCCATTCGGCAAGTCGACGCACCGGAGAACATTCAGGAGCTGCCAATATCAACGAAGCCAACGTCAATCCAAACCCGCAGTCCACTCACGTTCCTCTTCTCCGCATTCTTGTCACAGGTTCCGGGTGGCTTGACATGCTTCGAGAGACACATTATGGCTTATCTTCCAGGCTGGACTCGCGTATCTGTACCGCTGAAGTAGACATATCATGTGTATATCGTGTCCAGACACTGGTCGCATCTCAAATTGGACGGAAATTTAGGTATATATCGTGGTTTGACCACCTCGTCGCTACTTGGGAGGGTCTCAGTTCACGAATATCTCACTTTATCACGCGACTTGACTTTCCTTTTTCAACTTCTCCTGCCCTAGGGAAATTTCTCAGCAAAAAGTATCTTCTATCTGTACCTTCTACGCTATATCTAACCTTCCGAAGAACATAATTTGGCGACGAGTTCTACGACTGTTTATACCTCTTCCGCCCTATACCCATCCAGATACTACTTCGACCTTGTATCAAGGCCTCGTTTTCTTTTTCTCCCACATATCCCGCAGAAGTCAATATTCGTTGGCTTGTCCTAATCTAACGAAGTGATGGTGGACCTACATCAAGTGTCCTCTTTCGAGGACGAGCCTGACCTCGCTCCTGGAACCTTCAAATTGATTCGAGGTAATTGAACACTAGCCTAAATCGAGATAAACCTTTACTGATATGGCATACTATATCTAGACGATGAGTCTGATGAGTACGGCCAACGGGTCATCATGCTTGACCCAATCCCGTCAAATGATCCCAACGAGCCCTTGGTGAGCTTATGGATACTCATTTCGTGAATTCAGGGCTGATATCAAGATATCTAGAACTGGAGCAGTATGCGAAAGTCGGTTAATTTTACTATAGTTCTAGCCATGACAATCATCATCTTCACAGCGTGAGTTGCAAAAAGCAAGCTTATAGATACAGTGATCTGACGCTCCCTTTTCATCAGACTATCCATCCAGGCAATATTCTGGCAGCAGATGGTTGTGGATCTCGAGGTGACATACACCGAGCTGAATCGAGCTATCTCAGTCAATTTTGTCGGCCTGGCCACTGGCTGTATCTTTTTCATCCCTTTCGCAAAGAAGTACGGTCGACGACCAGTCTACATTGTCTCTACCGGTTTGATGTTGGCCACATCTTTTTGGGCATCGAAGATGCATAGCCTGACGGAGTTGTATTTGATGAACCTGCTCCAAGGCTTGGCCGGTGCCACAAATGAATCCATCGCTGAAATTACTGTGTGTGGAATATCTCTATGATCCCTATTACTAGGAGGCCGGCTAATGTCGCACAGATTTCCGACTTGTTCTTTGTCCACCATCGGGGGACAATGAACGGTCTGTATATGACTTGCGTCATGATCGGTGTAAGTCTCTATTCCTCAAAACATCGTATATGCAAAAGTCGTCTTCGCTCACACTGTCCATAACAGAGTTTCTTGACACCGATGGCAGCCGGTGCCCAAGCTACGTCGCAAGGATGGCGGATGTCCTATCAGACCATGGGTGTCTTCAATGTCGTACTTTTCCTCTGTTTCTGCTTCCTGTATGAGGAAACCAAATATGTTCCTCTGTTCACAGGACGAACCAGTAATACTGAGGAAGAGGATGAAGAAACCGAAGTATATTCACAACATAAGAAGAAACAACAAAACAAAGGAGACACCACAACAGCTGGCCAGAAAATCAAATCAGCTACCGAACCCAGCGCCGGTCACCACCACCTCGACCTAACAATTCCACACAACTCATGGAAAAAGCGACTGGCATTAGTGACACCCACCCCGGAGCCGATTTTGCCTCATTTCTACCGCCCATTCTGCGTGTTTATCTTCCCAGCCGTTGCATTTGCCGCACTCCAATACGCTGCCGGTGTTGTCTGGCTTACCGTCCTGTCTAATGTCCTTTCACTCACATTTCCGTTGCCACCATACAGTTTCACACCCGAACAAATTGGCTTCACCAGTGCCGGTCCACTCATCGGCAACGTGCTCGGTGCGATATATGGCGGTGTTCTAGGCGACAAGTCTATTCTTTACTTCTCAAGGAAGAATAAAGGGTACTATGAGCCCGAGATGCGTCTCTATATCCTGCATCTTCCCGCTCTTGTTATGGCGGGTGGCCTGATCATGTTCGGTGTCACCATCTCCCGGGTAAGGCTATGCACCCCCATTCGGCAGTCAGTGAGCATCATATTCAGCATCATTGCTAATATATCCAATCTGAACCATAGGGCATGCACTGGATCTATCCCAACGTGGCCGGTGGCCTCTTCGGGTTTGGACTCGGTAGTATCAGTGATGCGGCACTCGTCCTCGTAATGGATAGTTACAGAGATGTCAGTACACTGTCCTTCCAGAAGTTCCCATTCCTCAAAATATTCTCCGTACTTATGATCTTATCTACCCAGATAACCGGCGAAGCTTTCACAGCCGTAGCATTCATGCGCAACGCAGTCAGCATCGGAATCCCTTTCGCGATAACACCCTGGATCCAACGCAACGGTCTCCAGAATATGTTCGTGGCATGTGGCTTTATCAGTTTCGGTGTTACACTAACCATAATTCCCATGGTTATTTGGGGCAAAGCCGCCCGTCGTGCGCTTGCGGGACGGTATCGCGGCATTGTTGAAGAACATGGGCATGCGGGTCCACAATGATGGCGTGTTGGGACGACAGTAAGTCAATATGGATGATTACCATGGAGATTTGTAGGTATTGTGAGTACTATCAGATTTGGGCTTTTTGATTTGGGCTTTTTGGGGTCTTGGGATTTAACCCGATCATTTGGTTTATATTTGTGCGCCGTATGGATTGTATGGGTTACCACAGACGTGCCTGTGGGTTTTGTGTCCTTATACGTCATTTAGTCTATTGGTAAGAAGAATTCATTGGAGCTCAGAAGCTTTAAACCTTACATACATCGAGATTATGTATGCCATGCCGGTGAATAAATCCCCGTAAACGAAAGCTGATCCACTGTAATGGCTCTCTATAACTAACGCTGTGTTCTAGTGGAATACAAGCAACGGTGAATGGAAAGCACTGTTTCTCAAGTGGAATGATCTATACGAATATGCTTTCTGTTTAAAGGCTTCCGACATCATTGTATAAAATTTTCTGCTGCAACTGAAAATGTGCAGCCATAGAAGCAGCCGGTTAAAGGACAATTCCCCGGTCAATGGCATTTAATCTCGGAAGCCGGCACAGGTCTCGGGCCGGGGTATAAACCAAGCCTCAGATGCTTTGGTCATAACGCGAAAACTGACTTCGGAACGTGGGATGCCGCTGGGGCAAAGGACGGAGAAGACCGTGATTTTTGCTTTTTTTGGATATTTCATTTGCCTGTGCCCGAGCTGCATACATTTTCGGGCCGTATAATGACGATCACCAGAGGGTACAATGCTATAGAAAATGATCGTCACTATGAATACTACATGTGGCGCCGAAACCAAGAGATATTCCGAAGCTAAGCCTTGACGCCAAACCCTGGCCAGTGAAGCATTGACTAGCGTCCCCATACTCCAACACCCCGCTTCATTTCGGCATTCAAAATTCTCGCACTCGATAGCCGCCATCTCTACAGTGGCGTCTGTGTAAATAGCCTGATTTATTGCTCGTGAAGATTATGGGGATGTGATGTCACACTCGTGGGGGTCTGTGGGAAATATTCTATTCCATATTTAGCTACACAAGAGGCGTTTTTCCCTTGAAATCTCAGGTTTTTGCTGACCACGACTATTCAATCCGCAGCCATTGAATTCCTGATTAACAAAAGCCATGAATGTGTGGTTTATTGCCCTCTGGGTCACCTTGGTGAAGGCCTGGGTCGTCAACGAAGGTACAACATGCACCTTGTATCCCGAATCGCTTTTCCATCGCGGGCAAGCCGTTGATGATTCTCCTTCAATTCAGCAAGCCTTTGATATGTGCGGTACCAATGGAACGGTCATTTTCTCTAAGAACTTATTCCATGTCAACACCGTCCTAAACACCACGAACCTGTTGAACTGTGATGTTCATCTCCGCGGAGAACTGCGCCTTTCTACCAACATCCCATACTGGAGAACCCACGCCATCAGCGTTGTTCTGCAGGATCAAGTCACTGCTTGGCTCTTTGGTGGTACAAATGTCAACTTCTATGGCGAGGGTGGCTTCTACAACGGCCAGGGCCAAGAATGGTATAACGCCAACAGAAACCAGTCGAACCAGCCAGGACGGCCAATGAGTATTACGTTCTACAACTCGACCAACCTTTTCGTCGATAGTTTAAGGGTCATTCAACCGCAGTTCTGGGCCACCTTTGTCTGGGATAGCAAGAACGTAACCTTTACCAACTTGTTCGTCAACGCCACCAGCGACAGCAAATGGGGTACAATGAACACTGATGGCTTCGATTCCTGGAAGAGTGACTCAATTCTCGTGGAAAACGCCACTATTATCATGGGCGACGATTGCATCGCCGCAAAGGGTAACACAACCAATTTCCACGTCAAGAACGTTTACTGCGAAGGAGGAACTGGAATCACGATTGGTTCTATCGGTCAATACCCCGAGACACCAGACTACAATCTCAACACCACCTTCGAAAACGTGCATGTCAAAAACGCAATGGATGGTGCTTACGTCAAGACCTGGCAAGGCACACGGATCTACACCCCCAGCAATGGCGACTGGGGTGGTGGTGGAACCGGACTCGTGAAGAATGTCACTTTCCGCAACTTCACAATGGAAAACGTTGGACTTCCGATCCAGCTTTCGCAGTGCGTCTACTCAGCCAACTCCAACAAAGGATGCAACACATCGAAGTTGCAGGTCGAGGACGTTAAATGGCAAGACATCCGTGGCACATCGCGCTTCAACATTGCTGCGTCTATGTACTGTTCGGATGAGCGGCCTTGTCCCAATATTACATTTGAAAATGTGAACATTACAAGCGTGAATGCCTCGCTTGGTCTGCCTTACTACGGCACCGATATTCAGCACGAAATCTTCCAGTGCACTAATGTTCTTGGCCAGAAGAACTCCGGAATTCCCTGCAACCAGGCCGCTCCGAGCAACTTCAGTCAGTGGATCTTTAGTAATGTCGACAGCAGTGGTCTGGCGAAGACTTTGACTTGAATTTTGTGTTAAAATGCAAGTCTTGTGCATTGCATATATCAGTTGATGTATTTACTCGTTGTGGGAGTTGTTGAGATTATGCTTCTTTGAGGCCTGAGGTGTTATCTAGAACTTTACATGTATTAACTAGCCTGCCAGATGCCATGGACACTAGGATGAGGGCTCAAAACAGAGAACAATAGACCAAACAAATAAATCATGGCCTGCCCCATGTGTCTTCTCTTGATAAAATCCCCTGTCAGCTTTTATTGGATGAACAAAGGAACGGTCAGTATCAATGTTAAGGCATTCTAGGTTCATCGTCTTTCTTGTAGAACAGGGAATACTTTACTTTTTCAGCCTAATCGAGAAATCCTGTGATCAGGGCTGACCACCCGGGATCTATCTGGGACTCGGGTCTGGGGTGTGGTTGGATTATGCTTTTTTCCCGACGTGCTGTTGTGTAGTCCGATTTATCTATGTCCCATCATATTTCAATGGCGTCAATCCCTATTCACTGAGTGAGCTGTCCACATCAGATAAGATACAGCCAGGGTGCGATTGTGCTACTTGGATACTGTTGGTGTAAAATGGCGAGCTTTGCTGGGTATATCATTGGGGACTTTCCATATCCATTATCTACTCATGAAAATCTCCATAGGAGACGGTATGATATGGATATGCTATGTCAAAAGCTGATCAATTATTGTAGTAGCTTGGAACTACCAAGTAACCCACGGCAATCTACGCAGTCGCTATGCTTTCCTGAACATATCAAAGGAATCGATCAAGGTAGACTAAAGCTCTAACAAAGTATGATCATAAAACAATCCTAAATAAAAAGCATCTGATCAACTACTTAAGATCTTTTCCGGGGCACAAATTCAATGTCACCCCCATCTACAAACTAGCCCGCTGGCGCTCCACAACAGCCTCCCTAGGCAACTCAGTCACGCCAAACCGCTCCTCCGAAACACGCAACTGCTCAGGGAACCACGAAATATCAGCACTGCCCCCAACCAATGCACCATCCTGTTCAAGCAACATAGTAGCCAGCGCCTTCCCACAAAGCCAAGCCTGAACCATCCCCTCGCCACCAAAAGCAGCACAAACCCACTCGGAGCCATCATCACCATGGTCTGCACGACGTGTAACAGCACCAGGCAACCGTCCCACCCAAGGGAAAGCATCAGAGCTGAAGGCCATATTACCCGTCCACATAGCCTGAATGGGATCACCCTGCACACGACCCCAATCTTTTCGTCCAAAGACGGCACTCAGTACACCAGAGAGATGGATATCAATATCAAGACTTAGTTCGGAATCAGTTGAGATACCCAGATCGGACAGTCCGCCATGCTCGCTCTTTGCGAACCCGCCACCAAGCATCATCTGTCCCTCTGGTAGTTGGGTCAGATAGTCGAAGCCACGGTCATAGTTGAATAGCCAGGAGTGCTCGCTAGCTTGGCAGGGGAATTGATCGCCGGGAGTTTGGGCGGACATTTGGCCTCGGACTGGGAATATGCGTCCGCGGAGGCCGGGGACTAGGTGTGCAACGTGTGCATTTGTACAGTGGATGACGTGCCGAGCGAGGATTGTGCCTCGGCTGGTTTCGACTTTGTAGCGTGGGGCGGAACTGGATGTGTTTTCTTGGATGGCAGTTACCGGGGTGTTTTCTTGCATGCGGAAGTCGTTTGGATAGTCGGCTCTGAGACGTGAAAAGATGCCTGTCACGAACTTGTAGGGCCAGAGAGCACCTGCGGGACCGGCAACGATGCCTCTTGCGCGAGCGAGGCGGAATTCCTGGAGGCTGTATTAGTATTAATTCCCTACATGTCGAATGGGAGACACTTCAAAAATGTCGCAGAAGAGGGGCAAATAGTTATGAAAACATACCTTTGGAATAGCATCACCCTCATATGAAGTCCACTCAGCAGATTCTTCAGGCATACCCTCTTTGAAACGGCGCAATCTCTCCAAAGCTTCCTTCCATGTGTCTTCGGTAAAATAAGCACTCAAAAACTGTACTTTGCGCGCTTGGGTCTCCTCTGTAATCCCCAGTTCCTTTGCAACAGCAAGCATCTCATGCAAATGCGCCAATCTAAACTTGAGAAACTTGCGCGCATCATCAACGCCAAATTGATCAGCCAGCTCTGCATATTCATCTGCGGTCTCCAGGATATGGCCTCCATTCCGTCCCGTAGCTCCACTGCAAATCGTCCGGGCTTCGAGTAAAACCACAGATGGTTTTGCAGCTTTGGGCTGAGAGGTGCGGTTTTGCAATATTGTGCGCGCAATAGATGCACCGGTAATGCCTGATCCGACGATAACGGTGTCCGTCTCGGTGGGCAGAGGCTTTGATGGGGTCTGGCTGAAATCATGTTTGGGTTGGATCCAGAAGGACGAGGTTGTTGAGCTCTTTGGGATTCCTGGGTCTGCGTGAACACGGTTCAGAGCTTGCTGACGTGCAGAGACCGGGAGGGAGGGGTCGGTTAGGATATCGGTAGCGAAAGGCATGATATGGTGCTAAGGTTGAAGTTTAGATGGAGTATAGAGTCAAAGTTGCGGGGAGCAAAAAGCAAAGAGTCAGGTGAGCGGTACAAGGCAACCAACCCTTTTATAATTGCACTATAAGTCGAGTAAGAGCGGATATCTATCACGTTTGAAGTCGAAGGTGAAGTATCAGACTGAGATGGGAACAAAAAATCAAAAGAGCGGAAGCTGAAATAGGTCAGGGATTTTATCAGCTCACAAATCAGATATGACCTGTTGGACCTCCCTATTCTGTATCTCTCAGTTATAGTGAATGAACTGATTTCACGGAGTTCCTCAAAAGTTCAAGTTGCAATAAATGCGCCGGTGGGTCAACCTTCTCTTTTGGATGTGGAGATTGCGGGGAGGAGATAAGTTATAGAAACAAATTTGCAGTTTGTGTATATGTAGTATAGACACTCATATTTACTGCAATTAGAACTCACATCTAAATTCTACCTTCACAATGTCTTCCACCTCATCCCCAGGCAACGGCATCTTCCCTAATGGCCCTACTATGCGCCAACCATCCATGTCCTGGCTATATAGACTGGAATGCTCTACCGAAGACATTGAACTTGGAGCTCCCCACAACGGCGATACCATTCGCAGTATTGCAAACATCGTGCGGGGCAGCGTCAAAGGCCCTGGAATTGAGGGTGAAATCCTACCCTTGGGAGGCGCAGACTGGGCGACAGTTGTGAAGGGCACACATGTTAGCAATCCCCTCCATTCTGCTTTATTTCTTTTCGGTGTCTTGCGCTTTGCATACGGACTTCGACATCCAGGATCTAAAATAGCCGGCTAACTATATAATTTACAGTCTATGACCCTAGATGCCCGCTACACCGTCCGCACATCCGATCGTCATTACCTCTACATCCGCGCACACGGCTTGTATCGTCCAGGTCCAGAGTCCAATTACGCTAAATCTGTGGTAGAGGATCCGAATTTTGTTCCGCCTGCGACGGTCTCTCAGGACGATGTGGAGTTCTTTTCCCATCTGCGTATCGAGGCTGGGCCGGGTCCTTACAATTGGTTGAATGGATTGGTTTGCCTGGGTGTGATGTGCTGTGAGGATGAGAAGATCTGGATTGATGCGTATTATTTGACCAATTTCCCGGGTGTTAAGCCTGAGAATGTGGTGGCAAGATAGGGGCGGGAACTTTAGTTGATGCCGAAAGGTCTCTTACCTATCCTGAACAGGTTTAGGACCTTGTTTAATGTCTCTTATCAATCCAATTCTCCATCCTTCACAAGCGAAGAGCAAGTGCCGACGCATAAGCCGCAAGTATATAGAACTATAAACGAGGCTAGACTAAGCCGATAACAAATATGCAGGAACAATAGCCAACATCTCCAACCCCTTGCCTCGGCTGCAACCCTAGCTATCCCAAACAGGCAGGCCGACACACTCCCTAAGTGGGTCACAGCCAAGTACATTACATGCAAAGATAACCGGCAAACTCCGCCAGGAACACTACATAAACCCGAAAGAGAGCATTTAAATCCATCTGCATCATACCTCCCAGTCCAACAATGGAATCCGACTCGGCCCCCTCCAACTGGCAAGACCTCGTCGCGCAAAAGCAACGCGAGTGCGAACAGAAGATCCCCCGCGAATGGGTCCCGAGCGGGGCCATACTCGCGGGCCGACACCCACGATTGTTGGAGTACGACTTGCCCCGTCGCAGTGGTCTTCTTTCCGAGAGCGAATTGGATATTACGGAGAATTATACCGCCAGTCAGTTATTGGTTAAGTTGGCTTCTGGATGTGTTAGTTCTTTGAATGTTACTACGGCGTTTTGTAAGAGGGCTGCTATTGCCCAGCAGGTTGTGAGTATTTCTTAAACTTGATGCATTTGAACGTTGCTGATGTATTATTTTGTACTTGTAGCTATCTTGTCTAACAGAGTCATTCTTTTCTGAGGCGCTTGAGCGCGCTAAGTATTTGGATGAGTACCTCCAACGTGAAGGGAGACCTATTGGACCTCTCCATGGTCTACCTATTAGTCTAAAAGATAGCTTCTGTGTTGAGGGTACACAGTCAACAGTTGGATATGTCGCTCTTCTGAAAGAGGAACCATCGAAGACGAATTCCGCGCTCGTGAAGATGTTGTTGAAGCTGGGAGCGGTCCTATACGTCAAGACGAACATTCCACAGACAATGATGGTAAGTCTGCACATCCTGTACCTATGTTAACCCTACAATGACATGGATCTTACCATACTTCAGACCGCCGACTCCGAAAACAACATCTTCGGCCGCACCCTCAACCCCCACAACACAACCCTAACAGCAGGCGGATCCAGCGGCGGCGAAGGCGCACTCGTATCATTCCGCGGATCCATCCTAGGCGTGGGAACCGATATCGCCGGCTCAATCCGCATCCCAGCATTATGCTGCGGCGTCTATGGCTTCAAGCCAACAGCCAACCGCATTCCCTTCGGTGGACAGGTATCCGGTGCTACGGAGGGAATGCCGGGACTGATTCCAGCAGCTGGGCCATTGGCACACAGTATCGCTGATTTGAAGTTACTTATGAGTACAGTCATTGGGGATGGTCATGCGTGGAAATATGACTCTGGGGCTGTTAGTGTACCCTGGCAGAGTATCCCGTGTGGTATCAACGATACTGCTAATGGGAGTTTGAGTATTGGTGTTCTGGCTGAGGATAAACATTTCCCGCTTCACCCACCTGTTAAGCGGGCTTTGGACTCTGCGATTGAGGTATTGACTCGTGTCGGACACCGGATCGTCCGTCTCAGTGCTAGTGGTGATGAAGCGCTGAGTGTGGCTTATGCTTCACGTCTCGCATTCCAATACTTGACCTACGGCCCGCATAAAGATCTTATTGCCGCTAGTGGTGAGCCCCTTGTGGCATCCGTGACTAAAGCTGCTGCACCTATGTTCTCAGGTCCTTTTTCTGTAGAACAGGGACTTGAACCGTTTGACACAATCCAGGCGCTGCATGAAGCCAGGGCGCGGGTTAATGATGCTTGGCGGCAAACTTGGGTTGATCAGAAGCTCGATGTTATCTTGGCTCCTGGGGCTCAGAATACTGCTGTTGGTTATGATACTTATGGATGGCCTCCTTATACTGTTATCTGGAACTTGTTGGATGTAAGTCTTTCTTCCTCTATCCACTTTCCTACTCACAGTCCATTCATTAGAAGGGCATTGCTTACAATTGGATATAGTATCCTGCGTGCATAATCCCATATGGAAAAGCATCTAAAGACCTTGATTCAGAGCCGATGAATACATCAGACGATGTTCAGCCCAACTGTATGTCTCTTCTTTCTTTCATTTCATGCTGATTATAGTGCTGATTAAATGTAGATATCCCCGGCGAAGTCGACGGCGCACCTTGTGCTATCCAAGTCATCACACCCCGATTCCAGGATGAGAAGTGTCTCTGGGCAGCTGATATAATTGACAAGGCGTTGGCTACGTACGGCAAGAAATAACTTATTGGTAGTCAAGTGATTTTGCTTTTGCGTTTGTATGTGGAATGAGAAACCAAGTTTTTGTTCTATAAGACTATTCCGTAACTACGTCGTCTAAGATTGGGAAAGAAATCCAGCTAGAATGATTATCTCATTTGCTGTTGACTGCTGCTCTGAGGAAATAATTTCAACAAGTAGAATACATATGCAAAGCCGATCCAATCCTAGATACCTTGAAGGAGGGGGAAAAAAAGCAGATGGCAGGGACAAGCCTTTTGTGCTTGGAAAGAAATGGAACACAAGGAAAGGAAATATTTAAGGATTAGATCACGGACTCGGCGAGTCATCATATCGAGGTCCGTTATCATTACCACCATATCCAGCGCCGGGCGTGGCAGCCGCACCACCCATGGCAGGAGTTGGCGCGTCATACGCCGCAGGAGTAGGAGCGTCGTAGTCACGCTTCGAAGGGCCGCCAGGGGTTGGTGCGCTGAAAGCACCGCCGGGTGTGGGGGCACTTTCCGGCCATGCTCCAGGTGTTGGTGCGCCGGGGGTAGGTGCTGTGTACGCGCCTGGTGTGGGGGCGGAGTAGCCTCCACCGGGTGTGGGGGCGTCATCGAAGTCGCGCTGGTCTCGGCTACTGGACAGGCCACCCCAAGCTGGGGTGCGGTTTCCTGCGTTTCCGCCGGCACTGCCCCAGGCGGGGGTGCGAGAGCCAGAGGCAAAGGCGTCGAAACCAGAGCTGGAGTCGTATGGTGTCTTTGATCCCGAGTTCCAGGCTGGTGTGCGGTTGCCCACTCCTCCGTAGGCAGTGCGGTTTCCTTCGTAGGGATTTGAGGTGCGGGAGCCATCGTTCTTCCATGCTGGTGTGCGAGACCCACTGGCGTTCCCCCAAGCAGGAGTTCTGGATCCTCCTGCGCCGCCCCAGGCCGGGGTTCTGGAGGAGTCTGCGGCAGCCATCGGAGTGCGACCACCGGCCCATCCACCTTCTCTCGATGGGAGACCGGCCGAGGAGCCAAATGGAGTGCGTGACCCTCTTCCGCGGCCACCACCCATATCCAGGGATTGTTTGGTGATGGGATCTTTGACGGTAAGGATGTCCCGTGGGATGTGAACGGGCTTGTTAGATGTGTAAAGCTCCACCTGGGCGGAACTATCATCGGCATCGCGAACAATTCCGACAAGTCCCTTATAGCGACCCTTGCGAATAGTTACTGTCTTTCCAAGCAATCTGTCGCGGCCACGACGAGGAGGTGGCATTTGAGCCCCACCACCACCAGGTGTTTGCATAGCCAGGGCAGGGTTCATCTTGGTCAGGTCAGGTCCGGCAGGTCGGCCGCCTCGTGCCGAAACAGTGACAACGCTTGATGTCCGCACTACGGTAATACCGGCGTTTTCAGCTTGGGCCTTATTGTGCAAGAAAAGGAATGAACGGTGGATGTGGCGGATGACTCCGCTCCGCTGCTCTCCATGGAGCTCGCGGACAGTGTCGCCAAGTCGAATCTCTGCGCCATTCTTATCAGTAGCGACTGCATCACGGCGAGGAGTGATTTTGGCTGCAATCTGGGTGGGCAGAATATTCCGAACAGAGCCATTCTGGTCCACAACGCGGAGCGACTCGCGGTCCACTTTGATGACACAGGCAACTGTGGCAGCATCAAGCTGGACGAGATCATGAACATCATATATGCCAAGCTGTCCATCGGCAGCCATCTCAGCAGAAAGTCGGAGGTCTTTACTGAAGACTGTGATCTCCTGCATGCTCATATCACTGAGTAGAGTAACTGTATCGTCCTTGACTTGGACCACCATACCCAATTCGTTTTGATAACGACTGCCTCCAATGACCTTGACGTGATCACCCTCTCTGAATCGTTTGCGAAGGGTGCGAACAGGCGCGTCAATTGTCTGTCCAGACAGCTCACCTTCGGTAACTTGCAGAGAAACGATGTCACCTCGAGTTGACACTGTGCGACCAATAAGGCCCTGCTGTTCACCTCGGTAGACCTCCACCGGATCGCCCGGTTGGTAGGCTTCCTCGGCAGTGGACTTCTTAAGGGTCTCAGCGAGCGAAGCCAGGTCAAGGTTAGCAGTACCGTCTTCGCCTCCGCGGGCAAACATTGTGACTTCCTCTAGCCTAGGGTTGACATTCTTGGTATCCAAGTGCTGGACCCGCATATCCTTGATGAGGAAGCCGTCGACGTAGTTGTCGTTCAGATAGTTCCATGATTTTCCACCGAGACCTGAAGTAGACGACAGGTACTTTGCGTGCTTCTTCTTTGCCTCTGCCTCGCTGAAGAGGCGCTGGGGAGGGCGAACAGTATTGGTGAGACCACGTTTGCGCTTGGATTCAGCTGCAGGAGCACCAAGAGCATCGTCGTTCATTCCGTAGTCCAGTCGAGGAACAAGGCGAACAGTGACATTCAGTCCATTTGTTTCAACCTCCTCGATCTGTGCCAAATCACCCGAGTATTTGCCGCGCTTGATACGGACCCAGCCACCAGGCAAAAGCTCTTCGGATTTTTGAACACGGAAAAGATCAGGCATCTCCTTCACGGGAACCAAGGTCATCTTCTGGGATGGATAGTAGAAGTTGATGGCCTCCAGACCTTCGGTGACATCTGCCTGTCTGCGGGCTTCACAGTAGAACCAACCCTGCATAACATTGCCACGCTCAAAGGCTGAAATGATACGAATCGGGTTGCGGGAGCCTGCTGGGCGTTCTTCAATACGTTTCTGGATCGAATAGACGACTTCCTTCTCCTTGCCAGGTTTGCAGCGGCAACCCCAAATACTGGGATCCTCCACACTAGGAAGAAGAAGTCGTTTCGGGATGACGAGCGCATCTGAAGCTGCCGCACGGTTCCGTCCGTATCGCTCCTTAAGCATCTGTGCCTGCTTCTCTGCGTCCATGCTGGCGTCAATCTCGCGCTGGCGATCCAATTGTCGGTGACGGCGGTCATCTGTCTCGGTGCCTCCGGGTAGCACATCGAGGTCATCGGGGTGGGTTTCCATGCCAAATTCGGCGAGCTCATCCTCTTCATCTTCGGCTTCGTCCTCTTCTTCGTCGACACCGGCTTCGATTTCAATGAAAGGGTTGGCCTTCATTCTCTTACGCGGGCGATGGCTCTATAATGAGAAAACAAGTTAACAGAGGCCCAGCATGAGGCTAGTCGTAGAGAACGCACCACTGCCTCTTCTTCATCCTCTTCCTCGTCTTCCTCGTCATCATCCTCTGCTTGGTTGTCGCCCTCCTCATCGTCCTCCTCGACGTCTTTGGCATCATCCTCTTCGTCGTGGGGGACGCGTCCGTATTTCACATCGTCCTCATTCTCGCCGTCGCCGCCAGATCTCTCTTTCTTGGCGGGCTGTACTCCTTTATTAGCCATCGTGCTTACCGAAACTCGGTAAGTGGCAGACTGACCTTGGCTCTGGGCTCCTCGGCATCGGAGTCTTCATGGGGGCGCGGGGTTGAACTCATCGTCCTCATCCTCGGACCCGAAGTCCTGGTCGAGAAAGTTGGACATCGTGGAGATTCGCGTCGTACAGGGTATCAATAGGAATCTGGTCGCGCTGTGGATAAAGTGGGATAGCGATTCGGGGTATGAGAGCGTCTCTATACAATGCCAGCCTGAGTCAGTGTAAGACGAGAGGTTAGGTCAAGAGAGAGCACGTACCCAAGCCAGGGAAATCGCGCTGTGGTCGGGTAAAAAGATCAGATGTAGCTGGAAGTTAGACTGTCCCGGATTGCTTTCAAGAGGACAGCCTGGTTCGAACGGCGTCAGATCGATTCTTTGTGATTGAAGTGATGTGTAGGCGCGATCGGAGAGTAGGGAAGCAGACAATCGAGCTCTGCGGGCAATCAATGAGTTCCGCGACCGCCTACAAAGAACGAATCTCGGGCTTCGAAGAGAAACTGTGCGCGCAAGGGATTCCGCGCCTTTTTCAGAAGGGATGTCAGCTGAGAAAAGGGAAAGGAGAAATTGAATCAGAAGGTCAAGTCGAGTTGCCCAGGTGAGGCTTCATTGCTGCGTCGGTGGTTGTTATGCCCCGCCGTAGTACATTACCTGCAACCTACATAAAATAGGGCACTGTTAACATACCTATATGCCTAATATCTGTGAATATAGATGTTATACTCTTCATGGATCTTCAATCTGCCTGTAGGCTAATACATCAGCTATAAAATATTACGCAGGCGATGATGCCTATGTATAAACCGACGACAACCAACAAAACAACATCTTTGAAAAGCATTAAGATATACTCCTCATTCTTAATGCCGTCTAAAACTTGAGCAAGCTGCTCAAGGCTTCTTAAAGCAATATGTCACTTTGAAATAGTTTTGGACCATAAAGCCGTGCCCTAATTCGAACATCCGAACCATGTGAACATATATTGAAGTCACGATAGCACCACCATTTGCTTCTTACCAGAGCTCAACAAACCCAATTAAACAACAAAAATTAAATACAATAGACAGGAAAATTATGGAAGCCCCCATCTCCTAGCAAAAATGAATAAGACTATGGCTCTACCTACCGATCGGTAACCGGCCCATGGTCATACGAAGCACGCCAAAACCCAGCACCTTGTTCAAAGTCATCGGTGAAAGACCTTTCGATCTCAAGCTGAAGGACACCTTGTCTAATCCATGTCTCCTCTTGCAGCTCAACGAACCGAAGCAGCCAGTGAATTTGAACCGACTCTTGGAAAGTATCCCAAAACGGTCTCAATTTCTGATTGAGCACGCGAAGTTTCTCCTTGGTGGCCTCTATCAATCTGCTCGTCCTTGTCTCCCTTTCTGATCCGCGCGGCAGCTCCGTGGTCGACTCCATATGGGCTCGATTATATGCAATGATGATCCACCAATAGATTCTTTTGACGCCTTCGGTATCACGCCAGGCTTCTCTGTCAAGACGAGACAGGACGATATCGAGAATCTGCACACAGTTGGCGTTCATATTGAGCGCGGCGTAAAGTGCTGCGTCTGTGTGTGTTAATTTCCCGAACCCGTATTGGTCACAGAACCATTTGGTTGCCGGCTGGTTTCCTCTGACGGCAGCGCGTAGAGGCGTAATGCTCTCGGGGTGGTTGCGTCTATTGAAATTATTCCTTGTCCTTGGTGACACGTCCGAGTGTTCATTGAACCACCTCAGAATATCAGAACCGTTCGGATTCTCAATTGCCCGGTGCCAAATTGTTCGAGATGTATCGGGCCTTCGATCGTTGAAGTGCTCTTCGTTCGAGCTCCAATTGGGTGGATCTGAGCGATTCTGGCTGGGTGTCCTCTGGGGACTGGGTGACCTATTGGGATAGTACTCTTCTTCCTCCTCGCTGTCACTATCATCGTCGTTTGTGTCATTCCCTGGTTATTACCCTAATTTACTACCTGCCCTCCTGGAGGACTAGGCGCAGGCCCTGGGTGCCTACGGACAGTAGGCCGTTCACCAAACCTAGGATGAATATCTGGGTCATTCACATAAGCGATAGCAAAATCGGCCCTATTAGGTACGCCATCGAAAAAGGAATGATCAATAGGGTCACCATATTCAGCATCCCGGTTCCACAGGTAATGAAGTGGTAGAGTATCATAAATAGGACCACCCTGCGGCGGAAGACGGTAGGGAAGGGTGTTCCTAGGAAGATAGGCAATATTGAACTTTTCATACCGCCACAGCCACTCAGCCATGTATCGAGAAGCGAAGCTACATAACTGGAGCTTGAGACCATCATCATTCCACAGAAGTATCGGGAAGCCTTTCGATGAGAACTTTTTGACCATCGCCATAAACACTTGTGGGTCTTTCATACGCGCCACATGGTGTGGGATGGACATTTCCTCGATGCTTGTGGGCATATGTCTGGGATTGACCCCTGTGTTCAGGATTTCATCAAGCAACCATAGTACCAGACCTCCTTCGCTGCCCGGGAATAAAGGGACTGCTTCGATTGCGGCATGAAGAGCGGATTTTCCGTACATGTCGTATCCTATGACATTAAGCTGGGTTGCCATTGCGATGCATCCGGTGCAATGACATTTCGATATAAAGTTGTAAAGGTAGGTCTTTTGGTTGGTACCGGTCATGTTGCTGGCTCTGCGGTTGAGCCGTATTTGCTCTGCATTGTTGTAGGCTGTCTTGAAGTCTGGGTAGAGCTGCGAGGCCTTGAAGTGCATGTTGAGATATCGTGCGCCTGAGCCGTCTCGTAGCCATTGCCACGCCATCACGGCCAGCCTTGGTACTTCTTCAACAAAGACATGCAGGTCATGGAAGTCCGTTGTACTTGGCTTATCGGTTATGATATGCAGTAATATTGGGAGGAGAAGCTTAAACATGTCCTCGGGCATGGTGGTGAGATCAAGATGGGTAGACGGTGAGCTCAAGGGCGCGCCTGTCCGGTTGAGTTCTTTCGAGGATTCTAACCCAATTTAGACCAATGGCATTCGAACCCTTGAACCCACTGAACTGGAGAGGAGTAACATCGGGCTCATTGCGATGGCATATTCTTGGGAAATCATGGAGACGAATACGAGCGCGGTAGGTGGGAAAGTAGTCGTGGTTCCATCCTCAAGGACCCTTTGCAGAAGAGGATGATTGGGCGTAGGGAACAGGTTGGTATCCGGTATTGGGTCATCCATGGTGGTTAGATGCTCTCTTCAGATTCAACGCAGGATCATATGGTTATATCATACGGACGCGTATGAAGTGAGCGCCTATAGCCTGCCTTTTATTTAAATATAAACCCGACTCAGAGAATTTTCAAAGGGCTGGAAACAAAGAAATAACAAAGGCCAATAATTTCGCAGCGCTTCTGCTCCAACTCAAGATTGTGATCGTGTCGAATCAAATCGAGGCCTGTACCATATGATATACATGCCTCGTTTTCGAGTAAACCGTAGGAACCATGTAGCTCTTTGGCTTGGAGTATACCGACCTTCCATGGAAGTGGCCTTTGTCAAAGAACGATGGGCGAGCCACGGCAATAAAGTATGGATCGAAGACAAAGAAATTATCAACCGCTTGAAAGGCAAAAAGTAAATGAATAAATAAATCTCATATCTCAAAATCCGAAGTACTATGAAGCAAAGATCCAAAAAAGGTGATCTCACCATGAACCAAGAAATATACAAAAGAATTCAACGTATGATACAAGGCAAATCATAGCAAAATCAACCAAAAAGAAGCCGTCACAGACGAAAGGATATCTAGCCAAACAAAAAAGAAAGCAATCATGAACCAAGACGAGGGACGGGCAAATCTCTATCGTCAAACCCAAGAATAAACACCCAAAAGAATACTCTATAGCTTCATTCCAAACATGCCATGAACACGCAAGCTCTGACGCATACTAAGGTCAAGCATGATCTCCTCACTACCACCAGGGATAGCATAAGCGCGAACATCACGGTAAAGCCTCTCGACCTTACCACCCTGTCCACCACGGCTATAGCTCAACCCACCGAAGATCTGACTCGCCTCGCGAGCGCAGAACTCGAAGCAAGTAGTAGACTGGGCCTTCAAACTGGCGATAGCACCGCCAAGCTTGAGCATGGCCTCTGTCTCTTCCATGCACTGGCATTGGAAGATCATGTTCTCGAGCCAGTTATAGGTAGCCTCGATTTGGCGGGCCATGTGGGCGAGTTTCATGCGGATGACAGGGTGTTCGATGAGTGGCTTGTTGAAGGTCTTGCGCTTGTGTGCGTACTTCATGGATTCTTCGTAGCAGACACGCGAGAAACGCAGGCACTGGATCACGATTCCGATGCGCTCGTGGTTAAAGTTTGTCATGATCACCTTGAACCCTTGGTTCTCCTTGCCGATCAAGTTCTCGACTGGTACCTTGACGTCTTCAAAGGTTACGTAGGTTGTGCCGCTGGACCATACACCCTGGCAGTCCATACGGCGGGTGCTGACACCGCCGGCTTCACGCTCGATGAGGAGGACACTGACTCCATTCATGCCGGGCTTGCCGGTGCGCACGGCGGTGGTGAAGTAGTCGGACCAGATACCGTTTGTGATCCACTTCTTCTCGCCGTTGACGATGTAGTGCTTGCCATCTTCGCTCAGCTTGGCCTCGCAGCCCAAGTTGGCGACGTCACTGCCCGCATCAGGCTCGGTGATGGCAAGACAGATACGCTTGTCGCCGGCCAGGATACCCGGCAGGATTCGGTCGACCAGCGGCTTCTTGCCGAACTTGACCAGGGGTGGGCATCCAATGCCAAAGCCTCCGATCAAGTTCCAGACAAGGCCGCCGCTGCCTGCACGCGACAGTTCGTCGGTCAACAGCATCTCGTGGAACAAGTCCCAGCGATCTGGTGTCACCGACTGCACGCGGTGTGGGGTGTGGTTCACAGGGTATGTGACACCCAACAGACCGGCCAGGTATCCTCGCTCACCCATCTGCTTGTAGATATGGGGCGGGACCTCCTTGCCCTCATCCCATTCGGTTACATATGGCTCAATCTCGGACTCGACCCACTGGCGGACTTCGTCTCGGAGGGCGGCGTGGGAATCGTTAAAGTAGGGGGAGGCATACTAAGGACGCAGGAAAACATACATTAGTCTCTGTATACCCCGATTTAGCCGAGGTAGCAAAACTTACACCCTGGTACCATGAAGGGTCGGCGAAAGGAATCAAATCTCCGTAAGGATCCTGCGGCGCACCAGTAGCAGGCGGCGTCACAGAAGAAGAGGACTCAGACTGAGGCTTGGGCTCGGGAGCAGCCTTCTTAGGAGCCGGCACCGGCTCAGCTGCTTTCTTGGTGTCCAACGAACCGATCTGCAGCTGACCCTTGTACTTCTTCAAAATGCCCTCATTGTGGTACTTCCAGAACTGCTTCGAGGCGTCCTTTCCGGCAACGCGCTGGAGAACTAAACGTGCATAGTCAATATACTGCTCTTGGGAGTGGCGGTTAGCCTCGGTGACGACGTACTCTTCTTTCCGCCTGTTCAGAATAGGAATGTTAGCATGTGATCCTTACGGAGGGTGGCGCATGACTTCGGACATACCAGGGTGCTCGTCTTGGAACTTAGATACATCGTAGACGTCTTCATCGATCACGATCCAGAGGCTGTCGCCCTTGCCGTGCGACGCGACGTCGTCTTTGCTAAATCTCTTTGCCATGATGTTGGGGGCAGGAGTAAGAGGTAAGAGGTGCGGCGGGGAGGTAAAGATAGAATATGGTGAGCAAAGGGTGTAAGGTGGGGAGAGAAGAAAAAAAAAAATTAAGTCCGGGGAAGCTGGAGGAAAGATATATGAGTCTGGGGTTTCATAAATAATTTCCGTTTAGTTCGGAATGTATTCCAAACCAGGACAAGTGGTGTAGGATTCCAAGGGGGCCTCGGAGTATGGAAATCAGTTCACATGCTCTATGTAATTGTGCAGCAAAGCGTGAGAATCCCTTAGTCTCTCGTCCATCGGCTGCTGATCGCTTCGGTCATCCCCGTTGTTGGACTCTTTATTGGCTCGAGGTGCGTCATGGTGAGAATGCCGAGGCAGACACACATGCAGGGCGGTGAGCTGAGGGAGCATGTGATCGATGAGCATAAAAGGACAAAAGGATCAAGTGTCGAGCGCATAGTTAATGATTGAACAGACCAAGTGTATACCCTTAACTAGAGAAACTATATATTCCGACTGTAAAAAGCCCGGGTGTGTGTAACAACAGTAAAAGTACGGGTGAGTCGAGTCATGGTATAACGTTAGTTACTCCCATGCTTGCATGTGCAAGTACCTGCACCCTGGAGCCCAATTTCAAATGTCCACGAGACGCCATGACACTTTTAGAACCAAGGCATACTGCTTATGGGAGATTCTATGGTGCAGAACAAGCTTACGTGGAGAATGCAGTGCAATGTACAAAGTGGATAAAACAAAGGAAGTCTCATATCAATCAGTCGAAAGCCACATCAGCTTCCAATAGATCAGGTCCAGATAGACAGCCTGATTAGTCTAGTAATACATCCAGCATCAAGATTCTACGACGCATCTCCTTACTCCTCCTCGCCATCTGACTCGTACGAGAACTCGTCAGGGCAAGGCGCGTCCTCCACACCTTCTTCATCTTCATCCACCGCCGTTAGAACACCGGCAGCAGCACTGGCTCCACCAGCAGTAGCAGCGGACAGGGCAGCCCGAGCATCAGCCCGTTGAGGGGTTTGCAGGGCAGCGGTGCCGATAGCGGCTTGCAGGCGGTCCTGGAGTGTTTCGGTCTGAGGGGGTGATTGGCGAGCTTCCTTGCTGGCCTTGAGCTCAACAACTTCGCGAGGCTCGTCGGGCTGCTTGTCGAGGACAACGACAACACCACCAGTGGGCTGGAAATATTGAGTTAGCACAAGATTCGTGGTAGTATGTAGGACTGAACATACCCTCTTTACCGGCTCATACCGCGGGTCTGGGAAAGTGAGGTATTTGAGCTGAGCTGGGAGTACCCTTGACAGGTTGTCCAACTCGTATCCGACCTTCTCCCGTTCCGCCTTCTTCTTCTGACCCTCAGAGGCAGCCTTCTCGGTCTCGGTGCCTTCTTCGCCTTCAGCCTTGGTGTCTTCCGTCTCCATAGCATCCGGTAGCTGATCAGAGACCTTTGGTGTCGTAGGAGTCTGATCAATGTCCATGCTCTCACGGCGAGCCTGCTTCTCCCGACGCTGAGCACGGCGCTTGGCCTGGGCAGTGGTAGAAAGTACGGCAGTCTTCACCTTCTCGGGGGCCTCCTCGGCCTTCACCTGTTGCTCAGGGGGATAGTCGAAGAGACTGGGGCGGGTGTTGCTGTGGAACTTGAAGTGGGGGACCTCAAGCTTCTGGTCAACGCCAATGACGGATGTCGGGGCGAAGCTAAGCGACAAGAAGTGTGTGAGAGGGAACCAGTACCAGTACTGGACGAAGACTGCGGCACCAACAATACCGGGCATGTTGAGGTTACCGGTCTGTGTCTGCAAGCTGATGGTGCAGTTGCGGCCACCGGCATCAATGATACCGAGGGCAATGGCACAACCGAACTTGGCCATAGCATCTTCGTGGCGGTCACCAAGCATCTTCATCATGGTTTTGCGAAGGCTGGTAACACGGGGGTTCATAGCCTCGTTCTGCTGGACGAGAACCATGGCGAGGGAGATCAGGGCACCCTGGCGAACGAAGTCGGTCGAGTCCTTGAGCATGGGCTCCAAGAGATCAATTGCTTCGTCCAGGCCAGTTCCGGCACAAGAAATACCAAGCGCCATGGCAGCACCGTAGCGGACGTGGGGGTTGTACGACTCAGAAAGTAGCTCAACCATGCGAGGAACGCTCTGGTGCTTGCGGAACAGGATGAAGCCCAAGCTGAGAACGGCGACGCGACGCACATCATCGTTGACATCACTGACCGCAACATGCAGAAGCTTACGAACTGCCTTGTTGCTGCCACTGCCACAGTAAGCCAGGGCAATGGTCATGATACCACCGTAGCGGAGGGTGGGGTCAGGGTCGCCGAGGAGACCATTGATCAGCTCGTCGGCACCTTCCTGGCGACCGTACATGATCAAAGCCATGCCCATGGCGAGACCACGGACGATCTTCTCGTGCTGTGTCTCGTGGGCGTACTGGATCATGTCCTCGAGAGCCTTCATGTTACCAGTGCCAAGCATGATGAGACCCATGGAAAGGCCGACAGCCTCTCCGTTAAGGGCGGAATCGGTGTAGAGAACGGTCCGCAGGTCTTCGAAAATGCCTTCGTCACCTGTGGCCATACCGGCAACACCCAGACCAAGAGCTCCACCGTGTTGAACGACTTCTTCGGTGGCCTTCTTGAAGTGGTCCCGGATGATGTCAACGGCCATACCACCGTGGTTGGCGTAGATGAGACCGAAGGCATAGAGCGAACCACCCTGGCTGTAGACAGATCCAGAGCCTCCAACCCCAGCAATGTGCTCACGGGGCAGATAAGGCTGGAGAAGCTTCTGACCCTGGCTCAGGTTGCCGCGGTGGATACAGCCCAATGCGGCAGTAGCCGTGAACTTGGACCAGTTGACTGCCTTGCCGAGCCATTCCAGGTTGTCACGGAAGAACTTGTCGTGGGTGGTCCCCGCATGCATGAAGGCATTCGAGAGAGTCACTGCAGTGTGGAAGATAGAATTCCGAGCCTCGAGGCTGTCGCGAATCTTGTTCAAAATCGCGATATCCGCTTTGTTGTTTCGGTATAGGAATTCTAGGTTCAGCTGGATAGTCTTAATACCATCAAGAATCTGGAGAATGTTTTTAAATGCTGTGATCGCATCATCCGGCAGATTGGAATGCTTATCACCCGAAGGCCGGGAAGAGCTGCCCTGGTCTTCAAGTAATGCGTCAGACTCCTTTGGCTCGTTCTCATCCTCGTTTTCCTTCTCGGTTTCCCTTTCGGGGACAAGCTCAGCGATCTCTTGCCGAACCTTCTGAAGGAATTCTTGTGTGCTGTTGTCGTAAAGGTCGAAGGAGATTTGGTAGGCGACCGCAAGGGAGCGGGAATCACCCTTCTCGACCAGCTGACGAAGAATGACGGAGGCCATAGAGTGTTCATTAAGGAAGACAACACATTTGGCAATTGAGAAGTAGTCAGGGGCCGGGATCTCATTCAGCAGTTCCAAGATAAGTTTGAGGATCTAGAAGGAATACCGTTAGTTGACTTGTTCCATACGGGGGATTGGGATCACAAACCTCGCTGCGGAAGGCCCGCTCTTGGACAATGCCCATGCAAATATCTAGAACATATTCCATCAGCTCCTCGCTGTTGCGAGAATCGCCCTGCTGCTTCTTCTCGTCGGAGCTAGCGCGCAGGATAGCCATGCGGAGCACATCTAGACTCTTGGCCTCGATGGCAATTCCAATAACTTGACGGTATCGCTTCTGGCGGAAGCATTCTTCGAACAAACGCTCAATAACAGTCTGGAGTTGGCCCTGGACACCGCGCTTCAGTACGAGAGGGGTCTCCTCGTGCTGAACACTGGTGTCATCGCCACCGGGGTGGGCGGCGTCAATACCGGGAACCTCGGCGCGAGAGAGCAATGATTTCGATGGCAATGCGGACTTCGAGAACGGTGTGATGGGCGATGTGAGGCTTGCAGATGTGCTGGTGGCGCCGTCGCCTGATGATGGGAAAGAGGTGTTCAGGTTGACGGACTGGTCAGCAGTAGGCCGTTGGGCAGCAGATAGAGAGATGAAAGTGTCGACGCATTTCGCTGTGTTCAATCAAGTATTAACCATCCAAATTCAGGATGATTGTGATGGTTCTCAACTTACCAATGATGGTCTCCTCATATTCGCCGCCGTTCTCCAACTTGAACAGCTTTCCAGCGCCCAGAGCAAGGACCATGCTCTCATTATATTCCTGCAAATGGTAGTATACCTTCGAAGCAACTAACGCCGCGAGTCCGCGTTCTGGGAAAGATTCGTCTTCATAGAGAGCCTCACTGGAGGAGTTAGCAGGGGTGCACTCATCGGTCGGACTCGGCAGGAATGGCGCAAGAGCGAAGACTGATCCAAGCTGACAAAATCCTGGGAGAGAAACAACTCACATGTCAGGAACAGCATTCACAACTTCTGTCCAGAGCAGATCGATCTGAGAATCTAATGACTTCAATGCAAAGACCTTAAGCTCTGGGTCAGGCTCGGAGAGAAATCCGACCAAACCGGCGGCCGATACGAGTCCGACCATCTTGATTGGGATAGACGGCTCGCGTCGAAATTCACGGGATGAGTTTCGAGGATAGATCGATTTGTTGTTGCTGTGATGAAGCAACGGGATCGGGAGGGAGCTTGGGGAACAGCGAATCAGCCCCAGGGTCGAACAAAGGTACAAAGGGGTAATCAGGTGCCCCGAGAAAAGAGAATATAGCAAGAAATACAGAAGATGATTAAATGAAAGAGACGAAGTGGATGAAGGGCACGTACAAATAGAAGCTGGAAGCAGACAACAGAAGCTTGCAGGCGCGAGACTGACGTTGACGGGAGAGCTGACTGCTGACTGTGCAAGTCACGTGCTCATCAGCTGCAAGGCCGTGGACGGATCTGAAATCACCTGGCGAGTGATTCTTTCCCTGGTCTGGTGATCTCCTTCACAGCTGGCTGATCCATGTCTCCAAACTACTAAATAGCTGTTTTCCCCAGGGCCACGTAGCTCCAACTCCAGTCTGAAGCTCCGCCTGCCACGCTTCCCTGTCCGCCATGTCAACACTTCTCCAGCAATCATATCGTGATAAGAGGCTGCCTCCAGTCCCAGCAGCAGCTTCGACGTACCATCATGACCCTCTCCTATATATTGAACGACAGACGAAACACATACAGCGTAATCTTCAGGTTCTGATTGACGCCCAAAGCGACGGCCTTCTCTCTGGACTGGCACGACCACGGTCAGACGAATCCTACAGCAGAAGCTTGAGTCGAAACACTTCCGAAGCCAGTCGCTCGCAATCCCCTTCTACGGTCCCCTCTAGGCAACCTGCACCCAAGAAAATTGGGCTTCGGGCTGCTCGAGATGGCATCTTCCAATCGATCTATGACCTACTGAAGCTGCGAGAGGAAGAACGAGAGATCATTACGACTCAAACGGAGGAGAGAGAAAGCGCGCTACATGATATAGAGAGCTTTCTCTCAAAGAGAACCGGTCTCGAAGAAGCCATCGCTTCTATACATGGCGATGAGGAAAGCCAGCATTCAAAGCAACTAGAAGAAGAGGCTCGGGCCCTCGCGACTGACATTCATGAATTGGAGACCAGGCTGTATGAGATGAAAGCTAAACATCGACATCTTGTCAGTGAGATTTCACATATCAACAACTCGATCGAAGCCAAGCTATCTTCCTATACCGAATCTTTGTCCATACTCGACTCCGATATCCGAAAATATCTCCGAGACCCTCCCATTCAACCCATGTCGCAACGTCCAGGTGAATCAACCTTCCACTCCTTGAACCCTAAACGCCGCACACTTGACATGGCCCGGGAACATTGGAACTCTGAGCAAGTCGGTTTACGCAGTAGACAACAGAAAGTAGATGGAGAGATTCTGGCGCTGGAAGAAGGAGGCGGAGTGTGGAAACAAGCAGTGACGGACGTCACCGGCTTTGAGAAGCGCCTCCGCGCCAACATGCGACATTATGTTGAGATTTCCACTCCAGCGACCGAGTCCGAGGGATCCACATCGACAGACTACAAAGACGAACTTGTTAAGAATATCTTGGATGATTTGGAAAAGACTACCCAACGCGTTGAATCACATTTGGAGCTCGCCGAGGACAAGGATTGGAAGCTATTGGTTTGCTGCATTGCAGCTGAGCTAGAAGCTCTGCGAGAAGCAAGGGGTATGCTTCTTTCTGCCTTCGCCTTGCCGGTGCATAAAGAGGATACACCCCTAAACTCGACTGGCAATGCTTCTCCGAAGGACCAGGGCCAGGATGAGGACCATCAGCCCCCCTATGAGGATCCGCTAGCCCACGACGACCCGGAACCTCCAGCTGACTTGCTGAAGGATGCAGATTCTCATCATTCGGACACTGAGTCAAGGTCAGAGGATGATGATGAGCCGGATCCCGCTTGGTTGACCTGATGGAGTATATAATGAATTATGATATATATTTGTGACCCGATCTTAGTAAATATTAGCATATACTTCGGCTTTTTAGATTGAAAATCTTCCCTCTATTCCCTTACCTCTGCCATAAAGCTTATTCTAGGGTTGAGGCATCATCTATTCCGTTATGTATACTAGGATTGTTTGATCCCCAAAGTCATGTTCATGTTGCGTCCAAACCGCGAGTTCCATTGGGGGACGGACCCGAGGCCTCACCGAAGACTCCCTCGACTTCTTCCTATCAACAGTCTACCTGCGTTTCGAGGCAAATAACCATGCTATACGATTAATACAAGGATGGATCTTCCATTACCGACTTTTTCATTCGCGATCCCCTCAATCCATGATGGCAAACAGCTGGAATGTCGCATATATCTCCCACCCGCATTCCAAAATATAGAATCAGCAACAGCTTGGACAAACCGCGGCGCAATCGTCGCACACCCATACGCGCCTTTGGGAGGCTGCTATGACGATCCTGTCGTGAGTTTCATCGGCGGCGAGCTGTTACATTCAGACTGCATCGTCGGAACCTTCAATTTCCGGTACTATTACCTACTCCTGGCATTGGATCATGAACCCAAGCAGCTAATACACCCCATAGCGGAGCCGGGGACTCTGAAGGACGAACAAGCTGGACTGCCAAACCCGAGCTAGGAGATTATGTCTCATTCTACGGGTTCATGTTGCAATATCTTCATCACTTAAAGCTTGCATTCTCCCCAAGTGACCAAGCAAACTCATCCAAACTTCACAACACTGACGAAGATGGAAGCCCAGATGTACGTCTCGTCCTGGGCGGCTACTCCTACGGGTCCTTAATCGCCTCCCACGTCCCATCACTCGAAGTCATGCTGGACATTTTCCGATTCGGGCCGACATCAACCTCAGCCTCCACGCACAACCCAACGCCAAAATCCGAGATAGGCAAAGCATCATTGCGGATAGCTGCATCAACCCTGGAGAAATTCCATATGACTCACAGTCACAATCTAGCTGACACCAACCCTACCGCCTTGACAACCTCCATTTCCTACCTCCTCGTCTCTCCGCTCTTACCCCCAATTAGTCACCTCCTAACCTCCTTCTCGACCTTATCACTGAATGTGAAAGCGGATACTGGGAGTGATACTCGCATTCCCTGTCGTCCAGCAGACCAGCAGAGCACCCACCACACCCTAGCGCTCTTCGGCGACCAGGATACATTCACCCCTGCTGGGAAACTGGAGAGGTGGTCAGACGAGATGGCGCACATGCCGCGCAGTCAGTTCCAATTTCGGAAAATCGATGGCGCGGGCCACTTTTGGCGCGAGGATGGGGTTGAACTGCGGGCAAGACATGCGTTGAAGGTGTGGCTTGGTCAGATATGATATCATTTGCTGTCCAGGTGGCTATTCCAATCAAATATGTTGACCTATTGTGGTATACGGAGTTCCTTGACACATGAAGATCGGAGCGCACATGCTGCATGCATGTGAACAAGGGGCCCCGGGGCCCCCAGGGGTTCTGATAAGCTTGCGATCTAGGATGCATGTAGTTAGGGAATACATAGATGTTTACATCATATCAGATGATATCAGATGAACACAGAGAACATAAATCAAGTGAAATTGACTGCAATGTAAGAGACGAATAAAACCAACACTGCCCAGCCAACATTCAAGTTATTCAAGGATCTTCCGGGTGAGGCAAATGCTTCCCCACCGGGATCTGGGGCGTGTTCAGATGATGCGTGAGATCATGGGGAAGTAAAGTGACTGCATAACTTCCGATTACCGGTTATCAATAATTTGATACCCCAAGTCAACCCCAAGTCCCGTGAATGCTACATTCCAAACCTGAAGGCTGAAAGACTTAGTCAAGTTAGGCGGCCCAACTCCGGGGAAAATAGATCGGGCGGATCCTCGTGACGTTTTTCAGACCGCCCAGTTACTTAACTCTTGACTCTTGCAACTCTTCATATTCTTACTATTCTAGTCTAAGTCTTTTCTGATCTTGACCTTGGGCTACGTTTCAGATCCCGGATGGCTTGCTTCCGATGCACAGGCCTGCGATGTCGGTGTTGGGCGACTCCACAATAGTCCAGTGCCATCATGGACGCAAGCAAGCAACCGAACACTCAGAACATGTCCACACCAATTCCCAACCCCCGCGATCCCTGCGGAAAGCAGTATCGATACCAGCCGTGTCATCCCTGGTGAAGGACTCATGGAATTGGGCCGGTGACACCCTACACACCTACCGCGATGGCCTCAACAAAGAACAACGAAAACAAAAGGCCGAGATCGAGGAACGGAAGCAGATATTGTATATGCACATGAAAAATGTAAGTCTACGCTGTGCACCTGGGCGCTGGGGGCGGTCGCACCTGCAGAATTATCTTGGCTAACCAACCATCGGGACTGCAGGCCGTGTCGTACGAGGAATGGCGAAGTTGCGCCAGCGAGCTCGACGAACTGGAAGACAACAACGCTTGGAAGCAGACGTTCGAGTCCTCCGAATACGACAATCAGTTGGTCCAGGATCGGTTGCGACAGCTGGAAGAGGCGCGGATTAATTGTGATGTGAGTCGGATGCTGTTTCTCGTGCGCACGGCGCTGAGTCGGGATCTGGCGCATATGAGCAATGCATCACTTTATCGGCATTCGCATATTGGTACTAAGGACTTGATTGATCGGTATATCACCACAGCCTTGGAGACTATCACCACGCTGGTCGATCTGTCCGTCCATAATCGCTGCGATGGACTGGAGCTGAAGTATATCCTGGACCAGTTGCTCGCAGCTCGGCAGGCTTTTGGTCGCAGCGGTCTGCTTTTCTCTGGGGGTGCGACTTTCGGAATGACTCATATTGGGGTTCTCAAGGCTCTCTATGAGGCCAAGATGATTCCTCGCATCATTTCAGGGGCATCTGCTGGTAGTATTGTGTGCGCAGTCTTCGGCACACGTACAGATGACGAACTGCCGGCGCTGCTGGATACCTATGTGCATGGAGACTTTGCTGTTTTCAATAAGAAGGGCCAGGAAGAAAATCTCTTGCAGAAGATGACTCGCTTTTTGAAATTCGGGTCGTTCCTTGATATATCGCATTTGGCGAATACCATGAGAAGCTGGCTAGGAGATCTGACCTTCCAGGAAGCATACAACCGCACTCGTAGAATCTTGAATATCTGCGTCTCGAGTGCCGGTATGTATGAGCTTCCGCGGTTGTTGAACTATATCTCTGCGCCGAATGTGTTGATTTGGTCTGCTGTGTAAGTGATCTGCTCTGTGTTTCTCTGCTCCCTGCTAATGTCAACCAAGGGCTGTATCATGCTCTGTACCTTTCGTGTTCAGACCATTCACCTTGATGGCCAAAGATCCGTTGACAGGAGAAACAGTACCGTGGAATGACCTCCATAAGCAATACATTGACGGCTCTGTCGACGGTGATCTGCCAATGACCCGGTTATCAGAGATGTTCAACGTCAACCATTTCATCGTCTCCCAAGTCAATCCTCATGTAGTGCCATTCCTCCCGAAGGAAGAAGGACCCCGGATCGAGGCAGAAGACGGCCAATCCTTCATTCCTCGATGGATGAACACGATGACACACCTTGCAAAAGACGAGGTTCTTCATCGAATGAATGTCCTCTCAGAACTCGGAGTCTTCCCAACATCGATGACGAAGTTCGCTTCCATCGTAAATCAGAAATATCACGGTGATATCAACATCTATCCGGAACTCATATCCTCCAACTTCCCCCGACTCTTGGAAAATCCGACCACGGAGTTCATGCTTGCGGCATGCCTAAGCGGCGAACGGGCGACATGGCCACGGCTGAGTCGGATCCGAAACCACTGCGCTATCGAGCTCGCACTAGATAGTGCGATTCAGAAGATGCGGGCCCGGGTAGCCTTTAGTCCGGGTCAGGTTGATTTACGGATGCCCAACTCCTCCCGTCACTCGATTGATTCAGTAGACAGCAATGGAAGAGGCGGACGCCACAGACGGCGTGGTTCCTACAGCCATGAACTGGAAAAACGACGTTCAGGCGGGCAATCGCGGCAACAACCAGTCCGAGAATTGCGCAAAGCACGCAGCACCGTATCTCTCGAGAACCCACCTCCAACTCTAACAAACGAGTCAATGCAACCGAGGACCCACCGCCGGACATCTTCGGCGTCCTACAACAACGGAACGATATTCGATATCGGATCTAGCAGCGATGACGACTACGAATTCCCCCGCTTGTACACAGTCCGATCTCGACTGGCTGGCCATCGAGCGTCCTCGGACTCAGTTTCCTTTAGTGGAGCAACCGCAAACTACGGGCTTCGCAGCCCAGTCCGATCCCGGCGATCCTCATTCTCTTCTGGCCTAACCTACAATTCTTCCGCTCCCACTTATCGAGCCTCGCCGAAGCAGGTTTATGCCTCTTCGGCTCGTGAGTTTTCCACGACCGTACCACCCTCATCCCGCCATCTGCTCAGCATGACCCCAACACCAACAATCCACCCGAGCTCTCCTGACCTTTCCATGCGCAAACCGCGGCACTGAAGAGCTTTAACGGGCAGCTCAGGTACCATCGGTGCTGGACAAGCACAGGCCGCTTATCAATCTAATCCCTTGAATCGGCGGCTCAATTGGCATGGGAAGCACATTTCCAACACCCCTTTTGACGCATGCGACGCACGATCCACTACAGTATATTCGGTTTTCTTCACTACATTTGCTCCAGCTTCGTTCTTTATAGGGTTTGGCGTTGTAACACGGCCTGGGCCCACCGCCCGCTATACGATTCCCCCTTTCTAGACCACCTCTATAGCATTCCCTTTTGGTTTCAGATTTCGGCATACATATTGCATCCAATGGATTCACAATTATTTGCGTTCCTTCCTTTCTTCATCCTTGGTTATCTGACAGACATGTGGCGGTCTCGAATGTATGTATAGCGGGGAAGTGTTGCGCGTACATACGCCAGGTGGCAAGAGCAGCAGCCACAACCCCCAGATGAGATCGATTACGAGACTGTTAGTCAAGATTCCGGCTATACAAGCTGTACAATAGTGCACATGTAGTTTTAGTATCAGGTCTCAGGGTTTCGGTTAAGGATACGAGCTTCCGCCCTTGGCGCTAGTCGGCCCTGAAGCTAAGCCCTTTCCCACCATAAGCTCCGGCCCCAACCGGCTCAAAGGCAAATCAATCCAAATGGCCCCGTGGATTCAAACTTTGGAAGACAAGCTTGGCAACTGCATAGCCAACTAGATAGAAGACAGTGGGGGTTCGGCAAAACAATATGAGGAAAGAATCGGCATTTAGAAATTTAGTCAGCGGAGTTTCGAGCGCTATGTCGGCCCCGGGGCCTCGGGGCCAGTAAATAACAAAGATGATATGCCAAGATGAAGTCGAGACGCAGACATAGATCATGGATCATAGATATGTAGGCTGCAACACGTGTTTGGCAAATTGTATCAAGATTGAGAAGAGCTAAGAGGAAGTTCATGAGCCGTCGATCTTTTATGCCACGGGACCCACCCTGCTGGAGCTAGACATTGCTTGATCCAGTCAGACTTCCTCAGTCCAGCCCCAACCCCCAATTCCTTCAGCGCTGACGACGACTGTGATGTCTATTCCTTGGGATCCGCCACTCTAGTTTTGCCCTGGAACAAGGACATCTGTCTATTCACAGCCTATGCCATCGGTGACTGAGCATCCGCGGATGTTCCATTTTCAACTGTTGAAAAAAAGCCCAATTTTGAGTCGCACTGGTTCTTGGATTGGGCACGCTACTAAGACCTTCATTGAGAACAACCAGGAGGCCCATATCGCCGATCCGTTGGTGACCATTGGCCCTCACTTATCAATCAGTGGCTCCGCCAATCTATTCCCCAATGCATAACGTTCGAATCCACTTTATCCCGTGGATACTTGGAAATTCTCTGACACAGACTGTATCAGCCTCGATAGACGCCCTGTGGCAAATCCAACGTGAAACGAAGGAACTGCCACGCTGTGACAGAAATTGCTTCATGGGGCGGAAATGATGAGATGCTGATGCGGCCCCCAGCCATTATGGTGTGAGGCCATGATGTGCTCAGGCACGCCAAAGAGGGGCTAATTGGTACAATGCAGACAACCCTGGATGCAGGGTTCGCAGGGAAACAAGCTTAACGGATTTCTTTCTCAAAGCATTCATCGGCCGGCCCCGTTTTCTTCTCCTGGAGCACCGTCTGCATTGGGCAGGTCCTACGAACGACATCGAAGCCCTAGGATGTGATACGGGCAGACTATCACGGCAGATCATTGATATACACGGAATAGGATCGTCGCCCTATTTTCTGGTACCTGCCTTTGGCGCCTGCAGCCTAACCGAGCTGTCGATACCTGCCCTGTTGAAGGATCCAGGGACCACTTTTTCACCTCTTCCACGTTGGCTGGGCTATCGGTTCCTGCAACGCCTTGGAAAATACCTCAGCCCCAGGCACCGCAATTGCCGGGTACCTGCTGGCCCCCATCCCTGGCGCTGTCCCTGACAACCCTAAGGTCCCTGAAGGTGAAGATCGTCAATACCCACTTGGATTGTTTGGTGGATGGTCTAGCCTGTCCATCTGGCCAGCCTTCTAGGGCAATAGAACTGAAGTCATGGCCTGATCACGGAATCCACATTGGCATGAGGACCCAATGCTCCCAGATCAATCCTGATACAGCGGCCAGTCGTATAAAGACTGCTCCATTCCTCCAAACCAGACCTTCCCTTCTTCTTCGAACTATCAGTCTTGCTTTTGATATATCTATCCCATATATCAAAGCCTGTTTCGCAATCTATACACCTCCATTCTTTACTTGTTTCATAGATTTATAAACACCAATCTTTCACAATGAAATACACCGGCTTCGCCGCTATGGGCTTGATGGGCTGCGCCCTCGCCCTGCCCCAGGGTCCTCCCGCTCCTTTCCCCGGTTCCCCCAGTGACGCTCCCACTCCAACTGGCCCTCCCCCAACCGGCTTCCCGACCTCCTCGGCGACCTCTTCGGCGACCTCTTCGGCGATCTCCTCGGCGACTCCCTCGGGCCCCCCTCCCAGCGGCACCCCCACCCCCGTCGCCTTCCAGAAACGCGACGGCTTCCCCGACCTGCTAGGCGAGATCTCCTCCAGCCTGCCCTTCACTCTCCCCGTCGCGAAGCGTCAGGAGCAGCCAACCGGTACCCCAAGCGGTAACCCCAGCAGCACCCTTAGTGTTACCCTTTCTCCAACCGGAAGCCCCTCCGCCCCGGCCGGCCAGGGCTTCGGCGGCTTCCCCTTCGGCAAGCGCCAGTTCCCTGAGCCTAGCAGCTTCTCGACTCCCTCGAGCTCGGCCCCTACTCCCTCAGGCACCCCCTCAGGCACTCCCCCTCCTCCCTTCCCCACCGACGCTCCCAGCGGCTTCGAGAAGCGCCAGTTCTTCCCTACCCCATCGGGTCCCACCCCCAGCGGCTCTTCCTCAAGTGGCACCCCTACCGCTACCCCCACCGGCCCCCCTCCCTCGGGCTTTCCCCTCCCCCCTCAGTAAATCTTTCACATTCCTGAGCGGCTCAGCGGCACTTCTCCATCTACGCGTGTAGAGCTTGCAGCATGTGCGTCTGATATTATTTGATGCCATCTGTGGACGTCTCGCGCGCCTCTTGTACATATCTCATGCTTACGTTTATGTGCGAGGACTCGTTGATGGTGATGGTATCTTTCTTTTTTGACGTACATACTGGGATTGAGTGACTCAGTGCCCGGTACTGTATACTGTATTGCTTATGGGCTACGGGTTACGGGTTATAGATTGGGTTGAATGCTTTTTTTTTTTTTTTTCTGTTTCTGTTGCTAGAATTAAATTCTACTTTACCTTCCAGATTGGAATACACTCGCTTTTATATTTTGAAGTATTGGGTTCTTGTAGCTTGTTTCATCACTTCAAGTGCTTGAATATAAACTCCAAATAAGCCGATGCGACCAACTTGACCGCTGATAATCCTGCTATGCAAAACATCGAATTGATTAGGATGTTTGCGCAGCTAGTACTCTTGTTGACATAGAAGACACGATTCCAATTTCAAGAAGCAGGTTCACCTGCTCATATGCACAATTTGTCGCTATTCAAATGTTTTAACGGGGCTCTATGACCCTGGAGCTGCAGCCCTGCTATGGCTTAGATCGTGAGATCTATATCTGCAACCACTCAGGTCAAGCACGAGGTCTGATATATCAAGATACAACCCCAAAAGAGAATTCACCAAAATTTTGTTAAATGAGCTTTGGCAGGATATGCCGAGACAGTGAACCAGGCAGATAAGGAACATGTCCTTTTCTTTTTTTACGAGATTATCCCCGACGGTAGTGGATTGGTCAGTAAGCAGCCAATCTGGATGAGGATACAGCAGTGACTACATTGGATGTGCCCCTTGTATTAACGCTGGCTGAGATGATGACTGCTCTGGCTATTGTAAGTTGCTATTTTAGGGAAACACAACACCAAAGACAGCGATCAGTATGGAGTATCCGATAATGCTGACGGTTGAAAGGTTATCAATTTCGAAGGAAATGTCATCGCCACACTTACCGCTACGTACGAATAGCCAGCGAAATCCGATCGTCCTCAAGACCGAAATACCAAGGCCTTCCAATTTTTGCCGTCACCGTATGATTAAAATCTTTTCGCTTTTCGTGTTTGCTTCGGATGCATCCAGTATCATGGTTCGTTTTCAACTGAGGATTGCAGAGTTGTTACTCTCAAATTTCAAGGTAGCCAACGTGTATGCGATTCATGCTTGTCCTTTAAATTCTTATCTTACGCATGTGTTGCCAATTTTCCAATGTGGCTCAAAAAGTTCGCCGCTGCATTGCTGTACGGTGTAGCCTCGAGCGTTTGCTTTTAGCTACCCATCCAAACAATTCGTCACCTAGGCTCTTGCATGGAAGCCTTAACGGATTTGGGAGCAATGAGCTTACCACTGCTTTTGCGACAAGCACCATTTCTTGATTCGGGGCTGAAATTCCGACATGTGCTATCTTTGTTCGAGTGGCTGCTTGCACGAATCTGTCGGAAGACAAACTTCGGACACCAAAATGAAAATAATGAGTATCAAAAAGCGTATTGTTCCTTGATTGGATTACATTCGCTTTTCGGTTACACTTGCCTATTCATGTGTCTTGGAGATGCGCTTTGTTATTTTTCGTTTGTACGCATCATGGCACTTTTTCCACCCTGACTATATGATGACGTCGCGAAATTTCTTATCAAATACACTGTGTAGTTAAGGTATTAGAAATTTGTACGAACATATTGGAAAGGAGACTAACTTGACCAAGAGTGATAACAAAACCCCAAAGATGGAGAACGACAAATACAACATGACTGGCGGATAGGCTTTGAATGGCGTAGGGACGCGCACAACGTAACTGGCGAATCCGATGCAACTGGCGGACACAACGCAACTGGCGAACAGATACGGCTGGTGCAGTTGAACACGACAGCTGGCAAATCTACACAGGCGGTGCAGACAAAGGCATTGGCGACGCAATCACCGGGAATGCCGTGGGTGTGTTTGAAAGGTCGATACAACAGTCGGGTGTATCGTGTGACAGGAAACGTGGCATTAAGTTTCCCGGGCGGGCTGAGCCGGTAACCTTAATTGCATCTCACCCCGCAGTCTGTCGATCATTTTTTACCTCGTTGCCATGTACTTCGCGATTATTACTATTTGTTCCCCAATACAGAGAGCCTTAAGTCGAAGATAGACTGGGCATTCGAAAGTCTCCAAGGACAGCATTCCCTCCAAATACGGTCAAAGCTTTAACGTGACCGCATTTCCAGAGCCCGAGCTTCCTGCATTCCACCTACTCTGTCCCTCTTCTTACTCGAGCAGATCTCTCTTAGGTACCAAAGCAAGGCACTCGATAATAGGACAATTTGAGGAGAATGGCTAGCTGTTTGATTACTCCAGTCAGCAAGCGGGCTTGCACGAATCTGATTGGACCTGGTACGCATGCTCTCTCCCCGCTGGAGTTGCATGGAAATATGCTGGGGCTGGGTCACTCGCCCCAATTGGTAGTGTATGTTCTGCTGGGATCATGGACTGTCCATGCTGATAGAACTGAATCAATAGGTAGATTGACCTGCCGGGATAGGTGGAACAGACTCGACCAGGGATTAGCCAGTGCGCGTTCTAACCGCACGAAGACACAGGGAGAAGAATGACTAAAGTGGAAAGTTTACTCAGGATGCTCCTCGGAGGTCAAATCCCGTGAGCACTAGCCTTGATGGCCAGGACACCGGGGAGAAGCTCAATAACATAGGTAGCAGGAACAAAACATGGTTGCTTGGTGCTATCATTCTCGAACTCACACGTTTAACAGGCGGACTTATTCGTCAATCCACACTACCTACGCACATTCAATAAGAGCCTGTACAGATTGATTACATCTGATAGTGGACACCGTAAGCGTAGGTCCTCTTCTCCTAGCTGCCTCGGAGATCGAGAAGAAATGACGGTGGAAAGTTTAACTCCTCTCGGGATGACGCTTTTGGGAAAATTGAGCAAATCAGCCCGTTGTCTACACATGAGAAGAGGAATATTAAAGCAAAGGCTCAATAATTAAGAAGGACCACGATTAGTGCCGTACGCTGGCTAAGCGAGAGCCTGATTCATTGACAGGGCTAACCGTTGAGCCCTCAGTTCGTTCCGTCTTAGGAAATCGAATAGAGCAGCGCACGTGCTCGAAAACATCTCGTATAAATCAGTGGCTCCTCGCCCTTCTTCTCATTTTCTTTTATCTTCTTCTTTTAATTTTCCAAAACACGTTTTCCTCTTCGTCCTGTTTCTTTTCGGGGACCTCCAAAACATTACATCCAATCAAACAGTTCTTTCTATCTAACAGCCACCATGCCTTCCAAGGCACCCTCGAAGGCACCCGCGACCCCCCAGGGGTCCACCCCCAAAACCGCGAAGGTCGTCCGCTCCGCCGTGAGCAAGTCGACGCCCATCAAGGCCTCGACGGACGCCGGTCCCTCTGACCGGGACATTGCGTTCCTGCTGAACTGCATCAAGTTCAGCCACAACGACGTAAGTTCACTTTGGGATATCAACTGAAATTACGGCTGACGTTTCTTTTTATAGGTGGACTACAAGAGGGTGGCCGATGCCCTCGACATGAATGTCCCGGCTGTCCGCATGCGCTACAGCCGGATCCGCGCCAAGATGGATGGCCAGGACGCCGGGAGCACTGGCGGCAAGGCCGCTAACTCAGGCAGCATGGGCGCAAAGGGGGCCAGCAAGTAGAGAGTTCGTGGGCGAGCAGCAGTGAGTAGGGTTCAAACCCCCTCACAAGATGCGTAGGCAGCAACAAAGAGAGACAATCAAATCGAATCAATTAAGATAGTATAGGGATTCTTCTGTTTTCCGCGAGATTTTGCCTAGTCTACGTATAAATAGCGTCTAGAGTGCAGATATTTCGTATGTTTGTAAGCTTAAAATCTCGTAATATAAGTAATATCTAAGTCGTATCTGAGTCGTATCTGAGTCGTATCTACAATTAGATGGCTCAAGTGATAATAACGAATTCTTAGCGTTGCGTTAGTATACGCGTATTTTTGGAAGTTTTATATAAAGACTTAAATACTTATTTTACGACCGTCCCGAAAATCGTCCCGAAAACCAGTCGGCAGAGCGTCCTAAAAACTAGCTAGTCAGGGGTCCTAAAAGTGAAGCTTAGTAGTCTAAATATGGCTACCTATAGATAGACCTAACTAAATAGATTCCGGTGTTATGCGACCAAAATATTATGAATGAAAGTAAGTTTGAGCAGAAATTAGAGTCACGGTTGTTTTGTGATTTGTTTTTAACGCGTCTAGCACAGTTCATGAGGCCCATGTAAGTGAACAGCTATACCAGACTTTTAGCCGATTCGGAACTAATCTAGTTTTCATCACAAACTTTTATCTTATCTAACGTTAACGTTAATACTTACCAACACTTCGAAAGTGGGGCGCCCTACTATGGGCACCTCTTTCTACCTAAGCAAAGAACGAATCATCGATCCTATATCAAATTGGTCTTTGGTATAAGGGTCAGTTATTGATCATATTATAAATGCCCACAAAACCTTTCCCTAAAATTTCTTAAATGCTGCTTTACTTAAATCAAGCTCAAGTAGCAGCAATATAAGTGTTTACTAGAAAAATTTGCAACAAGCTCGGTCGCTCACTTAAGGCTGTTAATCCGTACTCCTTAGGTACCTCGCACTCAAATATTGATGGTCTTCTAAAGGAGGTGAGCTTATTTCTAGACATTCTTATTAATATAGCACTGCTGACAAAGTATGAAGGGTCAGGGACGTAGTGAAGGAATAGTGCATGATTCTTTCACAGCAGAGGTATTCGAGCTTAAGGCTACCAATACCCACGTAGAAGTGAAATTGGAACGCACTCGTTCTCGAGTAAATAACTGTCCACGCTCCGGGCTGAGGCCTATGAACTCCACCACGAGATACAAATTTTTGAGACGCAAAATAAGAACCTGCGGGATGAGCTAGCGCAAAAGAGAATGGGCATCCCTCGAGTAATACAGGCATTGAATTTGTTATAAACAGAGGGAATCAAGATCGCGCTTGACACCCACGACAGCCAATCATCAGCTGTTACTATCTACGCTGTAGGAAGCGAGGTCTAAGCTTGACTGGAGAGTACGCGACAGAGATCACCGAATATTCTATTTGTCGTGCATTAGGCGCCGTATGGCGTGTATACTCCCAGTGATACGTGCACAGTTTGACACCAGCTTCATCTAGATTCAAGTCGTCGTGGAGGTTGTAGCAATGCATATGTAGCAAAAGATGGAGAAGGAGGGCCGCCAGCGAATAAGTAATAGAAGTCATCGAGCCGGGTGCCTGACGAACACAATTCTCCGAACGATATATACCGAGGCCAATGACGTATGTGTAGCTTATAAGGATAATTATAATATGCATTGTTGGATTCAGTGGCTCATGTTTTCACTTATGATCGCTATGTTGTATTTCAAATTTCCACTCAATGAGGAATTCGGCCCATTAAGGGCAGGAGTGATAGTCAACTGCGTCCAATCAATGATAAATCTGGACTTTTCAATTTCTAGTTGCGACACTACACTTTCTCCTAGAAAAGCTAAGTGAAAAGATCCCCGGTCATCGTCCGATATTCTGCTATCTCGGTCCAAATCCGACTTGCATTCCAAATACTGCACGAAGCTCGTAGCCACACGCCCCCGATCGCCCATCAAACCACAGATAGGGGTTGAATGATCACCCTGTCTCGTGACATATCGCCGAGGCCCTCATCGCGGTACCATGATTTTTTAAAATCCAGTCGTGTCTATGTCATGGTTGGACGCTTGATGAATACATAACTTGCTAGCAAGAAAGGCCTTTCATGGGTGCCCCAGTGACAAGGACACAATCATCAATGATACTTCTTAATCGAAACTCAAGCCTAACCTCAAATAACGGCTTGTTAAAGAATCCAACATATGCGAACAGGTATTCCAGAATTATGACATTTGGGAAAGAACGCCGCAGATTTTTATGCTCGACCTACGGAGAGTCGTGGAAGCTGGCGGTACTCACAAAATAAAGTATTTGATAGATAATATTGAGCACTGGGGCTTTTGGGTGGTATTTAAGGCCCAGTGAACCTTTCTATCACGAGGTAGCGTTGTATGCATCAACGTACATCTTTGTGCGGCCTTGTTGCTCGCATACTCCACAATCAAGCGGCAGGCGTTCTGTGCGTTCACGCTAACGCCCAGTACTCAGTGTTTTGGGTTTATGATCCTGGTTTCGGCACAACCTTCGTGCTTCAACCCTTGAAATAATATATAACTTGAATTTTCCCCTGGTAGCATCTTGTTGGGGGCTTAAGGCTTTGTCTGTATGCAGGAACATTCTTTTGTGAGCTCTAGATCTCGCCTCTCTTCTCTATCCCTCTTTGATACCTCCAGAGTCGATCTCGGTCAAAAATGCCTGTTCGTTGTATGCTTCTCCATGCTTCTCCACTAGTAAAGCTAGGGATTTGATAATTCCCACTACAATGACATGCAAAATTCATTTTCTATCTAGGCCAGCTGCCCTAAATTCATGCATTACACATGCTCAATGGTTGGATCACTCCCTCCAGGAACTGCTGCGCAAAGACGGCATCCCCGGCGTCATCAGTTGGAAGGCTGGAATCGAGAAGCTTTCTCACCGTCTCTTGGTACAAAGTTCCCATCCTCCATCCGAGATCTTCTACAACGTTGTTAATCATATAGTCCCGCCATGCCTTTCGACTCGTCAGCTTCTTCCTCCTGCGCTCGTTAACGCTGTCGGCAACAAGGGCCCATCGCCCAATTTCACACAACACAACGCCCAGACTATAAAGATCACGTTGTTTCGAGAACCCTAGATGCGCATCAGGGTGGTAGTAATGGTCTAGTGCACGGTTTTCGAGGGGTCCACGAGATAATGAAATTCCATCCTGAGGCCGGGAACATTGGAAGCCCGTGATGAACGGCTCGAGCACAGTGATACCAAGGCCGTTGGTACGTTCGAGGAAGTGGATATTACCGCAATGCATGCCCTTGTGCAGCCAACCCGCTGCATGGAAAAGGCTGAAGGCATTTGCAAGACGATATGCCAAGCGAAAGCGGTCTCCGAGATGTGGTATTGCAGCGCTTTTGTCTCCCTGGATGAGAGTCTTCAGGTTTCGCGGGGGATGGAGCTGGAGGTTGGCTTCATATTGAATGTTGAGAGATGGGTCGGATTGTGGTAGTCCAAACACAAAACCCAGGCGTTTGGATCCGTGCTCTGTCTCATATTGGAGGTCATCATACACCCCGTAACAAGGGGGTAGACAAAGCTCCGACTGACTGACTCGTTCTAGGACATATCCCAGCGATTTGATGCGCGTAGCATATCTATCAGATCCAGGTCCGGCATCGAAATAAGTCCACTCGACCCAGATGGGTAGCTCTTGGCCATTACGATGGAAGAAAATACCAATGACTGATGAGTCTGCTCGGAACTCCAACTCCCGACCAGTTATTGCGGTTGCTGACCCCGTAGATCCTCGTTCAAGCCCTTGATTAAGAGTCTTTGCTCGAGCAGATAGGGCCAAAGTGCGATTTACTTCATTTTGAGGGTCGGACAGAATATCCAATAGTTTGTGATCGGTAATTGGGGCGAGAACTTGAGGCGGAAGCCCTTTTTCCGCAAGCTGTGATTCTCCGGGATATACATTAAGCTCGTGGAGATCACTGACGAGCCTCGTGAGCTTTGTGACAACTTCCTGAAAAACAGACTTCCCCTTTATTGTCCAGCGAATCCGGGACTTGGGTTTCGTGGTTTTCCTGGACAACGCTACTGGCAGGGCCCGATCGGGGGCAAGATTATCATCCACTGTGAGCGCTGGGAGGGGCACCAAATCAATATTGTACTTCGAAATCACGCTGTTAGCCTCCTGGTTGAGTTTCCGAATTTCACCCAGGATCCGGACAATCAGCACTTTCAAGTATTCCGGTTTGTCGCGAAGTGTGCATTGTTCGGATTGCGATTCATCATTCACTCTGCATAGGTCTCCCCATAGCTGTAAACGCGCCCTTTGAGTGTGATAACATAACGCTAGATATCCACAATCTGTTTGACTGTCGTCGAAAAAAGACTCGATCATCAGCGCGGTGTCGATAGCCCCCTTGAATGCGACCACGACGCCGACAACCCCTAGCACGAGCCCGGGGATCTCGAGACCTGACATAGTGGGCTTCCTCACGATGACGCGACACAGCACAGGCAATAAAACAGGCGAGGACAAGCAAAAAGAGCATCAATGTGAACTAATGATGTACCCCTCTCTTGCTTACGCCGTATTTTCAGCCCCAGGTCAGGCAGAAAACACTGCAGACGAATCAGAAATCCCGAAGCCGCTAGTGTTGGCTCTTCAGAACCCGGCGTTCTTGTCCAGTCGACGGTAACATTTTCATGACACTACGCGCATAACTCCCTTTCCGGTTCGGTTCACAAAGAGGCTCCACCGATAATGGACCGTTCAGGCAGATTATTCTCATCCAGCTTCAGCACCTTTATTACCGAAACACAAGAAACACCTGCGTCTGCTCTACCAGGCGAGGGATCCCAGCATTACTGGAATCTCGCAAGCGATGATGTCTCACAAAACCTTCAAAAGGCGGCACGGGCGGACCCTGATTTTGCAGACGTTGTTTGCGCTGCTTCTGTCTATAAAATAAAACACAAGACAATAGACAACATCGGCGTCGGAGACCCGAATACTAGCAGACAGACGTTTTCCATAGGAGCTGGGCTGACTTCAGAGGTCGTGCAGCATATGCTGATTGACGAGGCGTCTAAGCTCGATCCCCCTCCGGCCACGACCATCGCGCTTAAGATTTTCCGATCTGCGAAACAGGGCAGCCCCAGTGAGGCCAGAGCAGCGCGACAGAAAGTTTATGACTCAATACTGAGGGAGATGAAAGCTTTTGGTCACCCCAGTCTTTCCAACCACCCGCATGTTCTGAAGCTCTTGTTTGTTGGGTGGAACAGCAACTATGCATATCCCTTTCTTGCTATGGAGCTTGGGGACCACGGCTCTCTTGATCACATTCTTCGCACCCGCGGGCCTGGCCCAACCACACGACAGAAGCGTAATCTCACTATTGATATCGCACTCGGTCTCCAGGCTATTCATAAGGCTGGTTTTATCCATGGAGACCTCAAACCAGACAATATCATCGTATTTAGTAGCGATGATCCGGCGCGTCAAATCAGTGCGAAATTGTCGGACTTCGGAGGAAGCAATGAGATTTATGGAGAACGTGACGGCGCCCCTACACATTTCACTCCTCTTTGGTCGGCTCCGGAAGTTCTCGCCAAGCGCTCAAAGATCTACTGGGATAGAGCAGACGTTTACTCGTACGGGCTGGTCGTGGCCAGCTTATGGGCTAACCCGAGGGGCAGTGAAGAGGATAGCGAGGGGAAAGACCATGGTGATGATTATGCGGGGTCACGGTCACCAAGTAGAACCATGCTCCGGAGCTCCAGTGTACTTTTCGGTTCTGTGCCGTTGCCCTCCGGCGAAGGGCTGTCCTCCAATGAGGATCTCTCATCCGACGAAGATCAGTCGTCCCTTGAAGATCAGGCATCTAACGAAGATCTATCCACCGAAGATGAGACTCCATCTGACGAAGAAACCCCATCCGAAGAGGATATAGAGGGTCTGAGATATATAAAATGTTTACCGGAAAGCAATCCGGAAAGCCTCATGTCGGTGCTTGCAATTCTAATCACAAGAAAATCGCTTCCGGCAGATATCAACCCCAGTGAAGTATTCGCCATTCTCACGCCAACATTGAGAACCAACTGGTGGGAGCGACCGGAAATGGATGATTTCATGGTGGTCATATCGGAATTTGCCAATGCCATTGGGCGCGTGGTTGAACCGTAAGTAACCAGACCCAATTGTTGTTTACTGCGCAAGACAACACCTGCGGGAGAATATGGCTGACATTACGACAGCCTTGTCGAGCGTGTGTACTCAGAGGCAAGCAAGCAGAGCCAGATTGATATGTATCGGTCTAATGTCGATTATCAGACCTATGAGCCAAAGCCCCTTCGCCCCTCCGCCCTCAATAGAGATATTGAATCATGTTTAGTGTTTACTGACCACCGAGACATCATGATGAGTCACGTATTTCGTGCCCTCGACGATATAGACGATAGAGTGAAGTATACGCCCCATCCAGAAGACATTCCAGACCACTTCCCTGAAGATTTCTCCACGGACCAGTTTCTAGCGAGCTTGCTGGCGATTACTAATACCAATCTGAGACATCTCTACGCCGCAATAGAAAGTAATTCAAGAGATGATATATGGTCTGGGGCGCTTGACTTTATCAAGAAGGGGTGTTTTTTGCGCGATCTAGGTTTGGCTGGCGTGTATGGTCTGGAGCCGGGTATGGCGCTAGACTTCAATAAGCGCAGTTTTGAATACATACGAACATCGGCTCTGTACGAAAATGATACTGCAATTATCACCGCGACCTTTGCGTTGTCTGCTGGGAGTGTCATCCAGGAATCGGAGATTCCAATCCGGTTAAACCTAGTGTTGCTCTCTCTTTCGCATTCATCGCTGGCAATGAGGCGTCTACATTCCAACTGGCCCAGCTTATATGCCATTGTTCGCAAGGTAATGCGAGAAAGGGGCTTGAGTTGCCTTACGGAAGCGAAGGAAATATCTCCAGGCCTGCACGCGAGCCAGCGACTACTTAGAGCTTACATCAACGCTGTGCCGCTCGATTCCTCGCAATTAGCGCCACTCAGTCTCAGTGACTCTTTGGAGATCGGCGCTACCGAAACGATTATTGAGATAATCGAGGACAACGATCATCCTGTTCCAGCAGATCAGGAACAGTCAATGCGGAATCTGTTCCATAAGCTTGGCAAGATCCCAGATGTTAAAGCTGCCGCACTTGCTCGGGCTGCGTACGAAAGAGGTGCCAGCCTTGAATGTCCTTCAAAAATAGATTATGACGATCTGCCGAATTCTGGCACCTTTCAATTTTTCAGCACCCCTTTGTGCGCCGCCCTTGGAAGAGGACAACCATTGCTCGCCTTCGAAATATTTTGCCTCCACGTCGAGTTCGATGTCCCTATAAAGCAATTTGCATTTGCGATACATGTAAGTTTTGCAAATCTTTACCCAGTGGTTGGGCTGGCTCTGGTCAGGTTGTTCCAAGATAACCCCTCCATGTGCCTTGATCTTGATGATGGCACGATTCGATGGGGAAAGGTGAACGGGGACTTTATGAGACTTGGACTCCCACAAAGCTTGGCTGCGCCCATCCTGATGCAAGGCAAATGGATGTCACTCATGCTGCATGGAGGAGAATATCGAACGGCTCAAAGTAACACTCTCAATCTTTTGCTAGATGAGGGGGCGGATCCCGCATTGGGTCTGTCCACCTACACACCACTGGGCCTTTCCATAGTCTCGGATGACATCAATGCATTAGAGACATTCCTCGACCGTATGGAAATGGCTACCTACAACAAAGGTCGCAAGACTGTGGATAATGTCCTTCTAGCTTCTTTGAATGACCCTTGCAACCTAGCGCGGTTTCAAGAGCAACACCTAGGCTCAGAGATTGACTGGGAGTATATGCACACTGCTCTGGCTCTGTGTATAAGGCATGCCTCACTCAGCTGCTTTGAGCTCGTCCTCAAAAAGGTTCCCAGTCTTGTGAACACGGAAAGGGATGCTGTCGGAAGAACTCTGCTGCACAGGGCGTGCTCCGGGGTTGAAAGAGGCATCCCTAGTATGGAGGGTCATTCTAATATTAAGCTTCCTGTGTTTATGGAACTGATCGCACGAGCCGGCCGTGTGGGCGGTCCCGGTTTGGAGTTTATTGAGTTGTTATTGATGGCTGGAGCAGATGTCATGGCGATAGATAGCATGAATAACTCGCCACTCTACTGGGCTTTGCGGCGGGTTAACATCCCCGCGGCGGATATGATAGCGTCGTATTGCTCTCAGGACCAACTGAAACGTCTGTTAGGACGCGATCCACACACTGGCGACTCGATATTCGCAGCTTTGATTGAAACGGACATCGACCACCCCATGTCTGGCAGTCGGAGAGAACCAAAATTAGTTACGAGTCTCCAGTGGCTTCAGGAGCGAGGAGGGCTACACTTCTACGGCCCAGGGAACGAGGCTGTCTGGAACACGATTCTGACAAGTCAGCGGACTCTGCGAATCCATCAGTTGATGGACGCCACTTTGATGGAATATCTGATCGATCTGCCTGTATTCGCGGAAAAGCTCCATACAGAGCGATACGAAGGCTTTTCAATGCTGCATCTTGCTGTCATGCATAGTAACGTGGATATTGTTCGCCTGATGCTCGCTAGGCAATGCGATCCTAATGTCGCTTCCACGACCGAGCTCCCAGTCCCCTATGGCGCAACACCCCTCGACATGATTGGTCTCAGTCTTTTGCTAGGGAGCCAAATGCCCACAATGGACACGGCTAGCCACGCTGCATTCATAAAGCGACATGACGCAATGCTAGATATTGCCAATATGCTTCTGGAGAAAGGTGCTCAGGGCACGGCATTTGAGGCGCTTCAAAAAATGACAAGTGTTCTCAAAGGCGGCGAAAGAGAGTGGGAGAGCTTGCTTGAAAAGTCCAGACATCAACATAAACAAGGCGGATCTCTTAAACAGGATAATATAATGGGAGCTTGGCCGATTTCACTACCATCTGAGGACCATACTGCTGGTATACCCAGCGGTGCGCCTAGCACCACTGTGTTGTTTGACCCAGTGACGGACGCTTACCTCACAAATGAGATCCTCGAAAGGGCTTTTGATCGTCTCATTGAAAGACGCCACGGAGAATTGGAATCTTCAAAGCGGAAATTACTTCTTGAACAACTTCATGTGGAATTTGTTCGAGATCGAGCCCCCGCAGGAGGCAGTGAGGCAGCATCAGTAGCCTGAGTGAAGCCTCCAGGGTTGGATAGGGTGTAGAACCTCTTTTTCATAGCAGTGCCCCCACCTCCTTCTCTCTCTCTCGCGCTCTCTGGAGTTCATCGCCTAATGCAGATACATGGCTGTTTCCCCGAAGACATCTTTTTGACTAGTCCACAACACTACCTATATTTAGTGCGGTGCTACTGTGAAGTTACAAGATAATCATCTTACTCCCCCCACTACCGATCCTCCATCCAACAAAGTCTCCGCGCAATAATGAATGTAGTGAGCTTCAGTGTTGATATCAATTAAAATTATTACGACAGAAGATACTCAATAAAGCTCGCTTTCCTATCACTTATATCCACGTCTTTCTAGCCATTCTCGCCCACTCCATCCTGGGGGCGGGGCCTTGGGCAGCTGTCCTCCCCTGGAAGTGATCATTTCCTGCAAAGCCACCCCAATTTGATCCGGGGTAACCGCCAATACATCGTTGTCATCCGCCGCGCTCAAGGCCATGCGGTAAATGCGCGTACCCAGCGTATGAATATCGCGTGCATTTCCCCATCCTTTCAAACTAGATAAAATAGCAAAATGTTCGAACAATCCCTCGTGACTTCCTTCTTTGATGATTCCCAGTGCCGAAACATCCAATTCTTGCTTCTGCATTACCCGCACCAGAAGCTGGATGCACTGTGTTGGGTTGAGGCTTGTAAAGGTCATCGTGCGGTTGAATCGGCTCCGCAAGCCCGGATTCGAGTTTATAAACTCGTCCATCTCCCGACTATAACCGGCAAGAATAATGACCATTTTTTGCTGAAACATGGGGCTGGTGAGCGCACCGACAATTTCTGCAACTGCATCCCGCGAGAAGGAGTTGTCGGATTTCAATCCGTCGTTGAGACGATATGCTTCGTCGATAAGTAGGACCTTGCCAATCGCCCTCTTTAGTAGACGTATGATTTTAGGACCCGTATGTCCGACATATTCGCCGATAATATCGCTGACCGAACACTCGATTACCTCGTCGCTAGCAAGAAGTCCCATATGGTAAAATACCTGGCCCATCTTTCGCGCTGTGGATGTCTTGCCGGTCCCTAGGGTCCGGTCAAAATGGGCTGGCTTGAGGGAATGATAAGACATACCTGGATCACCTCGAAATATATAATTGAAGGAAATGTAGTCTTTGGGGTCGATCCCCCGTGCGATGGCTTTCCTTACAATCTTTGTATCATCAAGTAACTCGGAAATGACAGTTTCACAACCAACAACATCGTGAAATAGCTTCTTGCATTCCTCTTCAGCGTCAACGTGACGTTTCCAATCCTTAGAAAAGTCTTCTGGCTCAAGAACTGTTGTGTCTGCATCTGGGCGATCGAAACATCGTTTATCCATTGAAAAGTAGGCTTTGTGTAGGAGTGTGTCCACCTCGCTCGCATTTCCAAATCTGGGAGAAGCCATTGAATGCGCTAGCACCGCTAAGGCAGCACACTTTGCATCGGACGATGCACGAATGGAAGCTGATTCGAGCCGTTTCTCCAAAATCCGCTCCAACTGAGATATTGAAAGGCCTGGGAACCGGAATGCGGAATCCAGAGGGAACCTGGTGGAGAGGCCTGGGCTGACTTGGTCAAACATGTTCTGTATCTCATCCTCATATCCAACAAGCAGCACCATTACATTGGCACTCCCAGAGGATGAAACACGGGCGATAATCGCGTCGATCGCAGTTCGATGCCAACGATCGGTGTCCGATTTGGATCCACCCCAGAGCCCGTGAGCATCATCTATAATCAAAACCTTGCCCTCTGAATCTGCTAACTTTGTATTAGGATCCGATGAGCCCACAATTTGTGAAGCATTCAGTTCAAGTACTGTATAAGAGAAACTTTCAGTGACATGCTTTTATAACATGTACGGAAAGTTGAGGGACCTGCTTACCAGAATCCTCCTTGACAAAGCCTAAACGATGTAAGATTTGGGCATAGAGCCTTGCAACTGTCGTCTTTCCAGTCCCTGAAGGCCCTACGAACACGCCTGTATGGGGTATTGGGCGCGGAGTCAACCCGTTCTTCTTGCGCGAACGATTATCGATTGCTCGACGGTGTAGCATACGAATTCGCTCCTTGATATCTTCAAGGCCAACCATATGGTCCAAAGTTCTCCAAGCTTCCATGTTCTCGAGAGTCATATCTTCACTCTCACTTTCACCACTATCCTTGTCCGGGGAGGGTTCCTTCTCAGTATCCCCAACCGCAAATATTTGGTTCAACTTTCGGACTGCTTCAGGGCCTTGAAAAGTGAACCTAGTGCTGGCATTAGAGCCATCCGGCTTTTGTTCCTTGCTCTCGTCCTTGTCATCATCCTCATTTTCTTTCTTGCCTCCGTCCTTTTTTCCGTCCTCCTCCTCATCGCTGTCCTCGTCGCTTTTTTCGTCGCTTTCCCGATCACTCTCCCCGTCCATGTCTCTTCCCGCGCCCACGTCGCTGTCCGCATCGCTGTCCGCATCGCTGTCCGCATCGCTGTCCTTCCCGCTCTGCTTCTTGTTGTCAAATATTCGGTCACCTTTATGGTAACGGCGCCGGTGAGTATGCCGGCGACTCTCACTCTTATGGTCAGCTTCGCTGTCAATATCACCGTCACCGCCACTATCGCTTTCAGTGTCACGTTCACCGCCACTGTCAAGGTCAAGGTCAAGATCGTCAGTGGTCGTGGATTCCGTTATGTCAAAAGAGCCATCCACCACTCCAGCCGGTGGTACCTCGACCGAAGGTAGGCCTCTGCCTATCAGCGTATCCCACATATTGATATCGCTGGCCATGCGAGCCGTAGACGGTTTCCCCCGCCCTCTTTTCCCAAAGCATCTCCCTCTCCGAATAAAATGAGCCTTTCGGTTGTCTCCGGCAAGATTGCCAGAAGGAACCCTTCATCGATTTGATCTGCGCCATCAACAATAGTGGTCTCGATCTGTAAGCAGGATAATTCGGACATATGCTCTGCCACTTCATCCGCAGTACAAAGATAGATACTTGGATCCAAGGGTTCAAACACGTGTACTCTCATACTCTCCTTGGCGAGAAGTTGTGTTTTCTCGTGGTGGGAGGCATCGTACTTCAGCAACCATTCTTCCACCTCTGTCCTGCTCATCTGAGCAGGATCAGCTGGCATCTTCCCAAATTCCTCTCGATAAGTGCTCCCGGGAAGACTACCGGAATTCACCTCCTCGTCGTTTGGCAGGGAATCAGCCAAAAAGGGATTTGCCTCTTTATCAATATCCGGGGGGTTACTTGAGGTCTGCTGTCGGTGGGGTAGCAACCCAAGTAGCTCAACCATCGAACTACCAGACTTTGGTTCTGTATCTCTCTCGAGGTCCGTAGGCTCAAGGTCCGTGGGCTTATTCGAGGTCTGGTCTCGCTGGGGTACCAAACCTAGTATCTCAATCATCGAACTGCCGATTTCTGGCTCTGGGTTTGTGTCCTTATCTTGATTCATCGTCGATTCGGAAAGACCATAGGTTTTTAAACGTGAGGAGTCATCTATTCCAATGTTCCCAAAGCTGTTCGATAAACCGAAAACCCGCGATAACCTAAAGATGGCATCTCTGGGCACATCTAGGGCATGTAGACCCACTAGCATGTCGCGCAGTTTTTTCTGGGATGAAAGAATTACAAGTATTCTCTCACTAGCAAACCGAAACGAAGACTCCGCAATGATTTTGCTCAAAGGAAATGGTCGAACACCTTATAATGCAGAGTTAATTGCCTGCTAACTCAAACTCGGGATAGCGCATACCTGCTGTTTGCCTGTAGAGGGTAAGCCGCCTATTGAATGCCGGCATGCATGCCCAAATTCCTTCCTGTAATGTGAGACTGAAGTCGCTATAAAAGGAACGCAACTTCAACAACTCATACAATAATTCGAACTCGTCCGCCAGTAAATGTTCAGAAAGCTGATTCAGCTCTGGTTTGAATACCGGCCCAGGGGGTGTCCGGCTGTACAGGAGTAACTCCTCCCTTAGTGGTAAATCGAATCTCTTCTGCAGCCACTCAAGAATGCACAAGAGCTTCCATGAAGCAGTCCCAAGGCGAATATATCGTATCGTGTTTTCTGGAATTTGGCGTTTCATCCGACGCATATTAAACGACATGTTGGAAGTGGTATTCGATGGAATATGAATCACATCGCTTACCCGCCCCATTCCCGTTTTACATCGTCTTGCTATTGCTAGTACCTGATTCTTGGATGCCACGAGGCAAAGGCAGTTGTCCGGGTCGTCGGCCTCGTCCTCCGAATCAGGCTCCTCGCTATCCGATTGTTCATCATGGGCAGTATCTTCCTTTCCGTTGTGATTCTCATCGTCGACTTCGTTTCCATGTTCACTCTCAACCTCAGACAGGGGAGCAAAAATCAGTTCCTTTGGAGCTGTATCAATTTATAAGCGCCTAATTCCGGATCGCGGGATATGCATGGACTCACCCTCAAAACGAATGGCAAGAATCAGTCTATTGCGTAAGCGGAAAAAATGGCTTTCTAGTAGTTTTGATAAAGGATCCTGCTGAGAATTATTCGTCGCCTGTATCCTGGTCGTATGATATGCCTTGATTTCTGCAATATCTGGCAAGGCAGATATGGTACGAAAGTCTTCCAGTTCCGTAATATTCTCCACCGACTCCAGCTGTTGGGGTGAGGCGTACTGTGCGGCTGTTGACGACGATTCTGCGCCATGCGATGGCGATGCTCCATCTTCCGCGGCCATCACCGCTGCAGTGGAGAGAGAAACTTTCAAGTCGATTTGAGGCTTTGGAGACTGGTTGAGCGTGAGGACGCGGATCGAAATGACTTCGGCCTAAGGCTGAGGCTGAGGCTGAGCCCAATAATCTAATTATAGTACTCTGTTTGTACTGAGGGGGCAAGAAAAATCTTGGCTACAGACTGCGAAGCTTGAAGACACAGAAGAAGGATATTTTGCCTATTTCCATTTAACTCTCACCTAACTCTGAATCTAAGCTTATTTCCTCCAAAACTTTCCTCCAAAAGGAACCTTAGAAGTGGTGCCCAATCAGGTGGCACTTGTGCCTTAAAGACTTGGCAGCACTCCACGAAATGCATAAATAGTTGAGATGCAAGGTAAGGAACATAATGAAGCAAGTGTTAATAGCCCTGCAGACGCCACATTCTCTACATGTTGCGATAAAATTAAAATTAATCAACGGCCTGGCTGTTGCAGTCATGTTCTAGGGCACTGCGTTTATAATGACTATCCACATGCCCGCATAATGGCCATTGGTTGCATAATTTGTCTACCTGAATATAGTTTTGATTTTAATTTGTCGCTTTACGTGCATATGCGAAGGGGCATAGCGGCCAAAGCTCAAATGCCTGATTTTTCAGGATTGATAGCTTTCTTATGCCTGTTCATGCCTGATTTCGGACTGGCAATTTAACCACTCGATGATGATATAGTTATCTGCCCGAATACGGCTTGATTCACGATGGAAATATAGATCCCGACATCACCGAGCAGAGCGGCTCTTATGAGACTTTTTTTCACCGAGACCGGAAATGGCAAATACGTCCCTCGTTCGATCTTTGTCGGCCTTAACCCTTCGGTATGTAACAAGGAGCCAGATACTTGAAATGGATTGGGATAACTGACATATTGGCGGTGATATAGCCTACTGACGAGATACGTACTGGAGGGGAAATGGTACAATCCAATGATGTTCTGCCGTTGTTCAGCTGAAGGGGTCAGTGCAGTGGTCGCGCGACTTAGGTGATTCTCACCCTGTCTACAGCGGACTCATCCTTGTCACCCCCGGCCGCGCGACCCAAAGGCGGCCCTCACCCATTTCTCACCCGGGCGACACTCACCGGACTAGTGACCGCACATAAGCCACATGCAGGTAAGTTAGTAGTTAGGTGGGTGACCACTAGCGAATCCTTACTGTTGTATGTTTTTGCATTTTTGGTGGTTTTGCTTTTCTTAGTTTTGGCAGAGGAAATGATACTGTTGTCCCGTCGTTGTTTGGTTCAAAGTAGTGAAATTTGGGCAATATTGAAGAATGTGGTAAATATAGACCAAGCCTACTGGTTAATCCAGGGCTGCTGGTCGAAATCGTACGCATTACGGAAGCCACGGTTCAAATAAAGTGAAAGAGCCTCGAACTTGCTCACCCAGTCCACCGGAACTTCGATATTGCTCTGACTTTCGATAAGTCATTCACAAACTCGAGCTTTATAGGATTCCGGTACCAAGATGCAAAATGAACTGCCAAGATAAAAGAAATAACTTGTTGCTAGCATCATTCGCGGATCTTTAGTCTGGTTACTAATTAAGGCCATTGTTATTGTTCATCGAATAATTACATGGGCCTGATTAGCGACCTCAAGATAAAAAACAGAGATGCACTTGATCCACATCGTATGAAACACGGCTCCAGGATGCGTCTATACAAGTGTTATAAGAGGAATGAAAAAAAGAAAACCACGCACGAACATCTATGCTTTAAACAACGCTCTTGGTATCTAAGATCTGCACTGGGGCCGACAGAAACAGAGAGCAATGAGAAAAAGAATCATACTGCTAGAAGAAACATGCTCTGAGGGTCACAAAGACCAGATTCCATCAAATTGCAACGAAACCAATGATGACCATGGCCAAAACAAGATAGCCCTCAACTCTAGGGAGCAGAGTGGCTGCGCCATTGAATGGAGTAGCGGATGGTGAAGATGTCGATTTGCCAGCGGCCGCAGACTTTGTGGCTGAGGCTGTAGCATTGCTTGCTGCCACAATCGCATCGACTTCAACCCAAATTTCACACGCGGAATAATCGACGGTTCCAACAAAAGCGGAGTTGTCAAAGATCAACCCGGGAATAGTCAGATTTTTTCCTTGGTTCTTGAACTGAGGCCACTCAATCTCCTTGGTTGATGGTTTACCGTTTGCTGCCATTGCAGTCCACAAGTCCATCATCTGGCCGCCGAGCTTCCATTCAGCTGATGTCGAATTGCAATCCCCATCCGGGAGATACGAATTATCCAAATTGCCAAAGACAAAGGGTATTTCAGCTGTGTGAGAGGCATTGAGATAGCTGACAGTAGTATCATTCATCGTAAACAGCCAAGGGCAAGTCGAGCCATGGTTGAATTGGTATGTCCACGCGGCGATCCCTTTGCGAGTCGCCTGTGTCGCACCATACCACGCTGGGCACTTGTAGGTGGAATCGGTTATGACTTGGGTTATAGCCAAAAATATCTCGATTGAGGTCGTGCTCATCTCAGCAAAAACAGGGGAACTTTGAGCAATAAGTTCGGCTGCTGATTTGAACAAGGAGGGCGCATAGTACTTTTCAACAAGCGAGGCAGCGTTGCCGAAATTACTGCGAAGGAAGTTTTTGTATATCGATGCGGTTGGAATTTTCTGCTCTGTCTCAATCCACAGCAACGAATATACGATAGCTTCATTATAATCTTTCGGTTACTTGATTAGCAAGAGTTCACACGTGTATGATGATGAACATACTGGATCCAAAGACGGCTGGGACTTGCACTCCACGGGTGTAGGGATCCTCGGCAATGAGACTGCCGTCCACAAAGGGGTAGAAATTGTGAGTGCCCTGGCTAAGGATGCTGAGAGAACCTCCTGCTCCATAGTATCCAATTCCCTGGGTCAGGTATTTATCGTTGTGGTATGCGGTCACTATGTCAGCACGTGTCTTGGACTGGAGACAAGTTTTCTATGGGAAGATCAGCATTCGAGAACGTGTATAACAAATGAAGAGGTGTGCACTCACGTCAGTAGTGCTGCAATTGAGCATCTTAGCATATGATGCTGCAACCTTCTGCTGGGTTGAATTAACGCTAAGGCTTCTACCTCCGCCCGATTCTGAGATGAGACTGTTCATCAAAGAAGGCGCTTGAGGAAGAGAGCCGATTGCGTATACGTTCTCAGCACCGGCTGACTGGCCAAAGAAAAGAACCTTTTTCTAGAGTTGGGTACGCATGTCAGCTGTACTTCTTCGCTTTCCATTTGAGATTTGATGTAAGTTGCCATACCGGGTCTCCACCGAAGGCGGCGATGTTCTGTTGAACCCATTCCAACCCCATGATCAGGTCTTTGATTCCCTGGTTGCCATATAATGCAGCGGTCTCAAGTGCCATAAAACCGAGGGGGCCAACACGGTAGTTGACAGAAACAAGAATAGATCCTGCCTCTGCTGTGTTGCAGCCGTCGTAGAGGGGGTCTGAGATTGAACCTTCTGTTTCAGATCCACCGTATACCCATACTTTGACGGGAAGTTTGGAGTCCTTAGTGGCTGTAGACGGCGCCCAAACGTCCAAATAAAGGCTACGAATTTGTCTTTTAATATACTTTTCCAATGAACGCATGATGAGGGGTCGGAGACCCGATGACTCGACTTACCAGTCTTCAGATGACAGTGCAGCTGTATTCAATTTCTTCTCGGTGAAATCATCTGAGAATTGAATGCAGGTCGGGGCCGAAGTTGTTGCATTCAGCTTGCCTTGAGGGTATTGCTTTTTGTAGGGTTTGGGGGGCTCGAAGCGTAGTTCGTCGACTGGAGGCTCAGCAAAGGGAATTGCCTTGTAGAAAACGGCATTTTGACCACCTTCACATTTCCCACCCTGAACTGTACCAGCATCGATTGTGACAGAAGGGGAGGAGGATGCTGCGGCTGCCAAAGCCGGCAGAAGAGCTATCGAAAGAAGCTTCATAGCGATTGTGATAGCCCAGGAAGTTCCAAGCCAAGGAGATGATATTCAAGGATAAGAACGAAATCAAAATGAGAAGGGGAGCTTGGTGGTTTTATACCATTTCTGACCTTGAGAAACTAATACTCAGTCACGACAAAACGCATACTGTCCCGCCTGCGGGTACCTGGATTGACATCATCTAAGCCTTGTCAGGATCGTCATTTTTGGGCTTAGTATTGGGGCGGGCACTAATACAATTCCAGCGCATATTGCGACCGCCAATCAGCCTCAAGAATAGCGGCTCTTTCATGCTATCGAATTGGCCCCCAAGACTTCGCCACCCCAGGCGTCCCCAGATTCAATTTTAAAAAGAGCTTAATCATTACCGAGCTTGATGTTCTAAATAGAGGTAGAATTAATTAGATTAGGTTAAACATGCAGGGGTTCAAACGATCCATATCACATTAAAATGAAATCAAGTAGATAATGCCAGAGTCGCTCATTTCTATTTTTCGAAGTAGCTTTTTCGTGCTTCGTCGGTTCTGTTCTGTTCAAGAAGCTTAACTCGGTGCAGCATTGGAACGATGGAGCATGTTCAAGCCCCGGGGCCTGTCACTTCTCAACACGATTTGGTGCATTACTAAAGAAGCTATAGATGCTGCTGATCTTCCCCCTACGATAGCCCCAGGGCACGGGCTGGTAAAAATAGAGGCTGCTAAGCTGGGAGCTGATTGGCTTTCGCAATACTGTCCATTTTGGGTTTAGCTCCTATATGAGTGACTTTGTGATCAGTATAGTACAATATTCTAGACTCTACGAAATACCGTGCACTATCCCCACTGCTGTTCGGTTACATGTTCTCCATGTAGATAATAGGCTCATTTAGCCATTGCGTCCGACGTGCCGTTGTTCGAGGTGACTTTGTACATTTCCTTCCCTTTACTGGCAGAAGTGGGGTTTCACCGAAACAACGAACTCTAGTCTTGCTTTGGGGCCAGAGCGATGGCACCAATCCCATGGCCTCGTGGATGTCTACAGGATTAGAAGCGCCATTTGCCACGATCCTCTAATACCAACACAAATCCACATACAGGCTATTGTATGTGATCATCGAAATTATCCTGTGCCGGCGAGACTTTTAGCAGTAAAAACTAAGATACAATCGGCGAGGAGTTCAAGAAACGATACGCAGCTGTTTATCGAGCTAGAATCGATCAATGAATTCGGGAGAAACACCTACCACCCATCCAGGCAAAAGCGCGGAAAAGGGACGCAACTACAAGATGCACTGATAACGCACTATGAAATATGCTTTGTTTACCTAATCTACTTGGTCTGAAATCTTGCTTCCCTTTTTGATGTTCAGCTAAGCTACTAGGTGCATATTTAGGCAATGAACAGGAAGCAATTTCTTCATACACCAACTGTGAATTAACTGTGAGAATCTGATCGCAAATACTCAAGATACCAACCCACGCGTCCCGAAACTCGCTTACCCAGGTTATGCATACGCGCTCATCTTTCGCCTATACGGGTTAGACGGGATACTTGGATTCAGCCCAATGTTGGGGGCCAAAACAACCAAGCAACTTTCAGCCCCATCGGCTTTATTCTTTGTTCTGAGCCAATGCTGATCACATCTCAAATTCAGGGATAAAGTGTTGATACCATCTGACAGCCCCTCCCAAGGAAAGAAGCCACATACCAATATTAGTAGATTGTCGTATCAAGGGCTCCGCAGGAACTCGAGGGTTGGACAAGCCATATTTCTGGGCTGCAGCACTCCTTCAGTACGGGGGGGCTACACAATGGCAAAGCATAGTAGGCACCTGACTTCTTCTTCATTTACGATATCAGATCATGAGTGACAGAATTCCGAGAACTAGGAAAGGACTGATCAGTTCATAGATTACAAGTTGCCTCCAGCGCGACTTCCTTGTTCCCAGCTCTGTCATGGAATGTACAATCCTTGATATCTTCCCCGAGATACAGAGTGACGTTGGAAATAAACTGAACTTGATCATCGGCAATCTCGCGAATTTACGGACAAATATCCGCTCTCGAGAATTGACCAACCCCCAAGAGATCCTGAGTGTGGCATGTGCCATCGAAGCCGAGCTCCTCGCTTGGTTAGCCGCACTGCCGCCGGATTTCACATACAGTACCCATACACTTGTGCCACTGGACACATCTTTTGGACACCGCTGTCACGGAATCCGACCATACAACAACGAATACCACATCTACCCGGATATCTGGTCGCCCAGTGTCTGGAATCACTACCGCTGCACACACATTCTTGTCATCGAGCTTATAATATCCCAAGTGAACAAAATATCCAAGAGCTCGCCTGTCCCATTATTCGAAGACATTAGTTCATACTGCAAGACTCAACGGGCGACAATTCGTCGCCTAGGTCTCGATATCTGCAGCAGTATCCCATTTCATCTGGGTGCGTGCAACTCAGAGGTACTCCTAGAGACGACTATCTTTCCGCCAGAGAGCTATCTAGGCGGTCTCATGCTTCTTTGGCCCCTATTTGTGGCCGGCCTAGTGGAGTCCCCGGCTCATCCACAGCGTCTGTGGGCTATACAGTGCCTGCAAACCATAGGAAACACGTGGGGGCTAGCGTCAGCGCTGGCAGAAATGGATGTTCTCATTGTGGACCCGAGAATGTTTTACTTGGTGGAAATCTATGGCGAAGCCGCTGATCCGCCGGCTGGAACGTCGGTGACACTGCCGTTTCCCGTATATCATGTGCCGTATTTCGATCTTTCCACTCTGAGGGAGTTTCGAAGGCTTCAGCCTACAACGGCATGAAAGTTTCGGGACTAGACTGGGGCTTTGCCTGAAGTAACTCAAGAAGTTTTGAATAACTATCTTTGTTTCTTCTCCTGTCCTCCAATTGGACTTCCCCAAAATTGTCCTCGGCGGTCTCTCGAAAACCTATCGCCGACCGATCTATATAATGGCCTTAATATGGCATTAGGGGAATTCACTAGGGGTTGTTTTGTGATAGAAACTTTGGATGAAATAGACCAAAGAAATGATGGCTTTCACAAGGGTTTTGTTGATCTGGACCGGTGACATTCGAGAAACATGAAGGCTTTGAGCAACAAAGGCAGTTCCTTATCCAAGAACAAACTTAAGCTTCCTAAAACTTTGTATAGATCGCTTTGCTGATCAAGTACATGTCCGTTTGGTCATTCAATAATTATAAGGCTCAAAACAGCATAACCATACATTGTACTCCACGAGCCTACTCATCAATCTGAGCCTCATCAAAGCAGCGACTCAAATAGGAGTCTTCCATATCATATGGCCTCTCCTCAGCCACCCAAAGCAAAAGTAACACCTCCAGTAGCTCCAGCTTGAGAATTCGCCATTCTCCTCCGTCTGTTATCCTTGCTCATGTAGTTCTCTAACTTTTGTTCGTACCGTGCATAGTCTCGCTGATACTTCTCTTGGTCTTTGTATTTTTCTTGACGAGGCGGACTCGGCTTGATGCCATCGAAGAAGCCAGTGCCGAAACACATTGTGATTTGAGTTTGTGGAAAGATGGGTCTTGTTGGGTTTAATCTTTGCTCGGTGCAAGGATAGATGAGGGGAAATGATATTAGTGTCTCTTTGACTGTATGGAATGATTAATTTATATGAATTTGACCAACGCAGCCTGCTTTTGCCCGAGTCTTAGCTTCGTCATAGGGGGCCAAAAAACGTGGCTGTGATACTTGGGGCCTATGCGGGGGCGTCACTGTATCTCCCTGGGCAGATTATCGTTCAGCCCTGAAGGGAGATCTCGTGAATCGCTGATCTGAATGAATGTGGTTTATACAACGTAATGAAACGGAAAAGTATCCGGCAGCTCATAACCAAGAAGAACGTCATACTAGCCATGTAAGCGATGGAAGAGTAGTGATTTCAATTTGAGAGAGTCGGATATCAGTATTACAGAGCAATAGAAGAAAGCAGAGCCAAAAGAAGAAAGCAAAGCGACAAATGGTCGCGGTTAGCGGTTAACGGTTGCGTATTCACCTACTACCATTGCACTCAGCAGGAGATAATGATGGAGATGGTCAAATTATCAAGGTGAGAGATGACCGTGTAAATTTGTGCGCTATCATATTGTGTTCGCGAATTCAAGGCATACTGTGCAGCCCGCAAGCCCTATCTATCATATTTTGTGTTCGCGCATATGCTGTGAATGTGTTGGCAAGAAAGTAGACCAAAAGAACTGTTCTTTTGCCGTGACCCCTTGTATAGCCTACAGAGCATCAGTTTATTTCTATTTCTAAACTAGGCGTCCTTTGGCGAGCTTATTATCGCCAGTGACTCCGACCGTGGTTTATCATCCTTTGCCCTGCCCATGTCCGTTGGGATGCTCATCCATAACCCGCCGAACCCAAACCCGCCCACGGAAACCCGACCCGAGACCCAGACGGGTACCCAAATTACCCACGAATCCCAAAAGGGAAAGATTGGTCTGCCAGCACAAAATTATGCTGTATCTTTGATTTAGATCAATGTATCACCCCGGTATTAGTGGGCTAGATGCAGTCTTCGGCCAAGAAAACCTGAAGAATGAATCAATCGGAACCCGATATGAGTGAGGGACTACAGCTTAGAATACATGAATCCAAAGAGGAAAATAGAATTAGATCTTAGCCATATAGTAGACTAGTTAATACAGTTTGTAGCCTTGAAGCCGGCGTGAAGGCCCTGTCACTCTACCTGATGATCTCTTGTGAGATCTCTCACTTAGGCGTGTAACTGGAGGTGGGAGCAAATCTCCACCGTCACCATGCTCCTCTCCAGCCATCTCAGCCAGCTACAGTTGGTCCTGGGCCGGAAGATACTGTGAGGCTGTGCTTTCAGCTCCAGTAACACCCTCGATGGTGAGACCTTCATCGGTATCATCAATCAGATCAATCTCGTCAATATCGCTGATAAGCGCAGTGTCGTCTTCATTTCCTTGATCGCCTCATTCTCTTCAAGGTTTTCCTAGTCCTCCCTCTCGGCCGTCCGATGGTCCAACAGACTGAGTTGCTGGCTCAGCAAAGTACCCACCTGATTAGCAATCCGGCTCCACCGAAGCATCAAAGACGAGGAAGGTCCAACCTGTGAATCCATTTCTATGATTTTGCATTCATAATATAATGGAAATGAGAAAGAGCTCCTCGAACTTCACATTGGTAATCCGGAGAGTTTTGTTTCTGAATGTTACCTTCGGGCAAATTAGTAATGAGCATACTTGTTGTCATGATTTCATGAGTCTCTGGCAAAAAACTATTAAAGTCCGCTGGTAGAACCTCTTAATTTCTTCAAATCGCGCCGGCAAAATCTCTCAACAAGAATCCAAAATGGCTGACAGTAAGACACAAGTGCTCATTGTGGGCGCAACTGGGTACATGTACGTTCACACTTCCAGCAATAGCAAAATAGTGGAAGGGTAACCCGGCTGACCTTCGAATAGTGGCGGATCAGTTCTCTCCGAGATACTGCGATCTCCGGAAGCTTTCCAGCTGAGCATTTCGGCCCTCATCCGTCGCCCAGAACAGGCGGCGAAGCTCGAGGCATTGGGCGTGAAGCCACTGCAGTTTGAGGGACTGGATGACTTAGAGGCCTGCAGGGATGCAGCTGCCAAAAATGATGGTATCCAAATCAATCTGTCTCACATGTATCCTTCTTGAACTGACAGCGTTTCTCCAGTTGTGATCAATGCCGCATCTGCCTCCCATGACAGCTCTGCCAAGGCGCTGATCGAGGGTCTGGCTCTGAGACAGAAGGCCACAGGAAGAGGCTCGTACTTGATCCATGTGAGTTTCCTTCTTCGCGCTGTGCAGCTACTGAGTGCGGAAACTGATACAGTTTAGACATCGGGTACCTCCATTCTGGGCGACCACCCTTATACCGCCACCGCGCAGGAGAAAGTTTGGTCCGACGAGGACAATATCTATGCCATGGAAAAATATTACCCTGAACGTTACGGACAGCGAGTCACCGATGTTGCCGTTGTCGAAACAGGATTGAGTCTTGGTGTGAAGACGTATATCGTCGTCCCTCCTACCATTTGTACGTTGAATCAATGTCGAGAGATTGGTTTACCTGCTCATACTTAGTAGATGGAAAGGGATCCGGTCCATTTGCGACTCTCAGTCAACAGGTCCCCAATCTTGCACGCTTGGCCCGGAGGCGTGGGTATGCTGCTGTGATTGAAAGCGGCAAAGGTGTACGTGAGAATACGAACGGGTGGAGTTATTTTATTTACTGACTGTTTGTATTGACAGATCTGGAACCATGTCCACATGGACGACCTCTCCGCGTTCTACCTGCTGCTCTTCCGTGCTGTCATTCAGAAGCAGAGCTGGCTTCCTTCTGGCGCGGAGGCTATCTTCTTTGTTGAAAGTGGCGAACATACATGGCTTCAGGTTAGCCAGGGTATTGCCGATGCCATGCACAAGAGGGGTCTTCTGGCGACGAACGAAGTCAAATCAATCAGTCTCAAGGAAGCAGCTGCGGAAATCACCAAAGGCAATGAGAGCCTTGTGGAGATCACCCTGGCATCGAAGTATGTGACTTTCTGATATCTTTGGGGTGACATGCTAATGTTTCATTTAGTTCGCGAGCTCGGGCTGATTTTGCTCGTAATAGGCTGGGATGGAGTACCGCGCGTGGGTTGGAAGATTTCTTGAGACATTTTGATGGCGAGATAGAAGCTATGCTGGGAGAGCTTCAAGGCTAGGTTTTGGGAAATGAACCCTCGAACATTCTATGTTTCATCAAAAGCCTGTTCCCACCCCCAATTTCGGCTCCCCCATCAAATATATGTAGCCTAGTTCCTAACTTATTAGAGAAAGAATGGCAGCGGCGATATTATATAGTATTGTGGTCCCCGAAGGAGGCTTGTTAGGGGGCCGGCCTAAGCGAAAGGATTCTAAATCTACTCCCCTAGTTACTTTTCCATTTTAGAGGGAACGCTACAATCTAATAACATTCTGTTATTGTTTAGCTAAGGGAGTTAGTGCAGTGGTCGCGCGACTTAGGTGATTCTCACCCTGTAAATGGGCCTCTTTGGTATCCGGGCAAGGGAATTAGAAGCTTAACTGCAGGGCATGAAACAAATATTGATATATTATCAATGTTTGAACGCTTGTCTTTGCAAGAGCTAGCAGGAACTCCCTATATACAAGATGGCGTCCTCGTCAACAGGGCAACAAATGATGCCACGTGTCTTTCAGTGGCCCAGTGCTCTGATATCTTCATGGCCACCAAGGGAATTGATCCTAGTGCGACAGCTGGGTCCTCTATGTTAATCCAAAAGATTCCGACAATTGCCTATTATGCCAAATCAAATTCTGTTGTCTGGGGGCCGCTTGACTCGGACAATACACTGCCCTAATCGACATACAGCATGACAAGCGAATCCTCTTGCCTAGCCAAATACAGATCATCATCATCATCGACGTAGTTGAATCGTAGGTACTTTTGTGGGGACAGCCACCAATGAGTTCAATTGCTGACTCGCTAGTTCCGCACACCGTTCCATTGCGGGATTCATCGCCACAGTTGATATAGAGATCAAAGGCTTGGTCGCAGAAGGTTTCTCAGCGGACATACTGTCGTATTTTCATACTGTAGCAGTTGACGACCCCTGCTCGCCGAATTGGGGTTTTCCGTCAGAGCCGGCGATCAGTGGGTGGTTATCTTTTGCGATTGTTACGGTTTTGGTGGTTGAAGAGTGTGTATTAAGGAACTCTGTGCTATAGTATTGTAGTAAACAAGTGTATTTCCGTTTCCTTAAACAGTCGTTTTCCTTTCACGCTATTTCATGAACCAAACCTCGAGCCAAATCATCAACTACAGGATTTTGGCCTGATTTTCAATAAACATGTGCACCACAAACTATCTAAGAAGGGCTGAATGGACGTAGTATATCCACTGTATCAGGTACATACATATTTACATATCAAGATGTGAGATATTGAGCAGGTAATTTGTAGACCCGGCAACAATGTCACTTTGATATACGTGCGGGAAAGTAAAATTCTAGCTGAAGCATGTAGAACAATAGGTGATGTATTGCAAAGACGGAGCGTTGATCCTTCCAATAACAGGCAGGAGCTCCTGACATACAATATGAGTTCTTACCAAGAGGGGCGACCCCTTTACGTGATACAAATTTGACAAGTTAAACGCATATCAAAATGTAATAACCTTGTTCTACAGAAAGCAGTATACATTCGCGAGCGTGGTTAACACCGACAGGCACATATTCAAAGGAAGCCAATGTACACTTGACTTTTCCACTTAGGATTTTGGGAGCTTGGGAATATGTTCTGCCTTCCAGCACAGTATTTTCTTGGCTACTTCACGCTGGGCTGCCATTTTCTGCCCTTCCTGCGCTGCATCAGCATCACTCGCGTCCCATCATCATTACTCTCCTCCCCCCACCACCATCAGCATCGTTGTCCTCGATATCGTGGTTCCCATCATCATCATCTCCCAGACGTGAATCCTCCCCAAGCGTCCTCCATGTGAAGCTTCATTTGCATATTAACCAAACAGCCGTTTTCAGCTCTACCTAACACCATGCCGCCGATATTTTCGCGTGACGCGCTCCAAAGTCGTCTTCCTGGTCTTTTAGAGGCACCGAACAAGACTACATCCTCCGCAATACAGCGCATCACCTATTCTGGACCTATCGCGCCATGGACCGGCTTTAAGGCAGGTGTCCTGGCTAGCATGCTCCCATCAGGGGGAAATATCATCGACCACAGCCTCAAGGGCCGCGATATCAAATTGGAGCAGGTTTATGTCGCCGATGAGACGGGTGTCCAGGAAAGGTTCCAGCAGGCCGTTGGGCATGTTCTTGGTGCGGTCTCTGAAGCACGAGGTGTGGACATTCGATTCGCTGACTTTAAGTCGGCTGGCCGTCAATACAGGAACACCCCAGATGTGGCGATCGTGTCCCGCGGTACTCCAGTTACACTGAAGGCTGTGGGCGAACTGAAAGTCCCCTGGATTGAAGCCCACGAACTAGGCGAAAAATATCACAATTTGGACGATTTGCGTGCGACAATTGGCCAAGTCGTGGAGTACATGATTGACCTGAAAGTTCCTTATGGGTTTCACTCAACATATGACCAGACAATCTTCTTGCGTCACATCCAGATCCATGGATCATGGAGACTGGAATATTCATGCGTTATTGACAACAACAAAACCACCGATGTTTCGGTAAAGCAATGCTTTTGGTACCTGGCCCGGCTGGCTGCTTTGGGGCAACCTGTGAGCAACCCCGAACAAAAGCATCATCTGATTGTGAAGCGCTGAGGTCTTCTTATATGGTCTTGCCTCTCTTCACGCTGGTAGTTATCTTTACATACGTTCCCTTTCGTGTGTCGTTCTTGCTTTTGCCGATTTTCTTTTATATCGTGGTGTTGTTGTTCTCTTGCTCATTGTTGTCGTCGCTTTTATTCTTTAGCGTATTTCATTTTCGTGATTTCTTGATTTTCTTGCGTTTTGCATTTCTTAGTCTCCTGGTGTTTGGTTTTTATAGCTTCCTTTACGGCGTAGGTCTTATATAGTAAGTACCTGAATCCGTAGTGTTTTGTAAATTGGACTGATTAGCTTCTGATATACCATAGCTTTTAGGTTGACATTATACTTTTTTTGTAGATTTATGCCAATATAAGCACCAGCTGTGCATTGTTATCAGTTAAAATGTACTACCAGTACATATTGCCCTGCTTAATTGGAAGCGACATCCCTCGGCCACGAAGCATTAGGAACCATGATAATAAGGTATTTGTGGAATTGGGTTGTCTAGTAACTTTCTCAAGCTAGTTGGTCAAATGCTCGACATAAAGCAACCTAGGTTCCATTTCGTATCCTACAACGTATGTAACCGCCCCTTTTTGTCCCTTTCACCACCTCCAGCCGGTCTTTTCGTCAAGTTGGAGATCCGTCGCCAGGTTGGGAAGGCGCTTGTCGCACATGAAGGGGGACAGAACTAGGTAAAAAATAACGAAGAAGTGGTCTGTCCATTTCGTATCTGGATCTATGCGAACAGCCCGGCTAAAACCGGAGATTTTGCTGCGAGTCGAGTCATTAGCATGAGGTTGCAAAGGATAGCGTAGAGCATACACATCACCTGTGTCCTTGTTGAGTATGATCTTTGACGAGGTTGCAAGGATCGGCTCGTACCCAAATTTCATAACTTCACTAATTACAGTCAGCTCACAGTATAGCCATAATAGAGTAGTAGCAGACCTAAAGGCTATCTTGAACCTTTCACGGATCAACTGGCGCTTGTTGTAGGGAAGGCTCCAGAAATACTGCCGATCAAGGGAGCAGAATCCTTTAACCTCTTCCCATACCAGATAGATGATATATCCGCCGGGGACAAGGTCGTTTGCATCTTGTATGCCAGTTCGATACCCACGGACTTTAGGGGTAGCAGTGGATCGGTCCCTTGTAAAGCGCATCATAGCCTCTAGCTCCGGATGCTCTCGTGGCTCAGAGGCCTGGGCCCGTCGGACACTTGCATTGTCAAGGCGAGTACCATACAGAGGAATCTGTTTGTAGATGCGCATAAAAGCAAAGTTGTTCTCGTTGCCGGCACCTGCAAGACGGCAATAATATTTTCCAGCGGTGAAGGCGGGGCCCATGCCTTCCTGAAAATCCTCTGGGGTGATCAAGGTTGGATGCTCATCCATCTTTCGAAGAATGATCCAGTCGCGCTCGGGGATGAAATAAGACTCCGAAAGCTTCGTGCGGGGTGTAGTGATCACCTCACCATCCATCTTGTAAAGATATTCCATTTCGGCCATAGTGGGCGGGGGTGAAGGAGGAATAATTGAAGGCGAACCCGGAAATGACGACAAAGTTGTCAGGTCAAGTGATTTAAAGTTTGAAGGAAAGTTTGAAAAGTGCAAACAGATTGCTTGACGTGGAAAGCAATGCCGAGCTATACCACCTCTACAGCAGTCTGACGCTCATGCTACAGAATTTGATCACTCACATGAATGTACCAAGCTACTGAGTTGAGCTATATGTGCTGCATTCCCGCTAGTCTTAATCAGGGATTAGCGGGAAAGTTCCTGTCCAAGGGGCTCGGCCCATTGTGAATGAACCAATCAGAGACGCGATTGACCTTTGTGTGGAGCGACGAGAGGCTACTAATCCTGCCGATGTCCCAAAAAGGTCTAGCGTGTTCGGCGTCCCAAAAAGGCTTAATTTCTGAATTAATATGAAGATCTTTCATTAAAGGGAGAAAAGCAGTTGTTCCGGGTAGAGCTGCATCTTGCAATTTTCTCTTATTTCTGTGTATGAGACCAGTATGAAGCTAAATGTTTGCAGCGGTTTAAGCTTGCGTTTAACGCCACCCGCGAACACAGAGGGCGAATATTCAAGCGACACTCTCAATGAAATGGAACAAGACAGCGACCTGGTTTTTCCAGATGGTGGGTGGCGTGCGTGGAGTGTCATTCTTGGCTCTTGGTGCGCAATGGTGCCCTCATTTGGGCTTATGAATACAATCGGCGTGTTCGAGGCTTGGTTGGCAGATCATCAATTGAAAGGCTATTCGAAAGCTTCCATCGGCTGGATATTCAGCCTGTACATGTTTTTTCTTTATTTTGGAAGCGTGCAAGTCGGTAAGAAGCTCATTAATTTTCTTTACAGAAAGGTGCAGGCAGACTGATATCTGAAAGGACCTCTTTTTGATTCGTATGGCCTTAGGCCTTTGCTGGTCCCGGGATGCGTTGGGCTCGTCGCATCACTGATGATATTCAGCGTTGCAGAAGGTGCTTTTTTCCCTACTAACCGAGCTGACTTCGCCAAAACTGATGATAAGCGTTCATATAGAATACTACCAATTCATGCTAGGATTCAGTGTCCTTGGCGGCATCTCCTCATCAATGGTGTTCACCCCTAGCATAGCCTGCATTGCCCATTGGTTTCTCAGACGTCGTGCACTGGCCACCGGCATAGCCGCGACTGCTGGGGGCATTGGAGGAATCATATTTCCTGTCTTGGTCGCTAATCTCGCGGGAAGTCTAGGCTTCCCATGGACTATTCGAATTATTGGATTTATAAGTGCAGCATTCTGTTTTCTGAGCGTCGCGCTTTTGAGGACCAGACTACCCGTAAATTCGGTGAAAAAAGGAACTGTCGATATCAGAGCTTTGAAAGAACCATGCTTCTCATTGTTGACGGCCGCCATTGTTTTGATCGATTTCGCCCTCCTGATTCCATTGACTTATTTGCCGTCCTATGCTCAATCTCGCGGCTTGGAAGATCCTATTGCATACAACCTATCATCTATCCTGAACGCCGCGTCCATAGTTGGGCGGATCGTCCCTGGATATTTTGCTGACCGATTTGGACGATTCAATGTGATGATCATCACGACATTTGTTTGCTCGGTGTTTACTTTCGCCCTCTGGCTTCCATCCAAGTCAAACCAGGCGGCCATTTTGGCTTTCGCCGTGCTTTTTGGATTTTGGAGCGGCACTGCAATCAGTCTCTCCCCTGTTTGTGTTGCCCAAATTTCCAAAACAGAAGATTTCGGAAAGCGTTACGGTACAACCTATTTCTTGGTCAGTGTAGGCACACTCGTCGCCATTCCAATTGCTGGCGAGCTCTTAAAAGTCCAAACATCCACAATCGGCCAGGATGACTATACTGGATTAATAGTCCTTTGTGGGCTTGTCTATTCTTGTGCATGCATCTTTTTTATCTTATCTAGAGGCGTGAGCGTTGGTTGGGGTTTGAAGGTTTTCTAGTACTTTACACAGCTAGGCGGTTTTCCTTGGTCGACTGTACCTTCTTCTTATTTGTAAATCAAAAGAAACGTAGGGTGCGTAGTTCCGGTCGGTGTGCGCAATTGTGTCCAATTATCGTATTTAATATGGGGTTTTCCAGGTGGCCACTCGTTATAATTCAATGCCTAGGTGCATTGGTCGTGTCAGATACACTACATTTTCAATCTGATAGACGTGGATGATCTGCAGTCTAGCCTAATGTAGCCTAGGTAGTTTAATCGTCGCCTTGGCGTTAGGGTTTGGGAGAGTTTCTCTGTGTAAAACGTGGAACCCTAAATGACAATGAACTCAGCAAGCCTCCCTTTTCCACTGCCACTGCCATGAGCACACGTCTTAGATAATTTTTCCTTTATGTTTTTGTACCAAAGAACAAGCAGCATCTCACGACTGGAACAGTTATTGCCAAAGTCCTCCAGTTCTTAACATAGACCAGTAACGACCGGGCCAGTTGCCGTGTCAGAGTTTAGCAGTTCAACATCTAGCGTTTATCGGCAAAGTTTCAAACCTACTGAAATCAAACTCCGGGAATGAGCAAAGTACCTCACATTGTTTGTCAACAAATAGAACCACTGATCGGTGTAAATAATACACTAGCTTTTCCAAATTTACACCGGGATGGGGCATAGACTTCTTCCCTGGTGTCGGGATAGCCCTTTCCCTAGTTTCATAGGATAACTGGGTGATAGTATGTGTGATCTGTCTTATGTACATTGGAAGTAATGAAGTCAGACGTCATAGAGGAACAAGTGCTAATTTCTAAAAATATGCTAATTAGCTACATATGCTGCTAGGGTTACATCCTCCAGGGCTCCTTCCACATACATTTATGTCATCATACCGTTTTGCAAGAGACGAGGTTGCGAACGCTGGATATGATTCTAGATTGATTCCTTACTCTACGAGTTTCGCCTAAGCCGGCTGCAACACTTTTAGGCCAGCCGTTAAAATTATAACACCTCCTTGTGGACAGGCTATACAGCAACCGTCAGACAAAAATTCAGATGGAGAGGTCCTAATATGGGTAAAGCCGATCGTACTTTATTCACAGATAAACAGAATATCCAGGCTTTGGAATGAAAACAGTGCCTCGCAACATGCATACTGCAAGCTGTGAATTGCAGTTAATTGACTTCTATTTTAAGAGCCGAAAAGGGAGGGGTCGTAAGCTAATTAAGGAACAATAATCCCTGTCAGGCGCAGACCTGCAGATCCGCCTGCATCACCTCCGGGCGGTAACCTACGCACCCTATTGGATATTGGCGTTTACAATGCAATCTACACTGAAAGACATGCATCTCGGGAGAACTAAAATGGACCGGGCGGCTGGAAAGAATAAGCTTTATATCCGTACGCCTTCCGGAGGAGTTGGCAGTTTTCTCTCGAGCTTCGTCTCTACTATACGTCCCTGGAGGACTGTTCGATTGCTTTGATTTTGTTTTGCTTTTGTTTTGTTGATTGTACAAAGATATATTCATTGCCTAGCGACCCCTCCATTACCCCTCGAGATCCTTGTTCGTCGTGATCCCGGCCACCGTCCAATCCGAGGCCGTTGTCACTGTTGGTTTCTGGATCATTGCAGAAACGAGAGATCCCCAGCCGTGCGAGTGGCCACCTCTTGTCTGGCGCCCCAAGGGCCAGCTCCCAAGCCGGTGTCATCCGGTGTGCGGTTCTTATTAGAACGTGGGCTTTCCATACCGACTGCAGTCTCTATCTCCCTCAACTTTTGTTCCTCTTCTCACAAGCACGAATGTCCTCTTTTGTCGGAGCTGGAGGGAACTCTCACGAACTTACGACTCAAACTTACACTTCTATACAACCATCATGGCGGGAATCGTCAACGGCCCTCTTTCCCTATTCCGGAAGTCGGACTCTTCGAAGCCTCTCCATGCTCGATGGGGCGATGTGTCCATTTCTGTCCCTACAGATGGATCATGGAACCAGTATGACAACCCCCATCGACCAGTCACGGAGAGGCAAGCATATGGACCGGGATATGTCCCCGACTGCTCTCCCCAAGACCGAAACCCTCGGCCATTAAAGGATGATGACCCAGACGACGACAACCGGAGTGTTTCAAGCGTAGCATCAACTGCCTCGCGCCGAAACTCACTGTCATTGGGAGCATTGCGACCGGGTCGCCTATCTGTACGACTAGCCTCGCGCCCGAAACATCTGCGAGGCGAAACAGCATCAGAGAGAGATGCCCAGCGCGTGGAGCAAAAGAGAACAGAGTTTGCTTATAGACCGATTCAACAAGACTACACGTCCGAGGTGGTTGAAAATTCCTCCCAGTCAAGCAACAGATTCAAGTATATCCCGACCAACGGGCGATATCTTGAAGGATCGAGCTCTCGCTCTGCCGCACCACGCAGCCAGTCTGTCAGTTCATATCGGACATCCTATTCTGGCCGAGAATCACTAGCCGAATCCATTGATGAAAGAGACGTCGGTTACGATCGCGATCGCTTTCAGTCTCAAATCCCGATGGCTCACGGGGGTGCTTACGTCGAGGATGACCGTCGGAGTCTCCGCTCGAGTCTTGGAGACAGCTCGGACAGTTCTAGTTCCCGGCGAAATGTTGGTCTGCCACCTCGACGTAATACGTCGCCTTTTGTGGCAGCTGATCGGAGGAGGGCTTCTTTCGTTAAGCCCATGACTTTGGCCATGGTTCCTGACCCCGATGAGCTCTACGAGTGAAGTCCCATTTTTCTTGTTTCTTTTGTATTAGCGGAGTTCTTGCTACATTGTATGATTTTGAGCATCATTGCGCGGAGTCATTAGCATATATTGGCGTTTTTGGTTGTTACTGGCCTATTTGTTGTGCCTCAGAATGAAACATTTTCTATTATTTGGTATTTTGCATAAAAGTTGGGGTTATGGAACGAGGATCGAACGATCAGACGCTCTGTAAACATAGCAGCAAGTCCACAATGGGGAATTAGGACCGAGTATACGGGATGGGATGACTTCAGCATACCCAGTAAGTTCACACCTCGAAAGACAAAAGAATAAAAATCGGACAACGATACTCAAGTTGAACAGCCTGGTACACCTTTCCAAATAGATGTATAGTATAATGTGACATAATATAATGTGGTTAATGACGTCACACTGAGTCAGGGCAATGCATCAGCAACACTTAGGAGGCAAATCAACTATCATACATACCGGTCCAATTGGCGGATCATATCCCCATATTGACTGCTCCAGTTGCAACTTTGTCGTTTGTTGCGGTCACCGCTTGTTCTTTGACAAATTAGCCACAAGCAGTCACTATGATGGCATTTGAACGTCTACCACTTGGTCTCAACATGCATTTGATTCAAATATTTGCTGTATTCTGCTTTTATCTAAACAAAAAGTGTTGGAATCAGTTTTTGTCTCCAATTTCCCTCAAAGTTTAGCTTTCCAAACCTTGTTTGCAACACAATGGCTGAGGCAGTAGTTCAATTACGTTGCGGCGTGAAGGTACGTAGTCGCAACATCGAAAGAGCAATATATTTCAACGGGCAATTAGTACTAACAGATTATCTTGAATAGAATGATTTGTGGGGAAAGAAAGGAAAGGAGTCTATGGCTGCCCAGCTATGGTCGAAGACGCCGGACAATGCACAGATCGATGACTCCAAAAATTACTCAGAGGTAACGACATTACGCCAATTATTCAGTGACTGGAATAATTCGTTTGCTGATCTTCACATAGATGTGGATGGGCACATACCCTTCCAATCCATCCTATCTCCTGTCAACAGGCGAACATCTGGGAGAGTACCTAAAGAAGAACCCGCAGCTTGTCGGAAAATCCGTTCACGATCGATGGGGACCAGAGATTCCTTTCCTACCAAAGGTATAATGAACGACCTACCCCACATACCAAGGCTAACAGACCAGATCCTCTCATTTAGCAAAGCCCTACCTCTACAAATCCACCCGGATCTCAGTCTCGCCGCGAAACTACACAAAGAAGATCCGAATAAATTTGGCGATACAATGCACAAGCCAGAGATCGCAATCGCGCTGTCAAAATTCGAGCTCTTCGCCGGCTGGAAGCCACTGAAAGACATCCAAGCCCTATTCGAACTAAACCACCTGGGAAAGTTCGTGCCAAAGCCAGGACAATTCAACGACGGGACCCTACGACAAACATGCAAGGCCTTGCTGAGCGCACCACCGCAGACAATCGCAGAGACAACCAAAGACCTACAAGCAATCCCAGAATCCCAATTAGGATCGCACTCCTACATTCCAAGTCTGCTCGCTCGACTGGTCAAACAATACGGCGAAGGCGACAACGGCAACCTCGTCGCCGCCCTCCTGATGAACTATTTAACCCTAGGGCCAGGAGACGCAGTCTTCGTCCCAGCAGATAGCATCCACGCCTACCTAGAAGGCGACATAGTAGAATGCATGGCGCGCTCAGACAACGTCATCAACACGGGTTTCTGTCCAGCCGCAGAACGCGACAGTGTCGAGCTATTCGGGCAAGCGCTCACTTTCGTGCCTCACAGCGCGCAAGAAGCATTGCTGCCGCGGAAAAAGAGTGACAAGGGCATGAATGGCAAGACAGACGTTTACGCGCCGCCTATCAGCGAGTTCAATGTTCTGTATACTACACTTGGGGCTGGCGAGAAGGAGACGCATAAGTCCATTTTGGGGCCGAGTTTGATGATTGTTACTAAGGGCTGTGGTCACATGAATATTCCTGGTGACAAGAGTGTCGAGCTGAAGGAGGGTTGGGTTTTCTTTGTTGGGCAAGGTGTTGCGTTGGAATTTGCCACTGACAAGGGCATGGCTGTGTATCGTGCGTATGCGGAGTAGGAGGCTCAGCTGGGGTTTTGGGGTGAGTTGGATGTGTTCGGTGTTGAAGATTGAAATAGAAATGTGTTATATTGCGATATCTTCTAAAATGTCTTAGTTTTCGGATGGGGTTTAACTGTCAATTGTATTGTCTTGGCCTATGTATACACGGTGAAGCCCTAATGTATTTCCTTCCTGAACTGGTAAGAGATAACACGTTCGAACAACGAGGCTTACAAGGCTGATTGACATCACAAACGCTAGAGAAAAATAGGAAATATTAGCAAACAGGCGGTGATAGCCATTTATACTTGTTTAAAGTGGTGTTGGTATCAGGGTCGAGGTGATTCGCTAATCTTTGGAGGCGCCCAGTTAATGCACGCCCGCACTGTTGGTCACCGCTATAATTTACCTGCATTTGCAGTTCTATTTTGGACATTTGGGCACTTTCCGACCATGCTAGCCCCGCATTAGGTCGGAGGCTAATCATGGCTAATTAAGTATCTATCTATAGCTAATATGGCGAGTCGCGGTGTCTCAAAATATCCTTGAAACAGGGACCGTGTGTCAGATTAAGCCTTGAGCTTGATAGCTCAGGGTCTATATATCCGTATTCGCTCTTCGTAGTCTTTGTCTGTCCGGCTTCCAGGATTGAAGCTCTGTCCTTGGGGCCTTTCAAGTCTGGTACTTGTGTCTTAATTGTTTGGTCTATGTACCAGATGTTTCTAACCCAACGAACATACCCCTGTTGAGACATACAATACCGGGATATGTCCATTAAATCCGCTCTTGAATCAGGCAACAATTCATCTCGGACCCCGCTCATTGTGCTCGGCGTAATAGGCGGAACTCTCATCTTCCTGGCAAGTAAGTCTGCAGCTAGAGCCGCAAGTCACCGCGCCAAACTAACCCCAACAGTGACTGGCAGTCTCCTATACTTGTTCTCCCGCAAGGAGCGGGCCAGGCGACGGAATGCGCTTGCACAAGAGGTCGAGGCGTTCTCTCCCCTGCAACCACCCCCAGCATACAAAGTGGACGACCTGAGAGCGCCTCGAGGTCCCCACTCTGCACATCCCCGGCCGCTCTCCTCCTTTGCGCCGGACTTCAGTCGACAAGACCATCAATTTCCGCGGGCATCATATGAACAGCCCCCACCTTATCCAACTCTACCGACATACGACCCCTCCAGATACCAACCAACTCGATCCATACCAACCGAGTTCAATCCACATCCACATCCCTATACCTATTCCAACCAGCCCATCTCCACCCCCCAGGGTCCGTCTTCCCGCTTGAGCGCCGTGCATTACAATGACGCCAGACAGTCCCTGTCCCTGTCCCGACCGCTGTCAATGGTGGGACAGGTCCCTCCGGGTCCAGGACCTGTGCCTGCAGCTGTGCCTAGACCGAGGCGCCAAACGGCTATGCCACCACCTCCCGAACGGCGGCCAAGACAAGAGGGCCGCGAACGGAGTGTGTCTGAGCCAATGCTACTCCAACCTGCAGGACCAAGACGACCTAAGCCTGTCCTGTCGCGGCTGATCACCAATTTCCGTTGAAAATGTGACGGTGGCTTGAGGGCTTGTTTTTACGACTATCACGAATTTCTGCTTCGGATTATTGTTGCGTTAGGGCTAAGATATGGGGGAATGAAGCTTATCTTCAACTTGGGTCTTCAGGGTTTCTTCAATCAAATATGCAAAATGCAGTATGTTACTGTACAATCCCTAGGTCTCAAGTACTATACATGTCTATAAATCGGAGGATTCGGACAGTACCTCACCCCGATCGCCTATACACAATCGATGCCATTGCCGATCTCTTCTCGGGGTGTCTCCGTTTAATCTGTCTGATCATCCCGCAATTTCCCTTTTGGTGCTGTTGGCGCCTATCGTAGCCTGTGAATGGGGTGGTCAAACGCCTCTCATGAGCGTGGCGGGACGATCATATGGCCAATGTCTTAACTTATAGATTAGTCCTTTGTGCGCAATGCCCAGTGAACAGCCCACTTGGCAGGGATATGCACGGTGAAACACAGTGAATACACTACGGTGACTACTACTGTATAGTACTAGTAGCCATGGCATCCCCACCCCCTCTTTTAATCCCTGCATCTTGTCTCTCTTCTCTCTCTCCCAGCCAGATGACTGTCCCTGCCACTATCTCAACCCTGCTGCATCCCTGAACAGAGGATAACATGTCTAGTCACAGCCCCCAGATTACATCTCGGTCATGTTGGATATTGGTGCGGATGCAGATCCCTCGACAAGCGCCACGCCAAGACGATGGCCAACGACTATGCATCAATACACGCACACTACAGTGCAACCTATCGCTACCTTGAAAACTGTCAACGCAAGTTGACTGCGCCGCAACCTCTCCTTGACACTCGGGGGAGAAACAGACAAGGGTCTCAATCCACTCCTACCCCTCTCGCGTGCATCCTTTGCGCACACTGCAGCTATCGGAGCCTCTCATTCACGGCGACCCGCTTGGGTCCTTCTGCCTAGGGGTTTTCTTTATTTTTCCTTTTTCGCCTATGGCATCGTCTAGTATCCCAGATTCTGCCTCGGGGCCTATCAGAGGGGTTTACCCGGAGTCCTGGGCTGGAATCGCCAATCGCTAGGCTCCCAATACGTTAAGCAATTTCCGAGATCGTCTCTTTTCTTTCCAGACATGCGTTGACTAATCTATGGACGGTCTTGTCTTGATATAACCTCAAAGCCGTTTGCGGGCCCTTACTTTTTCCTCTTTGTTTCTTTTTGGGCTCCGCTCTGCGTCTGGCCTGTCACCTTTTGAGATCCCCATGCTCTCGGTGGGGAGTTCGGTCTGCTCTGAGATGAACAACACATTGGGGAGTGATTTGTCCTCCCTTTGACACCTTTGTCCCCCTACTGCGTCACCCTCAAGTGTTCCCTATGAGGAGTCTTTTCAAGGCCATGGCGACCTTCATGAAGAAGTTCAAGAGGAAGCGCAGACTCTCGACTGAACTACACTCTCGTTGGGGCGATGTTTCTATCAGCTATCCCACTCAAGGATCCTGGAACCAGTGGAATCAACCGGCGGGATTTGTCGCCGATGCACCAAGGGCCTCACCAAGCCGTCATCGCGATGATGGGCAGCGATATACTCCAGCGGGCTCAATACGGCAACAGAGTCCCAGCTCTATGAATCGGCGATCCCGAAGCGCAGGCCCTCGAGAGACCCAGGTGGGATCTCAGCCGCCCTTTCCCACAGGGCATTTTGACGAAAACATCCGGCGTCGCGGAGGAGAAAGAGAGAACCGCGCATCGCCAAATCAAGGACTAGGAATTGGCGATCTCCGAAATGGACCAAGTGGACGCGTATCAAGTCGTCGCACTTCCAGTTTTTGCAGCGACGAAAGTATCGTCGATGATTCCTGCGACGAAGAGGACGAACAACGAGATACGTTAGGCGTTCCACGAGCGCGATTGAGCCCTCGGGATCCTCGAGACTACGAGAGTGATATGTCGCACACGCCACGCGAAACCGTTGATTACGATATCGCAGCGAAATCTCCACCCCTCTCTGTAACTTCGCGCATGCGCCGTTGCAGCTTCCAGAGCTGTGCGACGGACCCGATGACCTCTGCGTCTGGCGCGCCTAGCTCCCGACGAACCAGTTATACTGCTGCTTCCTCTGTCTCTGCTCCCTCTATGCCACCCTCTACTCCTCGATTTGCATACAACTCTGCGAACTATGGTCCTGCGAACTATACTCCCTTCCCGGAGAAGAGACATCCTCCCCGGGCGAAGCAGCAGGAACCTGAGACCACGCTTCGGCAGGAGATGGTCCCCTCTTACGATGAATTATATGGTTGAAATGTTATGAACAAGCTATGGGATGTAGATATCGTTCGTTGGTGGTAGGTTTGAATACTTTTAGTAATCGGTGTTTGGCAACACGCCAAATCGGAGTTGGCTCAAGTTTATTTAAGAGTAATTTTGCATTTCGGCGGTTTGCATGAATTTATTCATATTATTACTCTAGTTGTGTACAGAATGGGGAATAAATATGATCTCTAGACTGTCCACGTCTACTCAAATCCCTGCCTCATTAGTATGGGATGTTTGGCACTTAAGAAGCGGCATTTACTTTCTTTTCTTTTTTTCCCCGCGTACCTTCTCTCTTTGCTCTTTGTTTTCTCCCTTTACTTTTTTTTCGCCGATAGCCATTTCGAATAAGTTCAGCGAAAAGAGGGGAATCTGCGCCCGTGCATATGCAGAGTGTATCACAGTCACAGTCACCAATCAAGCGTCAAGCACCGTCACACTCGTCACGCCCCCGACGTATCGACTACAAGTAGGATGTGGCCCATCCCCAACTGCTCTTCGCCAAGGTGCAATCACCAACCAGCCTGTGTGCGGTGGTCTCTAAGCGCCGACCAACACTGGGAGGAAACGGAGCTGCATGATTCGACCACATCCTCGCCATTGCCTGTCCCAAGCATTAGCAGCTCTGCAGGTGCATCAGCAGTGCGGAACTTCCCTGCCCGTCAATTCAATTGCTCCACTTGGTCATCACATCCATACAGAGACCGCAAGAGCTGGCGCTCAGTGAAAAAAAGAAGCTTTCCCGCCCTGAGCAGTCTCGAGTCCCAAGTTACTGTTACCGTTTCTCATGCGAACGTGATCGCTCACCTACGGCGCTCTGCCTTTACTCTCCCCCGCCCACCTCTCTCTTTGGCGATCGCTGTAAGAACAGAAGCTGTCGCTCTGTTCGTTTCGATCCAGTATGCTTGGGCTCTGGGAAGGTAGTCCCCGGTCTTCCAGTATGCTGGCTATCCTTCTGGCTGCGGCTCCAGTGGTTTTGGGACTCAGAACTACAGCCGGTTCACCCTGTACGGATGTCTGTGGCACAATAACCAACACCACATCCTCTGAGATTTCATGCCTGGATCAGTCGTATAACACAACCTCCACCGGGAAGGATTTCGAGAAATGTATATCATGCCAGTTGGAAAGTGACTTCCACATTTCTGCCACTGGAGAATCGGATGTTGACTGGGGACTGTGTATGTCGTGCCACCTCCGAGAAGCGCAAATGTCCGATCTAGCGTCAGAACTAACAGATTGAACCAGATAATCTGCGATATGCCTTTTCAACTTGTGTCTTCGGATACCCAGACTCAATCTCCAACACCTCCTCACCATGCCCAGTCGCATGCGACGGTGTTCGGCCTGCTGTAAGAACCGACATTGACGATCCCAGCACGTCGAATCTGCACTCCTGGTGCGACGATGTTTCTTTCGCCGACAACGTCGTCAACACATGCGAGTTCTGCTACAATCTGACCACAACCCAAGTCTACATGGCAAACTGTATGTATCTCCAAGTCAGCAATCAAACCCCAAAGAACCGAAAAACCAACTAATCATCCAAACCAGTCCTCGAATCCATCCGCTACAACTGCCATTTCAAAACAGCCACCGGCAAAACCTTCGACATAGCCCCATCCCGAATCTTCACCCAGTCCCTCCTCCCCTCAAGTTTGTCCCTGACAACCCCAACCTCAGGCGGCTCAAACGTGAACCTAGGCGTGGTAATCGCCGTCCCGATCGTAGGATTCCTAATCATCCTAATCGCCCTAGCAACATGTTGCTTCTTCTTCATCCGGCATCGCCGCAAGAAGGCCCGCCGCACCCGCCAGTCACCCAGTATGTATAATCAGTGGAACGACCCGGCCCTCGCCGCCCAATATGGGGACCAGCAGCAGGGCTGGGCGAACGCTGGGTACGGATATGGGCCTGGGTCTGGCTTTGGATTTGTTGATAATGATGGTCGTGGGCAGGAGCTTGCGTATCAGGGTCAGCAGTCGAAGGGTGGGTTTTCGCAGGGTGTTTTCGAGCAGTCTGATGTGCAATATCAGCAGCAGGCTTATGAGCAGCATCAGATTTATCTGCAGCAGCAGCAGCAAGGTCATGTTCCTACTACTCATGTGCATGATCCTGATAAGAAGGTTCCGCAGCAGTGGGAGTGATGGGGATAGCTCGTCTGTTTCTGTTTCTGCGCTGCTGAATAGAAGATTCATTTGTTGTCTTCTTGCCTTCGGGTAAGAGGCCACCTAGGGACTTGTGTTGTGGGTGGAACATAATGAGATAGGATATCAGCTCACATCATTGTTGAAGGCGTTGTATTATGTGTTTCGCTTTGGGTCTTGTTTTTTTCATGGAGTTGTTCTGAGTTGTTCTGCGCCTACTGCACCGATATATCCCCGACAACATGAGTGTGTGTCGTCTGTGTGTCTTTGGCTTGAATGTATGTCGAATAGTCGAAAGTTGATAGTCAGTTGGACTCAATAGTCAATAGTCGAACGGACAAAAGTCCACAAGAAATCAAGCCAACCAAAGTTAAGACCCAAAGAAAGAACCAAAAAATTGTAAGAGAAAAGTACAAAACCCTTGTCTTGACACTATTCACAACAAAACCCCCCACAACAAAGGGCGCCAACCCCAATATAAGTACTGTACCCCCAACCGCCAGCAACAAACGCATACCGCCCAAATCCCAAAATAGCACCCAACCCGCCCAAGAAAACGCCCACACCCAAAACACAAACCTACACAACGCAGATATACGAGAAGATCGGCTAGGAAGACCTCTGGGCACCGCTGGACAGGAGTCAAACCCACCTGTCACAGGAGCGCATTGGTCCGCGGGCGTTCTGCAAGCGTTTCAGCACGCTCTGCCAAGGGTCCAGGAGTCCAATGAGGGGGTTGTCGATCTTGAGGTTATTTTTGGATTTGGGGGTTGTTTTTTGTGCTTATTTTTGGCGGGTTTGATATCGGTTTCGGCCGAAGGGGTGTGTTTGTAGCGCTTTGTTCGGGGTTTTGCTGGTCGTAGTAGTTGTGTGGTGGTAGGTGATGATGTACTTACTGTATGGCTATTTGCGCGGAGTACACCTGGACTGTTCGTTGTAGGAATCGCCGTGGGATTTATTAGTAACTACAGTCTTGAGGTCTCATTCCTGGCAAGGTGTATTAGTGCTTTCATTGTTGATAATGTGGAGAATAAGTGTGACTCTGAAAAGAGGTATCGTCTGTGGATTGCACACGGCTTGTCAAGCAATAAGATAACTCTTTGCGTCTGATCTGACACTGCAATCTCTTCGGAGGATCCATTGGAGGTATCACCGTCCCATCCTTCTTCTCCCCATCGTTGCCCATCAGGTGGCCTGGTGAGGTCAAACAAAGCCCACGCCTCTTTTCGCAGTTTGCTATGCAGGCTCTGATTTCCCTAAAGAGATCCTAGGCTCGACGCTATTAAATACCATACTAGATCCCACAGAAAATGAACAAGTCTGCTCGAGATAGAAAAGTCGGAGCAGCTTGAGTGAGTGGCAATTTGGAATGGTTTGAAGAGCTTCATACATAACGTTATATTAGAGACATACACGAAAGAGGTACATTAAAGAGACGTTTCAAAGGCATTTTGAGGATTGACATTACTATCCACAATGTACGAATCGTAGTCAGCCAGAAAATATAAAAAATAAATATATAGTGAAGTCCGTAGAAGATCTGCGGCTGGTGGATCTACAAGCTTCTCACCTATCCGCAACTCTCTTCCCCGACAATATCCTGCCACCCATCACCCACCATGTCTACCCTCACTCAAGAACAAATCAAAGTCCTCGAGCAAGCACGTCAGCGACTCGTACAGCTCACCCGCTCACTGGGCTCACTAATTACCAGCCTACACTCAAGTGACCCTCTTCCGCCATGGTAAGTCCCAGCACTCCATCTCGCCCACCGACCCAAAGACAAAGAACAAAACCCCCAATACAAACCCCCAAGACCGGCATACTAACAAGCTCCAGGTCCTCACTCCAATCCCAAGCAAGTATCATCTCAAACAACCTCCTCAGCGTCTCCGAACAACTTTCTGAGCAACGAGACCTCTTCACCTCACTAGTCGCCTATCCAAGCCCTGAATACCCAGGCCGCACACAAGCACCCACTCTCGAGCAACTCCTGCGCACAAAACTCGACCCCCGCGTCGAAGACTGGGTTGCGCGCGGCCGCGCCGCAGGCACGGAAGGCGGTCCGTCCCAAAGTACCATCCCGTCTCCGTCGCGCCTTGTCGAGGCTGAAAGTGCCGACCACAAACTCAGTGAGGCAGAGCTTACGCAGCTATGGGAGTGGGCGCCGCTTGAGGCGAACCAGGAAGCTAGGCGGAGGAATTGGGGTGGGAATTTCACTCTTGAGGAGCGGGAGAGTGGGATTCAGAATGTTGTCACTGGGTTGAGGAGGCAGCTAGAGGATGATTTGGCTTCTGAGGAGGAGGAGAGTGAAGGGGAAGAGGAGGAGGAGATGGATGTTGTTGGTGTTCATCGGAAGTCTATTGGTGGGGGGTTGGAGTTTGATATTGCTGTGAGGCAGCCGCATCCTGTGCAGCCTTTTGTGCCGCTGGATGATATTCTGAAGTATATGACTACTGGGCGCATGCAGTAGCTTCTTTGGTCTATCGGGCATTGGGGGTAGTGCTATCTACGAGACGGCGCATACGGGGTTGCACTCCTGGTTCTACTTGAGCTCCATCTTGATGAATACGACATGACGTGGCTGCCCTGGCCAGTGAAATGACAACAGAAAGCGTTATTAAAGATATAACCTAACCGAAAAAATAGAAAGGGTCCGAGAAGAAGCTATTCTCTAGCCCCGTCGGCGGGTGGTGGGGGTCTTTGCGCCTCCCTTGGGCGACGCTCCAGTGCTCTTGGCTGACGACACCTTTTCGGCGACCTTTGCACGGGAAGCCTTCTGCTTAGGCGCCGGAGCATTCCAGTACCAGATCATTTGTGTGGCGAGGATCACATTGAGGGAGAAGCCAGCGATGAATCCGTAGAGGATGAGCTTGTCATCGACTTCTTGGAGGGTAGTGAAGATGCGAGAGAGAGATCCGGCGAGGTAGTTAAAGACCTAGAAGAGACAATAACTATTAGTATACGGCGAGAAAGTGCATACTGCGCAGGCATAGACTTACCGCGAATGCGCTCAGCTGTCCGGTTCCTCCTTCGCGCCAGATGGTATAGATCTGGGGTGCCTTGCTAGCAACACCTAAGGCACCTGCACCAGCCTGCAGGTAGGCCATGGTCTGCGCATCCACAAGGGTCTGATCGAAGAGCAGAGCGTACACGCTAGCAGCGACAACAGCCACGAAAGCTGCAGCCGCCGCAGAGCGTCCAGCATAGTTTAGAACCAAAACACCAACAGCGATATCCTGAACGGCAATGAGAGCAGTCTCGCCATATGTGCTGAATGGGAACTGGTTGCGCACGCCGTAGGAGAGGGTGATGAGCAGGCTGGCAGTTTCAAGGGCGTATGAAACGAACGAGACACCGGCCGAGGAACGGGAGCTGATCAGCTTGAGGATCTGCGGAATCTTGACAACTGCACTGGCACCAACGATAGCCAGACCGAGGGCCTTGGAAATGGCCAGCGACGTGCAGGCAGGGTCCTTGGTGACATCGAGGTCGAGGAGGAGCGCGCTGTGGCAGGGCTTTCCGATCAAGGACACGACGGCATCGTGAACAGGTTCAGGGATCGCGGAGACAATAGGCTCCAGGTAGGGCTGCAGGGGAGCAATCACGGAATTCTGAAGAACGTCCATAATGGTATCGTTGTCTAAAGAAATAGAGAGGATCATGCCACAGAACAATTGTTGACATTCACGGATGTGGCCCGTGCACCGGGGAAATTCAACTTCTCTCGTCCACTTTTCTTCCTTCTGCACCGACACGCCATGATCCCTCTGCGGCCCTCCCTGTTGAGGCCTCGAGAGGCGCTTGTATGCTCGCAATGTCTGGTTCGGTCCCGTACTTCACAGCCCTCCACCATTCGGGGGTTCCTATCGTCGTCGAAACGACGGACAGGCATCGCGGATGACCAGTCTCCTTCCGCATTTCACAAAACATATTTCTCGGCCAATCGATTATTTGATGGATCAAGCAACAGAGGAGGACTGCTATCTTCACTTGCATCAAATAATGCCAATGCCAAATCGACTTCCGATTCGCCCAGCGGTGCTTCCGCAAGTCCGGCCGATGCGTCTGAAACAGCTTCGTCAGGGACAATCGCGACAGCAGCAATCTCAGAAGAACTACCACATCGGCGGAGGAAGCGTTTGAAGGAGGAAAGCAAAGAGCCGGGGCAACCTGAACCCACAATTCCTCTGGATGCCTCGGCGCAACTGTCGAACTTCTCGTCCGCGCTCCCCACCACCTCCCTCCGCCGCAAACTGGCTGCATATCTCGCCCTGACAAAACCGCGACTGTCGTTCCTGATCGTCCTCACCACCACTTCTGCATACGGAATGTACCCGATTTCGTCTTTGCTCACACTCGACCCGGCCATGACTCCACTCCCTACACTTTCGACCTCAACTCTGACCCTGATATACCTTACGGCGGGCACGTTTCTGTCATGTTGCAGCGCGAACACACTGAACATGATGTTCGAACCGAAATACGATGCGCTCATGTCCCGCACTCGCAACCGTCCGTTGGTTCGTGGCCTCGTCTCCAACCGGGGAGCTCTGTTGTTCGCCGTCGGCACTGCCCTTACGGGTCTCTCTCTCCTTTATATCGGTACCAACCCGACGACCACCGCCCTATCTGCCGCGAACATTTTCCTCTATGCATTTGTCTACACGCCATTGAAGCGGATCCATGTGGTGAACACTTGGGTTGGCGCGATTGTTGGCGGTATCCCACCGCTGATGGGCTGGATCGCTGCGGCAGGCCTGACTGCCACAATTGGCCATGACACCTGGCGCGACATGCTTTTCAGCGAAGAAAGCATTGGCGGGTGGCTGCTCGGTGGAATCTTGTTCGCCTGGCAATTCCCCCACTTCAACGCTCTATCTCATATCATCCGTGACGAGTACAAGGCCGCCGGCTATCGGATGATGGCCTGGGTGAACCCTGCACGTAATGCCAGAGTCGCTCTGCGCTACTCCCTCCTGATGTTCCCTATTTCCATTGGCCTCTGGTGGTACGATGTCGTCGGCCCCGGGTTTTTGGTGAGCAGCACCGTCGCCAACGGCTGGCTGGTCCGCGAGGCGTACCGTTTCTGGCAACACCAGGGTGCTAATGGCACCGCTCGTGGACTCTTCTGGGCCAGTATCTGGCAGCTGCCTGCTCTCCTCGTCGGCGGCCTGGTAACCAAGAAGGGTCTCTGGGACGGCGTCTGGAGGAATATATTTGGGCATCCTGACGAGGATGATGAGGAATATATTTACTATGAGGACGAGGAGGAACTTGAAGGTACTGCCTCTGAAGGTAGAGAATCGGCGCCTCGTCTGTCATCGAAACAGACAAATACCAGTACTTTATCTACGGTATGAGAGACTTGGGATTTTCACTCTCTTCTGGGGATCCATTCCACTCTCCTTTCTTAGCACATTGAGATGCTTCTTTTTTTTCTCTCAAACTATATCTTGCTTCTCCGGTTTGTCTTATACAGCGGTTTGGTGTGGCGTTTTCTATTTTTGTATAACACCGGTCTCACGTGGAACCCAGTTCCAGATTATATCGTTCCTGTTCCTTTCTTACACTGTACTTTCATGATACAATCTACAACGTCCAACATTCTCCAGCATCTTATGCGCCAACTCGGTCCACACGAAGTCAATTCTTCCCCGATATACGAAACAAATTCTTGGAGAAGTACATATTGACACTTATTCGCAAATTAAACAACAGGAAGAATGCGCCAAAATTGATCCTCTCCCAATCCCTCCCCCTCAGTCCTTCACACAACCAAACAGACCACAGACCACAGAAATCTACCTAAGAGGAAGTGGAGAGACCAGCAGCCTTGATCAAGAACTGCGCAGCCTCCTTGGCATCACTGCCATAGCTCAAGTGAGCCAGGACGTTGGCACCGTTCAAGCAGACCGGGTCACCAGTGGCGCAGTACTCCTTAACCTTGCTGCTGTCAAGCTTACCAACAGCCTGAGCCTTGAACGGGTCACCGAAGAGAACAGCACCTGAGACCTGGTCAGCAGAGAGGCTGTTGGCAGCATTGTGTACGACCATGGAACCCTGCGAGTATCCACCCAGAACGACCTTAGTCTTGGGGCACTGGGAGAGAGCCTGCTTGACGAGCTTGGCCATAACGGGACCACCGTTCGCGCCTAGAGAGACGTTGCTCTGAAAGGAAAAGGTAAGTTATACGTTCCCAAGAAAAAAGAATGGAAAAGAAAATGGGGAGAAGATGGATTGATCATACCCCAGCAGTAGCCGCATAAGTCACACCCTGGACGGAGACCTTGTCACCGGTCAAAGACTTCAACTGGGTAGCGACGGGGGGTCCAACGACGGAGCCCATGTTGCCCATCTCATCACTGCCACGGGCGAAAATGAAAGTCAACTCCTTGCAGCCGGCGTTGTCGGTGACATCGTTTGAGGTGATGGAACCGGAGCCTAGTAGACTCTCACGTTTAGCCTTGAGACTGGAAATACCGGAACCACTGGGGATATTACTAAGGCCAGGGATGCTCAATCCGCTGCTGCCAGAGCTGCCACCAATAGAGGGAATGAGGGAGGTGAGGGCGTCGAGACCGCTGTTTGTGCCGGAGCTGCCGCCGAGGCCGCTGGTCAGGGAGGAGAGGTCGAACTGGCGCCTCTCTGCCTCCTTGGCATCGCGGCGGGCCTTGAAACCGAGGCCACTGGAGCCGCTGGAGCTCATAGAAGGAATGAGGGACTCGAGGGCGCCGAGACCACCACTGCTACCGGAGCTACCACCCATAGAGGGGATGAGAGACTCGAGGGCGCCGAGACCACCGCTGGTACCGGAGCTACCACCCATAGAAGGGATGAGAGACTCGAGGGAGCCAAGACCTCCGCTACTGGAGCTGCCACCAATGGAAGGGATCAGAGACTCCAGAGAGCTGAGGCCACCGCTGGTACCAGTGCTGCCACCAAGACCGCTGGTCAGGGAGGAAAGGTCAAACTGACGCTTCTCGATGTCACGGCCAGTCTTGAAGCTTGGAATACCGGCACCGCTAGGCAAGGCGGTAGGAGCGGGCAAGCTGGGAGTGCCGGAGGACTCAGCACCAGAGCCTCCAAGACCAGGCAGGTCACTGAAGCTAGGAAGGCTCGGGGTGCCAGTGGAAGAACCACCGGAACCTCCGAGGCCAGGGAGGTCACCGAGGCCGGGGAAGCCAGAGCCAGAGCCGGTGGAAGAGCCACTGGACTCACCTCCCAGACCGGGGAAGAGGGAAGCCAGAGCGCCGAGACCACTTTCAGTTCCAGATCCACTGGAGCCGAAACCGGGGAATTGGCGGTTCTCGATCGTTTGAGTGGGAGCGCTCAAGGCTGCGCCGGCGAGGGCGAGAACGACTGTGTTTCTCATATTGAAAAGAATGAAGTAAAAAGGGCAACTAACGAACGAGAGAGACCAGCTCTGCGCTTTACAAGGAACAAACGAAGGAATGGAGGGACTGAGGAGGGATGGTTCAGTGATTTGTCTGGAGGCGACAAGACGACTGCCTTTATATTCTTCAACAATCACATCGTCAATGCCGAAATCACAACTGCCGAATCTCCATTGACCGAGGTTGAACTGGATTCCATTTTGCGATGCAGTGATAGTCCGGAGAATGTCTACATCGAGTAACTAGTAATCCTCATGAAACAAAACGCCTTGCCCCGTTTCATCCTGGGATCCTGGTACCCGTGGCTGGAATTCAACTTCGGGGTAGATAGATCCTAAAGTTGGGGCACAAACGACTCGTAAATAGGTTCTTTTACGTACATGTATGTGAACACTGGTCTTCACTAGACCTTGAAGAGGAAGTCTCCCCCGTTAGCTCAAGTCTTAAAGAATAGCCTGATCCTAGTGATCATCAAACACGACAGATCAATTCTTAGATAGATGAGCCGACTGGGAGGTCCTGCGGGTACAGGGCACAAACTGAAACAGCCATACAATTTACTTCATCGAGGCCGAGTTTTGGTAGGTGAAGGCATCCGATGGATAGTTCTCAAAAATGAGACGTTCCTACCCGCATCGGGCAATTTGACCGTTGGCCCTAAAAAGAGCCACACGCTAGACAAGCCACAACGCCCACCGGACCACAAATAAAGGATCCGGGTAGCCATGTTCAGGCGTGGGCCCCTGTTCCCGTTTCTGTTAGATGCATAATTAGCCTTTGATATACTTCGGGCCCGTTTCAGGTCCAATTCTAGCCTGACGTGTTGGATGTATCGATTTTAGCCGGCCGGGCCGGGGTCCCTCAGGGCTTGGTGGTATGATATCAGATCTTTACATGGGTTGAGACGGATATAGTGAGATGAGTATTATGTCGGGATTTCTCAAGCTAATGGCTCGTAGAATGGTGGGTATAGTACACGGGTATAGTACAAAAATTGGTACATGTAGTTCTCGTTGAGAACAGGAATATGCATGCCCATGCATCGGATGTAAGCACAATTCAGCGTGCTGATCTACTTCCTTAATTTCAGGTGGTAAGTCTCCAATGCTTGCTCGGTCATGGGACTCGGCGCCCCGACCATAGCGTCGTCGCCTCCTCTTCCGGTTTTAGGGAAAGCAATCACATCCCGCACAGATTCTTTGCCTAGCATGACAGCAACAAGTCTGTCAAAGCCCAATGCCAGACCCGCATGCGGCGGACATCCAGAGCGCAGAGCATCGAGCAGATGCGAGAAGTCATCCAACCGCTCAGCTGGCATTTTCAAGATATCACGGAAGATGAATTCCTGGACCGCTGCATCGTGGATACGGCGACTACCGCCGCCCAGCTCGACTCCGTTCACGACTAGGTCGTAGTGGTCGGCCACGGCCTGGGTAGGGTCTGTGAGGAGGAGGTCGACGTCAGCGGGGGTCTTGGGTGCGGTGAAGGGGTGGTGCGTTGAGGAGATGCCTGCTGCGCCGCCCTGGCCTGGCTCTGAGTCCGAGGAGGGGGAGAAGAGAGGGAAGTCGACGACCCAGAGGAAGTCGAATCCTGTAGGGGCGGGCTTGAAGCCCGTCGAAATGCTTGAAGCGTGTAGTGCACGGCGTAGGTCACCGATAGGAGTCGAGCCGCCAGAGAAGGGGGCACGAGGTCGTGCTTGAAGGATGATCAAGTCACCGTGATCGGGGTACAACAGTTCTTCGACATGCTCAGCGGCCTGGAAGCCAAAGGGCTGTAGTCCGCAGAGAGGCTGCTTGCCGTTGTAGATGAAGACACCCGGGCCACCGTCGGGGTTGTTGTTGAATGGTGCACCAGCAGGCGAGTCGAGGAATTGAGTGATGAATTTATGGGTTTCGGCGGGATCGTTTTCGTTTCCTTCAACCTTGAAAGCCTCCACAATGGGATCCTCCAAATCAGAAATCTTGCCGATCAAATCCACGGGCAAAAGTTGATCGAGTCGAATAATTTCCATGCCGTATCTGGTATCTGGCTTGTCAGAGCCGTACTTAGCCATGACTTCCTGATATGGGACCTTTCGGAATGGGCCCTGCGGGGCGGGGTCTTTCATCAACGATGACCAAAGTCGACGAATGACTCCCTCGATTGTACGCATCACATCATCTCCGGTAGCAAAGGACATCTCCATATCAAGCTGAGTAAATTCTGGCTGGCGATCGGCCCTTAGATCCTCATCACGGAAGCAGCGCGCAAACTGATAATACCGCGGCAAGCCACTAGCCATAAGAATCTGCTTATACTGCTGCGGACTCTGAGGCAAAGCATAAGCCAATCCCTCACGGCGAGTAGGAACAATAAATTCACGCGCACCCTCAGGGGTAGATTTGAACAAGAGCGGTGTCTCAATTTCAAAAAACGGCGGAGACTGCTCCTCCAGCTCTTTCTTGCAGAGGTTATGAGCGCGGGCCCGGAATCGCAATGCCTCACGTAGCTCTGTATCCGAGCGCAGCTGTAGGTATCGCTGCTCAGGCGGGAACACTGTTTCGGGTGTCATAATTGTCTCCTTGGGGAAGTCATTCAGAAGGTGAATCTCCTCCAATGCGAGCTCCCATGAATCCTCGACGGGCTTATCGGCTGATTCCGAGGCTTTGGCTTTCTTCTTTTGCACAGTGCCGCGCACAGCTACGGGGCTGTTTGCATTGAGTGCTTTGAGCTTCTCGAAGGCATTGTTCTTGGCGAATGCGACGACTTGCAGGCTGTGTTGTAGAGTTGGATCGGCCAGGCGCACGAACGACAGTTTCTTGGAAAGATCAGAGCGCTGGCCAAGATATCCGTGTAGCACAACTTCGGTGTTTGGCTCGGCCTGTGCGAAAAATGTCTCGAAGTCATGAGTCGCCGGAGGGAAGTCGACTGTAAGGAATGATATACATTAGTCAAGGTTCAAAGTTGAGGACAGCGGACATTAGAAGGAAGCTCCAACATACCAGCCCGCTTATAAGCTTCTAAGAAAGCTGGAAGCTCTTTAGGAGGCTCCTGCTGCAGGCAAGCTCGAGCATGGAAATACCGCGGCGCATGAAGCGGCCGATGGCATTGTCTCGGCAGTGCAGCAGCACGACCACGAAGGATATTCGAGATCTCAATATAACTGGACCTCAAACGCAAAGAGCGCATCGGCAGCACACCGATTGGCATATTGCAACGCTAAAACAAAGACAAAGCACAGTAGAAAACAAGAGAGTCAGATCTGATCAAACCACAAAAACCGGCAGAACAGCTCCCCGCCCTGGGAGCGGACTAGCGCGGGCAGAAATAAAACCCGCGCGATTTTCTCTTTTTCTTTCTTTTCTTCATCCTTCCAAGTTTTATACTTGTGAGTCCTCCTGTTCCTCTTTAATTACTTTATTTGCATTTACTGACTGTTATTCCAGAATGATGAAAGCCTAGTGTGTTATATATGAGACAGTCTCTTCCCTCTGAGACGTGCGGCTCTCTTTCTTCGGAGAGCTTAAGGGCTGTACGACTCGAGGGGTGGGTTTGTGATATATGCGTTCGGCATACCAACCTTGTTTACATGACGGACGCGATGAAGGCATCTCTGATCCTTTTTACAAACTTGAAGGTGTTACCACGGCGTTGAGCTGTGGTTGAGGCTGGTCCTCGTTGGAAGGGAATGGATACTGGATTGGCTTTGGAGACATTGCTATATGACAGTCGTCCTCTCTTCTGGCTTTGATATTTTATCTAGCTGGGCATGGATCATGTGTCCCTCGCGCCATGTTCGAGTGCTTTGAACGGTCGTCATCACATGTAGTTTTGAAGCACCAAGTAATAACATGCGTGCATGGCAACAGGGGCTAATTCATGACTACATGAGAGGATACTGTTCAAAGTTCTCACAATAAAAAATCAACTCGCATTTGCATATATCAGTCTTCCAATCTGATGCATCTAAAACTGTACAAACTTGGTAACCACTTTTTCCTTCCAATCTCACCACATTCACATCACGAACCCCAATCACTCAAAAATCATCTTCTCCAAAACTTCCTTCTCCCCACTATTCTCAACAAGATTCCTAAAAACGCCCCCTTCAATCCCCATAAGATCCCTAGGCGTCCCAAACTCCGCCGCCTTCCCAGCATCCATAACAAGAATCCGATCAAAATCAGCAATAGTGCTCAACCGATGCGCAATAACCAGCAGAGTGGTAGCGTTGCGCCCAAACTCAGCCCGAATAGACGTCTGAATCAACGCGTCAGTCTCCATATCCACAGCCGACGTCGCCTCATCCAGAACCATAATCTTCGGCCTGGATACGATGGCACGGGCTAGACAAAGGAGTTGGCGTTGGCCTTGTGAGAGGTTCAATCCTCCTTCAGAGATCGTCGCTGATAGAGATGTGAACGCGTTCGCATTCGTCTTCTGTGTCTGTGCAGGCTCGGGTGTCGTAGCACCCGTAACACTAGGTTGACGGGGTGAGGCAGTCCGTGACGTGAGTGTTAACTCGTCATCGTCAGCTTCGGAAATGAGATGCACGCGCGCTAGTGCATCGTACAGTTCTGTATCACTGTATTCGCCGAACGGATCCAGGTTCGATCGGACAGTGCCAGAGAAGAGGACCGGGTCTTGTGGAATGATAGCAAGGCGACTGCGGAGATCGTGCAGTTTAATCTTGGATACGTCCAATCCGTCAATGATGATTTCACCGGATCTCGCCTCCAGGAAGCGGAATAGTGCGAGCGTTAATGATGATTTGCCGGCGCCTGTGCGTCCAACCACGCCTACGCGCTGGTTCTTTTCAACTGCGAAGCTTAGTCCGTTCAGCACGGGTGGGAGGTCTGGTGCGTAGCCCACGACCAGATCGTTGACTTCTAGTCGGCCTTCTGTTGGCCAAGCGGCTGGTGCGTCTGCGCCTCCCTGGTTTTCGATTTCGATGTTGGAGTATTCGATGACGCGCTCTGTGGCGTTCATGTTTAGCTCAAGGTTGGCGTATTGGCGGAGGGCCATTGCGATTGCGGAGTTATACTGCAGTGCGAAGCTCAGAGCGAAACCAGCTAGGGACGCAGTGATACCGGGGACGTAGACGATGAGAGCGGCAGTAAGTGTCGAGAAGATTGCACCGACGACGTTCATGCGGAAGCCTAGCCAGCGGTTGAAGAGCCAGAGGTTCCACCAAGCTTGGGCATGGCGGTTGATCTTGCTGTACATGATTTCGATGTATGTGTCCGGTTTGCTGAAGGCGCGGATTGTGATCAGACCCGCGAGACTCGAGCCGAATTGTTCAAAGACGGGGCTCTTGGCTGTGCTTTCTAGTCTTTTGATCTGGCGCGCGCCTGCTAGGTAGGTCAGGGATAGCTTTAGGCATATCAGTAGGAGGACCGCGGCGAATACTATCACCACTGGTGATACGAGCATTCCTGCTATCATAATTCCCAGGACCTCCAGGATCTTGCCGACAAAGAAGCCGATGTCGTAGCCGATTCGGGAGTCGAGCGAGTGGAAATCTGCTGTGAAGCGATTGAGGATTCGTCCTAGTGGGACTGTGTCGAGCCATCGGAGTGGTGCGCGGAGGACGGCGAAGATTAGGCCGTTGAATAGGTTTCTTGAGGCTTGCACTGCTGCGCGGAGAACGAAATAGTATCGGACTGATCCGGCGATGCATGCAATGACGGAGAGTGCAACGTAGATTCCGAGATACATGGCAAGGCTGTCGTCCTGTGGGGGTGGTGTCGGCTGCATGGTGTGCTGTAGTAGTACTTGGTACTGCTCAGGGTGGGCTTGAGTACTGCTCGACGATGATCTTGTCCAGATATTGATCCACCAAGCCTGAAAAAATGTTAGTATAACTTACACACGGGGTAAAAGATAGACTCTTTGACAGCCTTTGGGGATGTTCACTTACTCGTCCAACCATGAGGGCCGCAAATATCAAAAAGACAGACACAGTCATGATCCAGTATGCCACCGAGCCACCCATACCCAAGAAAGCACCATAAATCGCAAGTCGCACAGAGCCAATCTCGCGCTTCTCATCCTCGACAAACTTTTTCGGTGCAGAAGCGTTCTCTGGTGCATTCCCATTTCCATTGGAAGCATGGCCATTAGTATGACCATTAGCAGCCGCACTCGGCCGTCTATGAGAAGTATTAGACATAACCTTCTGTAGGTTTGTCTCCTCATCATTCAAGAAATCATGACTTTCATCATCAACCAAAGCATTATCTGCCTCTTCGGCAGCACGCTCCTCACGAAGGATATCCTCCAGATGATGCGATTCTTTGAGATCATCAATGGTACCTGCGTACTTGATGCGTCCATTCTCCAACAGAACAGAGTAATCCGTGAGAGGAAGACAAAGCGCAACATGGTGAGTAACCAGGACGCGGGTTCGACCCTGTCCAAGCTCACCAGTGAGTGCATGCTCGTAGACGTGACGGCCAGTGTGTGCATCCAAAGCACTGAAGATATCATCCATGATTAGGATCCCAGCTCGGGAGTACAATGCCCGAGCAAAGGAAATACGCCAGCGCTGACCACCACTCAAGTTCACACCATTGGCACCGATATCAGTCAGGTCACCATCAGGCAGCATTTCGAAGTCTTTCTCCAGAGCACAAGCGAAGATGACCTTTTTGTAGCGTTCTGCATCGTCAGGTAATCCATACAACACATTCTCCTTGATTGTTGCATTTTCAATCCATGGGATCTGCGCAACATATGCAATAGCCGAGTCGATGATCCAGTTGGCCTTTGTTGCGAGACGGTCGTAGCGCTCCCTGATGGGTGGTGGAACAGGTGCTTTGACCGTTCCACCGACCACATCACATTCACCGAGAATAGATGAGAGAAGCAGACTCTTTCCTGAGCCTGTGCGACCAGATACCACGCTCAGACTTTTTGTCGGGAATTTCAAGTTCATATCGCGGAGGACGAACCTATCTTCGTTATCCTGTGCATCTGCCTCGGCAGGCCATGCAACAGAGGCATTTTCGAAGGCGATATACTCCGCAGGAACGGTGTTGACAATTTTCTCCGAGGTAGCCATGAACTTATCGATTCGATCGGCGCTGACCTTGGCCTCAAGACCAACAGACGTAAGCTCAGGTAGAACAGCCAGTGCCATCTCCAGCGAACTGAAAACGGACATGGCTGTAAAAGCCACAGAGGCTGTCAACCCGCCATGGATCATGGCATATGTAGCCAAGGAGACGGCAGACAGCCCGACAGGACCCAGAATCCAGATCGAAATCAGGCCAATATCGGCTAAGAACGCAGCCCATAATGCGCCCAGCTCTGTCTCTCGCGTCTCTTGTACCCGTGTCTGCCATTGTTCTTCCAATGCAGAGAACTTGATCTGCCGAATTCCTTGCAGCACCTCTGTGACGATAGCCAGCTTTTGGTCGCGGAACTTCATCAATCGATCTTGGGCATTCGAGTATTTTCTAGCGGCGTAGATGTTCAACGGCGTAACAAGGGCGGATATAGCAAGACCGGCAAAGGTGCTTCGCCAGCCGAGAATTTGAACAAGGAATCCGCAACCGATGATAATCTTAATGATCGCGAGGGGAATGATATAGTTGAAAGCAGCGAAGTCGGAGATTCGTCGCGCGTCCACAGCCGCAAGGTTGATAATACTCTGCCGGCTCTTCTTGAGCGCCTCTTCTGCATCTTCCTCGGCTTCCTGCTCAGCCTCTGCTCCAGTGGTTGGAGTATCAGACCCATTCTTCGCACTGGATTTCTTTGTATGCTTCGCATCTTTCCGACGCATAGCCTTGGCAAAGATAACCGCAGACAACTCGGCATAAATCGGCACACCAATTCGAGAATAAATAACCCAAAACAACCAAGCCTCAACACTGGACGAAATAAACATCAATCCGCCCAGCGCCAACACCCACAGATACGACGCCCCAGCATTCCAATACGGAGTATCGCGCAATTCAAGCGTCTTAAGAATCTGAAACAAAGCCACCTGGGGACCGAAGCTCAAAAAGCAAGACGTAAGAGTAAGAATCATCTGCACAGTCAACGCACCAGCATGCGCAAAGATGATCCCTTTCCATATCTTGCGATCCTTCCTGGCCTTCTCGAATTTCTCTTTTAGAAAGCCTGCGCGCTTCGACGCAGGCAGTTTAGGGATATCATCGAGATTGAGGGTACTTTTCTGCGCGGCATCGTCTAGTAAGCCTGCAGCCCAGCTAAACGAGAACCGATTCAGCACGGAAACTGAATATTCTTGGTCGACCACTTTGTCTTCGTGGTGTACATCCGGACGGCGGGGTATCAACACGCAGAATAATGCGCGCAGAGATGCGCAGGCGATCTGTGATAATTGGAGGGCGATCCAGATCCGGTCGTAGGGAATTACCCGGCGTGCATAGATGGTCAGACCTAGTTCAACGCATGGAGCGGCGATTGCAATGATACTTCCGCCAAAGGCGAAACCACCGAGGACGTAGCGGTACGTCGGTCGGGGTTCAGTGAAGAAGGCGATAGATTGGATAGCGAGGAAAGTCTAGAGTATAATAACTTAGCGTGTTCCGTTTCAAACTAGAGTTTTGGTGATTTTTCTTGTTTCTGGGCCACTCACCCACACGCCGAACTGCAACCATTCCAGCAAGATATAATCCTCAACGTTGCCCATCAATGTCGTAAGAACAGCCAACGCTAACGTGATTAGGAACCCGGCAGCGGAGAATACCGCAATGGTAATTCTCTGCCATCTATCCGAAAACGCTTGGAGAGATTCCTCGGTTGCCTCGCCGTCTTCGTCGCGGTATTCATCCTTGGCTAGCAAGATGGGTTCGTAGTTGCGACTGTTGCCCGCGATGCGAGTTACGATACTTCGGATGGCTGGTATGCTATCCAGCGCGACTAGCGACAAGGCTAGAATACTTGTCGCTGTGGAAGTTACCGTGTAGGGGGCCATGATTCATGTCGTCCCTGGCGGGGAGATTCACGAAAGAAAGAAAAAAAAAAAGGCGAGCGAAAAACATTATACAAGTAGCGTGTCTTATCTAGGTACACTTGGAGTTAGCGCCAGCCATGGAGGTAAGGTGACAGTGAGCGGGGAAGCTTAGACCGCAACTTGGTGACTCAGACACGTTGTATACCTATATTATAGGTAGAAATACGTATGAGGGCATAGTCTAGACGGGTTTGACTCACAATGACTGCATGCATGAAGCACAAGAGACCTATCGGCTGCTAAGCATCGGGGACCACATTGGGAATACTCCACTAGTGGATCAAGGAGTCACAGATAAGTACGAAGTGCATATCTATGTACAGACGCTCTCTCTTTTCGAGTCTTGAACTCTATTTTGCATCAGGCTTTACCCATTATGGTTAGCCTACCCCTGACCTTTGTACTTGGCTGTATCTGAGTACCGTCATAATTAGTGGCATAAAAATTGCTCTTGTATTATGGTTGTATGGCCCGTCCGCTGTCTAGAATAACTTCCTTGCAAACAAGCGAAACACACCTTGCGGTGGATTTCGAAACTAAGAACACTATCATAACGCCGCTAATTCTAATATGGATCAAAATTGCTTCGAATACGGGCTGAGAAACAACGCGCGAATGTCTGCCAGTAAACTATTTTCGAATTATACTGTGTGGTCAAGCCCTGTGTAAATTTTCCCTCGCTATATAGATGCTATCACAGTGCCTGAAGTCTCTCAAAACTCTGTAGGCATTGAAGAACAATGCCAGATAGAGCATAGAGCACCAAGTAGATCTATCCATGGTTGGTCACATTATTTTACCAGCAATTCTGCTTACGGCCTGAAAGTATGATCAGCATGCCTCCAAATCTTCTCATTAGACGATCGTTAGACGAAGGGCTACATTGGCTGGAGGCTGCACCTAGCTCAAGGAAGCCAGAACGATGTAAAGATAAAGCACAGTAATTTCCATAATAAATAGTGGACCGCCTAAGGTTCTGTTGTGCGCCTCATCCTCGACTGGTTGATAGCTACTTTCCTACTAACAACATTCTGGGCTTGAAAAGCACTTTTTAGGTCAATGGAACGCAATTGAAAACATCAATAAAGGTATTACAGGTCAGAAAGGATCTTCACCTGGGCCAGGTTGCTTGCCATTTTCAAATACACAGTCCACGTGATTGGGGAGATCAATGGAATTCTATTTCATATATTAGCCAGAGTGAACGTAGGAATGAAGAGCGCAAGGGGGAGTTTACAATGTTTGGCTTCGGACAAAATACATATCCCCTATCACATGAAGAAGGCTTGCAGCCTGGAAAGCCGGTGTTAGTCACTTATGTTTTCGCATCTGCCGTGTACCTTGCCTTTCATGTCTACACAATTCACAGCTCCAGTAACAAACAGTGTAGTTCCCGACTGGCCAGCAGCCGTGAAATCACAACAAAAGCATGGTCCGACCGCAGTAACAACATTAGTCACTGCAAATAGACCAAGACCAATCGTAAGGCGCATTTTAGGTACTAGATGATATAAAGTATTCCGAGATTAAAATTGCTCTGGTTGTGTTATGAAGAATAGAAAATTGAGACTGCAAATTTCAGTGGATTATATAGTTGATTTAACAATTTCTAGGTCATCTGCCGGCACGTAAGTCTAGACTAGCTTTAGACTCTCCTTCGCCGATCCTTTAAAATTGAGTTTGTCCGCAACTGTCGCCCACAAGTGATAATATAGTTCTGGACTATTGGTTCCGGTGGGCGACTGACAGCTATACGTGGATAGATTATTGAGTATTATGTCGAGCAGTAGTAGTGGCAAAGCTTCCTCCGCTTAGAGATACCTAGATTGCGACCTATGACTTACTTAGACTGCGACATCGCCCATCCACGGGCCTTAAGGTAAGGGCCCATGAAGGCTCATGCCCATAATTATGCACAAGTAATGTAAGAATTACCCTTTCATATGGAGCTAAGCACGGCGGATGAGGGCGAAGAGAAGGAGAGGGATAGGTCATATGGACCATCCCTAACAAAACCTAGTAGTAAGGAGCAAGCACGGTGTCTAGGAAAGTGATTTTAGCTCGTTGCTTAAACGAAAGGAATTTGGAACGGCTGTTATAGATTCAGTGATGTAATCTCTAACCAAATTATAACACATTATACGAGATAAGAACCATTTAGACGTTTAACAAAACACTGGTGGGGTCGAACTCCATATTCAGAGTTCTAGAAAGAGGCTTAAAAGCGCAAAATGCTCTTATCATAACTATGACCTAATTGCAAGCAATGATGGTTGTTGGTAGGAGTCTAAAGGATCTACTTCGCAGGTCGCATTCAATAGTTTTAAAGGTTTTCTTTCCTTGGAGATGGATAGCTCGTAAGCCAAAATATTCTCAACCTTAAAAGGCTTTTGCCCCATCATTGCACAACTTGGTTCAGCTCGAACTTCTAAACTCAAAGTGACGTTGAAACACCATCCACGAGCTGAATTTATCAATTCGTATTGTTCTGGACCCACCAGGAACCACCGATAGCCAATCAGTCCTAGGGACTACGAATATCAGGTCACGTGCACCATCTAATAGCCAGAGTCCCCGACACCTTTGGGACCTTGGGGAACGAGAAACCACGGTCATGCTTAGGGAGCAAGAGTAATATTAGCTCTAATATAGACAAGTATGTACAAGACCAGTTTCACCACCTTACACTCTGTGATTGATTTAGGGCCCCACTGCTCAGATGCTAGCTAGCTGGGAGAGTAAGTGTAGATTAGTAGGCCCTCACATCACATTCAGAAGGTATCATATCCCAGACACATATAGCCAGTAAGAAGGTTTGGTGAGAATGTTGACTGCTAGAGATATGTCTATCTCTGATTTGAATTTGGTTGAATTCATTTTCCACATAGTCGTGGGTAGTCGGATTAAGCCTGAGAAACCTCTTAGATTTCCGGTCATTCTCTCTTGGCTAGACCTTCTCACTGTCGACAAATAATACGATGCTTACATTAGCACCCTTCTATGACAATTCCGTTATACGGACCTTCTTCGTCCGATATGTATAGATAGAACTACTCCCAGGTGATATATCGATAGGTATATTTGCCGTTGGGAGTTTTGTAAAAATTTTAGAAAAACATAGTTCTCGAAAGATGAACAATATCATCGTGCTTTCATTTACTTTTTGTTTTAACATTTTGGTCAAAAGATAAATATTTCGACGTAAGCTGTCACGCCCATTTCCCCGCCAAATTAAGCAATGACTTAAATCTTCATATAATACTCATCGACAAGGTAGGTAAGCGTAGTGTTCTGAGCTCGGATACGAATCCGTCACTTCGAGCATAAGAAGCTAGGATAAAGACAGGGAACCTCAATCGGATTAGGAATACACTAAGCTTGTTCCAAACCCCCCTTTAACCAATAATAGAAACCCACGATCCGTATTAGCAGCGTGATAACCTAGTTGTACTACGGCTAGGTACGCGAGGTAGCCATAGTAACTTACTATAGTGTAGACAAGAAGAGGTTGCTTTTTATCAATACCGGCCAGGATCCCGTGCAGTGTGTCAAACGGAACATTCTGAGCCGACAAGACATGCCCTTTAGCAAGGTCATCAGGAAAACATAGCTGCATAGGAACATTGTCTTGCCTTTACTAGGATGGCCTCTGACCCAGAGGAGACAGTTGCTCTGGATGTCTCGCCATTGTTTAAACCACTCATTGTCTAGAATCCAGTAGTATAAGTCTTTAAGCAGCCCTCCGTTGATATTCTGAATACGATATTTGCCATGGTGAGGATTGGTCGCCCGCAGATCCGCAGGCACGCTTGACTAAACGATGTTTCCGATAGTACTATGGCAGTCACACTAATTAGCACGTTATATTAGAGATGCCTCTGCCCACTTACGGAACTATATAGGGATGTGAACATGGTTATACCCGACTTGGAATTCAGAGTTTTCATTGCCAAATGATGTTTCAGGTGCCATGATTGCAGGCAGATATTTGTAGGATTAGTCGCGAACGCACGGCTGAGTCGCCCAAGTAACCCGCTGCCAGGTGACCTATCAAGCTACGCTAGCGAGGTACCACTTAGTGTGACTTCAGGCTCCTCGTTCACTCGAAGAGGCAATATTTATACTTATTTATTAATTGTTGCTCTTAATGGTAATTGCGTAGACCCAGCCGTCATCTGTTTATCCACCGCCCAAGTGGACCGTACAGGTATTTTCGGTAAATTACATAGTAACTCATTATGTGATTGAAGATTACAATACATTTCGATATCTTGAAACTTGTTAAACTAAATACGGACTAGCGTCTTTCCGGGTTGTGAAACTAATTTCGAGCGCGGCTGTACCTATGTACTGACTTTAGCCAAGAGACATAGACCGTAGATCGACCAGCTACCTCTCTATGGTACTTCTAGTACGATACTAATGCAGGACAGGTCTCCACCCCCGTCTGGGCACAAACCCTTGAACACCCTCATCCGCAAGAACATGCAGTCCTAATCGCCCCGTAAGAACACTCCGCTCCACCTCCGGCCCGTGCACATGGAACGGCTCAAAGCCCCCGTCGGACTTCCGGCACCAGAACTTCGACTTCGCCTTCCGCTTACTAGATTGTAAATGCTGCTCTGGACTCGGCTCGAATCCCGAGTTTATGCGGTCCAGACTGAGATACCAGCGTCGTTGGTGGATCGAGCCTATGATATTTGTGGAGCCGGGATAGGCGTTTTTGAGTTGGATGTCCAGGTCGGGGTCGTGGTCGGAATGGGTACCGTTTTCTGGATCGGATTTGGATTTTGAGGGTGTTAATCGGTCTTGTTGAGTTCTTGATATAGGTGGAGATGCCGTTCGGTCGGTTTCAGGGGGTGGCGGTGAAGCCGATTCCGAGTCTGAGGTTGATGGCGCTTGTGGTACTGTATGTGTGGAATGGTGGCGTCGGCGCCGTTTTAGGCCTTGGCGGATTGGTTTCTGGAAATTGGTGGTTTTGTCCATGCGAAGGGAAATCGTGTAGTCTTTTGGTAGACGGGTTCCATGTAACCGCAGTCGGATTTTGCCCTGGGATGAACCCGTGAGAATAATACCCACGTTGTTTGCAAAATTGAGACGTACATTTTGGAATGCTTCTTGCAACTTTGCGCTATCAGACATCTGCTCTTCCAGCGAAACAGATGCAGGAACAGATCCCTCATCGGAGATCTCAGACCTTGAATCATCCGTCTCAGGAGCAGATGGATCCTCCATCGGGTAAGGCAGAACTTCGTATTCGCCAGTATCCCAGATGATCATACTTCCCGTTTTATGAGAAGCCGTCTCAATAAGATGATTCTAAAACAGAGTCAGCAATCAAAGATTATATCAGTTGATGGCAGCCGTACCCATAAACAATGAATGCGAGTCTCAGTCGCATTCCGATTCAATTGCTTACTATTCGGATCACCCGGCATTCCATACATAATCGCCCAGCTGACAGAGCTCGTCTCTGAGATCTGTAGTCGGAGATCATAATGGGGACCTGCGACGGGGTGATCGTGTTGATGGATGACGAAATGGCGGCCTTCTGGGTGTTCATTGCGTCTGTATAGATCGATCCATTCTCCAATCGGCAGCTGAGGAAATGGCTGATATGGGGGTGGACGCATGCATTGGTTCAACTTGGTGGATATAATCTTTAGATGGTCCTTCACCTGAACTTGGCCTGCTTCTATAGCGGCAAGGCTTGGCGTAGTGTTTGACTGGCATGCGTTGAATGAAAACGTGTTTCTTCCATCCTGACTTTTCCTGCTGCGGGATCTCTTTGGTGGCGGAGATACAGGTGCACTTAAGCTTGCGAGGATTGGTCGCGTATTTCGAGATGTTTGTTCCTTCGGCTCATGCTCTGGGCTGTTTTCTCGGCTGCTTTCTGGGCTGCAGGCGCGCTTCATGATCTGCAATTCAGATGGAATAGCGGTCTGCAAAGATCATGTGGCAGATCAAGCCATCGTTCCTAGACTATGTAATGCCCAAAATTGAGATGTACTTGCGAAGAAGATTGGAAAGTTGATGTCGATCCGTTGCAGAGCTTAGTCATCGACCAACGGTGCGCTCATCACCTGGGCGTGGTAAATTGAACGTACGTTATTTAATCGTATACATGGCAAAGTCTTCGATACACATTTATCAACAGGCTGACACAAAGTAAGATCAATTCGACTGGTAAGTGGATATATTTTTAAGGATGGAGTCAAAAGCTCGATGGAATTCACACTGCTAACTCGCTAAATAACTATCTGAATCGCTTTAAAACTAAATGGGCATCCAGGCCGAAGCTACCAATAAGAAGCATGAAAGATGAAAGATAAAAGCACCTGCAAGTATTCGATCTTTGTCTTCGTCCGGTAAAACACACCAATCTGTTCCGGAGAGAACCCAGCCACAAGATCCCAGCTTGAAAACCCCTAAACCTCACGAGACCCAGGGGTAGGAGGATTAACTTCCACACTCTGTGGGTTATGGAAGACATCTTTCGGGTCGACGGCAGTCTTAATATTCTGGAGTCGACCGAGATTGGGTCCCCAATAGGCCTCCTGAGCGTGTTTGAGGTAAGGATCAACATATCCAGGGTAAGAACGCACAGGGCCTGGTGGGCGGTTCCCAATGACAACTTCATGCAAGCGATTGAGGAACCGTTTCACGATAAAGCCCGGGGGCTCAAAGCCGGCGACTGCATATGACTGCATCCACATGATAGCATCGCGATGACCGTATGAGGTTGCATTCATGGGGACATCGTTGGTTGCTCCGCCTTCCAGGTCAAAGATCACCCACCAAGTGGGAGTACCCTTTGGTGCAGTATCCAGGTATGTGAATAAGGCAACCAGGTCATGCTCGGTGAACAGCTCGTCAGCCGTGAAGGATAATGACTTGGCGTAGAAAGAGGTGAGTACGCTGCCAGTGAGACGGAGAAAGTAATCCTCAGCCGTGTGAGCCAGTAAAGATAGCCAGTTGGTGATATATGCCACGTTTCCCATGCTTTGAAGAGGCAGATCGTTTTCCAGCTCGAACTCTCGGAATTCATCCCTGGTCCCAAAGAAGGTGCCCATGATAATGATACCATCTTGAAAGACCGTGAGTTCGGTGGAAAAGTTCCGAGTGAGGTTCGGCTTCGCCACAATATCCTGCCAGGCCATAAACAGCTTAACCTTGTCGAGCACATCTCCCTGACTGAAGGTATACTGGTATTGAACCGCAGCCTTGGGGATTTCATGAGTGCGAACTTTAAACTCCGTAATGATACCAAAGCTAGCAGCCGCACCTTTGATAGCCCAGAAAATGTCTTGGTTTTGTGTGTCCGATGCAGTCACCACACTGGAATTGGCCAACACGACGTCAGCCTCCATGACATGATCTAGCGACATTCCCCACTGTCGAGACATGAGACCAAGACCGCCAATGGAAAAGTGACCACCGACACCGACTTGTGGGCAAGACCCATGTGACATAGCCCGACCACCAGCATGCAGAAGACGATCCTGAAGATCACCAAGGTTTGTACCGGCTCCAATCGTGGCAACGTGAGTATCGGGGTCCATAGCGAAAATTTGGAAGTTCTTCAGATCCACGACGACATGACCATCTGCTCCGCCGAGACCTGTGACGGACTCTATTAGCGTGTGTCGATTTCAAGTCCCGAATTTTCTCTACCGTAGTTCCCATAGCTGTGACCTCCACTGTAGGCCTGCACCTTGTAGTTCTGCGCAGCAGCACAACTCACGATCTCGGCTACCTGGGCGGTAGTCTTGGGGTAAGTGACCACGGTGGGATGGACTGGAATGGCCAGGTTGTAAGATGGCTCGATTCGGAACTCGTATAGCAAGTCTCCTCGAAATGTGATGAGATTGGGGTCGCTTCCCACAGCGGCCACGAAGCATGCACGTCCGGCGACGCTGGCTGAGTTTCCCATCTTGCAAGTATATCAGAGATGGGATGTGAGATTTCGGGATGGGCCTGAGGGATGAAGAGGTCAAGTTCACAGCTCTGGAGAGAGCAGTGGGTTGAATATGAGATCAAACAGGGCAACAACAGGATGGCACCTGCCTGGTCTGCTGGACAGTTGACTTTTCATGTTGTGTTTGTGTTCCCACTCTGTCGACGTGTATACTTGGGTGACTTTCTCATCCTGGACTGTATTGCTGTATTGCTGGACATTCTTCAAGACCCCCGGTGTTCTTCAGTTGTACTATTAGGGCATATATCCAGTCCCCGAGCAAAAACATGGTTGTTTTATGCATCAACCTGTCATACTGACATGCAGGGACTCGTGTAACCATCTAACATCCATGTTGAAGACCAAATCACAATACTTTAAAACAAACGAATGTATAAACAAATGCCCGGGGACAAGGAAGAAAATCGGGGATCACAACGGCGACTTGGATGGTCCCCGATCCGGCAATCCTTAAGGGGTGCAAGAATGCGCAAAGCCTAAAATTCACCTTCTATGTTCCATTGCTTCTTTCAGACCCCTGCCCATTAAATCTACGATTCTCCGGTTCTCCTCTACTTCCATTGCCTTTGATACGCCAAATTGCCATTAAGATCTATACGGCCTCAGACCGCACCTCCCGCTATGACATCAGGGAGAAAACTTTGATACCAACATCCGACTCGAGACAGCGAAAATATCATGTTCACGCCAGTCCACACAACCCTAGGCGCGCTATTACTATTCCAAGGGTCGTCGGGCCTCTTGCTGCACAATGGCGCTGTGTTCGGCATCTCTTCCCTGCTGTCAGGGATCGCCTTCAACCCCAGTCGTGACAACGTGCCGATCATCGCGGGACTGGTGTCGAGTGTGGTGCCAGTCTACCTCTTCGCACCATCCCTAATCCCGAGTTATCCTGCGGCACCACATTCTTGGGCTTCTGCCGCTGCAACGCTGGGGGTTGGCTTCTTGTTGGGTTGGGGAACCAAGGTGAGGAATAGTGGACCCACAACGTCGGGGATCACCAGTTGACATGGATTAAACAGAATGGTCGAGGCTGCACTTCCGGACACATGCTATGTGGCCTTTCTCGTCTTTCCCCCCGTTCGCTGATAGCAACGGCCGTTTTCTTCACCACTGCTTTACTCACCGCGAACTTTGTTGGTGGCGGTGCCAATATCCCGGCTTGCGGTGCTACCCCGTGTTATACCCCAGTCTATCCATCAGGGCCAGAGTTGGTTTTCATGGCGGGTGCAACGATCCTAGCTGGGATCACAAACTTTGGCATCGTTCCTCGCAAAGTCCATCGGTCGGAGGAATCGAGGGTTGCCTTTTCCTTCATAGCAGGGTTGGAGTTTGGGCTGGGTCTATTGATCTCTGGAATGGCTGACCCTGCCAAGGTCCTCCAATTCTTCGCCTTTTTGACGGAACCGTCTCGGTTTGATCCGTCGTTGGCGTTGATCATTTTGTTTGGAATCGGGCCATCTCTGTTCACTTTTATGACCGAGAGACCGGGACAAGTGTTCGATAAGGGAAAAGTGGTTGCAAAGCCTACTCTAGCAGAGAAATGGCGACTTCCGACAGCGACGGTGGCTGACATTGACTGGCGCTTTGTGGCTGGTGCAGCGTCCTTTGGGCTAGCTTGGGGCTTGAGGGGCGTTTGTCCAGGTCCTGCCGTCTTGCGAACAGTCCTGCAACCAACCTGGGGACTGGCAACGATGTCCGGATACATGCTGGGCAACCTTTTTTGAGACCTTATGGAGAATGCTCAAATTGTGAACATATTATCTTCTTCTTATTAATTGTCAGAGTCGGTGGTTCTTTGGTCCATTCAGTTGAAGGGGCGTTGGTTGCATGAGGGCGGTGCTCGAGAGGAGCAAAGGTTCAAATCTCTCAAAAGCTATGTTCGGGCGTTATTAGCAGAAGAAAAGAAGTAATGACAAAGAATATGTACAGCGCCAGTTGGGCTGGGAACAGATGCAATTTGTCCTATAATAACTGCAGTGGGTATATAACGGCGGAAAAATGCGAGAATCAAGGGTCCAAGGGAAGTATGGTAAACAAACGGAAGAATCGCTTACAACTCGGTCTTCTTATTCAAACGAATGGCTTCGGCCTCTGCAGGTTCTTGGTCACTGCGACCCTTGATAGTTGCAGGGTGATCGAAATACCCTTCCAACTCCATCCATTCAGCAGCAAAGGCGGTAACAAGCATGCCCCAATCTTCGACGGTTTCCGTATCCAAATGTTCACCGTCATCATCAATTGTGTGCCAGACAGAAGGGAAGCCCTTGAATGGAGCATAGTCAATGAGGTGGAGAACTTCGACTCCTTTGGCGAGAAAAGGAAGGTGATCATCCTGGATACCACCCATGGGTGTGAGCTTGTGGCCATCCTTCTCGGAATCAATGAACCATGAGTCAGTCGAGGAAGATTTGAATTGTTTAAGTGATTGGAAACGCTTTTCGAGGGCAGCCAAGTTTTGATAGGCCCAGTGAGTAGTCTCATAGTAAGATTGAATGGTGGGTGACTTCGAACCGAGGAGATCCAAAAGAACAAACAGAGAAATTGATGACAGCGGAGTCTTAAACTCCGACATCGCCGGGTAAAACTGATCATCCCAATGTGTCGCGAGAGCACGTGCACCATACAGGGAATCAGTGTCACTCCATTGTTTGAAGGCTTCCTCGCCATCCAAGAAAATGACCTGGATGCCATTTGCGTCTTCAAGAGGCTCGTCGAGGCCCTGCTCCTTCATTGCGGACCATTTCTTCGCCAACGCAGCGTCAATGCTGCGCATTGCATGCATGATCATCGCACATGGGGCAGCACTATCGATACCTCCGATGAACCCTTTCGGCTCGATCTTGCTGTCATAATGGGCGACAAGAGTCAAGCGCTCGACGTCACCAGCCGAAGCCCAGGGAGGATCACGAGTTGCGATAAAGTTCTTAAAGGGAACTTCCTTGCCCTTAGATGTCGGTGTTTTGGCAGTTGAATTATGCACCTCAATTGTCCATTCTGGCAGGGTGTTTCGAAAGAAGTCAGCAAAGTGATTAAGCACCGCGGTGGAGCCCGGAGTGCCAGGGACGCGGGTCCTTAGTATTGGTGACAACAAGGCGCCATTGTGAATGTCAAAGTCGTCGTTCGGCCGCGGAAGAGCGTTTAAAGTCGCATCTGAGATCTTCTCGTATGCGTCCACGCGTATAAGGAGCAAGAGAAGGCCCAGCCAAAGGGACACAATGCGGCTAGAGAGGCTGCGATAAGCCGGAGACATGGCGGTAGAAGAAAGTCGCGCTAAACATTCATAACTTGCACCAAAAAATCGATATGCAAGAACGAGAGGCTTTTCCAGCTAGATAATTTGTACCGATGATCTGGCAGCAGTGCTAATGAGGAGTTGTCGGAGATGCAGGGGCTTATGCAAGCTCCAAACAGACCTCGGAGGCGGAGGCCAAGGCGGTCGCGGTTTTGCCGGAAGATCGGCGCGGATTTATCGCGCGACAAGCAACGTCCATATTCCACTCTTGTTCAATAACTCAGCCACAATGAGACTTAACATCTTGCTCCACCCTCAATTACGCACGAATCTACCCGAATGCGCCCAGAGAGGCCTTCGGAGGAGCGTTTGGGTCCGATTCAAGTCACAGATCCCCCGGCCCTCTCAGAAGCATCTGTCACCACTGCCGAAGAAAGAAACGGCTCCCGCTCCTCCGGTCAGGAGGACAGTTACACCTACATCTGAAACGAGTACCTCGCCTAAAATAAGCACGAGGACAGGTATGGGAAGATTTTCGACACTGCGAGTACGCTTGCTGATCAATAGTTGCAGGACCACCGGAACGGATATTGGTATACTATGGAGGCACAGGCAGAGCTATTTTCCTCGGTACTCTGCGTATTACGACAGTGCTCCTCTTCGGTGCAGCTTGTCTGATTGTTGCACCAGCATGCGCTGTAGCAGACTATCCATGGTATAGCGTTCCAGGCGGTCAGTTTCCTTCTATATCATGCGATCTCGACATCAGAACTAACTCGATCTTAGTAATCGCTGCCGGCGCTTTACCAATGCTATTCGTTTCATATACTTCAGCTCCTTATGTGAATTTCATTCACCTGGCTTTGCCCGCCTTTGCCAGGAAGTCTCGAGAAGCGGCCATTCAATATGGAAAAGAGCTGCCTCCAACTGCTATGTTGTACCTCACCAGCATGAGGTTCAACACCATTCCACGACAGACAGCTGTGCGTCTAGGAGACCTTGTTCCAGCTCATGATCCTCTTCGCCCTATTAGCTTCCGCAATTTGAACCCTATGCCGCAGCGGTGGTGGCAGGGGAGAGCTCCCACTGAATTCTATACGGGAGAACACTCCAAGCCTGGTCGACAAACGGCTGCTTTCTTCCCAGAGCTATGGGAAAGTATATATCGACAAATTCAGGCAGCAAAGTCCTCAACTCGATGATTAAATCTGAGCCGGACTTGATGGTTAGCCGCATCCAGGTCATATTCACCTTTGCTTCAACTCCATTTTATAGATCTTGTATGGACTGCCTCATCCTTTATCTTACTTCTACCCTTTGTACTCAACTCATGAATGTACTACACAAATACCTCTTGCATTGCTGCTCAGAACATAACTTTGTTCTAATGCTTCATTGAGATCGGAGTGACTAATATCGGTATCAATTTCATATTTGAAAAGCCTCACCAGGTTACGAAAGCAGCAAATCGGTGAAGCGGCGTGTCATTTGGCGCATCAGATACGACTGTCAAGTGCTGTTCGCGCCCCCCAATCCCAACGGAAATCTACTATTCCTGGTTGGGTCTAATCCGCCCTAACGCGTCGACGACTTCTTTCCAAATCTGACACAAATCGCAATAAGGAATTCTGCCCTGATGAACACCGAACGTGACACCACTTTCTTTGAACTGTGACGCGAAACGCACAATAAATACTGCCTTTCGCCTCATGAGAACCTTTCCTCGTCGCATACCCTTCGTTTCTTCGTATCGAAGACCAAATTCTCCGGCTTCTGCATTTCATCTTGCAATACTTCATTCTATCAACCAATCCTCCTCGCCATCAGCAACCATGGCTCCTCCCTCCAAAGCCCTCCTCTACGATGGCCCCTTCAGAAACATGAACGACACTGAGATGAAGCTCCTCGTCCTGGCTCATATGTTCGACAAAGGAAGCGGACCCGTAAGTACTTGAGACGGACCCGACCTCTTTCCCGACGCTAATATGATATATCATATGTATAGACCAACTACGAAGAGATGGCTAAGTGGACCGGCATCAAGGCGTCCTCTGCTGCAACCCTGTACCGTGGCGCCAAGCGCAAGCTCAACAAGTACATGGACGGCACCACCACCTCCACCACCATGCCCGCCAAGGCTGTCCCGGCTCCAAAGCGGGCCAAGAAGTCGACCGCTAAGACCGCCAAGGGCGTGGCCAAGGCAGAGGAGGAAGAAATCGTCGAGTACCCCGCCGCCATCATCAAGAAGGAGCCCATTGACGACTCCGATGACAAGAAGTCCGACTTGCGTGCCTCCCAGATTGCCGTCGAGATTTCCACCTTGGCCGCTCAGGCTGTCCGCGACGCCTCTGACGCCACTACTGCCTCCATCGTGGCGGAGTAGATTTCCTACATTTTGTCTTTGCTGCAATCGAGATTGTTTTTGTTCTTGCGATGAAAGAAGGAGTTGAAATGGCAGTTGCCAGGGAGTTCAGAGGAATTGTGGAGTTTGTTGTGGGGAGGTGTACATCAAATAGCTAGCTCACAGCACCCTGCATGAATGATCATCGCGGACTTGACTCTGGTCTACTTCGTAACTTGTGCGATTGTAGGAGGAGTATCATGGGTCACCATGATGAAAGATGTAGCCAAAATATTCCCCGAAGGCTTGAGCTACGTATTTAACCAGACGACAACAAAGCTCAGAGACTGGCGGGTTGACAAATTGTACAGGGATGTTTTACATAAAGACAAAGCAAAAGTGGAGGGAACGAACAATAAAACCATAGATACTCTAAAATACGCCTTTGTCGGCATTTCAGAGTGTCAACTTGAAGAGGGAGATTGGCCTGTAAGGAGGAGGTTGAAATAACCACGGGATATAGTGCGTCGCCCGAAAGTATAAAGGTTGCTGCCACGCATCCCTTCCCCACAATTTAGCATCCCACGATTGAGAATCAGGGTAAGTCACTAAGGTCGTCCATTATTACATATTCATTTACTAATACATCAAAAATAGCAGACAGAGCGAGGAAGTCCTCGGAAAGGGAGACACGCACCCATAACGAATTCTGTCGAGCTTGTGTACATACATGTCACAATCCATCGCTGGATAACGGGACCCAACTACGATACATTCCGAAAAGAAAGGATCAAGACAAACACAATGGTAATTGGAATACAAGTTACCGCATACGGGTACAAAAGAAAGCGAGGCAAAGAAAAGGAAGAACCTATTGCTGAACGCAGGCCAATGCCAACTGCATGGACACCAGAGGCGAGAACCGACAAAAACAGAGCATCTAGCTCATGACTTACAAGGATCATACTAATGCATTATAAGCACAGTAAATGATGCAATACGGCAAATAGAATTCTCTGTTACAGAAACGAAACCGAAAAGCGAGAACTCCGCTGCCACAATTGGAAAAAGGCGAATACCAAGATGTTCGAAGCGCAAAAAAAGAATCGTTCAATCGCATCTGCGGCAATTCAGAAATACAAGAGGAAATTAAGAGGCGGTCTGGCACAAATGGGATGGAGACATGAGGTGCATACACGATCAAATTGTTCGTATATGGCGTCTGATCCTCGGGGTCATCTTGAACACAGAAATGTGCCGTGAGATGGGAAGTAATCCATACGCGTAGTCTGAAAATCTCTATCATGCTACTCAATCCAAGAACACTCGGGTACCTACCGAAGAGTCCGTCCCTGAATGGGCCCACCTCCGAGAAGAAAGACAATTCTATGAATCGGTAGGGACGGAAAAGAACATCATACACTATCCTAATTCATGACCTAATCATCAGCGAGAAGTCTGATCATTGTCCTATTACAGGATGACCCGCATTCGTGCAATCGTACATGGGTTCTGAAAAGAGACGAGCTCCCTAGCGATTCACATATCAGAGTATTGAAAGCTTTCCGACTTTTCTCGGGTTTGGCTTTCATTTCGTTTGTAGTAAGCCCAAGAGGAATAGGCTTTGTAGCATCTCTGATATAGTCTCACCAGCGTTCATCTTGACCTCGTAATTCTTCTTTGTCGTAACAGTGGCAGTCGGGCTCAGGCCAGAGGTTCCTCATAGTCTGGTTAAGACAACGATAGTCACAAATGTGTACACAGTGCCACTTAATCACTTGGACAGTGAACGCACGTACACATGCCCCAAAAGCACCTTGCTAGATGTTTTCTTTCCACTCTCTCGTATATTTCGTTTTCAGGCCTATCTCGCCTGCTGTTTATTCGTAATGTATAGGCTCTCAACTGTACTATAATAAGCTGTTCACATATTGAAGACACCCCGCTCTGCCTAAGTCAGGCAACTTCCTATGTCACGGATGTTCAGGCTGAAGCCAACAAGAAATATTGCATTGATCTAGGAGTCTACCACGGCGACTAATTACATTGTTGTCAGATAGCGTTCTCAATCTCTACATAATACACGAGTGAATATGCTCTGAGCAAACTAGATAAAAGTGTACGATAACACGTAATACAACCGAATATATATTCACAAGAGTGTTAGAGATACCCTTAAAAAGAGCATTCAAGAAGGCGTGGTTAAATAATTCATTATGGATCGACTTCCTTTCCCTCTACTCCTGTCTCTAGGGCGTGGGAGAATTGGAATCCTGGCTCTTACAATCTGACGAGAAGAGCGCCTTAATTCTCAACGACTAATTCTCGAACCCTTCACATTCATCTATAAATGAAATCATCCACACTCGAAAGATCTTCTTCCTTACAACAACTTTCATCCGCTGGAAAACATCCTTTCCATCAAGTTTAACCCCACAAAGGCTTCCACTTATCACACATCAACACTTCAGAACACCATCGTCATCATGCCTGACTTGAGCCCTGACAAAAAAGGCGGAAAACCTGACGAGCTCACCATGGGTGAAAACAAGATGCTTCTCATGGGCGTTCTGTGCTCTGGCGGTGCCAAAGTCAGTTGTCAATATTTCCACAACCGTTGTCCGAGCGTAAACTAACGCTACGCATGAAACAGGTCGACTACGAGAGGCTTGGTGCCTTGATGAACATGAAGCGAGCTTCTGCTGTAAGCATGTACGGCCGCGCAGTTCGCAAACTAGAGAAGGTGTACGGCGTGAGCGCCGAGGGAGGCACGGCCAAGTCCCCTGCCAAGTCCCCTACCAAGCAAGCTGGTGGTCGGAAACGCCGCAAGAAGAATCAGGATCCTAATTTGGAGTCTGAACCTGAGCCTGAGGTTAAGGTCGAGGCCAAGACCGATGTTCCTGATGAGGCCGAGGAGGAGGATCTGTTTACCTCCAAGAGTCAGCGCACTGATTAAGTGGCCATCGTTATCATCAAGCTTTCCTGAAGCTGCAAGATAAAGACAAGGAGGAATTATGGGACAAGGAAGTGGGAGTGGTTCTGAAAGTATCTAGTTTGCTCTTCAAGTGGGCACCGTTGTATGGCCGGCTAGCATCCTTGCCAAACAATGAATGTCAGTTCGTGCAATACAATCCTATTCTAAGTAGCAAGCGTGCACCGTCATCAACCCAGTCGCTTTTCGATTTCTAACGGGGTTCTTTATGTTTTTGGCGCATAAACTCGTCAACGATTCTGCCACAATGTAGCATTCGACTTCTCCCTGACATAAGGCAGCACAATGTAAATGAACTGAACGGCCCAAGAAGGATGGTAGGTCCTGCTTGGATGGGCCTACCTGGCTGTAAAGCAATGATACTACTGCTTTCTCACTACTACCTAATGGAATCTGTTAGTGTTCACATGAAACTTTACGCTGTATGTTAATCATAGAAAACAGGCTATTGATTTTGATAAGCTAGCGATGCTTACGGGTTATAAACACCATAGATCGGCCAGATCACTATCACTATCCAGAAGGGCGATGGTGTCCCTTAAGCTGGTGTGTCTCGCTTATGGTTGGATTGCCCAGCATCGAGCGACAAAAGAAGCAGTGAAACATCTGAATCTGAGGAGGACATGGCATCCCGCAGCAAAAGAAGACCAGAAAACGACCGCATCAAACGTAAAACGCCCAAGAGGAAGTTCATGCGAGCTAAGAGTGCTGAAGAAGATACAGACGGACTTTCCACATCGGACATAGAGCGCCATGCAGTCAACGCCGGGTTGGCTTTTTCTGGGATGTTTCAGCTTAGCTCCAGAAAAGAAACAACAAACAAAAAACTAGGTAAGGTGGTGAATGTGCTCAGGAGTTCAGAAAGGATTTATGCTAAATAAAAAAACATTCGAAAACATAGATTGCTCTAAAAATACTTCATTTCGGAGATAGTAGACTACATTGACGAAATCTGCTATAGGATAACCGAACAAACTCAGAGACGCCAGTTAAACCGACACATCGAAAACAAATATGATGTTGACACAAGGAAATGGGTAAAATAAAACGACGGACATGCGATCATGAATCTATATGATGATGATGCACGGAAGAAGAGATAGGGCATAGAAGATTAAACAACCCAGCATATCATTACAAGGCCTCAATGGCTTTCAGCAAAACATCCAAGCCACGGTCAGAGACATCACCAGCATTGGAGTCTTCCTCAGCAACAGATTCGCGCAGTGCCCACGCAACGTCACTCCACCAGCCAAGGCCAACATAGCCACCGCCTTTCCGGCGCTCAAGGCTCTCCTTCAGGCGGCTGGTGTGCTCCCATTGCTTGGCGGCGTCTTCGGCACATTCGATGACCTTGCTTGGGATTCCACACATCGAGGCGCAGTGCATACCGAAACTGCCCTCTGCAACACCCTCTTCGAGTTTGTAGAGGAAGGCAATGCGGCGCTCGGCGTCGTCGACGTGGATGGCCATACGCTTGGGTGCAATTTCGGGGTGGTTCTCGAATTCAGCGGCGAGGGAGTGGTAATGGGTAGCGAAGAAGCCCAAAGCGCCGATATGGGTGGCAATGTGATGCAGCACAGCCTGGGCTACGGCAACACCGTCGTACGAGCTGGTTCCACGGCCGAGTTCGTCGAGAATAACCAGAGAGCGTGGTGTAGCTTCGGAAAGGATCTTCTTGGTCTCGGACAGTTCGACGAAGAATGTAGATTGAGCGGCGAAGATGTTGTCGTTTGCACCCAGTCGGGACATGATTCTGTCCACAGGAGTCAGGCGGGCCGACTGGCAGGGAAGGTAGCAACCGATCTGGGCCATGATCACAGCAACACAGGTCATTCGAAGCACAGTAGACTTTCCGGCAGCGTTGGCACCTGTCAGCAAATCGATGCTGGGATGCTTGCCACCGAGTTGGATATCATTGGGGATGAAGTCCTCAACAGAGGACAAGAGACACGGGTGGCGAAGCTCTTCGAACTCGAGAACGCTTCGTTCGTCATCCACAAACGTTGGCCGACAACTGGGCTGGCCCAGAGATGCGGAAGCTTTAGCTAAACTGATGAGGCAGTCAAGCTGGGAAACAATCTTGACAGCAGCCAACCATGTGCTGTAGTGTTCGTCGAAACGAGCGTGGAATCGCCCAGCGACCTCTTTGACAATTTGACTGTGAGTTTCCTGGGCCTCTTGCAATTTGCGAATGAGGCTTCGAAGCTCGGGGAAGTAGTATCGCTTAACCTGCTTGGTTGCAGACATTTGGTTCCAATCCTTGGGGATATTCTTCACCTTTATTGGAACCTCAAGTTGATAGATTTCCTTGCCGTTATCCCGGAAGCAGATGGCAGAAGATCCCAAATCGCGGCGGGCCCTCTTCAAGAGGTTATCAAGGTCCTTGTGCAACTGCTCGATGATTTCCTGAGAATTGTCGAAGTCACCTTCGACCCCAGATTCAGGCACAAGGATTCCATTCTCCTTGGCCTTGGGGCGGTCAAAGGCAGTCTTCCAATACCCCAAGAGCGAGGTCAAGTCGGGCATTGCATTTGTCAACTGACCGATAATGCCCTCTTCGGTGGAGGTGGAGCCATTCTCCTTGAGAAGACCCATGGTATAGTCGATTTGTTCGAAGCCCTCCAGGACACGCACGAAATCGGCAGCCTTACAGTTACCGGCATGGATACGAGAGATCAGTCGCTCCAGATCCGGCATTTTTGTCAACTGAGAAGAGAATTGGTCGCGAACACTGGGGTCAGCATTCAATGAATCGACAGCATCGAGTCTTGCGTTGATCTTCTTTGCATCCACCAACGGATGGCAAACCCACTGCTTGAACATCCGCTTGCCGAAGGGTGTAATGCAGCGGTTGAGGAGCTGGAACAAAGTCCCCTCAGATCCACCGTCAAACGAGTTCGCGAAGATTTCCATGTTGATCAGAGTCTGACCGTCCAGCACAAGACTGGTTGCCTTCTTGATAGGATCATACCACGTGAAGTTGCCGATAGTTATCAAGTCCCGTTCGATCTTCAGCATGCGCAGATAAAAAACCAAGGCACCGAATGCGCACATCAGCAGCTCCTTTTCGCGGGCTTGGCGCAGAGCCTCTGGCCAGGCTGTGATGTTTTCATCGTTTTCAGAAACGAAATATTCACTGGCCTCGAGCTCTCGGATTGTGATGTCTGATTCCCAGAACTCCTTGCCGGGCTTCATCAGGTTCCAGATAGTAGTGGGTCCAGTGTTGTTCTTCAGGATGCGCATAGCCTTCTGAGAAACGCAGCCCTTTTCTAGCAGCAGTTCCTGCGGCCGAGTCTGGGCGACAAAAGTCTCGAATTTTGTCATGTCAACATCGTCCACAAACTCAGACAGGAAGAATTGACCTGTTGCAGTGTCGACAAAGGATATTCCAAATGCAGGAAGCTCGTTAACGATAGCCTCCTTGATAGAAACACAGTAAGTAGACATATCATCTTGAAGCATGGAGCCGTCGACGAGGGTACCTGCTGTGAGGACACTAGCAAGCTCTCGCTTGATGATCTTGTCCTCTTTTCCGGGCTTCTTGCCATCTCGCTCACGCATTTCCTTACCTAGAGCAGACTCAGATTGGTCAACGCGAGCGATCTTGAAGCCTTTCGCCACGAACTGGTTGGCCCAGTGGTCCAAACTCATCTCGGGAACACCGACCATGCGCATGTTCACGCGATCAGTCAGCTTGAGATCGAATAGCTGGTGTCCGATGGTGGCATCGTTTTCGTAAAGCTCATAGAACTTTCCCTTCTTGAAGAAAACCACTGTATCCCAGAACTTCTGCTTGATCTCCCAGTACTGCTTCTCAAATGGAGAGAATCGCGACCAAGCCAGCGGTGGGATATAGATCGTTCGGGGGTCGTAATCGGGGTGCCCCTTGGGATTTCCATCAATGTCCTTGATGGTGGCAAGCCATGAGTATCGCTGCTCCGGTTCCTTCAGGTGCGCTTTTTCCTTCTTGTTCGTGTTTGAGGGCTTCTTGGACTCAACCGCTTCACGCTCCTTTCGTGGTTCTTTGTTCTCTGGGTCGAAAGTCCATTTCTTGGCTGTCCCTGATGACCCCTCTGGGATTTCAATATCAAGATCCGCGTCTGGGGAGGGAGGTGTGGGTGCTAGGACCGAGGATGATTTAGCCGTTTGCTTGCGAGCTGGTTGGGTCGAGGGTCTTTTGCGCTTCTTCGAGGATACGACTTCCTCATCGGAATCATCCGCAACAACGAAATCGTCCATTTCTATATTCATGTCAGCCGTGTTCGGAACGGACAATGAAGACGCGAATCCACGATAGCATACCATCGTCGGAATATCCTGCCTCCTCGGCACCCTCTTGGAACTCATCCTCACTCTCTGGGGATGTCTTTCGTCTCTTTGCTGGACGCCCAGTAGTGCGGTCTCGACGGTCGGGCTTGAAGATAACATCATCGTCATCTTCGCCCTCGGAGTCCGACTCCTTGTAACTCACCTTCTTCTTTCCCTAGATAACACTGTCAACACGGCAACTTAATCAAGCTGTTTAAAACAGTACGATACGTACCCGGCGCGAAGACGACATCGTGGAGTCCTGTGCTTCCCCTTGGGTGGTCTGCGAAACGACAATTTAATCAGCGGCGAAGGAGCATACAAACGCGTTTAAAAACAACTATACCTTCACTTCATCCACATTTTCATCCTCCTCATCCGGAAGAGGAAGATCACTGCTTGGAATAGGAGTCAAATCCTGAGCAAAGCTCGAGAAACTCCGCTTCTGCTCCCTCGGTGTCGGCTTCAGCGCGCTCCCACCACGATTTTCGGCGGCTCTCTGTGCTGGGGAAGATGCCGGTTCGCGGGTACGGTTGTTCGAAGGAGTGGCAGGGGATGATTTCTGAAAGAAGCCCAGAATTGATTTCTGGCTTTTCATATTCTGGGTACTGGAGGTCGTCCGTTTCAGCGCGGCGGTTGGCGGCGTGCCTGCG